TGCAGAGCATTTTGCTACAGTAAGAACATACAAGCTTATAGCTCACAAATACTTTTGATCAAGAATAAGAGAACTGGTGAAGAAGTATTGTGAAGTCTGTAGAGTCTGCCAGAGCTTAAGAAGAGTTTATAAGAAATCTCAAGAAGAATTATTACTCTTATTAATTCTGAATTACTCTTGAAAATTTATTAGCATAAATGTTATTACAGATCTCTTCACAAGCCTGAATTTTAAGAAGATGCAGTTTGACTGTATTCTGGTTGTAGTAGACTAGCTTATAAGAATGACTCACTTTATCCCTATAATAAAGAAGCTGATATCAGAGAAATTAACTTATTTTTTTGTTTATGAGATAGTGAGATTATACAGATTATCTGCAAGCATAGTAACAGATTAAGAATCTTTGTTCACAAGTGAATTTTAGAGTAATTTAACTCACATCTTGAAGATTACAAGAGTAATAAGCATGGTATTCCACCTGCAAACTGATAATCAAACTGAGAGACTAAATAGTATATTAGAGCAGTATCTGTAAAGCTATATCAGTTATGATTAAGATGACTAGATAATGTAATTACTAATAACAGAGTTCACATACAATAACTTACAGCAGGCCTCCACACAGAAATTATCTTTTCAGCTAATATATGAATTAAATCCACAAATGAATCTGTTGGACTCTGAAAAGTATGACTATATGTGCAAGAATTTAAAGAATCAGACAGAGACAATAAGATTGCTCCACAAGAAGATCAAGAAATTACTTATAAAAATACAAGTCTATCAGAAGAAGTACTATAATCAGAAGTACATTATAAAGACTTTTCAGATGAAAGACAAGATGTGACTTGACCTTCACAATATCAAGACTGTACAGTCTAATAAAAAATTGAATTTATTAAGACATGGGCCTTGTAGAATTATAAAGAAGATAGATTTGTGAGTCTACAAACTGAAGCTGTCTCTAGATCTGTAAACTCATGATATTTTTTATGTATTTCTGCTCCACAAGCACAAGACCTGTAAAGAAATTGATAGCTTATCTTATTATAAAGTTTATAAGACAAACAAGAATGAAAAGAAGTATCAGATCTGTAAGATAATTAACTTAAAGAGAGAGAGTTACAAACTGTAATATAGAGTATATTAGAAAGATTATAATAATAAGAAGAACAAGATATGAGTATCTGTAAGCAATATCTGTTTACTGAGAAAGCTACTTCAACAATTTTATAGTAGAAATCTGGACAAGCCTGATTTATAAAAAAGATGAATGAAGGTAGTAAAGCTAGAAAATAAGTTAGAAAGAGAAAAGATATAGTCTGAACTGAATTAAATTAATCTTAAAAGAAGAAAAAACTAAGCTAAGAATTATATAAGAGCCTCTAGCTTTCTCTTATAAAGATCTGTAACAACTATTTATAATCTTACTGCTGGAAAGAGCAAGCAAGATATCTACAGTATAAATAATTATTATATTTTTAATTCAAGCCTGTAGAGATGCACTCTGTAAAAACTATATTACTATAGTCTTGCTGAGCTCTCTTGCAGATAGAGCACTTCTGTTCTAATAACAGCTGGACTCCAGCTCAAGTTACAAGAATATTCTTGCAGAGCTGGATGTGAACAGCTAACTAATTTGAATTATTCAAACCAGTAATAAGCATGGATCTTTAAATAGACTTGTGATACCATGCTTTTTTGTGAGCAGATAAAGCTTGTACTTCAGTATGAAGTAGAAGATCTGGAAAAACTACTGAATTAGCTTGTGAAGCACCAGCAAAAGTAGTAGCTGGCAGTATTTAAATAAAGATAGTCTGGAACTATTATTATTGATCTCATGAGAAAGATACTGGATAATTCCAGATATTCTACAGAACTATAGCATTCACAAATCCTGCTAGAGCAGAGAGAATGGCAACAATAATCTAGAAAGAGTTAGCTGTAAACTGAAATATGATAGAGAATACTCATATTTCTGACTGGAGCCAGTATAACAACTACAGAGAGAAGAGACAGAGCAGCAGAACTCTAACTTCATTAGCATGTAAATTAAATGTCAGCTTGCAAGAAGTACTTACAGCTTGAGCTAATAAAGAGAAAGTAACAACAACTGATAAAGAAGAGAAAGAGAGAGAAGTAATAATACTTTAAAATTATCAGTTATAAACTCTTCTTAAATTCTCAAGATTACTTATTAAAGGCCCAACTTCTTTCACAAAAAAAAAGATAAGAGTTCTTTTAAGAAAGAAGAGCAGCAATAACTTATAAAAGAGAAGAAGAAGAGACTGTAAATCTGTAGAAACTTCTAGTAAGTATTAGTCTTTCTGTAAATCAAATTCTATATAAAGATAAAACTTCATGATTATATAAAGTAAAGATGTAATCAAGAGTAAACTTACTAACTTGTAACTGTAAAATCAAGTATATAAAATATCTGAATAAAGCTATTTTTAATTCTTTTAATTATCAGAGATCTTCTACAAGCCTGTCTCTCATGCAAAGCAGTGCTTGAAGGATTCACTTATCTTAATAATAGTAATATAGACTAGAGAAGAAAGAGAAGAAAAGAAGAGAAAGAAAAAGTAAGAGAAAGCTCTTTCTTAAGCTAGTGCTTATTATCTAATAATAACATAAAGCTAGTAAGAATAATAAAGACTCTCTACATATTATTGTGTTATTGAGCTCTGTTATATTATTATGTTGTGTTATATTATTAGAGTTGTGTTAATATTATATCTCTAGTGAGGCTGTACTCTTTTTCTTATGAGGAAATTTTTATTTTTCTCAAGAGATTTTGTTTTTTTACTCATGAAGATTTTTAATAAAATAGCTGTCTTGAGAGATTAAGACTTACAAGAAAAGAGAATCTGTAAGAATTTATCTGCAAATCTCTTATACAGACAAATAATATCTGCAAAAACTCAGGATCTGAACTTATAAGCTGTTGAAAGTACATGTGTTCTTGTGAGACACTAAGTCATATACTCACAAGCACACATAAAAGACTGCCACTGTATAAATTTCTTGTTAGAAGCCAGTGGCAATCTTGTCTAGAAGTCATACATAGCTGTCAATACCAGATCTTTTATCTTGTGTACTCTTTTCTACATACAATTTCTCCTATAGATTCATTGTCATGCTGATCCACATGTATGATCCTCACAATCTTTTTGTGAATCAGAAACAGTATATCAAGAATTTACTAAATAAATATGAAATAAAAGACTGTAAATCTTCCAAAACATCAATGAAGAAAGAAATAAGCATCAAATTTACATCAGATCAGACTTTTAAAGATGGAGTTAACAAGCAGGTCATGCCTACAAATTATAGAAAAGACCTGGACTCCCTACAGTTTCTAGTTACATGTACAAGACCAGATATTACATTTACAGTCAATTATCTGGCAAGATTCAATAGCAGGTCCAATAGGGAGAGCTGGACAGCATTCAAGCAGATTCTACACTATCTCAAAAGCACAAAATCAAAAGAAATAGTCTTCAAAAAAGATATGAATTCTAAAGACTTGAAACCAGCAGCCAGTTCAGATTCTGACTGGACTGGAGCCAACCTCACATACAAATTCACCAGCAGCTATATTATTATCATGAATGGAGCTCCAATATTATAGAGATCACAACACCAGACATCTATCTCAAAATCTACAATCAAAGCAGAGTATTTGACAGCTAGCAAAGCTGCTTGTGAACTAGTTTGAATCAACAACCTGTTGATAGACACTAAAGTAATTAGTGAAGGCTCAGCAAGACTAAAAAGCTCAAAATTAAGTATTGACAACAAGAGAGCCATTAACTTAGTCAAAGCTGAAGCTATAATATGAAGAGCATGCCATATTGAGATTCAGTATTATATACTAAGAGACTAGATGCAAAAGAATGAAATCTCAATCAAGCATATTGGAAGTGATGCAAATAAAGCTGACAGGCTTACAAAGACTTTCACAATGGATTCCTATACTCAATTTGTAAGTGTAATAGGGGTGACAGATTAATACAGGAAAATATGAAGGCTTATCAGTAAAGCTGGTGAAAATACCATATCACAGTGAATGGAGCTAAGCCTAAAGAAGAAATAAATCTGGATTTTGTAATTAATTTTTATTGTGGATTTGAGAGATTTGGAAGCTTTAGATCTTTGTGGCTCTTGCTCACTGCTGGAGCTCATTGCATGGGGGGGTGTTAGGTAATCCAACTAGCACCTCGCTCATGTGACCCACATAGATTAGCCGAGATTCCCCTTTAGGTAGCTTAGTGAATGACAAGCATATGAGTCCTCCATCAGTTTTTCCGCCCCCTTTTTTAAATTTCATGTACTTTTTGCGTCAGAGACAAGCTTTTCTATGCAAATGTCAAGCTGGACACAGTATCTCTCCTGACATGTCCCATGACTGTTGAGGTTCTCTGCATATCCAAAGTACATCCTATGAGCTTCCCAAGGTTACAATATTCTTATCAATGTAACGTCCAACCTAGTATCTGAAGCGCCTTGATTCTGATAGATTGGGAGAGAGGAAAGCAAGCAAGGAAAGGTGTTAACAAAAGCATTGCCCAAACACCCAAGACTCAAGAAATGCAGCAGAAAGCGCTGACTTCCCATGAGCCGCTTTGGGCGTGACCCATTGGTATCAGAAACCGCAGCACATTGGTTTTGGCTTATGGTGCAGTGTCTCATTAAAATGATGGAAATACTCCCGTACTGATTAGCGAAACAAAGGAAATGGAACAAGACAAAAGAAAGCAAATCAAACAAAAAAGATCATGAAGCAGGGCTCGCTCCCCCTTTATATCCCGCTTGCCCCTCGTACTTATTTCGGATCAAAATCATCTGTGAATGCGATACTGAAACGTGGAAATCGTGGTCGCTGTGGAAGTACGATTATCGTCATAGAGACGAAAGCTCGATATTCGGAGTACAGGATACGTTACTGGAGCCAGTACTCACATATTGTGGGCCCACATACACGCAAAAACGCATGTTTACTTCTCATGTCGTCTTGCTTTGCTTCCTCGAGGGTAAATTCCAGGCACACTGCGAGCCGATGTACGTTTATTGCCGCCCGAAACAAACCAGTTTATTTGGCCGTGCGCTTGTTGGACCCGGCAAGAAAAGGAGCTACCGTGTGTTCTCCGACTATAGATTGATCCGGTGATCTGAGCACCCAGATTGGCAATACGAAGACTCGCTATCAGATAATCAGTATCTGCAAAGTCTTCAGTAGTGCTTTCAGAGGACCATGGAATCGTGGAGGGAAGATTGACATCAATATCCTCGTCTTGGATAGATACCGGCTTGCCGAGCATGCACGCCCAACTTCGATCGAGTATGTACGCGGTCCACCAGACTCGGTTCCGATGCTCCTGTAGCTCGCGGCTGGGTAGCTGATTCTGCGGAACATTGAGATGAAGGCCCATTATTATGCCAAACCGTACGGCATATCCTACTAAGCAATATGCAGAATGTCGGCGGTTCATAGCAAGTGAGTATATGGACAGTACGTGATCAGCATTGTTGCTGTACGCGGTATGGGCGTCTAACGTTCAAGCGCCATCATAATCTCAACGCAGTCAATTCTGGGCTGCTCACTAAGCACCCGAAGCATCCGTGTAGCGCTCACATAATACCCAATGCCAGGGAACTGGTCTTCAGATAGACAGGTTCTCGTAGAGTATGCTTCGCCTAGAGCAAAGAGCGCAAGGAGCTTGCAGATGGAGATTATATCGCATAACGCAGGAGTATGAATTGCCTGTTCCAGAAGTTGAAGAGTAGAGCTCCTCTGCACGAGGTAGTAGCGTCGGCATGCAGTAAGTACTGAGTGACACCTTGAGCAGAAAACGAGCTCTTGAAGGAGTAGGCCAGGGGTATTCCGAGTTCCATAGGGAACAGATGGTCTCGTCATGTACGTTTTGAGTGCGCGGAAAGTGACTCTGCGAGTTTCCTAATAACTCTTGGCGGAACCTAGTAGCAAATGCTACATCGGTGGCTTCCCCTACAAGGATGGGCATCTCCGCAGTCAAAGGGAAAAACCACGGACGCTCATCTAGCAGTGGATTTCGAACACCATCCCCAGTCTTCGCGGCCAGCGTTGCAGGACCGGTATCGGCACCCTGCAACGTGTTTGCCTCGACACTCGTGACAGACACGGCTGAAGATGGATCCGGAGGGGCAGTCCTGGCCGTTTCGGCGCTACATGGGCCTCCAACTCACTTGGTTCGCTGGGTGGACTCGGGAGCCTGGGCGGCTTGCCGAAGGCGGTGGATTTCTTCAAGTAAGTCATCTATGTAGCTAGAGTATCCTGTTCAGTACAGTCGGGATAATCCAATCGGGCGTGGTACCTCTGTTGGACCTTGACACGCCGGTTACGGCTGGGATATATGCACTTTGCATGGCTGTTGGCTTGCCTGCAGTTGGTACAAGGTATGTCGCCTGAGCATTTAATCTTCCGCGCGTGGCATTTCCGACAACCTGTTGAAGCTGTGAGCAAACCTCAATTCTGATTACTGAGGTCCATCTAATTGTCGACGTACGCTATTCGCGTGTTTCTCGGTCTGTCTAAAGGGACTCCAACCGCACTCATGGTGGAACAAGGACGGATGAGATAATCGCCAATCCAGTGTCGCAGGGATCGGTTGCGAAGCCCGGCGTCTGAGCTGTGTAAGGCGATTATTTAGAGAGGATGATACGGAGTACTCCGTACACGTCCGGATATTGACAGGGGTAACTTTCCGAAAGGTCCGTCCCACAAGTTACCGTGCCACGCCGTTAGGTGTCAAGATAATAACTGGGAAGAGGACATTTCGATGACGCGTCGACTTGCCGAGAAATCTGATGGAGAGCTCGTATGCTTGTTATTCACCAAGCTGCTCCGTACCTCAAGTAGAATAGAAGTAAAGATGAAGACAAGCGTGCTCGCAGTCAACTAACTATGGGGCGCGCAGTTCTCAAGGAAGCAACGGTGTCCTGATCTCGATAGCCACATAAGTTCAGCACGTCAGCAAAAAACCGGTCAACTATGCTTCCAACGTCTGGAGTAATTTAGCTTTCCAAACATCGCTGCCCATTGACATACGACCATTTACTGAACATATACTATTTAATAGTCTTCGTGATTCTGGTTCTCTTTTACCCTCCTGAGTGGTGTAGAGCGAAGTTTTCGTTTCTAGCATGGCTCGATTGAGCAGCCTCCTCGTGGCCTCCCTGGCTCTCCTCACCAATGTCGTCAATGCCGACTCCGCCGTCCTCGATCTAATCCCCTCCAACTTTGAAAAAATCGTCCTTGAATCCGGCAAGCCGGGACTCGTCGAGTTCTTCGCCCCCTGGTGCGGGCACTGCCGCAACCTTGCTCCGGTCTACGAACAGCTCGGCCACGCCTTCGCCCATGCAAGTGATAAACTGCATATCAGCAAGGTCGATGCGGATGCGCATAAGTCTCTAGGCAAGAAGAATAAGGTCCAGGGCTTCCCAACGCTGAAATGGTTCGATGGGAAGAGCGCTGAGGGTGAAGAGTATGAGGGTGGAAGGGATCTGGAGAGCCTAGCCAAGTTTGTTACGGATAAGACCGGCGTGAAGCCCAAGGGGATAAAAAAGGCTGGGGACAGCGTGGTGAAGATGTTGACGGATCAGTCGTTTGCGAAGGAAGTTGGAGGAGATAAGCATGTTTTTGTGGCCTTTACGGCTCCATGGTGCGGTCGTACGTACCCTTTTCCCGTTCAAGCTTTCTGGTCAACGCATTGTGATTGGAATTCACTTATTGACATAACTGTACAGACTGCAAAACCCTGGCTCCTACATGGGAAGCTCTCACTGAGGATTTCATGCGTGAACCTGACGTCCTTATCGCGAAAGTCGACGCTGAAGCAGAACAGTCGAAAGCCACTGCCCGCGACCAAAAGGTCACTGGCTACCCAACAATTAAATTCTTCCCCAAGGGTTCTAAAGAAGGCGAGACCTACAGTGGTCCCCGGTCTGAAGACGCTCTGGTTAATTTCGTGAACGAGAAATGCGGAACACACCGTGCCGTAGGAGGAGGATTGAATGCCAAAGGCGGGGCCATTGAAGCTCTCGATGATATTGTAGCCAGATACGTTTCCGGAGGAGCAATTGCTGAGATTGCAAAGGACATCAAGGCTGCCGCAGGAGATCTCAAGCAGAAATATGCGCAGTATTATGTCAAGGTGGCCACCAAGCTTTCCGAGAATTCTGGATATGCTGCTAAAGAGCTGGCGAGATTGGAGAAGATGAAGAGCAAGGGTAGCCTGGCTCCAGAGAAATTAGACGATCTGGTCTCAAGATCCAATATCTTGAGAAGATTTTTGGGCAAGGAAGGAAAGAAAGGAGCCAAAGATGAGCTTTGATGGTGTTTGCAGGTTTTTATCACATCTATTGGCATTGTATACCTATTGACTAAGCTTTAGGCTTAACATGAGCACAGGGACAGTGTTGGGTCACGGTTAACTTTCAAGCCAAAATATTCATGTCATCTTTGTATGTATGTACAGCTACTGGTTGCCTACAGGGTACATGGCCAGTTACAGGGAGCAAATTAAAAAAGCAACCTCTAAAGGGCAAAAAATTCATCCGAGGATTATATGAACATACATGTGTAATGCGAGTCAAACAACAAAGGTGTATGTTTGGTATAACGCCCGTGAAATCAGACATTACAGTAGTTATATCAAATGGTATCATTGTTGCAACTCGATAAAAAGGGTATCAACCGCCGGATTTGACGAGCTCTTCGCTCAGAAATCGGACATGCATCATTTCGTCATAATTAAGTTGGATTGTCAAGATAGTTGTAGCGTAGTAAAGACTTTCGACGAGCGCTTGGGAAAGGATTAAGCCTTAATTCGATCGGTCTGCCTCGCTGGCAATCGTCAGGGAAGCTTCCAATTCATCGAGTCTTCGCGCCATATCGTCCACTGCCCATGCCCATACGTTAGTATATACCTGCAAAAGCTAAACTATCCCCTGGGAAACCGGTCAGGGAGAGTAGCACAGGATCTTCGGGCCTCACATTTTCCAAATATCTCGTTCGACACATTGGTAAACCGGTGCTGTAGCTGATCTAGGAGATCGTCGACTGCCACGGCGAGCTGCTGGGAGCCGTTGTCTTCGGTTGATGCCTTAGGGTTAGAAACCGGAGATAGGTCAGAATTGATCTTTATAAAAAATATGGGGACTCCTGGGAAACGAAGCTCACCTCTGCGGGTGTCCCTTGCTTTGTTGTACTTGGAGAGGTAATGGAAGCACGGTTAGGGGTGCCGGTACCGCTCATTTTCAACAGCAGACTCAGGAGTAGATAGAGCAGTGCACACTCTTCCTTACAAAACTAAGGGACAGAAAAGAGCAATTGAAATTTTGCAGGAGACGGGCACATAGCAACCCGGTGTGATCGGAAGAAGGGGGGTGTTTGGTGATTGCTCTCCGGCGGTTGCACTTGGCGCAACATGCACAAAGAGTGGTGGTGGTGTGACCTGATTGGTGGGGACGTCCAAAGATTAGATTAGATAAGATCAATCTCACGTGCTGGGGACAAGCTCCACCGGCACTAGCCTATTCCCGGTCTAGCGCGAAAGCTACCGAAATTTCGCGGGAGAAGAATCGCAGACATGTTCGCGCTGAAGAGAATCATGGCTGCTTGATGAACGTTTTTGTCTGAGTGAATTGAAAGTTATTGTACCACTACCTCGAAATGGTGAAGAAAAGCAAATTGCTCAACGCCCTTGACGCCCACAAGGGCCGAGATTTCGACAAGGAGCGTCAGAAAAAGCTACAAAAAGCAGCAGAGAAGAAGAAACGACTAAGGGCGGAACGCCAGAAGGAAGAAAATGAAGTGGATAACGAGGAGGTGATTTCTAGTCCTATAGATTTGAGAAAGTATCGCATATCACTGACACAGCGCTTAAATCAGAAGGTGAACGGACCTGAAGACTCAAGCAATCTCAACGAAGAAAAACGAGATACTGCTGCTGTTACCAAGAAAGGAGACGAGAGGAAAGAAGACCCAAAAGCGACACAGGCAGAGACCAATGCGTCGGGAGACGAGGGGGATTCTGAAAATGAGGACGAACACGACGAAAATGAGCTCGATGCCGGAGAGGCAGATTCAGACGAAGACATCCCCCTTTCAGAGCTTTCTGAAGACGATCGAGCAGACGTAATACCGCACCAACGACTCACCATCAACAATTCTGCCGCCATACGAGCATCTCTCAAGCGGATATCCTTCATCAACGAAAGCACACCATTCTCAGAGCATAACTCCCTCACATCCACAGAGCAAATAGACATACCCGACCCCAACGACGATCTAAATCGTGAACTAGCTTTCTATAAAGTTTGTGTATCTGCAGCTACGAACGCCCGGAGCCTATTAAAGAAAGAAGGTGTTCCGTTTTCTAGACCGACGGATTACTTTGCGGAGATGGTCAAGAGTGATGAGCATATGGGCAAGATTAAAAAGAAATTGTTCGAGGAAGCAGCCGCGAAGAAAGCTAGTGCAGAAGCGAAGAAGCAGCGTGAATTGAAGAAGTTCGGAAAGCAAGTGCAGATTGCGAAGCTGCAGCAGCGACAGAAGGAGAAGAGAGAGACGCTGGAGAAGATCAACAGTTTGAAAAGAAGTATGTGTTCCCCCACACTTTTGAGATCTGGATAAACCAAAAAGACAGTTTCCATTGCAGGATAAACCATATGCTAATCAATCATGTAGAACGCAAAATCGACGGTGGAGCTCCGACTGAGGACGAAGATCTTTTTGACGTTGCACTCGAAGACGCCGGTAAATCCGAGCGCAAGAAGCAAAATCCTACGGGTGGGCCAAATCCTAAACGGCAAAAGAAGAACGAAAAGTACGGTTTCGGAGGGAAGAAGCGATTTGCGAAGAGTGGAGATGCAATGTCGAGTGGTGATTTGAAAGGGTTCTCTGTAAGCAAGATGAAAGGGAAGAAACCTGGTGGTGCAGCAAAGCGGCCAGGCAAGAGTAGGAGGGCGGCGGCAAAGAGATGATTTATGTCCACACATTTGCTAGCTTCCACACAGTCTCCTTTTATGGCCATGTACCCTTTGTAGTTTTTGTTTTGTGCGCACTATCAAGGGTAATTTTCCTTCCCTGGTGTTGGTTTTATTTTGTGGCACGGACTGGAAAATCTGAATTTTATGGCATAAATGCTTGGGAATAGACATAGTCAAAAAAATTCAGTGCGTTAATTTCACTTCGGTTTGAACTGAACTGGATTGGTATTTTCATTTAATCATGTCCGAAACATGTATTCTCATACTAATAACGAAACCTTTTGCCAGAGCATATCCATGTAGGTATAATAATGATATATGGTTATTAAAGTAGTGTAGTGTAGACCACGGGAGTTATGAAAGGTGCAAAACGTTATTTGCATAGTAAACTGACAGCTGTTTAGAATACCAGTGTGTGATTGCTGGGATGGAAATGGAAGATCTGCAGGGAGCACTGCAAAATATATTAGAGGTCTTCATATCCTTGGAGCTGTGGATGCCCATGTCCTAACTTCCTGGGGGAGCAGGATGAGAAGGTGCCCCAAAGCTGGGATATGCGGGAAGACAACCCTGGCTATAGCAAGAAATGTCCCGGGTATTGTGTGATATGCGGAGAAAGTACGGCCAAACCATTGTCAAGGGTATACGGGTTGGAATTTCATTATAATCTTGCAAAACAGCACCAAGTATAAAACCACCAAGGCTGATAAAGTTTGGGTATAGGTTTCATTCATGGACTTTTATCTTCTTCGAGCCGGAATCTATCTCCCCATCGCCGGCGTCTTCTTGAAGGGATCCAAAATCGCGAATTCTATTTAGGAGATGGTCCACGGAAGCATTGACATTCAGACGTTGCTCAGCAAACACTAAGTTCAGCTTTGTCTGGGTATCATTAGCATGCACTAGTGAGTGGTCAAGGATTACTTCTTTGGATCGCTTCGAGGAAGCTTTGTAGACCGCCTTGCCGCATCCATGTACGGAACAAATCCATGTGTCTGGGGGGTGATTAACGTCGGGCGGCGCCAGTGCTGGAGATGGCATTGTGGAATTGCCATTGATAAAGGGTCCAGTTTTGCCAGGTGGCTCTACAGCCTCCTGTACGGACCTCGCGTGAGGAGATGATGTTTCTAAGTCGGAAATAGAGATGACGGATCGCGCAAGCTCATTTACTCTCGGAGGCAACGGTTCTTGAGTCATGTGATGTCCTCCAGGTCGCGTCGGTGTATCTTCGATTAGATTCATGTCTTCTAATTCCTCCGAGTCGGAAGCTTCACTTGGGGGTTGCTTGGCGGATTTTCCAGCACGCTTCATAGGAACAGAACTTAATTTCGGCCGAAGAATTGACATACGTGCTCGTCTCTGCCTTGGAAGTTCCTCCTCGTCGCTTTCTTCGGGAGAAGATGAAGAATTCTCTTGGTCCTCCGGAGGGCGAGGATGTAAGGGAGTGTTGCAGACGTCTTGGGTGCTGGCCGAACGTTCCGCTTTTTTTAATTGTTTATAAATCGTTTTCCGGGACCAGTCAACGGAGGATGAATTCCTCGCGTTATCCATCATCTCAATCAAATAACTTGCACGTGCTTTCATTAGATCAATAGCATAATCTAAGGAAACCATCTCAAAGCGCTTTAGCAAGTATTCTGCGACAGTTTTCAATGTCAGTTGCGGTTTGAGGCCTTGTTTTGACTTCCGCATATCAAGAATAGCCTCAAATACAGTATCGGCCTGCGTTCTTTCAACGGTAACAGCATCCGGTGATTCGGTATTATCATCCTCAACCTCTTCGTCGCCGGTGATGTTGATAGGACCTTCCTTGGCAGATTCATTTTCTAGTTCCTGGAATAATTCCTAGAGAGGAGTATTAGGGCATTTCCGTGAAGAATATAAGGTCACACCAAAATTACCATACCTTGTATTTGTCCCGAAAATATTTGTAGATAGGCGTAGTATCCCAGTCAATGCCTTCTCTCCCCTGAAACATTTGCTTCATAAGAAAAGCATGGTGTTTGTCAAACACCTCAGCAGCATCATCTGCGTCCTCGCATGCTTCATGCGTGTGTTTTATATACTTTCATGAATCAGTGTCTAGCTGAGCCAAGCTATAATGATGGAACGGGCCTCACTTGATCAAGGAGGTAGTCCAGTTTAGGATTCCACTGCTTTCTCTTCCGACCCTTTGGTTGGTGTTTGTCTGTTATAAAATATAAAAGATCAACAGCTTCGACCATTTCGTTGAATACCGCTTTGTAGCCCTTGGCCGGAGAGACCGAAAACCACCCCGGCTTTCCAGCGACCCAAATTCCGACTTCCCCATCGTCATGTTGGCCATAAGCAAAGTGCGTCACATTTTCAATGATAACTCGTTTCGCGCGATAATTTTCATCCAAAACTAGAGGTAATAGATCGATCAGTAAGCTGTGCTTCCAGCAATCGACTTGGGCCGTACCTAGAGGCTTTTGATGTTCTTCGACCAGTTCTAACTGTCCAGTGACAGAGACGGGGTTCTCGGGAGACGCATACAGGAGATTGGCGTATCGGACCTTGCCTGGAACCCGGACCTTGACATCACTCAAGGTGAACTCTTCCCAGTCATTCTCATCTGTAAGGGAAGGGCTCCTGGCAGCGAGAATACTTTCAATTCGCGCAGTCATCTCTCCGGAACTGTCATGGCGAACGAATCGAAAAGGAGGAAATGAGATGTCTTCAGAGAAGAAGGCATTGGACTTTGACGTTCCTGGGCGGGAGGACTACTTCATATCTTTCACCTCATATCACCCACATCATCGTCATTGCAGCTCTCAGGAACGAGCTAGGCGGCCCGGCTTAGCTAAGGAGAGCTCTGGTTATGACACTAGCTGAACAGGCCAATTACCGAGTACGGTATCAGCCCCCCTACTCTCGTGTTCGGCTTTCAGTATCGTACCGTATCGTATCGTACCGGGGAGGGTGTTGGCCTTGATCCCCTGGTCACCATTAAGTTTAGGGGAAACAGGCCCTGGCTGGGCGGTCCCGGAGGCCGAGTCCGGGGGCTCTTTAGGCCATTCAATAGGGGTGGCTCAGGGGCCTTCCCAACCGCCAGCCCTCCAATTCCAAAAGTTTGTGTACGGACTACGCAGCTTCGTAGAGAAGATTCCAAACTGAACCCGGAGTGTTCCGTGCTTTGTATTTGCATATAATCACAATAAAGCTCTGGTAAATTTAATATTCATAGTGCAATACGGAGTACCGTTTGCGCTACCTCTAGCATTGATTAGGTCGGTTGAAGGTTCGAGACTCGCGTCGGGATTGGAAAGCTTCACCACGACATCTCGCCAGTGGAGAACTTTTCTCCCCCCAAAATTTCCAACAAACTCGCTCCTAAATATAATTTTCGATGTTAACCAGCCGGTGGCATACTAAGCTCCGGCCCGCCATGTCCAACCTTGAGGGAGTTTTCGGTGAGTCTCCACGTCCTCCCGAGGGAAAAGAAAAAAATCGCCTCTTCTTTTTCCTGAGCTCAGATTCTCCAATTGAATATCGGCAATCTAACGGAGATATATACCAGCCGTTCATAAGCCCGGTGGGATCTCCTCCGCCGACGTCCTTCGAGATCTTCAGCGCCACTTCAACCCGTCCAAATTCTTCCAACCTTGGCTCACGGCCGAGCGCGAGCGTCGTAAGCAGGAGCCGAGAAACCAGCAGCGAAGACGCCGAGATAAGCGCATCCAAGTGAAAATAGGACATGGAGGCACGCTCGACCCAATTGCCACCGGCGTGCTAATCACTGGTGTGGGGAAAGGGACGAAACAATTGAACAACTTCCTCGCGTGCACGAAGACGTACGAGGCCGTGGTCCTGTTCGGTGTTGCAACCGATTCGTATGATCGCGTAGGGAAAGTGGTTAGCCGGGCGCCATACGAGCATATTACGAGGGAAACTGTGGAGGAGGCACTGAAGGGCTTTAGAGGCAAGATTATGCAGCGGCCTTCGATATTCTCGGCGCTCAAAGTTCAAGGAAAGAAGCTCTACGAGTATGCTAGAGAGGGAAAAGAGCCGCCTGTGGAGATTGCAGAGAGGCCGGTCGAAGTAACGAATTTGGAGATCGTGGAATGGTATGAGCCCGGGACGCATGGATGGAAATGGCCCACGGAAGAAGCCGGACCTACAGAGAAAAACGTCGCGGAGAAAATGATTTCAAAAGAGAAGGATATTATTGAAAAGGAACAGAAGCATGTGCAGGAAGACAAGTCTCTTAAAAGGAAGCCATCGCCATCGGCTGATGGAATTATAACAGAGGAAGCAGAACCTTCGTCGAAGCGTCAGAAGGTAAATCCTTCCAACACCCAAACCGAAACAGCACCAGAACCCACAACAGCAGACTCGCTACCGGTCGCTGCGTCTGAGCCTCAGGAATCTCAATCTGCATCAGACTGCGTACAACCAATCCCCCCACCACCGGCTGTAAAACTCACCATGACAGTTTCCTCTGGCTTCTATGTCCGCTCCCTTGCGCACGACCTTGGTCTAGCGCTGAACAGCAATGCAATAATGAGTTCCCTGGTCCGCACTCGTCAGGGAGATTTCGAACTCTCACCAGATAAGATTTTAGAGTATAAGGATCTTGAGGCTGGTGAAGAGGTGTGGGGACCAAAAGTGCAGAGGTTCCTAGATGAGTGGCAGGAGAAGATGAAAAGCAAAACCGAAGAAAGTGGAAGTGGGAATGAGAGCCAATGAGTGATGAGGCGCACATATGTATGATGAACAATGTCGAATATACATAGGCCATTTCCTAGACATGGTTAGCTTGCATAATCTTGGCCATGGGGACCCTCGTAGTATGTCCAGAGTTTATAGATTCGATCATTCTTCTCCTAGAAGTATCTACCAAGGGGTGAGAACTTAAAAGAGGAAAATAGAAACAGTCCATCTGAAACAAGTCAGTGGGTGACGTTGTCTTTCCTCACGAGGAGCTCAGCTTGAAAAATACTCGGGCCCAGTCCAAGGTTGAAGAGCAAAATAAATAGATTAGAATTTTGATATCGCGTAAAATACGCCGCGTATAGCAGGTAGCGAATGGCTTGTCTCGCTAAAACGAGGATTTGAGCGGGGTTAAAAAAAAAAAAAAAATAGGAAAAGGGGTATCGAAGATAATGATGAAGCTCGAATATTTTGTTGGTGGCCATCCAAGAACTAAATCGGTGAAAAATATGGATTTGTAGCCCACCTATTGAAAAGTGGAAACAAACGAAACACAAAGCGAGGGAGAGAAGAATCGAAGGGAGGTATCGTAACAATGCATAACGGTCAAAGGTTGAATGAGAAACGGGAAGCCCAAGTGTTGTATCCCTGCCATCGGAAAAGACCAAAGGAAAGGCGAGAGATCTGCCATTGTATACACAAGAAATATAAAAGAAATAGAAATCGAAAATAACTAATAGTAATTGAAAATAACTGGTAGGTGGAAAGAAAAATAAGTTGTCTGACTCCAAGAAGCAAAAGTGCAAATCGAAGAGTGACGAGAGGCGAACTTGGCAGTTATCGATGCTGATATGAATTGTGGGCTTCGAGAAGTACTGCAAAACATAATTAGCACCGGGTTCACAAAGTGATACGTTGAAAGTTAAACTTACTCTGGAGAACTGCTTTCTGGCCGTTCCTCGACTCACAGGCGCATTGCAAAGTGCTTCCGTTCTTGAAATCTAGCACAATACTGTTTGGCAATTCTTGTCTATCTTGGTCTGGTAGAGATGGCGTCCGAAATTCAGAGAGATGATACCGTTTGATAATATTTCTTGTGGTCCCATCGATGGTTCCCGGGGTCAAGATAAGGTATCCGTGGTCATCGATACGCATAAATCGGCGTTTCCAAAGCAGCGTATCTGGGAATTGCACGTTTACCTCCCCAATATCAACGACTTGTGGAAGTTCTGGAGTCTGTTCCTCTTCTTCTTTTGGTGGCGGGTTTGGTGGGTCTTCTTCCTTCACTGTTGGGCTGAGAGCGTTGATTATACCCCGCCGGGAATGTGATGTTATTGTCGACATACGCCGCATCAATCGCGACTTTCTAGACTCTTTCTTGTCCTCTAGTACTTCATCAACACTATCGAGGTGGGTGTGTGTATCAGTAGATAAGCGTGGAAGGGGGCCATCCAACTTAGAGCGTGACGAAACAGAGAGTTTGCTTGTAGTTGAATCAGAACGTCGTAGAGGAATTGCATCAGGAATGTGCTTGGAGCCAATGGACGAAATAGACCAGCGTTTTCTTTCTTGTTTTGGTGGTGGGGATATTGGCCTTGTTGAATGTGTTTCGCCGTCGCCGTCATGTTCAACTATCAACTGGCTGCGCTGAAGATTCAAAACACTGGGCTCAGAGGGATCGACAGAAGGGTCTGGAGGAGGAGCAGAAGGGTCACGAACGATCCGGGCGGTCACAGAAACTGAGTTTGGCTTTCCCTTCGTTGAGCCAGTGGGAGAGAGTGAATCGTTGCGTTTAGGTATTTGGTTACTACCTTCTTGTGCTGCTTGGGATTTATTCCCCTTAGGGGTACTAGGAGAAAGCACATTAGCCGGGCTCATCGTGGCTCGTTTGCGGAATTTCTCGAATGGAGAGGTTGAAGTGGATGACGATGGAACTACGGGTGCATGGCTCGGGCCGGACTCGCGGCTAGAAAACATCTCCAAGGCTTTAATGCGTTTAGAGATGCCCGAGGAAACATTGACTTTCTTTGCCACGAGTACCGGAATCGCATCCTGATTATTGAAGTACGACCCTGATGCAGATCTTCCGATAGGGAGCGCCTGTATGTCTATGCCACCGGCACTTGGATTTGATACAATCCGAGAACCTCTCCACCTCTCCGAAGAAGAAAGATCTCCACTCGTGGAAAACGGGGTAAGAGGAGTCTTAGGCACAGCGACTGGTTTGGCTTCCTGAACAGTTGCTGATTTCAGTTCTTCCATGAACGAATCATCCGAGAGCAAGTTTTCTTCATCCAAGTCCTCATTGCGCCCCGGAATATGGATAGGCTCAAGCATAGCACGACGTTTCTGTTTGCGATCATTGTGCTTTTCATTATCTCCTTGAGATTCTGGATCTTGCTCTGTGTTTTTGTCTTCAGCGATAGGCAATGAAACGTCTGACTGATATTGAGAGACCTCGGTATCAGGCTGAGATATCTCTTCACTTGCATTCGTAGACCCCGGTCGTTCGATAGAAGAACGCTCTGATTCAGGATCCGTTGTCTGAGAGAATTCAACCGGAATTGCGCGTGGGGTAGGGGTGTCTGGACATTGAAGATCAGATGGTATCTCAATCTCACATGGGTCGATGTCCGCCGGCTCCCTAGCATCCAGAGACTTATTTAATTGCGCGAGTGTATCATCCGTCGAAGCTGTCGTCTCTCCAGCAGGGCTAGGGCTAGACGGGGGATGATCATGTTGATCGGCCTTAGATAGTTCAGTAACACCGGTATCAGGAGTGTGGGGCGTGCCTGATGAAAGAGCCAGAGATGAAGATGCTTCAGCATGATCAAGGACCACGGACGGCTTCGAAACATCCTTTTGAGGGGTCTGTTCAGCGACAGAGAGATCAACGGCTGAGTCAAGTTTGGATGGGTCACCCACTGGAACTTTCGCTTCGGCTTCAACAGCCGCAGGCAGTTCGGGAATGCTCTGCGATGAGTCCGCTGGTTCTTCTGGTTTTGTCTCTTGTACTTCTTCAACTTTGATTTCACAAGCTTCAGGCTTGACACAGGGCCTCGTTAAAACATCTTGGGACGTATCATTCTTCAATTCTCTCGGTTCCGCCTCTTCTTGTTGATTGCGTCTCTTGGCTTCCTGGGATTGTTTTTCTATCTGTCTTTTCCGTAATTCTAGAGCCTTCATTAGCCTTTGCTTCTCCGGAGTCACTCCGATCGAAGAAGCAACGCTTCTGGCGGATTTAGGGGAAGCAGGTGGGTTTCTCGAAAATGAACCTAGGACGGGGGGAGGAGGCAAAAGTGTGGGGATTGGAGGGGCATCCGCAAGAGTTGGAGGAATAAGATCCGGTTGAGACTTGGGTCGAGGAGCATAGCTTCTTCTGCTGGTTGACCGAACACCAGCAGGGAGTGCGGCTACCGGACGACTTTCACGCGACCTACCCATAGATCCGGCGGTGCGAGGTCGGCCATTCACATCCACTGACGGGCGAGGTCCTAGTTTTATCTTTGGTGGACGTAGGCTCGCTTGGTCTAGATCTCTAGTTGAGGGTCTTGAAGACTGAGTTGATTTTCGCGGCTCATTCGCGCACTGGGAGAGTTGATCCACTAGGTTTTTGTGAGCTACCCCGTTTGTTCGACTCCGTGTGTAGTCGTGTGGGATAGAAGGCAATGGTTTCTCAGACCTATGGTCTGAGTAGCCTCTTGACCGTATTGACGCAGTTTCAGCCACTGAAGGAGCCTGTGATTCTCCCGCCTTATAGCGCCCTGGTACAGCTGTGGCCTCGGAAGTTCGACTACAAATACTTCCTCTCCGGTCATCAGCAGCCAAGCTACTCTCGGCGATCGATCTATCCGCAATCGAGGCACTCTCTTCCACTTCAGCGTCTTCTGTGATCTCTCCTAACTGACAACGTCTTAAGGAACTGGAGGATGAGGTCATGGAGCGAGATGCGGTATGGAGCAAACAGGCGGACGATAACGCATTTTCGGTAAGTTCGGAGGAAACCGTCAGAGAAAAGACTGTGTCATGCGGTGAAAATTTATCCAATACCGATTGGAACTGGACGGAGATCCGCGCTAGGAGTAGAAACGTCAGCGTCTAGCTCCAAGAGAAAAGGGGCCTGACCTCCAGGGGAAATTGATAAAGACAAGAGGTCAACGCCATTGTGTAAACAGGAGTACCTTGCAAGATCCTCGAAACCCCCTCCGGAACATATCTCAGTATGACTTTCCTCCGGCGATATTGTAAGAATCCATAGAGCGGAGATTTCTCTTCGTAGCTATCGATTGTAATGCGGATCTCAGCGACGCCGCCCGTACCTCTGGCCAGAAGCGCGACCACGTCTCTGGAGACATATTTGATAAGGAACCTGCATAAAAGGTTGACCAATCTGTTAGTAAATGCGATGGATAAATGATTTGCAATGTTTTGATTTTCGCTTTTATCGGGACGAAGAGAGGATAATGGGCAAACGATAAATAGGCTTTTCCATGAACCAAAAAGACACAGCAAGAACTCACCACCCTCCGGCCTCGGTCAAGGCAGTCTGGTAGGACTCGATGATGGCTGGATCATCTAAGCCATTAAGAGACATATCTAGCTATTTTCCAACATTGGAATTGGGCCAAAGCGAACAGGGGACTCTCCCTCCTGATTCAAGCGACCGGCGGCTGTAATCAGAAAGGAATGACTGGGACAAAAAGGAACAAAGAACAAAGGGAAACAAAAAAAAGGGAGATCAAACGAAGGAGAGAATGGAGAATTGCTAAGAATGATTACTTCATGGAAATGATCAATTGGCTTGGGCAGCACTCAGGGAGGTTTTCTGGAAGTGAGATGGAGAACACGACGAGATGCAACGGGGGAAGATCGCTCGCCAGTGTGGAGCAGCGCTACAGACTAACTCGTTCGATCGCTCCAGGGTGTTTGGGCGAGAAATAAATAGGAGGCGCGAACTCCCGCCCGTCATCTCTCCGCTGCCAGTTAATTCGCCGGCTCGCTAATTTAACTACTCTTCGTTAACACAAGAGTTCGATTCCGCAAAATTAGCTCGAGAGCAACGAGTACTCCATAGCTATGTAACATGGCTGCGATGGTTTCGGACTTCGTCCACTTAAGGCGCTGAGCTGGGGAACTCTGCATCCTTGTACGGAATATCCTCCTTTCAACGCACTGATGAATATATCTACAATCACATTGTGCGAGCGCAGGCTGGTTTATTTGGACAGAAGCTTAACCGAATAGCCTCGGGCCAGCCTACGCACCTAGCGTGTGCGATTATTCTAGCGATTGTTTAAGTAACTTACCGGCGTATCAGATATAACTCTCAAGCTACCCCTCCACAGGAACACTTGCAGGGGAACGAGCTAAGGTTTCAAATTCATGCGGAGAACCAACTGTGATGGAAAAAAGCCTGAAAGAGTTCGCTTCATTCACTGCAATCCTCGTACTGAGTATAGCCATATGTGATAACCACTGGGAGCCCTTGAACTTTGGCTGCTTCAGGATAACTATTATCATCGAAATACAATGGGGCGGAAAAGACCTTTAAACATTTAATGTAGACAGCAGAGCAATCTTGCCAGATGTCAAATGCAGAACAATTCTTTCCTCTCAACCTCCCAAGAACCACCAGAATCTTAAAGGAACCCAGCTTCAGTACTCCGTACAGAGTAGGAGACCCATAAATGCCATTCGTAGCGACACTACAAATCGTCCACATATATCCAAATGGACTCCCACGGCGAGCCACAATTTGCATTCTCTGGCATTAATTCCACCGGCGCAACATTCGAAGGTCTTGAGGTCGCTAAACCTGCCTTAGTATTACTATCGAATAAATGCAGAGAAAAGTCAAATTCCGGGTATTAGGATATCGACAGATAAACCGAATCTTCAAAGGTCGCAGTCAACCCTACAACGCAGAATTAAACGTACTCGACCTGTAGGGGGGGGGGGGGGGGGGGGGGGGGAAGGAAAGTTATCAGCCATTTTAATGGGGAAGATAATTTCATAAATAGCTCACGGGGGTTTGTGATCGCAAAAGTCCGTTGGACACATTTCGCTCTCAAGTTCATATAAAACATAGAAAGGTGATTGGCCCTTTAAGTAACCATTTGAGGGTTGAACCATGGAAAATACTCCGTACAAATTGGACATTTAAGGCAAATGTCGCTCTAAAAGACGGGGATCCCTTTGCCAGTTGGGATCTTTTTTATAGCTGCCCGCATGGTCGATGGACGGACAGGGTACATGGTCTCGGAAGATATCCCAGCCAAAACGCGGTACACATTACCGATGACATGATCCTTCAGAGGAGTTTGAGGAAGAATGAGCAGCAGATAACAGATCTAAGCGCGATGGTTCGAGTCGATCGCGCCCATCAATCGCGGCTCTGTGGCAAATGCGTATAGGGCGTGCAGCGGAAATATGGAACCGGCTCTGGCGAGCACCCTCCGAGGTACAGGCGGCTATATATAGATACGGAGAGAGTACGGTGTACATTCATGTGTTCAGAGTTACGGCTCGTGCAGACTTCAGAGCGCACCGTGCCACGCTCCCCCGCGGAAGTTTGGGAAGCAACTCTAAGCGGGACAAGGCAAATGGCCTGCAAAGTTAAGAAGCAGAAAGGCTTGGAAGCCCAGAATACCGCTCCGTATTCGATATCCAGTAGCCACTGAGATAACCCAGAAAATCGGAAACGACCCATGTGAGGAGGGAGAAAGTGTAAATCAGCTCTCCTCGCATCGAAAACACGCTGTCTGTGGTCCGGAGTGACTGTCGATGGGTGACTGGAGCTGTTCGCGAGTCCCAGCGCCCTCAAGGGCAAAAATGGTGCATGCGGGCTGGGAGCGGGCGGCCCAATCACACATTAATTACGCCCTGGGAAAGCCGGGGATGGGCTTGGAAAAGAGGCGGCTGGGATTGGGCGACACCGTGGGTGTGCCGGCGGACTCATGGCGAGGAGGTGAGGGAGAGGACTGCTTGGATTTAGTTTCAACTAAGGTTTCTTTCAAGAGAAGCTCGTGACATCGCGACTTGCTCCACAGTCAGTCCATGACGAGTAAAATAAAAGCACCATCACCGCCGACATCATCTTTGGAACGTATCATCACCTTTTCTTGACTCTCCTTTCGCTCCCCTGCCCACCGCAGCATGCAATATCCCGGCTGCGACTCCTCACTTTTGCGGTGCTTGAGAACTCTGCTCTGAACTGCTTTCATATTCATCGCCTGCATGCCTCTCTGATCGCCCCGTTCTCCCACTCAATCTACTTGCTACGAGGAGATCTATTGCTGGAGATCTCGAAAAGAAGCAATTATCCTCGTCGCCAATCCCTGCAGGCAATCACAGGACTCTCGAACAAAACTCGAAACACACACCCGGGGAGTTTGCCAACCTTCTGGTAGGCGCCTCGTAAGGCTGGCCACTTTTTGACATTTCTCAGCGGAGCTAGAACACATCTATTGCTCTCCTCCTAGCCTGCGACCCTCTGTTCCGGTCAATTCCTAAGCATTTAAGGTATTTGGCATAGCACTTTGCTCGAAACCGGGCAGAGACAATCCCGCCGTTGGCCCGTTTAAGTTTCTTTCTTCCCTGGCACCTTGATATGTCAAGAATCCCGCGCTAACATCAAATCAACCTTCCCCCGACAGGGTGAATTCTACTTTACGTCGATGACTACTACAACGGCTTCTTCCGCAAGCTTTGCTCCTGAGTCTCCGCCGTCAGGTTTGTCCTTTGCGAGTCGACTCCGGCGCCTGAGCCAACTTCGAACCCATCATACCCACAACCCCAACTCCCCTCACTCTCCAACTCAATCATCACGTTCCAACCGGTACAGCCTGACACGTGCCGTCGGATTGGCCCTTTCGCCTCACTCTCCAGTCTTTGATACCGCCGCTGACCATCTCACCCACGATCTTCAACCGACCGTTTCTACACGGTCGGCTCCTGAACCACGAGACTCCCATGCTAGCGGCAACACTAACGACGTTGGTATGAATCATCGCGAAGCGAGTGGATCCTCCAGCTCCTCAGAAGACCGCTCCGACGTGTCTTCCCACTCTTCCCGATCGACCCCGGCAAACGAGGCAGACATTAGACCATCGGATCCTATGCGGCTGCGGGTGGCGTCAACCGACGCTTTCATGGCCCAACAATTTTCCTCACCTCCAACTACATCGGGCCCTGCCGACGAGTCACATACTTCCCCACCGGCTACTTCAGAGTCCTACCCCAACGGTTCAACTCAGCAAGACTCCACTCATATGACAGTTGACGCCACTCCCAGTAGCATAGGACCTGCCAAAGCTCGTTCACGACCCACTATCCGATTGATCCCTCACCATGCCCAGTACTCGAGACCATCCTTGCCGTTTACTCCAATATCTCGCACAATGCCCGACGACGATTGCATTATCAAAGTGGGCAGGTACTCGGAACGTGACGGCGTACCAGTTGCAAACCCATCTAAACCGTCAGCCGCGCCAGTTGGGTTTAAGTCCAAAGTTGTTAGCCGGAAGCACTGTGAATTTTCATTCGTGAATGGACAGTGGCACATCAAAGATGTTGGTAGCTCTTCTGGGACATTCCTTAACCACATGCGCCTGAGCCAGCCAAACACTCCGTCAAGATTATATGCTGTACGAGATGGTGATGTTATACAACTAGGTATTGATTTCAGAGGCGGAGAAGAGATGATTTTCAGATGCGTCCGGATCCGCATCGAGTGCAATCGGACATGGCAGCGTGGGCCAAATGAGTTCAAGTAAGTTGTAAACCTCAAATAAATGATAATCATTTTGGCTGATTGCAGATGCCAGTAAAAACACAGAAAGTCTTATTAACAGCCTTGGGAAAGGTGCTGATGCAGACTACAAAGGCTGCAGGGAGTGTTCTATTTGTCTCAATTCAGTTCTGGTTCGTGCTCCCACTTCTATCTAATCTTAATCTGGAATCATCTTTACATGAGGGCTAACCTATCAGCAGAGACCTTATCAATGTCTTTTCATGGCGGCTTGCGCACATGTGTGGCACTACAAATGCATCCGCAGATTGATCCATACTCCTGAATATCCCATGTTCCAGTGCCCCAACTGTCGAGCTTATACGGATTTGAGTGCTGATGTAGACGATACGAATGACATGGGTGATGAAGACGAGGATGGCCCTATCCATTCACAGGACCACCCAGCTATAGAGGCACCCTGCGCTTCTCTAAACGCTGTTGCAGACCAAGCTTCTGGGATAGGTGACTGTCAACCGGACGGCCAAATCCCACTCAACAGCCACCGCTCTAGCGAACTTGAAGGAGTGCACACCGCTCAAGACGTGTTCCATGACGCCCCAGACGTGCCTTCCGAAGAGGCAAACCCGGAGTCGGACGATTCTCTTACGAGAAACGTGCAGAGCGAGTCGATAGACGAAATTGCACGCACTCCGAACATTGATATTCCTCGCAGAAATTTCTCGCGCACTGTAGATCAGGCCACACAAAACCGACTCGCAGCCTCAACTGGCGCTTCGCCTATCGTTCGCGATAATTTCGAAGATTGCCCTTTGACCCCTAGAAACGATCTAGGCCCGCTGGCATTAGATGGCCGCGCGGGCCGATTGTAACGCTCATCTCCAAAGGTTATCAGTACCCTACCATACTGTTCTTTTGGACGTCTTTTCGACGCTCGTCCGTACGATACATTCGCCTATCTACACATTCTTGGTAATTGGGACTGCGGCGCATCGTGACTTTTTCATTTTAAATTTCTTTCTTTTCTCTTTTACACTTGCCCGTGGTAGCGTTTTAAGTGGTTTTGCAGCTTCCCACCGGGAGGCGTTCACGGAGTGCTGGAGTTCCAATCATGCATTGGAAGGCTCTTTACGGCATCCATCGAGAGAGCATATGGTTTTTTGAAGGAACCGATACAACTCTGAGGAGTTGATGACTGTAGTTTATACCTAATTCTTGCCTTGTTGAAGTCGGTACTCTATACTCCGTAACCATAGTTTATCTATTTGGTCATTGGATAACACTAACAACGGTGTGAGCTGTCACTGATCGGTTGTGAAATGGTGAGGGGGGGAGAGCTCGGTAGCCTCAGGGATGAAATCTTGCTTTTCCACTCCACTTCTCCACTCCCTGGCGGCGCCGGTTTCAGTCTCAGCCTTTAAAACGGCGTCCAGCCAGACAGTGGTGATGCCGTTAACTGTCTTTCGAGAAAAGAAGGGGCTGTGGGGGGAATATTAGGACCTTTTTTCTTCTCTCTCCTTTTCTGAAACAAACCCGGCAGAGTTCATTTCATTGCTATTACAATAGGCCAGGCCATCGCGTGATCATAAATCTCGAAATCTGTCTGTGTCTCCTAGTTCCCCCAGTGCGGTGTGTGTGTACGACGATGCGTCTCGTGGAGCAGTCGAACTTCAGTAACGGAAGTTCTACCACAAACACCCAGCATCATCAGCGACGTGCGACTCATCCGTTCATGAAGTCGCATAGGTCCAAGCCTCGAAGGTCAGTCATAGAAACGACGACTCTGTGAATGTTCGAAATTGGCCTGCATTTCCGTTCTCATTCGCTAACCCTTGCTTCTGTGTAACGTTAGATGGCCGCTCGTCCTACGCTTCATCAAGGGTGCCGTCCATAGTGCCGTTCTCGTCCCACTGATCTGTCACGCGTTGTTTACCGTGCTGGTTGTCTGCTTGGATAAATACGTCTATGATAGCCTTGGTTTACCACCAACAATCGTGAGATCAATAAATGACCTTCCTTTTCTCTCCAATTCCTCATCTTCGACAAACCAACACCCAATCTTAACGCAAAAACCACTTGTTTTGTTGCCCTTATAGATACCTTCCCTCTCCATCGTCGTCGGTCTCATCCTCGTCTTCCGTAACCAAACGTCCTACAATCGCTTTTGGGATGGCCGCAATGCCCTCACCACCATCCACACCGCCATCCGTAACCTGGCGAGAAGCATCCTGCTTAATTCATGCAATCGCAATCGCCCCCTCACCGTAGCAGAAAGACAAGATATCGAGCGTACAATTCGGGTCATGATCGCGTTTCCCTATGCCGTGAAGAACTACCTACGCGCCGAATGGAGCGTGGGATGGTCAGTACAGCCGATCATCGAGAACGGTGCTGGGGTCGGCGGCGGCTCGTCGAAAGAGGAATACGTAGATTTGCTGCCCACCGGATTTGCGTGCCTCGAGGATAATGGGTTGTCGATCCCGTTACAACTGAGCTTTTTCGTCGAGGGCTTTATCAAGCGTGGTCTCGAAAGAGGCTGGTTTGATCCTCCAGGAGCGAGTCAAATGGGAAATCAAGTCTCCACGATGGTCGACGCGTATGGGAAGATGGAAACTATTAAATTGACGCCTATCCCTATTGCTCATCTGTACGCCTTTCCGCAAAATGGCTTTCTTTCCTTTCCTTTTTTTTTTCTCTCCTTCTCTTTGGGGGGGGAAGGAGGGGTTTGATGGCGCGTTTGAGTGCTCTGCTAACATCTTCCACAGCATTCACCAAAAGCAGGTCCTCGCCCTGTTCGGCTGTGTTCTTCCCTTTGCAATGGTTGACGACATGGGATGGTGGGCCGTTCCCATTGTCAGCCTTGTCATCTTCACCCTTTACGGGATCGAAGGTATCGGTTCCCAGCTCGAAGACCCCTTTGGGTACGATAGGAATGACATCAAAATGGATGCCATTGTGGAGGATCAGCGAACCGAGATCGAAGCCATCTTGAATGAGTGGAAGCGGGTTACCGAAGTCTCGGATGAAGCGGTTGACATGAATGGTGGGAACAATGAGGTCAGGAATGGTGGAGGGTTTAGGAGGAGAGAATTGTTTATCAATAATGCACAGTAACTTGGAAGGTGAGCTACGTCATGCTCATTCACAGCCAATTTGGGTTTGTAGAAGCTTGGTCCATCCAGTGGTTTGTGAAAGCTTGTTTTGGATGCTATGTACTCTTTTTTCCTGGATACGCTTAAGCAAGGTTGTCTCTTTGGATGCCCATTGATTGTTCTTTATTATGCCTTGTTCTCATCAACATCCTGATAAGGAGCCTGGATTGCCTGGTTGATTTTAAGATTATTTTGCAAACATGTTACGCAGAATTAACCTCCGAGAGCTTGGTTATAGATATTAGTTACATAGTTGCTCAATTTGATCATGATCAACGCTATCAAGAGAGTTTCGTACTTGCAAATGGAACACAATTAAGTTAATTATCACAGGAAATACTCCGTACTATTTCGTACAACACTCCAAGTAACTATGTACAGAGTTCTGTGTACATGCATAGCACAGCCACACTCTTCTACATTACTGCGAATAAGGCATGCAGAGAAATTGATACCCAACAGAAGACAATCCAAGTTAGCAGCCCCAACAAGCCCCTTAATTTGTATCACGATACGGAGTACTTGGGCACTTCCTTGATCCCTATTACCACCTACAGCAAAAGATTCGAATACTCAACCTCATTATCCACTCATAGCTTTAGCAACCCCGTGCACCCTTTTGCTACTCCTATGGCGACATCCATGCAGTCAGACTATATAATTTTGTGTTAGCAATTCTGGTATGAAGACGCATGGGCTTGCTTGTCCTTCCTAAGTCATTCTTGAAGGATACGGTATGATGTTAATAGGGCGTGCTTCAAAGAGTTATGGAATATCTAATCCCCTGTCTTTATCACTTAATCTATATAAGATTGCTAGACCGCCAAACAGGAAAGGCAAAAAAGGGTAGGTAACAGGCCACTAGGCCTGTGATCAAATTTGCGTCACTTTAGAGCTCCATCTCTGCATCATTTCCTTCGCCATTGGGAGATAGTGACCTCCCTTGGCCCGTATTCTCGGGACCAAACATCCTTCCTTCTTTCCTTTTCAACCCGGGGCTCCCGGCGGTGGGGGCAAGTCCATCTCCATGTTCTCCAGGTTGATGAAAACGACGGGAAAGTGAGGTGTCCTGTGCCTTTATCCTCTGCGACCTTCGAAGGGTTGCCGCTGGTTGGTTGTCAGTCGCTCTTCTCTGACCTTTGAACCGGACCCGGCCCGCCATCCCTGAAATATTCACGATTATGTCTCGTGTATCTGATGGCCCCTTTCCGAACATTGGATTTTGCTTCCGCTTGAAGACCTGGAGTTGTTTACGTCTCTCCATTTCTCTCCTCTCCCAACCCGGATCTGCATCTTTCATTTTCTGAAGTTGCTCGCCAAGGCGGTTTGGGACCACATTGTTGTGCCCTTCTGCTCGCGTAAAAGGGTTCAGAACCTGCGAGTGGTCCGTCGAAATCGATGACACAAGTTCCGATATCGCAGGTGATGACTCCTTGAGACTATTCCGGCCTAGGGACGAAGCTATATCTTCGGGTCTTACAGTCACCATTTGATTGTCGCCTCCCGGCTCTCGGATCGAAGGCTCTTCCTTTGTCTTACCTGGAAACGATGGTCGGCTCCAATACCCCCGTCGAGATGCTCGGAGTTCCATCAAGTTCTGACCCGATGAATATGACTCAACATCTTCTTCTTTACTAGTGGAGTCTGACTTGCCACCGCAATTCCGTGGAGATATGGGTTCCTGGGCCTTTCCTGATATCTGTGGAGGTGTGGTTTCTGATCTTTCGTTTAGCCTAGCATTTATTAAAGTGCGAAGCCTGCTAGTGCGAACCAAGCCGATCAATTCATATTTGGCCTTCAACATCGCATTAGTGATCCAGGTCTCCGTCAAACCGTACTGCTTCCCTTCCCATGTCCGCGGGCCATGTTCCGACCAAAAGGCGTGTGCATGGACAATGTTTCTGTGGTTTCGCACATATATTGTGCCAAGTTGGACCGTCCACAAATGCTCAAGAAGAAGATATCGCCGAAGCCCGTAGCGGAATCTTGTCACTAAGTCTGGAGTAAGGCCTTCGGGAATCTTCTCCGGGAGCGGAATGTACGGCAGCTAATATGGAGATAAACGTCAGTATTACCTTGGCGCCGTTAATTGACTCCTTGGGTTATTGTGTGGGGCAATTACCTCAAATATGGGCCTTCCGTTGTTATCATACCGCGCTCGTGCCATCTGATATTGATAGAAGCCACAAATCTGGAATCGTGAAAGTATTCTCTATCAATCAACGTCACAGAACTTGAATTGTCGGCGTTCCAAATGTGGCAAGGAGATTTGAAGCTGTTAATCTCGAAGCAAGGAGAATACCAATACTTGAAATATCCCTATCTTGATAGTCTGTAAGGGGAGAAAAATTGTTAGAGCGGTAGCATTTGGAGAACGAAATCAACAAATGTAGAAGTGCACAAGCACCAGGATCCTGCTTCATTTTCCAGGTGGAAAAAGGAAAGTGGAGGCTTTGGAAACCACCAAGGAATGTGCAGCTGGAATTCACCCTTCCATCTCCCGGTGATATCAAGAGAAACTCTCAGTGTAAGGCACCAGAGCTGTCAAATTGAATGGGGCCTTGTTCAACTGAGTAAGGCAGGGCACACTGCTAAGTGGTTTCCACTGGGTAAGAACACAACCTACCTATGGCACTGTAATTGTTCTGCTCATCTCAGGATGTACATTCAGGACCTTACCACAATGTGTACTCATGTCGTCGACATTTCTTCTTCGACCCTGGTCCTGTGGTCAGGAGCCCAAACATTTGACCTGGACCTGGAAGGTACCAGGCAAAATGAAGACCCATAAGGGTAATACTGTGCTCGCTCATCCATGTTCAAGGCTAACAATACCTCCACTGTAGAGCTACAGTAATGCCAGTATTGCCAGAACAGCACATCAATCAATCAACCTTGACAACATTGGGAAATCATTCCAGTTACAGAGGTGCCTCGACCTCTGTTAGGACTTCCTCAATAATACTCTCCGGGGTCAGATCTGCTAAAACAGATCTGGCCGCGGCCAAGCTGCTCCCATAGAGCAGACTGCGATCGTCTTTTGGACGAGCAACGACGATGCGATGCCTGTATGCCTTTTTGGCAGCAATGGCGACCAGTGAAGGGACTAAGCAATCTAGCCGTTGCAACGGAGCGAGGAATCTACAAAGTGTGTAAGAGACGGAAAAGATCTCTGAGCTTTGCTAACTTACCTAGCTAATGTCTGAAAGTGACAAGTTGATGCGGCTGATATACCACCGGAAACTCCACGGTGAAGCCTTAAAAACACAATAAAGTTGTGAAGATAGCAAGTCATGTCGGCGGAAATAGTTACGCTATCGCCTAGTCGTCGGAGGATCGTAATTTCCTATAATAACCGGTGAGCAAAGTCCATGGTGGTTGCAAAAAAAGGCCTTGGGTGATATCATACTTCTTCCAGAATTGGACGGGGTCGATGGATAGCCGGTGATAAATGAGAAGACGGCCGAACTACTGACAAGGATGAAGCCGCTCCATCGGATATCCAACCGGAATCATCTTCAAGATTTGCAAACCCATCCATTGCGTCATGAAAATGAGAAAGGAAAATGTGGTCATTCTATCAGTTAATTAGTGACTGTTTCCTTCATTCATTAGGCAGTGCTAATATACCAGGTGTTTGTTTAGTAACGATGATAAAGGTTTACCATTGGCGGCAAGCAATGGGATGAAAAGAAACGTTTTTGGTGTGTTATGTACCGCAGTTCTGGTAAAGATGCGCTTCAGCCGAATAAGCTAAATTCACCACCTATTAGCGATGGTGCTAAGAAGAATTTACTGCGGATACCAACCCACCTCCAAGGCTTGGACCTGAACTTCGTCGGGCGTCTGGTCAAACCTCTTCGCAATGATGACATTGACGACTTTCCTATCGTCCAAGTAGCTCTGTCTCAGCCGCGACTTATGTTTGTCTCTAGAAGTTACATCGCTGTAAAAAGAAACGGTTTCGAAATACTAAAGAACCGTCAGCGCATTGAAAAGTCGGAGGGTGCCATCAACATCGTAAAGAAAGCCGCTTCATTGGAGCAGCGAAAGTAGGCTTTCGGCAAATATAGACTTACTCCATCCACATCAGCGCTTGACTGTGAGCATCGAGATCTTCGACTCTCATTTCTATCTCTCTCCGGTGTCAAAATTGCATTGCTGAACTCCTCAAGGGAGGTATGAGGAGAGCCATCAAAAACAACATTTGATAACCCAAACGTATTCTCGACAATCTGAAGGCGACTTAGCTAAGCCCATAGCACAAAGAGTCATACAGAAAACAGAATATCACCCATACCAGGCTCAACTCTCTACCTAGATCATCGATAGCCTCAGGGTCTGTATCGATGATGCCATGTTCCTGGGAGACGAGACAGAGTAGGAGAGCAATTTCAAGGTCAGATAAATCCTCAAGTTTATCATATAACTCAGTATTGTCCGCCATAATAACCACTCTGCCCTTTTTCATAATCCATGCCGAAATAACGGAAGTGCTGCTTGGTATTATCGTCGTCCGTGGCGGTCGTCTTGATGGGCCGCCGAGAGTATGTAACAGCCCTCTGTAATATTTCCAGTATTTAAGTATAACCACTAGTAACGAACCAACCATCCTGATCGACCAGTTTAAGCCATCGAAGCAGGCCACCAGGAGGAGAGACTGCCAATACACGGCTACTTTTCCCTCCTCGAACCTTCTCTCTGCATATGTGAACAGTAGCTTATCACTCAACCGTTTAATGCGATGAGGCCTGCGACTTCGATTCTCATGTGCTCCAATGGCTTCTACAAATCCCCGTGCTGATTGGGAGAAAGTTGGTGATCAGCTCTACCGCAAAATCCGAATCTACGATGCGGTTTTTGATGAAGACCTAGAGTTAGAAAACTATATTGCCGTTGGCGCCCCGTACGGCGGTGCAATAGGTGAACTTGCTCCCATCGCATGTCGCTTGAGTTGAACTAATTATCCATCTATTAGCTTTGTATCGTGATGAAAGTAAGCTGCAAAGATATCGAGATCCGCAGCCCGCAAAATCAAGTATAGATATATTTTCGTATTCTGGACAACGGATAAACCGTATCAATGTTAGTTTGCGGTCCTCCCTCTAATGCGAATTCAAATTCTAATCTTACTTAGTGGGATCATGGGTCTATTCGGGGCCTTGGGTGGTCGGAAGACGAAAAGCTACTGGTGGTGGCCGAAGATGGTACCGTGCGGTGCTACTATGGTCTGAACGGAGATTTCTCGCCGTTTTCTCTAGGAGCTGTATGAACTGGTGCCTTTTCTTTCTTTCTTTCTTCCCTTTTTTTTTTTTTTTTTTTTTTTTTTTTTTTGTTTTGTTTTGGGTGTGTTATTATGTTCATTTGTTAACTCGGCTCTAGGCTGCGGAAGAGCACCGTGTAAAGGACTGTCGATTCTGGTCGACTGGGTTTGTTGCTCTTCTCTATAATAATCAGTTGGTATCAGTGACCAGCTACAATGAGCCCCGGCCAAAGCTGCTCGCCCTTCCGCCAGAAGGGGAAATCCATTCATGGTCAATTACCCCACCTAGTTATACGCTTTCTCGTTCCGTGGAAGTGCTCCTTTCAATTAGTCAGACCATCTACGTGGTAGATGTTACTGATGCAGAAGATCGTGTGTTGCAAAATGGCCCTTTTAAGCATATTAGCGTCTCTTCGAACGGCCGTTTTGTCGCCTTGTTCACAGGTGATGGGAAGCTCTGGGTCGTCAGCAGCGACTTTCAGAACAAATTCAGTGAATACGATTCCGGCGCCAAAACTCCACCTAAAGGCGTAACATGGTGTGGCAATGATTCTGTAGTTCTATCTTGGGAGGATGAAGTTCATAATGTTGGTCCCAACGGGGCCTCTGCTAAGTACTATATAACGCACCTCAACTCCGAATACGATCGAGACTGACATGCTGCTGAAGGTATTTTTATGATGGCCACATTCACGTTATCCCGGACTTTGATGGAGTGAGACTGTTCACTAACGAGGCTTGCGAGTTTTTGCAGAAGGTTCCTGGTAATGCTTCGTTTTCCTTCGAATATCTTCAAGTAATATCTAACATTAGAGCAGATATGACAGCAGAAGTATTCAGACTTGGTTCAAATTCTCCAGCTGCAGTATTACTAGATTCAGTTGAGCAACTTGAAAAGAGGTCCCCAACCGCGAATGAAAACGCCCAGCGTATTCGGCCAAACCTTGTCGAGGCGGTCGACACATGTGTCAAGGCAGCGGGACAGGAGTTTAATCCTTTTTGGCAGAAGCAGCTTCTCAAGGCTGCATCGTTCGGCAAATCGATTCTTGAGCTATATAACAGCGACGAATTTGTAGATATGTGTGAGAAATTACGCGTGCTGAATGCGGTTCGCGATTACCGGATCGGCCTCCCCATTTCTTATGAGCAATATCTCCGACTTACTCCCGAGAGGTTAATTGAACGTTTAATTAACCGGCATGAATACCTCCTTGCCATTCGTTTATCCGAGTATCTTCGATTGCCTGCTGATAAAATCTATGTCCACTGGGCGAGCCAGAAAGTGAAGACTTCGAGTGAAGATGACGAAGCAATTTGCCATTTGATAGTTCAAAGGCTGCACGGAAAGCAAGGAATATCTTTCGAATCTATCGCTCGAGCAGCCTACGATGAAGGTCGTGCACATCTAGCTACGCAGCTCCTGAATTTTGAGCCCCGTGCAGGGAAGCAGGTTCCATTACTCTTGAGCATGGAGGAAGATACGCTTGCACTGGATAAAGCGATAGAGAGTGGAGATACAGATCTAATCTTCTTCGTTTTGCTCCAACTGAAACGAAAGCTTCCGTTGGCAACGTTCTTCAGGACAATAAACAATCGACCGGTGGCTTCAGCGCTGGTCGAAGCGTCCGCTTGGGATCAAGACGTCGAGCTACTAAAAGACTTGTTTTACCAAGATGACAGGTCTATTGATGGATCGAATCTGCTCTTCAGAGAGGCTCTAAAACAACCCAGTCTGCAAGGAAAAATAGATAAGATGCGTATCGCATCTCGCTTGCTCTCAGATTCTAAAGACGCAAACGTTCAATCGCATCTCAAGGCACTAACCGAAGCGTCTCAACTCCTGAAAATCCAAGAAGGCCTAGACAAAGATCTCTCTGACGGCGTCAATTTTGTTGGTCTAAGTGTGAACGAAACTATATACAGGCTGATTCGATCTGGTTACGGGAAACGCGCCAGCAAAGTTCAGAGTGAATTCAAAGTTCCCGAGAAAACTTATTGGTGGTTGAGACTGCGAGGTTTAGTCGCAAAGCGTGACTGGGGGGAGCTTGAAGAAATAGGCAAAGCCAAAAAATCCCCTATTGGATGGGAGGTATGTTCCTTAAACCTTGGAAATTCCAGCAGGGAGCCATTTAATCTTTTTGCGTGAATGGTAGCTTATATATGATAGCCTTTTTACAACGAGATTCTCGGGGCCGGAAACACGAAACTTGCTTCCACATTTATCCCCAAGTGCACCACACTAGGCGTTTCCGAAAGAATTGAGATGTGGATCAAGTGCGGAATGGTAGTTAAGGCCGGAGAAGAGGCCCTCAAGGCAAAAGATATCAGCAGCCTTGAGCGGTTAAGAACTCGCGCCTCCGGCAATACTGTGGCGGAAATAGACCGGATGATTATTCAACTGAGGCCCAAGAAATAAGATCCATTGTGAAAATAATTTTGAAGCCGCTGTCCGGGTTTAGGTGATCTCTCCGTCGAGTTCAAAATCAAACTGCTCCGTCTGCGCGGGTTGGGCGAGTTGCGGTGGATTAACGGATGACACGGCTGGTTTTCGTTGTTTCGGTTGTCTTTCGTTGTCGCTCGTATCCATGGCATCAGGGCCTTGATCTTGTAGAATCTTATATGCATTTGTGCCCCGTTTGTTGAGGTCATCCCACGTAGCCTGTGCCCTATGTCAATACCACTGAACACACACACGGAGTATTATTTTCCTCACCTTTCGTGCTTTTACAACCTTTCCTCTATTCATGCTCTTCGCAACCTTCTTTTCAGTTTTATCCATCACTATTTCTGCCCGTTCTAATCCCTTTTCTTGCCGGAGACGTTGCGCCCGCGTCTGGCGCTTTTGCTTCTTTTTCGATACACCAGCGACATGCTGTGCACCGAGGACGGAAGGTCGGGTCAAGACAGTTCGCTCCGCACGGGGAAGTGACGCTATAGACTTGTCGACATCGACACTTGGAGAGGCATCTCGTCGCGCAGCACGAGAGCGGACGGATTTCGCTAGAATGCCGTGGGCAATTAGAGGCAGATCTCAAAAAGAAAGTTTCCGCGATCACCTTACTTCTATTCGATTTTAATTTCGGAGTTTTCATCTTTCCCTTTCACCCTTGACTTCAAGATGACTTTTTTTTATTGACAATTATCGCGGATATTATTTTTTGATAAGATTTGGTCGGGTCGCAGTGTGGGGCCCTCAGCTTTCTTTGTTACATAAGCTTCGACACCACCCATGCCCTATAACTAGCGGATAGATGGGGGGGGTTTAGTGTGGGTGATCACCCAGGTTGCTGCCTGGTTACTGCCAAGCCGCCAAATAACCTGTTTGGACCAGGGAGGGTGAGAGGTAGATTATATAATCAGTACAGAGTGATCAAGATCACTAATCTTTTCAGCTCCATCTCAATCCATTCTGTATTGTACAGGAGCTTCTGCTTCTGATGAATCTACATTAATTGACATACTCTCTGCAACACTAGACAGCATGGCCACTCCAACTCTGAACAGCCAGTCTGCCCTGATGGTGGAGATGGAGGCACGCGTACGGCATGCACTTGATAGCGCCCTGGATGCCCGGCCAAAGAAGACCCGGATGCAGTATGAGTCGCGCCAGGAGGAGTGGAGGGTAGGTATCTGTATTATATGCATCCTCTTGTTGATTCTTGCTCTCTTCTGCCCTGTTCTCATGCCGTACGACGCATCTGCATTGGCCTGGCTGACACCCTCTGGCTTCTACTTGCTAGCATTTCTGCCGGACGAAGGGCTTCCAGGATGGAGAGCTGGTGACAGAGCAGAAGCTGCTCTGGTTCCTGTCTGAATGTGTGGTTGGCCGTCCAGCCAAAAGATCCTGCCATTCCCGCGACCGTACAAATGAGAATGGAGAGCCTGTTGTGCAAACCCTGGGCCAACCATCCATCAAGGCCTACAAGGCTGCAATTGTCAATCTCTGGAGCTACCAACGGAGCTGTCGTACAAACCCTCACCCCCATCCAGTTGGCCAGGCCGTCCGGGCCCTGCTTGAAACCCATTCAAGACAGGAGCATGAACGCAAGAAGGCAGAGTTTGTGGATCGCGGCGCAGGAACCCTGCTGGATGGATATCATGAGAAGGACATTGTACGGCTGGTTGAGTACTGCTGGCAGGGCTGGTCAGAGTCCAAAAAAGGCCAGTCAGTGGAGCCACATCTCCGCACTGCAGTGGACTTCCTAATGGGCCACAGCATGCTTCTCCGCGGTGAATCCCGCCGTACGGCACAGCTGGCTGATCTCTTCACCCTGGAGCTGACAAATGAAGGCCCAACCCCTTGCTTCCCCATGGTTTTGATCATGGGAAATGGCAAGACTAACCAGATGGGCCGGATTGAGTATGCCACAGTGATGCGCCATTGCAACCCCTTGCTCTGCACCATGGCACAGACAGCCTTTTACCTCTTCTACCGATGGGACATTGTACGAGAGCCACCACCCCAGTTCCACAACCGCCAGGACTGGTACCAGCTGCACCTGATCAAGGGGGATGATGTGAGGAAGCCCCTGTCGTATGAGACCCAGCTGGACTGGATTCGACGCATCTACAGTGGGACAGGGCTTTCTGGCCTGAAGAAGACCCATGCTGGGCGAGCTGCTGGAGCCAGGCATGCAGAGCAGGTTGGGGTCAGTGAGGGCCAGATCCGCCGTGCTGGAAGATGGAACAGTGATGCCCTCAGCCAGTGCTATCTGACTAACATCCCCAGGAAGTTTGTACGGGCCATGGCTGGCTTTGACTCCCGCACACCTGGGAACTTCTACCTGCCGCGGGCCAGGGTGCCTGTGCCTGAGTCACTGGAGCGCGCTGTCTGGCCCTGGGTTGATGACTGGATGCGGTGGTTTGAGTCGTATGATGCCCAGGACCCCAACTCCTGCCTCCAGGGGCCAGAGCTGAGAAGATTTTCAGATCAGAGTGGTCCTTGGGACCAGCCCAGGGGACCTTCTGCTGTGCGGCTGGATAGGGATGATCTGGCTGCTCAAGGGTTTCTACGCCTGCTCCATCATCTCCGTACGGTCCTCCTGCAGGACTCTGTCATCCTTCAGCCTCTCTTCCCCGGCCACCCCCTGTGGACCAGCCCTGTGTTCATGAGGGAGGACTATCGTCAGTTTGCAGAGGCAGTCCGGGTGGCCAACACCCACAAAGAGGAGCCGTACGAAATGCAGCTGCAGCAGACAGTGCCCATGGTGGCAGATCAGCTGCGCATTGTACAGCAGGATCTGGGTGTGGCCTGTGGTCATTTACATACTGCCCTGGAAACAGGACTGCAAAAAATTAACAACCAGTTAGAAGCACTGACCAGTGGGCAGGTTTCTTTTCTTGTACGAGCATTTCCTGCTGGTCAAAGAATGATGACAGCAGCTGCTGCCTTTGAAGATAAAGATGAAGAGAGAGACAGTGGTTCTACAGCATCCAGAGAAGCACAAGCCCCAGCCTGTTCATTAGGGGTAGCTCCAGCCTCTGCTAGTGCCTCTGTTCCAGCCACATACCAGCTTTCTCGTACAATCACTACAGTCCCAGATCTGTGGCAGGAATGGACAGTTGGTCTGGGGGGTGGCCCTTCAGTACAGAGTCTAGATGCCTTGTACGGAGCAAAATGGCGGCCAGGTGGCACAGAGAGAATGTTCTACAGCAGAAGAAAGGTGATCATTGATTATATTAACAGACAGAGACAGGGGAGTGCCAGTGGCAGTGCTGCTGTAGAGGAACTAGAGCTTGTACGGCAGCGTGGGAAGCTCAGTTTGAACAGACTATCCAGAATGCTGCGAGTGAAAAAGAAACTGCCCTGATTCTTATTATGGCAAACCCTGTCCATCATACCCAGCACGGCCCGTCGTACGATAGGAAGATAAAGAAGAAGAGATGCTGAATACATGATGGTGGTTTGCTTGGCTTCACCCCTTAGGGCTACTGGTCCTGGACACTGCGTAGAAGTGCAAACCATGTCCAGGTGCCGTACACAGGGCCTGTACGACTAGGCAAGAGCAGTTGAGAAAAATCACAAAGAAAAGAAAGAAAGCAGACAAGCCAGAAAAGAAAGTCCATGCATACCTAGTTTAAGGTGATAGGATTGCTCTGAGAGCCATCCTCTGGCTCCTCAGGCTCCTCAATCTCGTACGGGAAGACTGACGGCGGATCTCCAGAGCGGGGCGGGGGGGAATTGGTTTCAACATGGATGGGATCATTTGCTGTCCCACTCTCAAGGAGAAGAATTGGGCGGGCAGGAGACAGTCCCAGGCTGGCCCTGCTGCCTGGTGTGTGTGGGTGGCCAGCAGCTCTGTACGAACTCGGTCCTCTGTCATCATACCTCACTGCAGATTCTGGCCTGCCATGCAGAGAGCAGCGGGATGCATAGTCTGGCCATTTGCAGTTCCCGCATGCGCCTCCAAAGTGACCGTACGCACGGCGGCACAATGGGAATGGGGCCATGGGCTCCATCTCTGTGCATCTGTTGCAGATACTGCTCCAGTGCAAAGTTCTCCCGCGTGACTGGATCAGAATTGCATTGATGTACGACTGGCGGTGCATGTTAATCTGGTAGGGGAAGATTCGTCCGAGAACAAACTCCACATTCCTTCCTGGTTGAGCAAGCAGTCGCCGTGACTGAGGGGAGTGGGCGTACGGGGCCAGCTGATTCTGTCCAACAAAGAGACAGGGTGGTTGACCATCAGTTTGGGCCCGGGCAGCAGCTTCAGCAAGGTCCTGCTCCATCTGGTCAGGGTGGGAGGGGGTCCATCGAACAAGCGCCCTATATCAACGAGTCAGCGCCTCCTTCTCGCATTCCACCAACACACAGGGCCGTACAGACATTTTCTTTCTCAGATTTGTGGGGGGGAGAGGGGGGAGGGGCGAGCGGAGGTCTTAGCGGCGGAGGACGTTGTAGCGACACGAAATTGTGAAATTGTTCTGTGAGTCAGTCAGCTTGCTATCGTACGATTGATGGATGATGGCTGATGCATAATCTACAGGAAGACTCACGAGAGAAGCAAAGCAATGGTGGCAATGAAGGCTCTGATGAACAGGCTTAGAGTAAAAGAAAGAGAGAAGAGGAGAGGAGAGGAGAGGAGAGGAGAGAAGGAAGAAAGGAAAAGAAAATCTGTTGTCAAGACGATGCTTAATCTACTGTTTACTGATTCTGATACTACCTGCCGTACGGTGTATCGGTATGGTGTATATAAACAAACTGAGCATCGGGGCAGCATCACGGCTGCATCAGGCGCTGGTGCTGAGCAGCACTGCTACACACACACTCTGCCCCGTACGGGATAGAGAATAGTATAATCATACTATGTAGGCATCTAGCTATCTACAGAACCTATATTTGCCTGCTCTACAGGACCTTCTCTGAGATCCCCAGCTGCTGACCTGAGCTATCACAGATGGTCGGTCGGTCGTCCGGTGGGTGCACCCCGATACTGCTGTTCCAGCCGTACGGCGCTGTCTGAAAGACCTCTGTAATAAAGAACTCTCACTGGTCCAAATGGCTGACTCAGCACCACCCTCTGTACCAGCTAGTATGCAACCGCCAAGATAACCGTACGACGCCAACCCCCCAGAAAACCTGGTTATTTTTGCGGTCTTGCTGACTAACCCCCTGTCTAACCAGGTTACATGGGGCGCCTGGGTAGTAACCCGCCGCAACCTGCCACCCAGCTAACTAAGTGGCATCTCCTCCTGATCTCTGAGAAACAGGGCGCAAGGTTTACTCCATTGGTTTATCACTGTATACGGGATATACTATACTAGTTATGTTACATTCCCAGACAAAGTCCTGGTGGGTGCGTGTGTCTGCTGAAAGATCTGTGACTCCCAGTCCTGAATGGAAGGCCTTAGAGATATGCAACACCAACATTTTCAGGTCAAACAACAGAAGATAGACAAAAATCCAATACTTAGAGCTCGAGTCTAACAGAATTTAGATTTTCCGGCTCTCTCACAGACGACTCGGTCGATTTTGGAGATCCTTTTTCAGGTTATCGAGCCCAGACATGTTTGGGACGAGGTGCACATGATTATTGGGCGAGCGGTCAAGCCAGGTCAGGCACTCAAGTTAACTTGCATTTGCTAAGGAATATTCGTCTCACTCGTTCACATGTGAGCAATATCGTTAATTTGGGTAGTTCAGTTTTAAGGTATTTTGGTGGGATGCTGTGAATTCAGGGAGGCTATGGAACCACGGATGTTGCAGCGCATCGCTCGCACTGAGGCGGAAGTCTGGGCGTAACTGCAGCATGCGTTCCAGAAGATCGGCGCCTATCGGATCTATCCGTGGAACCAGGCGTCGTAGGCTTTGCGGGGCGTAAACCGGGAAAGTAGATTTGTATTCGGGTAGCTGGCTGACTCCAGGCCATGTAAGCTCAGTGGGGGTGCCCATCACGCGAAAGATCTTGAGCAACTGGTCTTCGTTCGTCGTTCCCGAAAACAGCGGGCGACCGTTGTACATTTCAGCCATGATGCAAGCAGCAGACCAGATATCAATGCTGGTATTGTAGCTGCGGCTCCCCAACAGCACATCCGGGGGCCGATACCAGAGGGTGACCACCTCATTAGAAAAGGTATTGATGGGAATCCCAAAGGCACGTGCTAGCCCAAAATCGGCAAGTTTCAGCCGACCGTTCCGGTTGATCAGCAGGTTCTGGGGCTTCAAATCTCGATGGAGAATGCGATTTTCGTGGCAGAAGGCGATGCCGCGCATCAATTGGTAGAAGAACGATTTAATAGTGTTGGGATCCAGAGGTCCATTCTGCGCATCCATGTAGCGCTTGAGGTCATTGTCCATGTACTCAAACACAAGGATGAGTTTGTTGTCTGTATTCAGAACATCGCGTAGAGAAAGAATATTTTCATGGTCGAGTTCCTTCATCAAAGAAATCTCCCGGATCGCGGTCGAGGGAGTTCCCTCTTCCTCGTCGAGATGGATCTCCTTCAAGGCCACTATCTCATTCGTTTGGCAGTTGCGCCCTTTGTAGACCTATATGTGTAGGGGAAAGCATACGTTAGCACTAGCCCCGCTTTTGGCTTCCTGATCTTGGGTGATAGGCGGGAAACCAACTAACCGTTGCATATGTACCTTCGCCCAGCTGGTGCATGCATAGTCAGTGAATGAATTTAAAATTCGATCTGTTCTCTCTAAACACAAACAAAGACAACAAACCTTTTCCAGCTGTTGGAAGGAGGTGCGATTGCGGGAGGTTGGGAGACTCATTGTCACTCGAATTTGAGGCGGGGCTGGAACTGTCTGCAGAATCGGACTGAGGCTCCACGAATTGGTTCAAAAGGTTGCCAATGCTGCCCCTCAGACCAAAGAGCCTGAGAAGGCCACAGTGGCGCGATCAAGGTGACAATTCTGGCTTTTGATCCCGTTCGTGCTCAACATTGTGGCTGCAGTCGCCTTTCTGGTTGTGTTGATGAGGGAGGTTGAGAGATGATGCAGCTGTAAGTGTGGGGGGGCTCGTCTCACTCGCCAATCACCGTGGGGCCGATCTTTGTCATCAACTTGCCACTTCTCCATCACACCTCTTCGCGAGACGAAGCAAGCAACGGTTCACTGACGAAAGCATGGGATCGAGATGAGACGGATGAAGCCCCCAGGAAGAGTGTGTCCGTTCGGCTCATTGAAAGTGGTTTCTCTGCGGCGAGACGGCCAAATATCATCCCAAACCTGCCAAGAATGAGGCTCAAAATTAAGCTCGTTTGGCTCTCAAACTCAAAGAGGTTAAGCTTGGTTATTTTACATATGCTAAGCCCCTTTGGGCTAGTTAGTTAGTTAGTTACGCCTTTCTAGCTTATGTAATCCAGTAGATAGGCATGAGTGGGTGTGGCGCCAAGTCAGGCCTTGGTTAGCAGCAGGCTTAAAACGGCGTCAGACATGGCCGTTTTATATAGGCCGTGGTAACCGTCTCATCGTTAATTTGAGTATACGGAGTACTTTGACGCCTAATTGGAATCGAGGGTAGATTTATGTAACTTAAGGGAGAAGAAATTTTGTGACATTCTCGCTTGAAAATGGTGTTTCGGGATCGTGACACAGCGCGGCGACGATACGAACCGAGAACCGCGTTGCGGACCACCATTTACAGTGTTTTCACCTGGTTCTGTGTGTGATATATGAAGAACAGAGGGACCAAAAGGAGTTCAGCCTTATTATGGAGTCATATGTCACCGAAGAACACCCCAAACCCGAGGCGATCGGAGTCCTGACCCAGACTAGTCCTCGCATGCATATATGCTGCTTTGCCCTCGCCAGCACGTAACGACGATGGCACCAACTATCCTACTGAAGTCTTGCGCGCAGGAAAGACGTTAACAAGGGTATACTCGTGAGTATCTCGGTTCACATGAACGCGAATCATTCGTACCATTTCATTTGTATTGGAATCTCTAACAAATTCTTTAGAACATCAGTTTATTTTCCTTATTCCGAGCGAGATCATGAAGCCATCGACAAGGCTCGGCTCAACGAACAATCGTACTTCGCCCTCTCCTTCACCATCGCACCCGCTCTCCCACATACAGATGGTGCGAATCTCAGCCTCAAAATCTCCCACTCAACTCCCATCTCTTTACCTAGAAGCAGGCCACTAAATAATGGAACCAATATCCTCTCTGCCTCCAAACCATTCACCGTGCGGTCCCCAGCCGGAGAAACTGATGGGATCAGCCCACCATAGTTCGATGAAGCAGACGCCGTGCTCCTCTTCGCCTCCGCGACCAATGGGAGGATGTACGTAACCCTTCGAACGCTATGGAATGAGAATGGAGACCTAGAAATCCGGACGGACGGGCCGGACTGGGTAAGTCGTTGCAAGCCTTTCTCAAATACTTACCACAAGGTCATCCGTTAACCAACGTACGAAATCACAGGACCAGCAACCCCCCTCCACGAAAGCGCCCCTTCTGACCCTTTCCCTCTCCCCCATGCTCTCCGCCACTGTACCGGAGCCCCCCTATTCAGCTTCACCCACTTCAACTTTTCCAATTCGATACGTCCTCCTTTCCATTCTCAAGATAACAGCCTTTATCCCACTCGGCTTAGAAGCGGCTATCTCTTTCATCCTGTCCGCTGTCATCGCCATTATTGGATTCTTGTTTACCACCCTATTTTGGCTTGCCCTGTTTACGCTCGTGATCCGTGGCGGGCTGTGGTATTATAGGGGTCGACCCGATATTGGAGAGCTTATATCCGATGTGAGGACCCATGTTCGACCAACAACCGACAATTTACAAGAACAATGGACATCGTGGCGGGCCAGATGGCCAAGAGAGCAAGAGCGAACTCTGCCCGTGAGCGAATCGCAGGTACAAGCTGTTGAAGGAGACAAGATGGGGTAAAGGCAGATGAAGATGCAACGTACCGGATACTTAGCATCATGTTACACAAGAGGTGACAGAATCACTGCCTGAAGCATATGGCATTGTTTTAAAATTGTGTTTTAATTGGATAAACGTGTTTTGGAGTAATGCACATCAACATCATAATAAATATTTGTTGCTGATAAGCATATGGCATAGCAGCAGATGCTTGTGCTGCTCATTCACATATTTCCGCAGCTATAGTTTGATCACGCTTCAATGAGCTCCCACCGGCAGAACTGCCGTGAAATATCTTTCCACAGGATAATCAACATTGTAGCGATATTGGCAGCATGTGTCTCCTGATAGGTTTTGCACCCCACCGCCGATTCAGGTTCTCGAATTCCACACAAAAGATGTCCAAAGTTTTCTCCCAGCTGGATAGAGTCTGTGAGCCCTGCACAGCGATCACATTCCAATTTGGGGTGGAGACAATCATAGTGAAATTGTTTCATTACATGAGATTCATCTGCTGTTACTGCGAGCAAACCAAAAATGGAGAAAATGAGCTCCAACTGTGCATCAGTTGTCAATGCCATCATTGCAAGCGCGATCATTCTGACTTTAGCTGCTAGAGAAGGCGCTATTTCCGGCAAATAATGCTTTCGGCCGGGGTCGTAGCGACTACTCATATGCGAAAATTCATTCTCATATATCCCCTCTAGTGCGTGGAATAAGCGTACGGAACCGAATATGCCCCCAGGAATCTCAGCAAGAAAGTGTTTGAGCACAGTAGATATGACATGCATATACTTGTCGGCTCGGCCACGTTCGCGAGCATTTATCTGTTCCATGGGGAGGTCTATCGGTCTCATGGTCTTGTTGATCTTATCCTTAAGCTTCTCCGCACCCAAAACTTGCCCTGCATAATAGCTGTACAAAGCGTTAACCAACTCTGGTTTGCCCGGCTCCCTGTGGATAAATGGAAGAGCGGTACCTGCATTCCAGTCACTGTCAAGTTCGTTGAATACAGGGAGTTCTATTTACCATGTGTTATCAATGCGTTAACGGTTGCTGCGATACAAGTTGGAAGCTTCAGTGTCCCAGGAAAGTATCGGGAAGGAAGCTTTGACAATATGCTTTCTCCTCCAAGGCGAGAAAGGTCCTCTAAAGTTCTACCTGTCAACGACCCCGGGCGATACTGTGCTGTGAGGCTTTCCAAAGTCTTCATGCGTCTCAGTTTCTGCCTGACACTTTTCTTTCGTCCTATTGTCAAGGTTGATTTCGCCGTCCGGATCCGACGGAGAAAGGAATTGGGCTGGTTGACCGCCGGGGTAGCTGATTAATTCAAATTATTATAAATTTAAGCCTTTTCTACTCGGAAGATCTACTACATACCTAAGGTCTGTGTATGCATTTTGGGTGAGATAAGGGACTCAAGTCCAAAATATGGAGCAGAGGTATTGAATGCAAGGAATGCCTTAGACCTCGCGAATTCCCTCCGCGCGGTGCTTTTCCTTTCCAGGATTCTTCGTGAGGTGCCGTCGGATGAGCTACTTGGTATCCTCGAGATCGAATGATTGCCGCTTGGTGCAGCAGGTAAGGTCACCGAATGCATACCATGCTTAAGTTCGGAAATCAGGAAGTCATGGGAGCTTCCCAGTTCAGCATTATGGCCTCGATCAGTCGTATTCTGTGAGGATCGATGACGTGACGACCCTTCTGAAGCCTGTCTGATCGCATGGCTATCGGAAAAAGGATCAATGGCCCGTTGAGAGATGAACGCATCTAGCGTAGCTATTGGACTCTGACATCTTTTTGAGGGGTAGCGATGCACAGTCGTATTAGACTTTTCGGAAAAGATGCTTTGGTTACTCGTATGCCTTGACGTGAGCTGATCGTCTGGGTTCGGCCTGAGTGCAAGAGCTTCTGCTCTCGGTGACCTTCTCAGCTTCTTAGCAGGGACCAATTCATCCGAGCGGGGAGTCTGAGAAACTGAGAGGAATGAATCCTTATTGTGGCGACTTGACGCACATCGGATGTTGGAGATGTTGGAAAGGGATTGCTGCCCAGCCTGATCGGTAGGCGTTTCGACTGTGATAGCTGAGACGCTGTATTTTGAGCTGTGCTGTTTCTGCACATCAACTTGTGAGGAATTGTTGTTGTTCTGTGAGCGCTGAGCCAATGCTTGGTCTGCAATATCGAGGTCAAGTGTTTTAGGAGTGTTACTGGCACAGAGCTCTAGCTTTTGAGCCAAATTGATAGTCGCAGGCGCGAAAGGAGTGGTGGACTCGGATCTGTTTGATTCTGATTCGGCCGCTTTCCTCGGTGTTCTCCTATAAAGTCGGGATAAATACTGTCGAGCTTGTGCAAATCCCATCTCCCACATCCCATGTCCCACAGTTGCTTTCCTATTTGTTAAATGACGGCAGAGTCGTGTAGCTGCGATGAATTATACGTTCCTCGGGGTTGAAGAGCAACATGCTGAAAAAGCAAGGAAATCCACCTTGCGGGAGGATATGACGAAAGACTCGGCGTTGAGGTTTGGAACTGGCAGGGACGCTGCTTCGGCAAGCCCGTGAAAGTGCAATCCACTCAGATATTTCCTGGGAAAGTATCACTGGGCTCGTGGTGTGTGGAGATAAACTTGACAGCCACCAAACTTTCAAGCTGGCTGTGCTTTGGAAGCGGCTGGGAGCGGACCCAACCTTGACAGCTTAGATGATCTCAGCCTGGTGATGCTCTGTCTCTGTCATTAGTTAAAATTCATTTAACAAGATATAGACGATTATGAGAAGCGACTAAATGAGGAACCAAGTTAATGAACAATAGTAGAAGCGGATACCAAAAGATTTTGTGTCAAGTTCGTCGAGAGTTGTGGCGCCGCCATGATCTCTTCTAATATGTCGTGATTCAAAGGAAAATGTGCCAATCTTCGAGGATCCATAACTGAAGAAAACCGGTTGACATGCCCCTTCCGGTCCCAATTACCCTTCTTTTTTTTACAATAAGAGGCGTATGAAAGCCAAAGTTCCGAGTCCAAAACCACCCTGTATACCATGCATGCTCCCAGACCAACTCCGTCCCTCTTTAAACTCCTTGTATTCCGTGCATGAATGTTAAGGTTCGTCCAGTTCACCCTCGATGACTAGATAGTGAAGGATGTCACTGAGTGTAAGAACGCCTTTTAGTCGAAAGAATTCGTCAACTACGATGAACCGGTGAACTCGAGATTTCCGAAGGGTGTCGAGAATAGTATCGAGGCCATCTTCAACGGAGCACGTATAGATACCGGGGAAATCCTGTCTGGTTATCAGCTGGCGTCCACACCGGGGTTTGAAGATTTCACACGCACCGGTGAACGCTTCTTCAGTGCCTCTCCAACGGGGAGGCTCAGATCGTCATAAACTCCTCCCTTTATTAACGTGATGACGTCAACGGCTTCAAACACATTGTAGACAACACCTAATGAAGACGAGAAACGTGAGAAAACGACTTTCTTCATGGGAAGCCAAGAAAGCATTGCCCACTATCCGCTTACCTTCCGAGTTGACAATTGGAACACTGGAGATGCTGCGCTCAACCAGCTTATGGATAATATCGATAACCGGCGTATCGATTGACGCCGTAACAATATTCTTGTATGTTCCCAAGCCGATTTCTTTAAGTGGTTTACGTAGGCTCTGCGTCTGGGGCACGTTAACCGCCATAAACTTCAGGATTCGATACTGTGTGACGACGCTGACAACGAGAGGTCTGTCGGTCTGACTGTCGTATGACACTAGCGGTATCCTACGCGCCCTTGAAGATAGCATGTACCGGCATGCTTGATAAAGGGGCTTTTCGGGATCGATCGAGATCGTTTCTGGCGGAGCAACACCAAGTGCTCTTTCGATTTCTGAAAATACCAAGTGAATACTTGTTAACATTTGCTGCAAATTGGTTATTGGAGGGGATCACCGATACCTCGGAGGCTGCTTAACCGAAACTGATCTATTTTCGCCAGCGCGGCAGGGTTCTGAAAATAATACTGAATAACATTTATGTAGTCGGAGGTGGTAAGCAAGCCGGCAAATGTCGACGTGTGCGAATCCCAAAGAGGAGCGGAAACGATGCCTATGGGCATATGTACCGCGGTTAACGAACGGAATTCCACATTTCTTCAGACTGCGGTAGAACGGGGTTGCTAACTGACCATTTTGTATGAGAATATTCAGACTCTCTTTGACTGACAAGGAAGTATCAAACACAATAAGGCGGAAGCTGAGAGGTAAAACATCATAACTGGTGTGACTTTTCAAGAAATCTCGGATATGCCACTAAGAGGAACGAGTTAGTTGCTTGGTTATTGAAAGGTTAGATTGCCGAAGGGAGAGAAGGATGGAGGAAAGTCAAGAAGTCAAAAGCGTAGTTCCAAGGGCAACAGAATGATTTCTCCCTCGTGAAGAGATAGCACTCACCAGAGCTTGTCGTTCTTCACGGTCAACGGGCCTTTCAACAGGAACAATTGGTCGGGAGGCAGCTCTCGGTCGCAGGTAGGACGACGGCTGCACAAATCCCGCCTCGTGACCGCTTCTGGATGTGCCGTAAGGCGATGAGCCCAGGTTCGAGGCGGGATGTGAAGATTTTGTGGAAGCCGTCGCATGTGGTCGAGTCAGAGCCTCATCCGGCATCATTGCGGTGTGGGCTCCGGTGACAACAGCTGCATAAAATAGTGTGAGAAAGGTATTAGCGGAGCAGAGGGATTAATATCAGCTTGCGATGGGTGGGTTGCGTGAAGCGATTGCGATTTTGGCTGTCGCAGAAACATGAACGAGGCACAGTGCACTCCCAATCCAAGTGCGTCGACTTAATAGCTCACGAGAGCTTCACATGAATCCAGACATTCATCCAACGTAAAAATAATAGGGTTGAAACGCAGGCCTACAGTTTGTTCAAGCAACCAGGCCAGGAAGTGACTGCCACAGAGCTATCCATGCATTCGATCTAAGTTGGTATTCGCCCGCATCCTCCAGTTACTCTGCCCAGTTGGCGGCGGCGGCGACGATGATGTTCCCTCCTCTGGGCACATTAGTTTCACTGGCTTTTTGAAGTGGGATGTCTCGGCCCTTTGTTGTTCCGCGATATCCTCGTCGATTTAGGTTGATGGTCACCGAGGAAGCAACTTGATGATCGTCCCCGTCGTCCAGGATGCTGTGTAACTGCTGGCCGTGACGAATGAACGATGCCTTTTCTTGCTCTCTCCCATCGCGGATGGAAACAGCTACTCCGTACGTCTCGAAAGAACAATGATTGATGTCATTAAAAATAATAAGGTTAGAAAGTATATTCTAGCGGGTATCTATCTCGACATGATGTAGCAATATCAACGCTCCCGTGAAACCATGGAAACTCTTTTGTGCGAAGACCACATTTAAAAAAAAAAAAAAAAAAGAAAGAAAGAAAGAAAAAGAAATACCGAAAACGATGCAACCCCGGAAGAGGATACGGAACATCGCCCAACCACACTCCATCCTTTTATGCCGCCACGGGCTGGGCTGGGGCGGCGGGTGAATCGGTAACATCCAACTGCTCCAATTTCTCTTCGACTCTAGCAGTATTGGGCACTTCGGTCTCCGCACGGCTCTTTCCCGGTCCTCCTTTAAGATAGTTTTCGTGCTCACCCACAAGTTTACCTCCTTTATTCCACCTTTCGCGGTACTCTTCTCTCCGCTGGGCGGCGAGGGCATTAAGCGCTGGCCAGTAGCTAGCATGGTCATATTCAAATTCGACATCTCCATTGACAGCCTTCCAGAGTTGAGCAGGGGGGACATGTTGTCGAAGATCCTCGTTAAACTTTAATTTTTCGCGAGTCCGTGGGTCGATGAACGGTGTAATTAGTTTCATAAATCCCAGAATGACGAGAGGCACTAGGGAAGTGGTTTAGCAAAAGAGTTATATTAAAGCACACAGCTACAGCGAAACTCACTGTTAATTACCAGGGCCCGTCCCAAACGCTCAGGGTAGTGATTCTGGAGAATATGAAGGGTCTGCCTGCCTTGACCGATTGTGGCGTTTTGCCCGGACCTTGTCTGCTTGAAGTTGACCAGCAGCGCGAGGGATTCTTGATCCGGTCCCATCAGATCAATTACCCGTTCCAGCATAAACACAAGGTGCTGTATCTGGCGATCGCTGTGCTCGGTATTTTGTCTTGCTGGGTTCAAGTATAGACAGGGGCGACCACTGTTGTCAAAACCTAGGATAATTTGTTTCCCAGTCTCATTTTCAACCGAGATGTATTCTTGAGTATGTTCTTTAACACCGTATTCCCGTCTCCACGTTAAAGTTGCCTGGAGGCGCTGGATAGCATCCGCGACATTCCACTTTGTGGCACGAAGGTACCGGAGTAAGCATTCTCGGGTAAGGAACATTCGCTCATCATCTGTAAGAGGTTCGGTTGGTGCATTTTTGGAAGACGTAGTCGGAATCGTCGTCCACTCGGAGACTGCTTTCAACACGGTCTCATACTTCGTCTGCTCCTCGGCGGTCAATTCAGGGGGAGATGAAGGCCTGCAGTCGTCGAGAGGTCGGGGAAAAAGAGTTTTGATGAGGCCATCGGCAGCCGAGAGGGGAAGAGTATCAGCGAAAGATTTATTCTCATTTGGTTTGTTGTCTGTTGTAGTCGTTGCTTGATTTTCATTATTCGTTTTTTCCTCCTTCGCATCCTCCGGGGTCTCCGGTTGCTGCTGAGGTTCGACAGGGGCAGCAGATTCCTCCTTTGGCGCTTCCATTGTCCTTAAAATTCAATAATAGAGTGCCACCAGAAACGAGGGACAAAACAAGCTTCAAAGCTTCCAAACTCGATGAATTCAAAGAGCGCGAGTACCAGTTGCATCCAAAGCCCGGCACGCTGAACGCAAGCTGTTTCAACAAGGTCCAGCTCACCCAAAGCGGTGAGTGTGATCAGCCAATAGTGGTTGATCGTTATTTTAGCCTTTGGCAGAAACACAAATTTCCGCAAAAACTGTTGTTCCGGCGCAGACCACTCAACGCGTCGACACGCGTCAAACGGCCGGCTCGATGGATGGGATGGGAGAGACCTTCCGCACATACTGAGTACGGTTGATCTCCTTCGACAACCATTGAGCGTTACACTACAGAATCTTAAATCAAATATGGACGAAATTACAGCGGAGCTCAATGAGCTTTTTGCGGGAGGTAGTCCTGACGGACTGCCTCGAGATGTGCTTGCGGAGCTTCGATCCATTATGGATATTCACGCACTATCCCCGCAAGAACTGTTCTTTAAATGGGAATCATACTCCATGAAGATGGGGGAAGAGACACAATTGAACTTGGACACAGCGCGTGCATTGAAACAAGATATTCAGGATACGCTGGAACGGGAATCAAGAGGAAAAGGTCACCTAAGACCATCAGAAAAAAGGAGCATGGCTTCTGCGGCTCCTCGTGCCCTTAAAAATAACCAGGATGTATTTGACATGTATGATATTAGGGAATTCTATTTTCAATCACATTTCGTTGCTAACTGTCAAGTAGGTTAGGAGACTTAGTCCCAAATACACCACATACTGCTGCGAAACCCGTTAAGCGGAAAGCTGGATTTGACACTCCTTTGACGTCCAAGGCGAGCAGAGGAGGAGACTTCAGCTCCCCATTGAATGCCCGCACTCCTATCAAACTATCCGGTGGGGCATCTAACCTACCTGCGTATGAGTACCACTCGCATTTCCTCTGTATTCGAATGTTAGCCTAATAACCAGTACAGTCCCACCCCTTTCTCCGAACGCAAGAATAACGGGGAGATATTGGAAACCCTAAATCCCAACCTCCCGGCGGCTCAGGCCCCCGTAGCCCCCTATTCGGAAGCGCGCATAAAGTTGGCAGCAAACACGGACATCAAAAAGTTCTCATACAAACCAATGGCTATGAAATTGTCTGAATGCTCCGAAGTCCTCGACGACCGGATAGACGAGTTCGCGGCTGTGTATCAAAAGCAACATAGTTCGGATGATACGCCTTTTGGGAATGCAGCTCACCAAAGCACCAGGGAAGTTATCGCCGTAGGTAGAATTGCTTCTGACAGCATGGAAGGCAGGCTAAACACGGCATCTTTGGTTTTTGAAATGTCTCGACGCACGGGTGCTGGTTTGCGCGTGCCTCTCAAGGTCGACTCACTACCATCAGTCCAATTGTTTCCAGGTCAAATTGTCGCAATCAAGGGAATTAACGCTTCCGGCGAATATTTCTCTGCTCTTGAAGTTCTACAGCCTCCCTTTCTTCCTCCTGCTGCTTCCTCCCCCGAAATTATAAGTTCTATAAATGAGCGACTCAGCGAGTCAGGCAGTGCACCCTTAAACATACTCGTTGCCTCAGGACCATATACGACGGACGACAATTTGAACTTCGAGCCCCTGAACGAACTTTGCGCCAAAGCTGCTGAGCAGTCTATTGATACATTAGTATTAACAGGGCCTTTTCTTGATATTGAACATCCGTTAATTGCCACCGGAGACTTTGATCTTCCAGAAATAAATGGCCTAGATCCTGATACTGCGACACTCTCAGTTCTTTTCAGGTACTGTATCTCACGTCCACTGCATCGACTGGCCATGGCCGTACCTAGCATCACCATTGTTTTAGTTCCTTCTGTGCGCGATGCAGTGAACAGACACGTGTCCTGGCCCCAGGATATGCTACCAAGGTTGGAACTTGGACTACCTAAACAAGTACGCATGGTACCTAATCCTGTTACCATATCTTTGAATGAATCTGTTTTTGGCCTATGCTCGTATGACGTCTTATACGAGCTGAGACGAGAAGAAGTGCTAGGCGGGAAGCCGACAGAAGGGAATTTGTTGACGAGATTATCACGGTATCTTATTGAGCAACGACACTTTTCTCCCGTTTTTCCACCGTCTGCTAGAGAGCATCTACCAAAGTCTGGCACCGAAAATGGAATTGCGACAGGCGCCATGCTGGACCTTAGATATTTGAAATTGGGAGAGTGGTGGAATGTCCAACCGGATGTTCTCATTATCCCTAGCGTTTTACCACCATTCGTCAAGGTAAGATTATACGCCTCATTCAACCCCTCTACTGTAAGATTGAAAATTTACCTGGTCTATAGGTTATTGAGGGTGTTTTGGTGATTAACCCAGGCACTGTATCCAAGAGGAGAGGGCCAGGAACCTACGCACAACTCGCAGTGCATCCACGGGTGCTCACGGAGGAAGAACAGAACGCGAAATATATTAATCATAGACTGTTCGAAAGGGCGAGGGTTGATATCATCAGGATTTAAGCGGGAATACGCGGAAATTTCGGAGTTTTGGGCACTTTTAAAGCAGATAATGTAAATCGGGATCGGGTTGCAGGGTTAAGGGCTCGTATCCATTAAAATCATCACGAACATCGTTATTATATGATAGCAACGCACACGAATTCCGAGAGTATCTAATGATGGCGCACTCCCTCTCGCTCAACGACATAGAACCGGATAACTCATACGCCATTCCATGCAGCCAGCCTCGACCAAGTTCCAGTCCGTATGCGAACAGTAAACGCAAAGAGTATGTACCCCATTAGCCTTGTGAAAGCGCAAAAAAGCAACGTTCATCTCAAACAGACAACCCTCCTCATTCTCCTTGCTCGACTCCCCACCAAGTCTCCTTCCCCACCACCTTTCCTCTCCGCACCACCAAGCCTCACCCCTCTCATCAGCTCCTCCAACCCCAGATCGCGCCAAACAGTCTCCCTCCGCCCATCCATCGCCCTCGTAATTCCAAATGCCGCATGCTGATCTGGAACCACGTCATCCTCATCTTCAGGATTCACAGGTTGAAATTGCGGAAGGACAAAGATGTCTTCGATGGGGAGGAAAGAAGGGGTTTGGGATGCTGGTATGGATTGGTTTTGGGCGTGGTGGGCTGGGTTAGCGATCGATGAAGGGTTATTTGCAGAGGATATGCTGGCCGCAGAGGTGTATGGGCGGTTAAAATCTTCGAAAAGGTCGGCGAGGCGGGGGTGGTGGAAATGGATATACGTGGGTGAGGAATCTTTAGACTATGGTTGTTCGTGTCAGTTCGCTGAGCTTGGGTAGAAATGAAAGTAGAGTACGGAAGGATTGTGAGTACCATTGTGATGGCTGCTTTGGAAATCTCCAAATTCTAAATTAGTTCAGTGTTTCCCTTTGGCTAGGCCTTTGAATATCAATAGCTTGTGCTATGTTGTTTGCTGTTGACTCTTGGTCCAAGAGCCGTTTAGAAAGGATATGCTGACATAACGAAGATTTGAGAGAGCCCATGAGGGATGCGTTCAAAAAATTAGCAACTACTGAAGATCGAGAGTCATTATTAAATCTCAGCCGTTCAATTATACCTTGTGGCTAATCATGCATCTAAAGTGATCCCAGTATAAATAACAATCCTTTCCCCGGCGCCCAACTTTTGAAACGGCTACGTAGATACATACATCAAAAAGAGGTGAAAGGTCCCAAGGCCTCCGTCCCAACTGTCAGAAAAGAAAGAATCATTCCAGCTTAGACAGGATACGCAAAAATATCGGAACTGAAGAATAGGAAAGGACCAAAATAGTCATTTATTGCACCGCGTTTAATAGTGCTTCGAGTCTGTTTCGTAGTAAATTCCAAGTTAGCGAACCTCACAAATACACCTCAAAGCAAGCACTTCCAAAGGCAGCCAAGGAGATTTCACCCACCTTCGGATTCGGTACTCATCCGGTGTACAATGGGCACAGCACTGGGAGGTAAGCTTCCCATTTCTGTGATGACCATGTCAATATATTGCGCCGGCGTAACATCATGCATTATATTTAGCAGTTGTAGGTGCTTCATATCTCGCCAATTCTGCAGCGGCCGATTGTGATCAGTCACCAGGGATGTAGGGCCAAGCGACGAGGCTAGTGAACTGGTATCTGCATTCGCTCCGGCGGATTTGGTAGAACCACCCTTTCTAGTTGGTGCGGGTGTGGGCGGCGATAATTGGGTAACTTGTTCTGACGGTTCGATACCCACTAAGTCATCCGCTTCTGCGATTTCGTTCACGACGATACTGTCGAGGGCAACACGGTCCGTGAATTTGGCTGTTTCGCAACATACGATGACAGGAATATCAATACCTCCCACTCTCTCCTTCGCCGACATTGCGACGAGTGCTGTTCCAACTCTTGAGAAGAGGCATCCATTGCTGGTCATGGCGTGAGCGCCTAGGAATACCTTTGTTGCCTCCCTGATAGCATATGCGATTCCGTTTATAAGCGAGTACTGCACCTCCAGGCCAGCCTTGGATAGTGTACGAGCAAGATTCTTTCCCTCGAAGAGGGGTCGGGTATCAACGATGAAAACGCGGAACTTTTTGCCTTGCGCATGCGCTGTAAGCAGGGCTTTTTGAACGACACTGCTGTTCGCATAGCAAAGTATAACGTCCCCATCTTTGATCTTCTCTGCAGCGCTGTTGGCGATTACTTGAGAAGCCACAGTATACTTTTCACGGATGTAGTTGTCTATATAGTCGTAAATCTGTTGCTTCGCTTCATCTTCAGAATCACCAGGATCAATGGTTGTGATCTCCAATTTCAACGCACGAATGGCATTTCCTTGACTGATTGCGAGAGGACGGCACGTCGTCAGGTAGTTAATCTGGTGGGAAAGGTACGTGGTCAGATTGCGAGAGAGGGACGTGCCGATCGGTGTAATATATGCTTGAACAACCTATCATGAAAAAAAAAAAAAAAATCTTAGCACTCCGTCCAATCCTAGAGCCAATCGACCCGAGCTTTGCACAGCAGCATACCCTTCTTAAAGCCAGCAATGTCGCAACGCATCTCGCTGAGCTTCCGCAAATCACATAATCCCGCAGCTGCATTCCGAGAGCAACGACAGCAGGGTGAATCTCTTTACCGACACCCGCAATCCCAGCACGGCGGGAATGCCACGGCAGATGTCCAAAAACAGCCACAATATTCTCATTCTCGGCCTTCTTCTTCTTCTTTTTGGCCTCTGCGGCAGGAACATGTACTGATCCCCTCCGTTGCGCAACCACCGCCGCTCCCGCGCCCTGCTTCTGAGCCTTTTGACCCTCACCCTTTTTCTGCGACTGTTTATTATCTCCCTTCTTCGGCCCAGCAGGCTGCTGGCCCGCCTGCGACTGCGCAGCTGGACCAGCCTGCTGCTCACGCTCCTGCTTTTCTTTCGCCCGTCTCGCAGCCTTCTCAGCCTTAGCCCTCTTCTTCAACTCTGCATTGGACAACTTCGGCGCGTTGGCAGCGCCCTCAGGCTTATCTTTCTTCTCCGTAGTTTGTTTCCCATCCACCCCCTTCTCCTCATCCTTCTTCTTCTCAACCCCACCATTCATCGCCGCAGAAGGAGAACCAGAAGTCGCGGCCGCACTTGTTCTGTCACCTTTCTTCGTTGATGACTCACCTCCGCTCAATTGCGGCACACCGGAATTCACAACGCCCTGTGGAGCCCACATAATTGCATCAGTGCGTAAAATTTCCTTGTCGACAGCGATATTGCCATTAGAGTTCTCCTCGGCGGTGGTAGCGTGGTGACGATGGTGCTGGACGGCGTATTGAGTCATGTGTGGAGCTCTCGGCGGTCGTGACTTTTTGGATCGGAAGATCCCCATCAACTTCCTCCGCGGCCATCTCAAACACCTGCGCGACAACGCGACCGTTGCCCTGCCAAACCCGTTTTTCTTTGTGGATTCGGTCATTCTGAATGCCAGTTTCTTCTGTAGGAAAGCAGGTAGGGAGAAATAAAATATCAATAAGATACTCAGGAGCCATAATATTTGTGTTCCTGATATAGGAGCCATTTTTCTTTTCCTTTCGCTGTTTGCTTCTTCCTTTCATGCCTTATCAAGTTTCATTATTGAGGGACTGTCACTAAAACTGAGAATGATTCATACCAAGGATTAGGCACACTGGTACTGCATATTGGCTGCTGTGATTTCAGTCTGGACCGACCTTCACTGCCCTCATCCAATGAATTGGGCAGCGTGCAATCAATTCTTCAGCATCCCAATTTTGATATGTGAACATTTTAACCGCTCTGCAGAAATAAATAGAGTCAAGAAACAAACAGTGTACATGCCAGCAAAAAGTAGAAAATCAATGTCACACAAGAAGTATTTTCTTATCCTGTGATAATAGAAGGAAGAATGACTGATCATACAACATACAAGGTCATCGCTGTCCTGACAAACCTGACCCACCTAGAGTATCAGAAGCATAAGAATATCTCAAGAAAGTCATGCATAAAAACGTCGTTCTTCAGTCGAAAATGAAAAATCAGTTCACTCATCCGAAACAAAGCCCATGCGCTCGCAAAACTTCCGTCCAAACTCCAAGTCCTCGGGATTCCATGGGAAAACTCCAAGCCAATTAATCCGTCATCTATTCATCGAAACTTCAGAAAGTGTTTTGCGATCCCCGCGACTCCGTCGTTTTACGCCGAACCTTTCACAATCGTCGGCCAGCTTACGTCGGAAGAAGCTTAGGTCGGAAAGAAGATCCTCCATCTCGGCCTGCACCTCGACATCCAGTTCGCTGATGGAATCCTCCCAGATAAGATCCGGTGGCTCTTGTGGTGCCGTGTTTTCTTTGTCTCGATCCTTCTCGCTCTTAATCTCTTCCTTAGCTGATGCTAGAGCGGGGCTGCTATTCCGATTACGCCTCTTGATCACTTCAACAGGGGGTATCGGATTCTTCAAACTGTCCAATGCAAGACGCAAATGAAGCCTTAGAGCTTCATTTTCGGTCTGAAGCTGTCGAATCTTGTTTTCACTGACCATTTTGGTTTCTTCCATCAGTCTTTGGAGCTTTGTCACTTGCTTTTGGTATTCCTCAAGCTTTTCGTTCTGCATTTCCATGTCACGTTTAGAGACGGCTTGCTGGCTGACACTCAATTGAAGTGTGCGAATAGTCTCAGCCATCTCTGCAATCTGTGCGTCTCTCTCTGCAGCTGAGACATGATCTTGGTTGATAACCGCCCGGGTTCGGATGCGCTTGGCTTGGTCGGCGTAGCGGAGTGTTGATAGCGTTTCTTCGTAGTCTGACGGAGCGATACACGCAATCATTGCTGTTTTTGAATTCCCTCCTAAGCTGTCTTTAAGTAGCCAAGTCAAGATAGAGTCACGATATGGAACGATATCCTTATTTTTACGAGCACGTCCAGGTCTATTGTCTGCTAGTGCAGCTATCACGCGGCCCAATGTGGTAAGCGATTTGTTAATGTTCGACCCTTCTCGTAGCCGCTGCCCAGTTGCCTCGGTTGCTTTCGCTCGTTCTGATCCCGCTAGATCCACCAGTCGAATTCTTGCAGTGCGCTCAATGGTTTCATCAGTGGTAAGATCATGGTGTATTTGTTTCAACATGATAGTGAAAACTGCATGGGATCGCGAGCTAGTATCGTTCATTTTGGTACTTGCGGTCGTCCGGGACGCGTCTCCTTTTCTCATGTAGCGTAACACCTCTGCGAAATTTCGAACGGGAACATCGGTGAGATCTTTCACATATGGCCCGTCTGTGGGAGATTCTCGAATTTTCAGATAGTAGGGCGTATCTGTTCTCGGCACGAGCAAATCGCGAACATGTTCATTGTATACTTCAAAATATGACACTCGAACATGGTACGTCACATCGGGCGACTGGGAATTTTCGATTCGCTGGAAGAGGTCTTCGCACGTTCGGGGGATTAGACCTGGGTTCTCGGGGGTTCCCATCATTGTATAACTCTTTCCGGATCCTGTTTGACCATAAGCAAATATACACGTGTGGTAACCCTCGAAATTGTGATCAAGAAACTCTTCTCCCAGGCAGTTATACACGTCTTCTTGGGTTGCGTAGTGGGGATCGTCTTCATCATGCGACCAAAAGGAATTATCAAACGTAAATGTCTTATCTTCGACCACCTTGCTTCGACTTTGCACCTTAGAGATTTGGCCTTGAGCTCCAGACGGTGCCAAGAGCGTTGTGCTCTGAGTAGCCGGGTTCATATGAACTAAACAGTGCGCTCCACGTTGTATCTCTGCAGTTTATCGGAAAAGAAAGCATTAGATATTTCCGAGAAATGGGACGATTATTCCAGAGCGCCGACATACCCCTCGGTAAGAACCCTCTGACTCTGACAACCACCTTGACGTTTCCTCCGCCCCCGCCTCCATTCATGGGAGTTCCAGGCCTGGTCGCGGGCGCTATTATTCTCTCTTTCGATCGCAACGACGGGCTCGACGCAGTTGACCTAACTCCCGCCACGGACGCTGACGTGAAAGAAGCCATGCTCGGCGTAAAGCTTCCATATTCGGGCGGGTAGTTTGACGAGGAATGCGACAAAGAGGGTCTCGGCGGGAGATGGGCAATACTATTGTAAAAGCGCGGGTCCAAAGACATGTTCTTTGTGTTTTTTAGCATCCAGTCAAGCTGCAGAGCAATGTCGCGATGTCGACAGAGATAATTATAAAACATACGATCGAGAGGGTACTGAGGAGAAACGGCTAGATGTTCATTATCCAATACTCCTGGGTTTTGTTTTCTTGGGCGAGCCTGCGAAGCAGCTTTAACTATTGCCGACAATGCACAACTGATGCTAGAAAGTGTTTCAATGTTTTGATATCTTCATGCTCCTGTGTAACTGTGAAGGGACTTGGGCGGCCGCTCCAGCTCCCGTCGAACTGCTGGTCCAGACGGGTGTTGTTGTGAAACTGCTTGAAAAGGTTAGCGTGTGCCTTGAGCCCTTAGCTAGTGCAGGCTAGGCCAAGTGCAATTTAGAGTGGTTGGAAAACAGTGATATCCTCGCAAAAGTACGGAGTACTCGCAGGAGAAATATCCCATAGAAATTCAAGACACTGCGCAACTCGAATCTGTTAGTATGTTTTCCGCTTGCTTATGTTTGTTAAGGAGCAAACTCACAAGAGAGTAGCTAATGTGGGCGCGATTATCAGTTCGGGCGTACGGGACTATATCTTCAATCAGTGTGAAAACAGAATCCATTATCTCTTGTAAAACATGGTGAGGAGGGGAAAGGTTTCAGAGACAAAGAGAAGGGGATCCAAACAATGTATATGTGAGACCCAGCCAACTCTGTTGCCGCCCCGCGTGATTATGGAAGGAGTGTGTGTGCAGCCCTACAGAGTACAGCCTTGCCTATGGAGCACTCCATATTTATTCTCCCTGTCATTTTGTGTGTGCACTACTATGGCCTCGCGCCCAACATAAACAAAATAACAACAGCTTATTCCACTCGCTTCTTATTGTTCTTCTTTAGTGTAGCAGTGTCTCCATCCTCAAACAACAACTGTGCTCTGTACCATTTCGCCACCCACAAATGAATTGAGTTTGGCTGGCCAGTCCAATGACGAAATACAAGGCCGGCAGTGTTGCCATAGCAACTATCAAACTCCGAAATCTACCCGACAGCCACCGCCAGCCAGGGAACCATTCAGTACTTTATGATCCCGACCTAACATCGTTTTTCTAGTACAGTGCCTCTTAGATATTGAGTCAGGTGGTTTAGAAAATGTTCGAGCAACAAGCCAGAATTCACCCAGCCAGTTTGATTTTCTTCCGGCTATGCATAGGTAGTTATGCTGCCAGTCCATGACAAAAAACGCGAAGACAGGTTTAAGAGGAGCTTATGCCCGCCGGATACTATCATCCAGCCTTCAAGTTGCAATTCTTTATTTTCGTTAAAAGAAAGGATAAAGAACTTGGCACTGATAGCAAGTATATGAATTTTGGGCTCGCACAAACAAGAAGCAGTGCCTACCCCCATGCTGTTGAAGGGAGGATCAAGCCATGTTCGCCCCAGCAGGGTCCACAAGACAACTTTGTGACACCCTTTTTGCTTCCACAGCTTTCATGTACAGTCCATACATCACGTGTTTGATGGGCACACGCAGAAGTAGAATATGAACCTCTGTTTGCAACTGCTTCTGCAGATCTCTTATGATTAGTTGGGGGAGGAATTTTTGTTCTGATACCCAGGGATAACATCCAACCAAATTTGAAAACAACTGAATATTTAAGTTCAACCATATTCCCTATGGAATTAGCGTACAGATAATGTATTTGGTGATAAAATCAAATATCATGCAGCGCTGCATTTTATCCCTACATTTCAAAAGTTGTGAGGTTATATTCTGATAGAGATCAGCTTGATGCTTCACAGCAAGGAAAATAAGCACTGCTTACATCACAAATAGGACGGCTTAAAAGTACCAATGGGCCCTTCTCAAGGCGCAGTTTTTAGGGATCTAATATCTATGCCACGCACTCGCTCAATTAAATTCATTCTGAAGACACCTTGGCCTGGGACATAATTGGGGGGAAGCCTTGATATATGCAGGACCTCACAGCAATTTCCTTACATTTCCCTGACAACCAGATGAACTTATCCCCCCTGGATATACTATGGCAAGCAATCCAGAGAGCCCCTGTGGCCTAGTTGTTAAGTCAACAACCCTGGAACAGCCCTAACGGGACGGGAGGCATCAGGGGCACTCTGGGTTCGAATCTCGGCAAGGACGTATCATCAGGGTTAACGACTCCCCTGGTGGGAACCTTTTTGTCATGTCAATTTGCTTTCTCTTGTTTTGATAGCACATGAAGGATGCAATCTTTTCTTGATCTCTTTTAGCTTTTCTATTAAAGTGCCGTTTAACTGGGGCCTTTAGACGGACACAATCTCTGTCTCCTTACCTCGAATATAAAATTGAAGTTATTGGTGACAACATATACTCTGGAGTGGCAATCATATCCTTTGTTTTCTGCTCTATTTTAGGGGGCATTACACCAATCCCTCCTCTAAGAGTTGACTCCCAATCTCTTTGATAAGTTTCTCTCCCGAAAACGCCTCGACATTTGACTTGTCTAGCACAATGTTTCCAGCATCCATCGCTCGACATAGCTCTAAGATATCCCCATCCATGGGCGCACAATATACCAGGAGACCCAACGACAAAAGCAAGCCACGTAAATTGTCAGAGCTCTCTGATTCCTTGCGAATAGCCTCAAGCAGCGATGCAACAAGTTCTACCTGAGTGCTCTCCGTTAGCTTATCCGGGTGATCCTGTAGCCTCTCATTATGGTTTAGAGCAGCGAGGTTGTAAATGAAGGAAGCCGCTGCCACACGAAGATTTCCGTGCGAATCGAGTAAGCAAGCAGTTGCAAAATTTATGCAGGTGTCACGGAGGGCGTCGTGGGATAATAGCTGGTCAGGGTAAAGCTGGGAGGTGAAAAGGTTGCACATTAGTTGTTGCATGACCAGTTGGTGATTGTAAGGGCAATTTGAGGGGTCTTTGGCACGATCCAGCAGGGTCAAGAGAGTCTTGTGGTCTTTCTCTTCGGCGAAGAACCCGCTCACTCTTGGATCGATGAAGGCGGTTCGCACCAGGTCGACCACGGCGAACTGGATCTCCGAAGGCAGTCGGGGGAACTTTGTCTGGATAAAAGCTGCGAGGGATGACAAGTTTGGGATGGGCGGTTTTGCAGAGTTTGGTTTGCTTTCTTGCTTAAGGAAAGTAACCAATTCTGCCCAGGTGGGATCGTTGGCCGCAGCCCCAACTTTTTGAACGAGCTTATCCAAAGGTGGAACTTTCCTATAGCAAATATATGAATCAATCATTCTCTGTAAGCTGGGGAGCTTCATGTTGGTATGAGGATGCGGTGGCCAGGCCATCTGAACCAATAGGCGAACATTACTGCGAAGTCTACCCTCGTCGGCGCCGCTCCATTCATCATCCTTTTGTCCCTTTAAAAACGTCATGAAAGTAGGCGTAGCCCGAACATTATACGTTGATGAAATCTCATAAGCATAATTTATGTCCACTTTGATCAATGTGGCTTTGTTGCCAACCTCTTCAGCGAGTTGATCATATGCCGGATACACAAGCTTGCAAGGGGGGCAAGTTGACGATGTAAAAAATATCACGGCACACGAGTTTTGCGCTTGCAAGAGTAAATTCTTAAGCTCGTTGAGAGTTGTAACGTTATGAACTCGCCCACTCGGAGACGGAACAAGTGCTTGTGGTGTTGATGGGGTCATTGGTTGGCCGGGCTGAGGTGGAGGTCCTTGTGCTGGGCCTCGGAGCATATTGTCAATGTATGGCTTCATCATCTGCCCGAAAGGCGAATTCAAAAATGTTTCTGGTAGATTTCTGATATGCTCTGGAATGCCTTTGCCAACCAAGAACATGGCCAAATCATGTGTAAAGTTGTTGCAGTTTCGCAGAAATAAGTCATAGGACTAAGAATTATCAGGTTTGGTCTCGCATAAAGGAAGATTCGAGGAGAATGAAAGGATTAGACAGGTCCATACGTCTTCTGTATAGGTTCTTGCTAGGGAATCCATATACTCAATAATCACCTCCATCGGAAGTTCTGACCTCCCGAGGAGAAGGGTCTCGATTGGTTGGCCATGATGCGTCGATCCAGGGGCGGCTTGCTGAATTCCCCGACCGAAGTAATATTCTACTCCAGCGAAAACAAGCGAGGTATGGTATATTGCGTCTATCTGTGTCCCAGTTATTTGTAGAGAGAGCTGGTTGATGAGACGATATCAGCGCAAGCTGCACATCAAGGATTTTGTATGAATATCATAGAACATACATTTCGAGCAAGCCCCTAGAATCAAGTCAGCATCTTCGGAAAAAGCGGGATGCGTTTCAGTGCCGGAGGCTCTCACATTTGACAGGTCGTAGATGTATAAGGTCACGTCCATTGCGATAACTGAATTATATAACCAGATTGGATGGTGTCCGAGACTAAAGTGATAGTAAACCTGTCAAAATTATTTAATCATAAATCTGAGGGATAGAAAATCAGTGTTTTAACACATCTGAGTGAGAGATAGACGGAGCATCAGGATATAGCTGGGTTCTTTGGAGTGATGATGCTCCAAGGCTCCGACTGCCTTACGTCAATGCTGAGAACCCATGAGCACTACCGGCACGAAGCATCCAAACTCCGCACAGGATCCATTGCATAATCATCCCTTCACCATGGTAAGTACCCATGCCGTATCAAACCTCTCTACTTCAATAGGTGTACAATAACTCCTCCCAATCACTAATGTTTTCCCATCAGCCGCCAAAACGTCGCGGGGCGACATCCGCCCCCGCCCAAAGCCAGCCCAAGAAAGCTCGACTCTCGAAGCTTGCAAAAGAGAATGATATCACCGCTGAAGAAGAAACTGAAATAAAAGAGGCGTTCCGCCTCTTCATTGTTGACGATCTCCCTAGCGATGCTGAGGAATACGCCGATGAGGAGGAGGGTGTGATCGAAACGGAAAATGTGCGACGGGCGCTGGTGTAGGTTCCTCTTCAAACTGGTGTATGTTTACAATCCCTAAGCTAACGCGCGCATAATGCACATTAGGGCCCTCGGCTTACCTCCCCAATCTCAATCCGAGCTTAACTCCATTCTCTCTGCCGTCGATCCATCTCGCACAGGATATGTCTGCTACGAACCGTTTCTCTCTGTATGCGCTCTGAAACTACACGCTCGCACCGAAGAGGCTATATCGCAGGAAGTAGAGCACGCGTACCATCTTTTCACGCGCGGCACGGATGGGCCTATTCTCCTGTCTCATTTACGACGTGTTGCAAGGGAGTTAAAAGAAGAAGTGAGTGACGAGCTGTTGCGAGATATGATTCGGGAAGCGAATGGAGGGGAAGGGCTGCATGCAGGTGTAAATGTTGAACAATTCAAAGATGTTATGAAGAGGGCGGGCGTATTTTGATTGAGATCTCTGCGCGGCGTGCCGGTTCTAATATTATGGGTCCGGTATTAGGTTGCACGGGTGCATTCGATTCGGAGTTGGGTTTCGCTCAAGTGAAAGGCGATGGCGTTTGGCATCAGGCTAGAGGTTTGATTACTGAAGTATTGTAACGATTACGCATTTTGGATTATAGCAGAATGCACCTTTTGCCCAAGGTCTTCGATATCGAATGGCTGGCGTGGCTTCTCTATGTATGGAGGAGTTATACAGTTATTCCGGGCAGGGAGTCGCGATCCCTAACTCAAAATTCGGCACGGTCTATAAGCTGGGAAAGTAGGCGAAAAGCAATCTCCTTCAAAGCAGTTCTTTGTGATATTCGAACCCATCACGACATCACGCATGGCTCGTTCCAGGTCACGTGATGGGTATCCTCCACTTCCAATTCTGTAGCGCAGGTACCAAACGACTCCAACTTTGAAGCTGCCGGGCGAAAAGGAAGATGTCGAGACCGCAACTGCGAATACTTCCATGACCAGCTCTTTAATTGGCCGGCTGTTCCGCTCCGGCGGCAAAAGAGGCAGGCTGCGGGCAAGCCCGTTTCGCCTCGGTCTATGGGTCGCAGGCACCTTTTGTGCCGCGAAAGTCTTTAACGAGCATGCTTACGAGCTCCAACTTTCCTCGGGGCCGTCAATGTACCCGACGATACACTTCAAAGGCGACTACCTATTAATCTCGAAATATTACAAGTATGGAAGGGGAATTGCGGTCGGCGATATCGTTACCTTTAAGCACCCATCCTATGTGATGATGGCGGCGAAGAGGGTGGTCGGGATGCCGGGAGACTATGTGTTGGTTGATCCGGAGGATCATGGAGGCCCTTTGGCGAAGATGATCCAGGTAAGATGTTTTTGGGTTCAATTACAGCGAATTGGAAGTGCTGATGGCGCCTGGTTGTTGGATAGGTTCCTGAAGGTCATATCATGGTCACTGGTGATAACCTACCTTGGTCAAGAGATTCGAGAGATTTCGGTCCACTCCCAATGGGTCTAATCTCGGGGAAAGTAATTGGGAAAATGTGGTGGCCACTCAACTATCAGCGTATGGAGAACTCGCTGAAACCCGTCGAAGACATCTCAAGGAGCCAGCCATGATCGCCGCCCATTTCTTCGGGGATATCGTGGAACCGTAGCATCATGAAGTACCATTTTAAATACATGGGACAACTATCTATAAAGAAGCCTCTCTGTTTAAATAGCCCTATTGTACAATATGAAATCAGACGAAAAAAAACGTCCCAACAAAAGCACGCCGACCCCAAAGCCGCTCATTACCGAGATTATCTAAAAGAAGCCGGGTTTCTACGTTTGTATGGTAGAGGCTCAATCCTCTTTCGTCTCAATTCAACATCTGCACCCTCAATTCCAAACTTATTCATCACATCGGCCATATCCTCGTCCCACTGGGTTCTAAACAAATGGGCACCGATTGGCTTGAGCTGATGTCTTCCCTGAATGCTTCGAAGAGAGAAATTCTCTCGTTGAACTTTCTCGGCGACGGTTTTGTAGTCCAAAGCTTTCTGATCCTTCTGTTCCAGGATAAAGATTGAGAGCCGGTGGTAAGGACTTCCTTTCTGCGCAGTCGGCGGGAACCACGGGAGGAGAACCTGTGACTCTGCGGATAAGTCGCCTAGGGAAACAAAGGTGTCGGTGGGGTTGATGGGTACGTTGACAGCAAGGAAATGGCAGTGACTGTCAAAGCCGTCGGTTTCGAGATTTGGCACGTCGGGATCTACGACTGCGATGGTGACCAGCTTTTCTCCTTTGATGAACGATTGTATTTCAAGTTTGGGCGCCACGGAACTAACACGAGAATTCACAAATTCGCCGGGCTGTACGCTCTTTCTGCCGAATGATAACTTCACATCAACGACGGGGTCAATGTGGGGGAGCACGTCTGGAATTACTTTCATTTGTGTAATTCGTTGGATGAGAATCTCCCGTCGGTATTCTCTCCACTTCTTGTTGGCTAGGAATCGATAGATGGGCTTTGTCATATCCCCTACGCTTTGTTAGGACATTTAATTGGGCAATTGCTCCAAATAAAGGGAAACCTACCCAATCCATCTTCAAACCTCCTCTTAATCAGAGGGTCATTGATGTCCGCAAGGATCTTCAATTTCTCGAGATATCGCTCCGTGCCCTTGATTCTGGACTGCTTCAGAGCCTCTCCGCCAATATCCTCGGGCTTTACTGCACGTAACTTCTCCAACCGTGCCCGTTCTATTTCTATCTGCTTCAACTTTTCCGCTCTGTCTTCTATGAGAACCTTTCGAGCTTCCTGGAAACATTGGTATGGCAGCTGTTCGAATGGGATATTAAGGGAACCCTGAAGCGCCGCTCTTCGTCTGCGCGAACCAATAGGAAATTTTCCAGCTCGGATGAGTCTTCGTTCCAGTCGAGGGCTCGTCACTAAAGCGGGATCTGGCGCTCGGTAGAAAGGCTGCGTTGGAGTTTCGGCTTGCGCTTCTTCGAACGGTATGGCGGTGGAGGTGAATGAGCGGGTCGATTGGAGCTGTAACGCTGCAAGGCCACCTTTATAGGATTGGCGCACACATTGCAGCAATTGCTTTGACGCCAACTCGCAGTGCCCCATGGTTGTACTGACGAGAGAAAGTGAACTGGTCAATCAGAATGGGTGGTGTTGAGAAGGGTTGGAAGGGCCCAAGATTTTTCGTGTCCCGAATTGGGTTCACTAGCGCCAAAATTCGAAATCCGCAAAATCACCTTGCGACGAACGACTCGATCGTTCATCCTCAGCATTCCAATCTGCCTGAAGCGACGAAGGAAATAACTAGGCTCCGGTCTATATCACGATGAACGGCAGCAAAGCTCTTGGGGCTTTGAAGTGGCTAAGCCGCAGTTGCAACTGGGCGGGAGCCCTCGAGCCTCCCAAAGTACGCCTTCTAACCAGTCCGTGTGCTCTTTCATAGCTAACGGGAATTTCAGCAATGTCTCCCAAAACAACTATCACGCTCAATGGCTACAGAGACGCAAATCCCGGCCGGTACGCCCTTATCAGCTTTTGCTGATGCCCACGTAGCTTCTACATCTCCAAACGATATCCCTACACCGATCTGGAAACCTACTCCTGCCATTGCCACTCTCTACGATTTTCCTACGATGGAACCACTTCGGTTCCTTGAATATAAGCATGAGCACCTGCTTCTCCCTCTTCGCCGCGACATATTGCACCGTGCTGTGGTCTATGAGGGTGACATGGCACGCCAAGGCACTGCAAACACCAAATGGAGAAGTGAAGTACGAGGAAGCCGCAAAAAGATCCGCCCACAGAAAGGAACTGGTAGAGCGCGTTTGGGAGATAAGAAGTCGCCCATGTTGAGGGGGGGTGGTGTTGCACATGGTCCCCACCCGCGAGACTTTTCAACAGAACTGCCACAAAAGATCTACGATAAGGCATGGCGGACTGCACTAAGTTATCGATACCGCCGGGGACAATTAATCATTGTTAACGACAATATTTCTATGCCCAAGGATACGACTGTGCATTTCTTAAAGGAGATTTTCGATACGCATAACTGGGGAAAGAAATTTGGGCGATCGCTCCTTATTACGGAGGTGAAGAAGGAGAAGCTCTTTAGATCCATAGCAGAAATCAGCGAAGAGGCAAGGGTGCTTGATCGTGAGGACGTGGATGTGAAGGATTTACTCGAGACCGGACGATTGATCATCGAGAAGATGGCACTGGACCGGATGCTCGCCAACCATTCCAGCGATTTGCAGAGCAGGCCAATCAAAGCGTAATTGGAAACATATTATTTGTACAATAGATTTTGCTTGAAGTATCTATTATGCCCTTTGGCTTTTGATTTGATATTGTCTCTTTTGGCGGCGGAATAGGACGTGACAGGAGTTATTTCTCGAAACAAATGTAGCGCTTTTTTAAAATAAAAAAGAAAAAAAAAAATCTACTGACTTTACACGAATCATTCCTCGCTTATTATGCCTCTTTGGCTGTAATTAATGAGAAATCAATGCGAAAATCAAGTCCATTGATGCGATGATATTGTCCGAGGTCAACCGAGCGGAGAAAGGAAAGCTCTCCAACTTTTTCCCATCACCACCAATCGCCGAGACTGCTCCACTCCGGCTCGAGGGAACAGCAATCGACTTCCTGTCACACCCGCGAGTTTACTGCTTTCAACTACGGTGCAGTTGATATTGCAGATTTCCTAATGTCATTAATGTTCCTCCGATCTAGTTGTGTCCGGTCATCGCCGCTGAGCTGGTTCTCGCGGGCTTCCTCAAACACCATGCCCTTGAGAACGAAGGTGGTGAACTCAGCTTTCGCAGGACAAGCACGGGTGAGTAATCGATGGAGATCAATTGTCTTTTTCCCATAATGAGGCTGGACTTTGCTGACTGACTGGACTGGTCTCAAGATGGCGACCACTGCAGCAGAGATTCCTAGAGAACTCCCCGGCGATGAGCCCGATGATGTCGTATTCAACAATCTCTATGGTATTCGATCAATCGAGCTTAACAGGCCGAGGAAATTGAACTCTCTCAATGGCTCTATGGCGCGAAAAATTATTCCCAGACTAAAGGTATGCATTTTACCTTACGTGCATGCGCGATGCGACACTAAAGTGATTCTACTAGGAATGGGAAAAATCGCAGCTGGCGAACATAATCATGATTTCCGGAGTCGGAGAAAAGGCATTTTGCGCTGGAGGTGATGTTGCTACTCTTGCGTCGCAGAATACCCAAGGAAAGGAAGGACAGCAGAAATCAAAAGACTTCTTCTCCCTCGAATACAAGCTCGACCACCTCATTGCGACATATTCGAAACCGTACATTGCGATCCTAGATGGCATTACAATGGGTGGTGGTGTTGGGCTTAGCGTCCATGCTCCTTTCCGGATCGCTACTGAAAAAACCGTCTTCGCCATGCCTGAGACGACAATCGGATTTTTCCCTGATGTTGGAGGATCTTTCTTCCTGCCACGCCTTGATGGAGAAATTGGAACCTACCTCGCGTTGACCTCGGAGAGGCTCGTGGGTGTCCAGGCCTTCTATTCTGGAATTGCTACGCACTATCTCCACTCAAGCTCCCTCAGCAACCTCACGGCACGTCTCTCTGAACTGGTTTTCAAGGATTATGCTCCATTGAAAGAGCGCCTAGCCCTGATCAACCGTACGATTTCGGAGTTTTCTACGGGTCTACCCGACGAGAAGATCTTGCTAGGTGGAAGTCTCCGCGAGTCCATTGACCGCTGCTTCTCAAAACCTACAGTCGAGGAGATCATTGTTGCCCTTGAAGCTGAAACTGATAACAAGGAATGGGCACAGAAGACAGTGGAGACACTAAAAGCACGCTCGCCGACTGCGCTCAAAGTCACTCTCCGCCAACTTCGTGTTGGTCGTACATGGTCCATTGCTGAAACCTTCCAGCGTGAAGAAAAAATTGCTGGCCGATTCATGGAGCACCCAGATTTTGTGGAAGGGGTCACCGCGCGCCTCATCAACAAGCCCCCAACCAAGCCCAACTGGAAACCAGCCACCCTGGAAGAAGTCACCGAAAAGGATGTGGATGAGTTTTTCCGTATCCAGCCGGGTGAACAGCGTCTTCCACTACTGAACCCCGAAGGAGATTACAAGGAATATCCGCACTCGATATTTACGCTCCCTTCTGAGGCCAGCATCCGAGAATATGTACGCCAGTCCGCTGCTTCCAAGACAAAAACCATCAAGGAATTTGAGAACAGACACGCAGGAAAAGATGGTGTTAGTACGAAAGTGTCTGAAGTACTTGACCGGAAAACAAAGGCTATCGCAAATGGAGGGAGAGAATGGGTTGACGAAGCATGATAGTTTGTGGTAGTGTATATATTGTTGGCGCTCATGGGTAACGTGGGCTGAATAGAGCTTTTTGTAAACTTATTCTGGTAAAGAAAGTCAAGCCACTCGTTTCTGAGCACACTTTTACACCCCTCGTAGTTCGATACTCATTAATGGAGTCGACAATCCTTCTAACGGGACAGGGGGGGGAGCTGTTTGCCTGCTTTGCACCCATAACTTACGCAGCAAACATCAATTACGCGCGTGGTGCAAACGGCTCGCCGGAGCACACAGCATAAAAGCAAAATATTTTCCTCTCGAAACATCTCAGCTTCCAATCCCCATTTGGCTGCACGGTTCAACCACCTCACAAATTGTTCATTACTCACTGCCTATGGCTTGCAATGTTGGTAATCATGTGCTGACAAAGGCAAGCGCATCATGATGAAGCTTATATTGACAATTGCAAACATTGATGCTTGGGCATAATTGAATCTTTCCGTCCGCAACTCGACCACCTCAGCTCGACCTAAGCTCATCACGAGCAATTAGAAATGAATGAGAATTCCTAGTCACTGTCACTCCGAGCGCCACCTCCATGCGCAACCCTTCACGAGTTCCACGCCTTCCCCCCCCCCCCATTTCATACCTTTTATTTTCCCCTCTACGCTTCTGCATATGCTAGAGCTCGTCGTTGCCGAAAAAGAACCTTTTTCCCTGAGCGTGCGAGTGTGGACGAAGAAGCAAAAGTATACTATGGAGCCACATACACAACAGATGGAGTGGACTTTGCCCAAAGCAGTCAACCTGGTTTCTGGTTTATTTCAGTATAGACAATGAGAAACTAGGCGGACTGAGTGGGAGACATGATGTTTGGGTCTTTAGGAGTTTCTATCTGTACAGAGTGGACCGAGATTTATGATGCTCAGTGCATTGGCATTATGAGATACGATACTATCTCAATATTAGATAAAAGTAATAAGAGAATTCATGATAATTCCTCCCATCTAGTGTATTATGCAAATTTCATGCATCCTAGGGAGCATATTTTGCGTAAAGTGGAGGTGAGCTTTTTTCATTCCAAGTATACTCCGTTCCGAGAGCCAGGCGATAGTAATTCATTTTGTTTCCATGCAGGGCGAGCCTTACTTCTTCCAAAATGCGTCGGCATCAGGATGGATCTTCCACCCTGGCCTCACTCCTTTTCTCTCCTCCCGCTTCTTGTAAATATCAATGCCAAATCTATCTTTCGTACTGTCCGCCAGCTGCTGAATACCACCTGGGCACGCCTTCTTCACCGCTTCCTCAGACGTGAAACTACCCATAAGTTGAGGCGCACCCATGGGCACCGCGTCACCTCGGTCTACTTGCCACATGTGATATGTTTTGCCATAAAGAGGCACCACGTTTTCCATTTCTGCGAGTTCGGCTTTGTCCCAGACGGCTGCGGGTGTACCTGAATATGTTTAAAACGATCATCCCATTAGCTACTCGCTTCTCCCTGATAAGGGGTACGTGGAAAGGAAAGCTTTACCCTTTGGAGCCGACATAACGAGCATTCCGCTCTTGACTTCGAATTCATGGGAATGCCATAATTCGCGCTCTTCCTTGGGAAGCGATTCGTATATTTTTGGCGTGATCATGTACTCCACTCCAATGAGGCGGGCATTCTTTTCAGGGGAGTCATAGATGAGACACTGCCTGAAGTCTACAAGTTGCATTCCGGCCATTAGTTATGAATTCCAGGACGCACGGAAAGATAAGGTTTGTACTGACCTGCATTTACGTGGCTACAATAGTGATTGGCCTCCACGCATCGGGTGGGATCGTCTGCATACACATGATATGCATGTAAATGGGCGCATATTTGGTTGACAGGCTTGAAGTTTTGAATCATCGATGCTCCGGTTGTGAGCGCTTTGTTTTCCAGTGTCATAGGTTCGCCGGGAACCTCTTTTGCGCCTGCTTGTGACATGGCTGTTGCGACGAATCTGTGTTTCCTGCTGAAAGATAGGTTAAGATATTTGATCTCTGGGCAAAAGCGACCATTTCCAGTTGTCGCTATTGGTATTGAATCTATAGGGCACTCGTTTATATATCTTCGCCCACGCATACTCCATGAGAGTGACGTCATAAGTGGCCTATCAACAGGTTACAGCGAAGTGTCAAACTCCATATATTTAGCCAAATACAATACACTGAGGAGAAGATCAAAATCAAGATATAACAAATTCCCCACCTGGTCGCCGAGCTTTGAATCTTACGTTTGTGATGCGGTACTCGGGAGCCTTGCTCACCTTCCGGGGTTTAAGCCGTCCGCGTTGTTGATATTGGATATTTATGTCACGGACCTACGCAGCATTCTTCATTTCTCTCAAGGCATTCATAACATCCACAGGGCTTGTCATCCCTGTAGCCTTTTGCATCTCGGGGTCCTGTGAAGCGGAATACGTCAGTCGCCGAATACCATGGGGGGTGTATCCTAGCTACGCACCGTGACTCTCATGAAAACGTTATGTAACTAGAAGACCTTGAGTTAGTCACTACACTAAAAAGAAGCTGGCTCGAGGAGAATGCACGCATGGGCATACCTTTTCATCCCCAATAGTAAATTTACCCTCCGTTCGCGAATTATTTTCGCAATAGGCCTGGAGCTTTTTGATCGGCTCTGACTGCGATACCGAGAGACAGAACTTCACGTTGGATTTGGTATACTCGTGACCGGGCTACGAGAGGATGATCTTGATCAGCATCTGTCCGAAACAGAACTGAATCCGGTCCTTCCTAGATATCATTTCCGGCACCAGCGGTGTAAACTTACGTAGACTTTAGTATCGTCTGGCAGCGTTGCAAGAACCTCATTAAGAGCCCTGTGCATCTCTTGGGCGTTGCCCTCGAAGAATCGGCCACATCCTAGCATCATGGTAAGCATTCATTATCCTCAACCGATAGCGCGCAACCAACCGGCAATAAATAGGGTATCTCCGGTAAATACCACCCGCTGGTTTCCGTCTTCAGCAAAGTAGCAGATACTATCTTGCGTGTGACATGGGGTATGTAGGGCAGTCACAGTTATACGATCGCCAATTTTGAATTTTTCACCATGAGCTGGAGTCTTGGTGACCATCTTGCAATCCTTGCCACCGATCACGTCGAGATTTCCAAATTGCTGAAGCTGATATCCGCAATCGGAATTTGTCAATTTGATATTGCACCAAAAAGGCAGACTAGCCTTGAGCACGGAAATAACACTTACAATTCCATCGTTCCCACCAGCATGATCCCAGTGGCTAAATAGTGGTCAGTTTTGTCACAACATGAAGCCCATGGTGGTGTATATGTACTGACTGATGTGTATTGATGATGGCTTTCAGATTAATCTTGCCGGAATCGATATGTGACTTCAGAACGGGAATTACCCTAACCTCTCCATCCGTCAGCATTCCCGATACTGCCGAATGCACCTCCAACAGCCAAAAAAGGAGCCTTAAACATACTCCGGCGGATTTGCGGGATCGACGATCACAGCATCCTTAGTCGGCTCATCGGATATCAGATAGGCATAGTTGTTGCCCTTGCCAGTCCCTGTCGCATGGTCCCGTTTCCATCAGCGAAGCCAACACTTAGGAATCCAAAATGAATTCCTACATAATGATATGGCCATACAACGCATTTTCTACCGGAGGAAGACATACACATGGGAATCGATTCGATATGCATTTTGCGTTTGGATACCAATCTAGATATACCTGAAGATGATATCAGCTCTATAAAGGGCCGTCTTGAAAGCATGGGTTTGCGGAGATAATATGCGATTATACAATTGAAGGAACGGGCAAATACTCCGTTAAGTACGGAGTGCTGTGGGAGAATGTTGTGGGAGAATGTTGTGGGAGATGCGGGGTGACGTCTTTCGCGTTGAGAGCTCGGCTCGGCTTCCTGGCTAGCTTGGGCTTGCCAAGCCAATTTCGGAGGAAGCTTCAACACCAAACTGCGAGGAGCACTCCGTACTTGCGACAGTCTTCGATGAAATCCAACAAAAGGGTTACTGGTTCGTTTGTTCTATATTGCTCATACCTTGTAGCACTTGGGTTTGGCATTCTCAGTTCACTAAATTGAAACTTGTGAAATGCAAGCAGGTTCATACATCACAAACCTTGCTATATTTCCAGCAGATGGTTATTTAAAAATACATTTTCCACGGCCGGGTGACTCGGCTGTTCCCCACGTTCAAAACGTTTCACAGCTGGTATACTTCCGGCTCGGTCATCCGCAAGCGCGTTCTACTCCATGTAGACATCGGCCAAATCGGATATCTCAAGCATTTGGTATGCCTAGCACTCGGATCCCTCATTTATCATTACAATGTTGCTCAGGTTCATATTCCTGGAGCATCAGCGAAACCTTAGAATTGCTAATCATTTCTGCAACAGGGAATCTTTTAGTTATTGATAATTACCGTACCTTGGGGAAGGAATTATACGCTGCATAAGCAGCAGAACGGCAACCCTAAACCCTGGTACCCCGTTAAAACGATAGCTATGCCCTAGACCACGCCTATAGGCCTGAAGATGCGCTTTCGCTCTAAAGTCCAGCCATGATCTCGTAGGCTGACCATATGTAGCCCAGTTTCCGATTCGTGTTTCGTGGCTTCTTGAGAGATGCGCGCGGATCTAGCAGATAACTCCGACCAGTCTCCGCAGCTCTCGATTAAATTATGAAGGCGATCCCTCCAATATCCCCCTCCATTTCGGCAAACTGCTTGGGCATAGGATAGAATCAAATATTGTTTTCGAAGCAGAGCCCACGAGCTCGACTTCAGCACGTGTTCAAACCATCCGTAAACGCCCTCTCTGTAGGGATCTTTTGCTGCATCCAATGACATAGAAAGAGACAGTAAGTCTGCCATCTCGTCTGCGAACTTTGTCAAGAATGGCGTGTAATGTCGGCATATCTCCTTCAGGAAGTCATCCCATGTGGACAAAATATGGTCCATTCGATCTCCAAGACTTCAAATATATCAAATTGTTAGCATTAAAAACGCATTGGAGTTTAAGACGGCGCATACCTCCTTGTTTCCGGTACCAGGACGCCCGGCCGCAGAAGCGCCCTCACAAGAAGCCTATTCCCACCATTTTCGCTCTCACAGATGGCGACGAGCTCACGTATGCTTGATGCCAAATTTAGCTTTCTACTTCCGTCACTCCGTCCTGCCCTGTTCTCTGTGAGAGGTTGTAAAATACCCCAAATGGCATCGCTCAGAGCTTGTTCAGATGAATGTGAATTATCCAGTGGACCCAACTCCGCCGGAATGCTAGCTCCAATCTTCTCCCAGTAGAACTCCCACAGCCACTCAAGCGATCTTTGAGCTGCGTTTCGTAAAACCACCAGGGAGGGGAGTTCGCGATGTGTTGCTTCGTGACGTAATTCCACAAATGACGCCGGTACCCCAAGTGTCATGGCTTTTTGGTACATGGTTTGTCTCCTTCCATGTAGTTTGGAATCTACCAGCCCAGTGATAAATCTGAAACGCTACATTAGCCACAGGCAGACAAATATGAAATGTTCCAATGCGGTAAGCGAATAATAGGTTGATCATTTATCTTACCTACAAAACGCTGATGAATACGTCGCGCGTATCGAAAATATCGAATTCTTTCCTGGGTCATCATGCAAAATCGCGTCCGTCAAAAGCGCTGTCGCCTCCACGGCATGCGGCAGATTTCCTCGGACTTTCCAGACCCATACCTATTGCACGTCAGAACATAGGAAAAGGTAATAGAACTGATAAGCAGCATACAATACTAGAGGCTTTGGGCCGCATGTCGGGTCCCTGGTAACCAGGTGGCGGATAAAATTGATCTCGCACTGCAACGAGCTGGGAGTACTCCTTCCAGGGAGTGAATGTTAATTGCGGCATGTTATATGATTCAATGACAACACTATCTTTTGAGTTGCTTCGCTTATAGGCGAAGAAGCGGGTCTGAACTCGAAGGTGACTCTGGCAAGCGAAATGCTAATAGCGCCAGCTCAGGATCATGGGGTAGGAAGATTGATATGCGAATGAAATGAAAATATGGGTATCAATGCTCTATGCTTTGGAAAGAGAGAAAGAGGAGATATATGTTAGATTCCGAAAGACTTAAACTTCAAATCTTGGAACGAAATGAAACAGCCATATTCAATGTCGTCCTGGGTGTTAGCTGTTGGAGCTCCTTTCCGACCTGAAGGCGTTCTTTGGCATTCTCGCCGAATTTGATGGGCGAAGATAAAGTTTGAATTTAGATTAAAGCTAAAATGCTTAGCCTAACCATCATCTCATTTAAACCAATTAAATGTCGTGCTACGGTAGTGTTATGTAATCAATCAAATTCTTTGCAATTTTTTATCCTCCGGAATTTGAACCTGCTCATTATCATCATCATTCAATAAATATACACTGGTGTATCCATGGGTGTTAATAGTTAATATGGTACAAAGACAAGAATAGCTAAGACGCTCATCAAAGCAGCAGGCCATCAAAAATTAGTGCGCCTATGAATATTTCGGATAGCAAGGGCGGCTTAAACCAGGTCAAGGATTAGCCAGTTTCAGACTTCGCGTCGTCATCGTCGTCGCTTTCGAGAGGGGGTGGACTGAAAGTCTCCTCCAACTTCAGTCCTTTTCCAACCAGTGGCTCGGCTCTAAATAAAGGACCACCAATGGCACCAATCCTATAATGATTTGGTCTCGATGATTCATCCCACGAGACGGCATCGGGCTCATCATATAAACCAACTCCGACAAGGACCTCCTCTGATTTGTTGGTGCTTTCCGAAGAGAATGATGGAGGGGTTTTCGGTTCAGGAAACTCTCGGTATGAAAACAGTTCTGGCGAGGAAGCTGCTGTAGTATCTCTGGATACCGGAACGCGACAGTTTAGAGGCGTATTCGCTCGTGGTGAATGAGAATACTCAGAGTCGATCGAAGTTGATGATACCATAGGTATATATGTCGGCCAGTCAGACTCCGGTTCAGGCTCTTGATAACACACGGGCTGTTGTGGCGGTAAATAACCGTCAAACGGTGACTGGGTAGAAATCGTTTCGAATTGGGCTTGATTGTTGGCAAGAGCTGACATCTCAGCAAATCCCCAGTCCATGAAGCTGTCGGATGCAGCCGTAACTTGGGCATTTGCTGAAACATCCTCCTTTGTCGTCGGAGGTATTGCCAAAGGGAGAGCAAGTTGATAGCTCGGCATGGGTGCTAGATCGAGACGTGATGCAGTTGCCTTCTGGAGAGCAGCATAAAAGCTTGCCGCTAGCTTGTCACTTTGGGTGGAAAAGCGACGATGCGATCCACTCTTGGGCATTATATCTCCTCTCACACAGTTTCGGGGGCTGTTTCCAGCGCTGGGGATCTTAGTGATACGGTTCGAGTGTCTCCTTGCTAGGCCACCGAAATGTACTGGGTACATATATCCAGGACTCCCACTCAAGTCGATAGAAGATATCGTATCAAATTGAGCCATCGTGTCTTGGAAGAAAGTGATAAAGGGGAAGACAGATTTGAAGGAAGAATACAGAGTATTCCTCTTATGATGGACGGGAGAGCAGATAAAGAGAGAAAAAAAGGAAGCAAATAGTAGGGTTTATGAGCTAATAATCCTACTTGGATGTGCTGGCCTGCTTCATAATAGGAAAGTCATATCGGCTGGCATGCGTAACATGGAAAACCGGCCGCTTGGGACTGGACATCATACACAGCTTGTTAGCCGTGGATAGTGGAGAGTGGGTGCAGTGTTCCCGGTGTTATGTCGTGAAGTTACCATCTCGCAGCCATTCTTGACTAGCCTAACAATGCAGTTAGCGCTGGATCTGTTTGACAAGCCGAGCTTCCAGAATGTATCCTTGACTCGCAACTGGATCCCAGCCAAACAAGGTGGTGGAGAGATCAAGGTTTGGAGAACGGAGCAGGCGAAAATGAGAAAGAAAAAGAAAAAGAAAAATTACTTCCTTTTGGTAGCGCCAAGTTTGGGTTTGCAGCTAATTTTATTGGGGAAACACCTCCTGCAGGGACAGGAAGCAGGGCCCCAGCCGCTGATGTGCGGGTGATGTTGTAACAAATTGTGATGGGCCCTCCAGCCTCCAGGATTGGATTTTCTAACCTTAAGCCTTGCGAGCCCCGAAGGCCAGAGCCCACAAGTTAAATCCGGGCGACTAGCATCTCCGAACCACCCGTATCATAAAATACGGTGGATACGTCCAGAGTACCGACTGAGCATGTATGGGCGCGGCGCATGTGTTGAGACGACCGAAGAACACGGCACCTAATTGGCTGAACACTTTTCTTGCAGGGGTGAGCTGTTCATGTCATCCCGTTATTACCAATTCCATGTCATGTACGGAATAATACTGCCCATCCCCGAAGCCATCCATGCCGTGGATGGAGTCATCCACCTATCCAAACATCGCCAGGAATGTCACATCACACAACGGAGTAACCGCTCGGTACTCCGTACGGGGCTGGTGCGATTTTAATAATTTGTGCATTAAGGATCAACATCCACTGTATGGAATTTCTGCAAAGTTCGGAGAAACATGTGATGACACTTGCTCAGGGCCCTGTGGCTAGTTTTCCAATTTGACTAGCAGGTATGCTGTTCCTGGAGGATACAGCAAGAATTCGTTAGGTATTTTACAGTGCGGAGTACAGAGTACAACCGTCCACCGTGCCCCGTACACAGTAGTCAATAAAATTATGCCGGACGGTACTCCGTACCGCGTGCTCCATCTCTTCTCGGCGTTTGCCATGATTTGATTGCTGAAGGTGCTCCACGATGGACTCCCAAGGTTTGAGGCCAAAAAAGACGAAGAGAAAGGGGGTGCCCACCATTTCCCTACATACGCGCAGCAATGCATATTTTTACAACTTGCCCCATCACAAAATCCTGTCCCAGATGTGGATTATCCATCATCGCCACAATCTTAAGGGTCGCCGACCAAAAAAGTTCGCCATCCACGAGGAATTCCCCGTTGCCCCGGTTGCGAATTCGTACGTCATCCGGAAGAAGGGCACAGTTTTTCTGGGAGGTGGCTCGGTCCTGCCAGCGCGCAGATTTTTGGGCGATAACCGTAACTCTGAGTCGGCGACGTTATGTGACCACGTACTCCGTACTCCGTAACCATTCGGTACCGTACCTTGCAATACAGTACAAAAAGGCTGAGTATTTTTGGCATCATATATTTATCACGTGAGTGTGTCTGAAAAGCCTGGGTCCCAAGCCAGTGATTGAGACGACAATCAAAGGCAGAACGCGATGTGACATCAGAAGCGAAACCGGATCTTCTGACGCGACGGACGCAGTGAGGCGGATCCTCCCTCTTTGGGACACCCGCGGCCATTTCAGGCAGCGCAGAAAGCGCGCGTCACCCCGTGGACCATGGTCGCCGAACCACAAGGACGGCGTGACAAGGCCAGACATACATGTAGATTTATCCGCATGTGCTAAGGAAATTCAACGCAATGTATGGCCACCCAACAGACTTTTGAGGAAGCCACTGAGAGTCTGCGACACCCGGTGAAACCTGGTCCTTGACTTGTGGAAGAGTTGGAATATGTCTTCTGACAATGAGAGGGTTCCTAACCCGTTTCAAGGTTGCTGGATCGAGGAGAAATAACGCAAGAGTTGAGAGAAGGAATCGGTTGGGTGGCTTCCATGCGAGCGACAAGGCACAGGGTCTGAAATTTAGGGCCATTGATAGCGGTTCGGCAAACTTGTAACTAGTTAACTCAAATAGTGGTTGCGGTGCTTCTCAAGCCTCGAAAGGACATGGCCCTCAGACAATGGGCTATCTTGACCTATTATTATCTTCATGTCAAAGCATGCATGATCTCCTGGGTGAGGGCATTATAATTTGACAATTATTACGGAGTACCGTGTACCATTATTAGTTTGTGAGGTTTTCACCGCACAGCTGAGGGCACAAGGGTCATTGTTTATGCATGCATGCCTTACCACGCCCCATCTCGGAGCCAGAGATCACGTTCAGCAGGCCGAAGGCATTATTGCTTTTGATTTGATCGGCTCAGAGTATTAAACCAGGGATAAGAATTTGAGCACAGAGGCTTTCCTCAGCCTCCAAATTCCGATCTCATCTCTCCAAAGTCCTTAACTTCCCCCACACGTCGTTACTTTGTAACATACTCCGTAGACAGAAACAGGATGAGATCATCGCCGTTTTATCGTATTTCTAGAATATCCCCATATTTTTAAGAGAGGGTTGGTTTGCGTTCATCAAGCGGAGTTACGAGCTCCCAAGCATTTGAAAGAATTTAGCTCGGCAGGGCCGATCGCTGACATGGTGAATCTTCTGAATAATCCCGATCCTGAGCAACAAGTCGACCGGAAGTCTGAATATGGACGAAGTAGTGATGGCCCAGCCATGGGTCTGGGTTTCCATCGCCCTTCAGATCTTCCTCTTCCGTCCCTTCTGCATCGCCAGCACGAGGGTTCGAGATCAGCGGGAGGAGACGGGACAGAGAAAAGAAAAACTTCTCATCCATCTACTCCGTATACCCACATCCATTGTGCATACATATTCTTGGGAACAAGTCGCTTACTCCTCCGTAATATGTAATTTTGGCAAACACCAGGATAATAAATCAGTTTCAGAAATCAGGGTTCGTCCGCGAGACGATCTCGATTGCACTTCTCCTCGCCCCATCGAAGAGGGGAAAAAAAGCCCGTAAGGCCCACCTCAGTCAATGCCTGGTCGCGGAGCCCTTCACGATGGGCGCGTTTTGGCTAACGATCCCTCCAACGCGGCAATGCCGCTAAGGTGTTCCAGTCAAACCCCACAGTTAGGTACCATCTCTGGGAGAACCAACACCAGGACCGGAACCCCGTGAGAAATCCTTTCCAGATCACAAGGCCTTCGCTTCCTCTTGAAAGTCTGAGCTGAAAGAAAGCGGGTTACTGCTTGGCTCGGACCTCGCAAATCGGGCTGGACGGGAACACGGCATCATGTATTTTATGGACTGCACATGCATACTTCCGAAGAAACGTACAAATGGGCTTTCAACAACTCGTGCGTCTCTCGCTAAGCTGGACAACGGGCGTTTGCCTGGGCTTCATTTTAGTGATTAGATGGCATGCGCAATGCGATCGTAGAATTGTATGCCGTCTTGTTATTCCTCAGCCCCACACTGTATTTGAAACATGTCTTTATCCAGTTGTTGTTCAGGGTGCAGGTCTCTGATTCTGGCTGCCCTTTTGCTCAAGAATGGGTTCGAGGATGTGATGCCCCACCACATGCAGCATGGAGATGAAAGTATCCTTGGGTGGGAAACTCAACCAACAACCTCACTAACTAATAAGGAGCCGCCCAAGGTGAACGCACGTCCGACTTCCAGGGTTTGCGAGCGAACGAAATGCTACCTCAAACGAAACTTACCGCATGACGGGTCTGCCGCTCACTCCTCGTCCCTGGTCCATGGAAACGCCTTTCTTTTAATGTCTGGGACCGTCGGTTCTAACGTGCCTATCCTCGACAGAGCCATCCATCCGTTCTCATCGCTCAAAGAACTCTTCGTCATTTTTCCAACCACCCTCGTATCGTGCAGGCTGTCGAATCAGGATCCGGGGATTGGAGACGACGAGCGTCACGACCCATCACATCTTCTCCCTCATGCTTCGGGGAAAAAAAGAAAATAAATCAAAATAAAAATTGCCAACCCGTACTCCGAACGGCGTGCTCCATAATGTTGCGTCAATTCAACTGAAAGGAGAGTTCTTTCGATCTTCTCCTCCATACGGAGGCTCTCCTTGTGGAAGCGAGCTGTATCGCCAACTGTCCAGTCAGTTCGTTAGTGTGAGTTGATGACGGAGTAACTCACTTCCCCGTACTCCGTAACTCCGTCCATCTTCCTTCGCTTCGGTCAAAGCGTCGGTCCAGCCGCATCTTACAGTTTGTGGATTCCACATATCCGTCTTTATGTCTGTCGCATGACTAATCGTATGCATGGAGCCCCTTCTAATTCTCGTCATACGCAACTTTGAGATGGTGCTGCGGAAACTTGCCGTTTTCAGCCCGAATGGCGAGCATTAACAGCATCAAAAAAGTGACAAGGGGGTGAACCAAGGCGCGTGTTGGATGTGATGCAAGCCAACAAGGAAATGCTTTCTCAGCGTACTCTGTCAAGACCTGAGTACTAGATGATGCGCGCAATGCTCTGACAGTGCACGCGTGAATTTTCGTCACAATGAATGGAGCCCCGCCGCAAAATCCTTTCGGTAACAAGCCACGAATCAACATTTTAATGATACGCCCCATAAGTAACTATCCCTTACTGTCATGCACTATGGCAAATGGTGTTTGCGACATGTTTCTGTCCTCTGGATCGACCTTGGAGTTGCTCCACACGGAGGTCTAACACACCTATACTTCGTACTCCATATTCCAAAAAAAAAAAAAAAAAAAAAGGCCAGCTCTCGCTTGTCCAACCTTTCGAACCCAAATTATTCCTTAAATAGTCAATGCGTCTTGGAGACGCTTTCGCATTGGTTACATTCTCCCACCAGGATGGAACAGGAGATCAACTCCGTTTCTGGTTTGACAAGCATCACCCGGCACTAGGATGCTGGATCATTGGTACATATTCCCGCCCCCCGGGCGGCGGTGCGGTCGTTAATTATATTTTTAAGTGAGTCGTTCAGGTCTGGTTGTAGTCTGCTGACAAGATCTTCATGATTCCTCTTTACATCAACATTCCCCTGGTGACTCTTCCAGTCGGAATGATTCATACAGGGAACATTGTGCCTTTGGCAAACGGTTGTATGGGTGTCCAATACAGTGTCTCACTGCTCAAGGTCCTGCAGCCTGCCGGGCATCATTCACAAGCCACAGCAGTTGCGATTTCTTGTCCTGTTTGGAACGGAAACCCAGTTACTCTGAGTACAGCACTCACTTGTAGGCTGCAGGCATGCATCCAAGAAATCCTTCAATGTTTGACATCCAGAAGTCGATTATCATACCATGCCTGCTGGTCTGCGAATTTGAGACACAGAGGTACTCTGCGCAGAAAGTATGACTGACCTTGTGGTTTTTCTTGGAATGCCGGTGACAGTCCTATTTCCAATTCCGTCCAGTGACTGGTTTCACTTACGAGCAACGGTCATCGGCCGAACCATGACAACCATCTAAACCATCTAATCCCTGCTCATTAGCTGGGAGGGATACCCGAATTAAATGAGAGGCTCAGATTCAAAAGAGATCCTCGGTGACTTGTTTAATCACTAACTCGGACAATCGAACATCGGATGCATCGACATATTCTGTACTACCGACCTATCCAGGCGGTCAAGACGATTGTCAAGTCCAAGAGCAGGCGTACAAGGAAACAAGGGGCCTCAAGATGTGGCAAGCTCCAGCTATTGGTCCATTTGGCTCCTTTAGTTTATTGCTTTTACATAAATTTTATAGTACTCCGTACGGAGTGCTTTGAGGGTGTTTATCTCAGAAAATCAACGAAGATTGCCTGCGGCCAAATCACTGGTAACAGCTGAGAGACAGACTGTGATTCTTTCGGCGTTTCGATTGATCTGCAACTGACCATTTGCGCACAACCTCGGGATATGACATGGATCACCTTGACACCGCACCTCCGGTTTTCAGCTCCAGTCGCATTCCTAGGAAGATCAGCCTGCTAGGTTTTCCCTTTCCTTATCTTTTCCTTCCTTCCTTTCTTTCTTTTTCCTTTCTTTTTTTTTTTTTTTTTTTTTTTTTTTTGTTGGGAAATCAAGCATTTGTACAGATACTCCGTGCTCGCCTGATCATTTTAGTAAACTTCTGCAGGTATGTTCCGTGCCTGTCTCACGCAATTTGTGGTTTACAGGCTGCATCCCAACACCCAGGCTGTAGAATTTCTAATGATTTGTGCGGTACATTTCATATTCTTGGTTCTGTTGATTGAAGTTTGAGCTTTCACTCCGGACCCCTGTCACCCTCTTGTAGCCGGTAATATGAAGCTTTTGCATCACCTGCGGCAGGGACATGGGGCCACGGGTAATACAGTGCAAGGATAGGTACTCCGCACACATACCCATACGAGGTATCGAAATTACTAATTTAGTTGCACAAAAATGGAAATGAAAAAGATTTTTTTCTTCGACTCCTTGTTGTTGCTTTCCCGCTGAATCTCCATGGCGGTTAAGATCGCCTACTGAGAGATTCAAACAAGATGTGTGCTTAACCTAGCTTCTCCCTGCCATAGTATTATCCAGCAAGAGAGGCTCAGCGCGCGGTATCGCTCAACACGCGCGGAAAGCGTATCCACTCTCGTGGTAGCATGGAAACCCCATGCTTGCCCGAGAACGTTCCTTTTCAAAAATGAATTTTTCGAAAAGTCTTCCAGAAACCCGGATTATTCATTGAGCTCCGCGCAAAAAAATCTTACCTTCCTCGCATGCATTGATCTCCCATGTATCTTCTGAGTGAAATGATCTTTTTCCAAACTTCTCCCATCGCACGCGGAATCTTTCTTTTCTCTTATCCGGGAATTCCGGCACATATCAAGATAATACTGAAACCTTTTGTATTGATAAAAACTTTTCTCCATACATCCTTATACTATGGTAGCATCCCGGAAGAACATTGATTCCACACTCCCAGCTTCTTTATTGACCGCAAAGGTAGACCTTCGAATGAACGGTATCGGGACGGATCCACTTCATCGTTACCTGCATGGGAGTTTATCCCGGTGCCATTTACGTTAGTCTCATCCATATAATTTGCTCTTCCCTCCCTTTCCAGCTCACATCCCTAATCCATCTTGACGACTCGCCTCGAAATCCAAATTTTATCTCTTTGTGGTACGGAGTAACTATTAAAGCCTCTCACAGATTTCGGCTTACGCGCCAACTACGTCCTTGACACCGCAGACGCCACTGCGTCAGACATTAGCTCTCTCCCATTAAAAGTATTCCTTTTTTCTTTTTTTTTTTTTTTTTTTGCCCGTTAGGTGACATTCCCTCATCTACCTGTGCATCTAAATCTTTTGAGGAGAAGCTAGACTGAGTTTATGCTGAACCACCAGGAGATCATACTAGTGAACCTTTAATGTGATAGTGACAGCGGAATGTTTGATTGAACCGAAGGTGAAGGGCGGGTTTGGGTTGTTGCAGGCTGGAATGCAGAAGAAGCTTTACTCTCGATGTGGATTTGGGGGCTACTCGTGAACCTCCCAAACGATGGATGTACGTAAAAGTACTATAGTAGCAGGCCGAGCAATAAAATATCTGTTCTTCGTACTCCGCACGGAGCCTGGAGCGAAGGACCCCTTAGGTTAGTACTCCGTACTAGGGGAGCTTTAAGCTTAATTTTAGGCTGCCTTCCTCTGGGCCAGTAACTTGGGCCATATTTTGCCAGGTCGAACTTCTAAGGCACACTTGAACATTAACCTTGACAAGGGCTTTCGCATTCACTTGCACAATGCCAGCAGTCGGGCCCTGAGATGGATTCATTTTTCTACAGTCGTCATGACTGGATGGATACCAAGGCCGAATTCGGGCATTGTTACCAGACGGGCACCCAAACACCGACAAGGTCGAAGATCTCCAAGGTCTAGCGCCGTAATCCACCTAACCTCTTCATGCCCAACCAGAACTTCCGCAAATGGCCACAGGACTGGGTCTGGTCTCTCGCCACATAAACGATGACGCGCCGTTTTCGTGTTGGAGGGAAGATGCGGTGATCATTCAGGACGCGGCCTCCTCCGAAAGATGACATTTGTCAAAGAAATATCAGGCAGAGGGGATTGAGCTCTGTGATGAAATGACTGTTGTTGAAACTACCCAAAGCCCTTTCCACTGGCTGATGGCTGTGGCCTTGCCATATTTGCTCCGCCTCGCTAGAGACCAGGATATATGCGCTTGTGGTTCAGCTCGAGCTCTTGAGTTCAAGGTCCGTGTCCGCATCTAGCCTAGAATAAAATTGAGATACCGAAACAATCCCTGGCAATTGACATTGTTTCAACTCTCGCTAAACTGGTGAAGGTCCAAGAATATAATTCCCTCCTAGGCTCTGTCATAACTCAACCCGTTCACGGGGGTGGATATGTCGCCTCACATGTTTACCGGGTGTTGCCGCTGGTTTGATTCATGGCTTATCATTGTGCTCCACGTCATTCAGTGCTCTCCAGGATGATGGTGATGAGGATGATGTGTGCATGTATAAGCATTTACTGGATCCAAGTCAACACCTTCCCAGGTCTGGCTCCAATCTGTGGAATTGGCCACTGCTTCAAGAGCCTGAGTAGTACTGGCTTTTGAAGCTGTAAATGCCGTTCCACTACATGTGGAGTCCTCTCTAGGAATTTGTGGCATTCAATTTATGACTGTGTCCGACCATGGATTTCTCGATAAGAATGAGTTCTCCGCTCACATAATAACGGCGATTACCCTGGGATGCTTTACACCTGTAAATTCTGCCCGGTTTCTAATGAGAGTCCTCTTCAACTAGTTGAAAGAAGAAATCTTGGTCAAGGCTTGTAGTGTAAAATGGATTGCATGATGACAGAGTACGTTTCATTTCTTATTGTCCAGAACAGCCGCTAGGATACTTTGAAATCCTGGTGCCTGGGGGAAGCACAGCACATGAGCTTTTGCATAGTTGAAGCTTGAACGGTCATGGACGGGATTTGCGGTGTTACCTTGGGTGGAGTGGAGACTGGAAATGCTTTTTTTCACCCTCGCCTCAAAAGGTGACTTTGAGCACTGTGCTCGACGATCACGTCGAGGAACGCGCATATCTCAGCCATCAAGATTCTCAGGTATGACCTCGGGCATGGCTGAATGTCCAACGAAGCAAATCAGGCCTATTTATAGAATTTGACTCGATAATTTACCCAGCTAAATCCAGGATCAGAGTTCATTGCAGAGGGGTGATTTAAAAAAAAAAGAAAAAGAGAAAAAGAGAAACTCTTCATTTTCAACTTTCTCACTCTGATATTTTATCGTTGGCAGGCTAAAATACGACAGGATACGTTTTATCAAACTTAGCATTTCTCAGCTTGGTGAAACAATCAAACGAGTCGGTTGTCGTCGGATGACATTCCTCACAGGTGAATTAACTATATCGAATATGGGGATTCGAAACAGAGGCTGGTCTTCACCACCCATCCCGGTAATAATAACAAGTGAATATTTCGTATCAAGTGTCCTTTTGCATGTGTTAAGGTTATCGCGGCCTTTGCATCTGGCTCCATCCAAATGGCCTCCCGTCGGCCCCGGTATGACGTCTAGGGCTGGGGGCCACATGCCCGCTAAATATTGTTTCGTCCATCAAGAGTTCCACTCCATGAACAAGAGCTAATCACAATGTCACCCTATAGCAGCATGGTTGAGGAATAAGTAATACTGTGAGTTGAATTCCATTTAGCAAGCGAGTAGGAATGTATGTGAGAGATGGTGGAGGACTGGACTTCCCCTAGACTTCCCCTAAACATTGTGTTGCCCAGACCCCTTGCTCATGATGACGCCACTCGCCGCGGAACAAGCTGAATTTACCCCAGCAGCCCCTCGGTTGACGATTAAAAAAACATCATGAAACTCTGATTATCCAGGGCTCTGATTGAGAAATCCTCCGGAAACCTCATTTGATGAACTGGAAATTTATTCTGCTAGCTGGCTACCCTTGATGGCTCATACCGCCGGCGGCGACACACGATTACAGCCGGGCTTGGTGAGTTCCTGTACCCGTCAATTCATTGATCCCGCGACTCGATGGCCCTTGCTCCATCCCCGCGGCCTGATGGACGTTGATTCCTAATTACTGGTCCTTTTTTACGAGATTTAGGCTTCCCAGGTCGATTCGGAAGATGATTCGGACGTGCAACATCGGCTCGAGGTAAGATGGCCCAACCCAGGGCTGGCTTCAATCCTACGATCGTCGAATATTAACCTGATATCCCTTTGCTTTTTCTGTGCAGGTGACCTTCGGTACGGATACGAACCATCGTCGAAAATCTTCCTGGGTCTCAGCTGATACCCCTCGACATGCTCACGGCCATGTCGACCACTCTAGCAACGCAGCATGTTTCGTCCACTCGCTCCTCGGGAGACCAAAAGAGTTGCACCTCAAGCCAGTGCAAGAGACCGTCCAAGAAGCGAAGGACGCCTCGAAAGCTCCTAGCGACGCCAACGCCGGAACTGGCATGGTCCTGGAGTCTCGGCTGCTGACAAAGAAGCAGCTGTCTGAAATGGCATGGAACGTGAGAACACTCTCGAAAAAGCTGGGAAATGTTCGGTTGAAGCTCAATGTTAAGAGCGTCTTTCTCTTGACAAAGCCGCAAGATAAATGCCTGGTGCGTCTCACCAGAGACGTTACCCAGTGGATCCTTTCCAAGGAACGAGAAAGACAATATACCGTCTATGTGGAAAGAAGATTAGAGAGTGAAAAGGACTTTGATGAGGCTGGTATATATGCTGAAGAACCCTCAGCAAAAGGAAGACTGCAATATTGGGATCCAGATCTCATTAGCCGGAAACCACAGTTAATTGATTTCATCATCACTCTTGGAGGTGATGGCACTGTCCTTTATGCTAGCTGGTTGTTCCAGCAAATAGTTCCTCCTGTTCTCTCCTTCTCTTTGGGATCCCTTGGATTTTTGACCAATTTTGATTATGGAAATTTTCGTGCTACATTGCAAAAGTCTTTTCACGAAGGTGTGACTGTTAGTCTTCGTCTGCGATTTGAGTGTACTGTGATGCGAAGTAGGAGCTGTACCCCAGAGATTGCGACTTCAAAGCAGAAAGATCTGGTGGATGAGATTCTTGGAGAAGAATCTGAGGACGATGTAACACATGCGCCAGACATGACATTTCAGATCCTGAACGAAATCGTCGTTGATAGAGGACCAAATCCAAGTATGTCTTCAGCCCCTTTTGTGCTAACTGGCCACAAGATTCTTATATTTCCAATAACAGCGATGTCCTCCTTGGAAATATTTGGCGATGATGAGTACTTCACATCAATACAGGCAGATGGTGTCTGTGTTGCAACACCGACTGGATCCACAGCGTACAACCTGGCTGCGGGTGGCTCACTCTGCCATCCGGAAAATCCTGTGATTCTCTTAACAGCAATCTGCGCACATACGCTCAATTTCCGTCCTATCATCCTCCCGGACACAATCGTGCTCCGAATAGGTGTGCCATATGATGCCCGCACCAGCTCGTGGGCGAGTTTTGATGGCCGTGAACGGTGAGTTGAACAGTCCACGCCTTTCCAGACCTGAACCTGACCAAGATGTCATAGCGTGGAGCTTTTGCCCGGAGATTATGTTACAGTATCAGCCTCGAGATTTCCCTTCGCGAATGTGATGACTCCCGGCCAGCGTAGTCACGAGTGGATCAATAGCATCTCCCGAACCCTCAATTGGAACTCAAGAGAAAGGCAAAGAGCATCAGGCCATAATAAGTATTGTGAGAAATATAAGAGATGAAGCGTTTTGCCTCAATCAGAATTCATCCCTCGAAACGTGCACATCTCGACACACTGCATGAAGCACCCCGGACTCCGCTGCATAGAACCGACGGCTGAACCGAAGGCCCAGCAGAGTTTGGTGCTAACAGTATTCCAGGCCTATGCTCCTTTGGTAAGGATTTTAACCCCCATGAAGAGGAATGGTATGTGGTTGTAGGTGCTCACGAATGCGAGCAGGGGCTCGATCATAGCAGCCAGCATCAGGAGTTCAGTGTTTCTGCTGTTGGTATTAACTTATTTATTAGAGGCTATATGCATTTATACTTAATTTCAATAGCTTCCAAGGGAAGTGAAATCCAGTGCTTGATAAATAAAGCCATGTAAAAATTTAAGCTGTGGTTGGTGATCGGGAGACCCAACAAATGGCTTGGCGGCGTGGGACTCTGCTCCTCAAGACTCTATGGACCATGGAGCAATAGAACCCTGGCGTTTGCAAACCTCATAGCTTCATTCACAAGTACTTCGTACATCATCTTAATACACATAACCTCCAATTCCTGCCAGACGGCTCCCACACGGAGTATACTTTTACCTTATAATATTCCCCCGGGAGGCTTTGGCCCATGTCCTCTTCAACAATGAACGCACCAGCAAGGCATCCGCCCGCACACATGCACGCTGCATCTACCAGCGCAATCATGAACCAGACCAGAGAAGAAAAGCACCAGCATCAACAATCACAATCAATATCCCAACCTCCACTAGAAAGATCGACGGGATTACGGGTCCCATCCAATCGCAAGACGATATACGATCGGAATCTGAATCGCAGTCGCAATGCGGAATCGAGCAGAGCAAGCTTTGCGTACTTGTTCGCGGAGATGGTTACATACGCGCAGAGACGAGTGACAGGTGTCCAGGATTTGGAGAGACTGTATGGCTTCCTGAATTTTCTACTTCCAATTCATGAGCTGGGGGAGAGTGGGGAATGAAAGTGTGCCATCGACGCGGCAGTCTCTTTCATTATTCTTCATATACGATCCGGAATCATAGATAGAAGCGGCTTTGAACCCACTGTTTGCTAATTGAAATCGTATCTATCTAGTCTCAACGAACAAGGTTATCCTCTCGGCCTTCGACTGCTTGATCTCCTACTATACCGCACCCTCACAACCTCGTCCTCCAGCAGCTCTTCCACCCAGTCAATCCGACCCCTGCGCATAATATCTCTTCTACAACTCATCCACGGTCCCCTCTGGCGCCTTCTTTTCTCCCGTCCCGCGGATGCCCTTGAACATTCCGTCTCTCCCGATACACCCAACGAATATATGATTACTGATAATGATCCGTTGACAAATATGTATATCTCTGTTCCGCGAGAAATGGGCCTGTTGAATTGTGCCGCGTTTGTAGCGGGAATTATAGAAGGAGTGTGCGATGGGTGTGGATTTGAGGCCAAGGTTACGGCGCATAACCAGGGGAATGAGATGTGGCCCAGCAGAACAGTTTTTTTGGTGAAGTTCGGGGAGAGCGTGATGGAGAGGGAGAAAATGTTGGAGAGGGCGGGAGTGAAGTAGGTATGGTTCAAGATTTTAGAAACGGGCTGAATGCTGTTTATTGTTTCCCAGAGGGCCCTAGATATAATGTGCGGAGCTGGGAAGGAGTTCGCTTCAGGATCTCATAAAGGGCATATGTGGCGTTTTGTTGGGCTTTCGTCAGGTAATGGAGGAAGTGGATAAGAGACACCATCAGATCTAGTGGACATTCTTCAGGAACTTCCACATAATCAACGTCATAGATATTTATACCTCTGAGCAGGTGTATTACCCGTTCAGTTCGGAAAAGAGATATGCTGACATACATCTACCAATTTGCCTCATGTTTTGAGAACTTGAGCTCCATCCTGAAACGCCTTGCAATGCAACCATGGGTACATGTCATATATGAATGAGCCTTTTGAAAAAATCAAAATGCATCTTACGCCGCAATATCAACCCGCCGCCTCTTTTCACGATCTGCATAGGGCGACGGGCTCCGTTTTCTCCTATTCCGATCATAGTCCCTGTCCCGATCTCTTCTAGGAGGGGACCGAGATCTCGAGAGCGAAGGAGAACGTCGTCGTCTACGAGTTCTCGATAACGACCGGGATCTGGATCTATATCTCCTCCTATGAGGAGATCGACTTTGGCTTCGCCGTCTTGGCCTTTCTCTTACAGAGCTGGCATTTGCACCTGTGGGGCCGGAGGACTTGTCATAGTCAGGTAAGTATCGCTCATCGGTGATTCCAAATCGGGAGGCACTGTTTGCCGGACCGGAAGAGCGGTAATATGCATCCACGCCCCAGCGGCCGGTATCTTCAGTCCTTAAGTCTTTGTATTTTGATCTTCCTTTTCTTCCGATCCGCGTCATATCTCGAACCTGGAGGTACTGTGGTAACGCTTCACGATTACGAACTTCATCAACATATCGGCTGCCCATCAAATCTCGTTGCGTCAAACCATGTTTTTCAGAATCGGGCTGGAAGAAAGCGCCCTTGTGGAAGTATTTTTGCATGAAGCCCGCTTTGCCTCTACCCGCTTCCCGTTCGTCTTTTTGTTTGGCAAGGAATTCACGGTCTTCTCGCTCTCGCTCTTCAGCAGTGAGATTTCGGCGGCGTTCGATTTCTTCACGCTCCTTTTCGGCGAGCTCGATTTCTTCACGTTCGCGTTTAACTCGTTTAAGTTCGCGTAATTTCCACGCTGCTAACTCGGCCGCAGGATCAAGACCATCAGTGTCATCAATATTATCTTCATCTATACCTGCTCCGGTTTCGTCATCATCATCCCATGACTTTTTCTGCGCCGCTCGGGAGGCCGCCTCCTTTTCTATTTGATCGCGGATCAGCAGCTCTGCCTTTTCCTTGCGAATCGCGACTTCGTCTTCCTCTGCGGCCGATGTTGCGGCAAGGGCCGGACCAGGGGTAGACGATTCTTTACGTTGATTCTTCTTGATGAACGTTGGTCTTAGAAGCAGTCGCTTTGGACCCTCATCTTCAGAACTTGATTCTTCATCTTCCGACTCTTCATCTTCCGAGCTCTCTTCACTTTCGCTGACAGCCGGAGGTGCTTGCTCATGGTTGGTAACCGTTGTGGGTCTGAGAGGCGCTGCTTCAACTTCTTCCTCGGTCACAAACCCTTCTTCGTCCTCATCTTCTTGTAACGTCACCTCTTTCACACCACTTGTTATCTGCTTCGTATCTCTTGCCGGGAAAGACGAAGCTTTCGGCGGCGGCGGCGGTTTCTTAGCCTGCTGCTGCCTTATGCGCTCTTGCTCCTTCTGCTGCTCTTCAACATCAATCCCCTCTTCCTCCTCTTCCTCTTCCTCTGATGACTCTCTTTCTTCGACTATGGGCTTTCCGGGTCGATATCTTTTTACGGGTTTAAGCGGGTTTGCCGTCATACGACGATTGGAGGATGTGAAGGTGGGAGGAGGCATAGTGACGAAATGTTTTCACTAAATTTGAAACATGACCTAAAGAAGGAGGCCGACGGCTTTCTGTGCGAATGGCTACCATCAGCTCGACGGGGCGGTTGTGTTGAACTTGGATGATGTTTGCTCATTTTGCCCGACTGCTTCGGATGGGTGTTATTCCGGTGCCGATGAAGATCGCCCGCCCCAAGAAATCCACAGATGGATCGATCTTTGAATCATGTGATCTAGCCAATGGGGGCTCTTATCTCCGAACAATGGTCGCCCGGTTTCAGAGTTTTCCGTTCAACCCTGCATTTCCCGCAAGATTAAGGAGTCAAAAAGCCAAATGACATTTCCACGTTCTGTCCTTTGTGTTCTCTCGAGGCCACCTTTCATAGGTATCATGACCTCATCCAGCTTGTACATGCTGTCTAGACCAATGTCTGTGCTGTCGGGTATGAACGTGGCGCAAGGGGCTCTGGTCACTGCGCTCCAGCAGACTGCCATGCCAAGCTCAGTTGAGCAGACCTAGGGCACTTCGCCGGCGCCATTCCCGATATAGACTAGAAACTCAACTTTAAGTTGTTTTCACTAAACCAAAGAGAGAAACGATCGGCAATAGTCGATCCCTGTGGCTCCTTCTCATTTGGACAGGATAATATTGCTCTCTCCCTCGCTGCTGCTTTCCAGGACCCTCTCCTTTCCCTTCTTTTCAGTTTCAAGTCATTCCTTCCTTTCCCAAAGCTTCGCACGCTCCCTAAATAATATATATCAGCAGAGCCATTCTTTCCTTCCCTGGACCTTCTTCCTTCCCCCTGGCGGGGCATTTATGTCTCTGTCGTTCCTTCCGACCCAACACAACCCCGTCCGTCACTCCTTTTGACTAAGCCGCTCGCTGCAATTCCGTTCATGTTTCCGCGTGCCACTCTCTGACATCGAAACATCACCACGACACTCCCTTAACACGTCAAGACCAGCAGTTATACAAAACATATCTAGAGTCAGTATACATTACAGCAATGGCAGCCTCTGGGCGACTGTCGATTATCTGGCTCCTCGCCCTGATTGCCGGGTTGATATCACCAGCGATAGCGCAGACATGGACCGACTGCAATCCTTTGAAGCGAGACGATTGCAAGCCAAACCCAGCACTAGGCATGGATTACACATATAACTTTACCGGGCTTCTCAATGCTGCTGTCTGGAATACCACCTCGGGAAAAGTTATCAATGGAGAGAAAGGAGGTGAATTCACCATTAGAGAAAGGCTTCAGTCGCCCACTATTCAATCAAACTTCTACATTTTCTTTGGAAGACTAGAAGTGCATATGAAAGCGGCAACTGGTCAAGGAATCGTTAGCAGTGTCGTTCTGCAGTCCGAAGACCTGGATGAAATAGACTGGGAATGGGTCGGCTCTGAACAGGGTCATGTCCAGACAAATTACTTCGGCAAGGGAAATGATACTAGCTTCGACCGCGGAAAGAAGCATGAAGTCAATGACCCGATGCATTCAATCCACAATTATACCGTTCATTGGACTGCTGAGAAGCTGGAATGGTGGGTTGATCAGCAGCTGGTCCGTACCCTCAAATATGAAGAGGCCGAAGGCGGCAAGTTTTACCCTCAAACACCAGCCACGGTGCGTCTGGGGATTTGGCCTGCCGGAGATCCGGGCAATCGTAAGGGTACCATTGAGTGGGCCGGCGGTGAAGTGGATTACAGCAATGGCCCGTACACAATGATAGTTAAGCAACTGAAAGTTGAGGACTTCCACAAGGGAAAAGAATACGTCTATGGGGATCGCTCGGGTGACTGGAAGAGCATCAAGGTTATTGAGTACGATTCTGACCCTTTTGCATTGCTCTGACATAGTCAACATTACTGACTTGTTTTAGGGGAGTTTCGAAGGTTGCAGAGGAGGCGTCCAAGCCACCACCGAAATCGCTGTCGGAGAAATGGAATGACCTTTCCGCAGGCGCAAAAGGCGGTATCTTTACCGCTGCCGGTATTGTGGTCGCCATTTTCGCAGCTGTTATTGCATTCTGCTGTGTCAAGCAACGCAGAGCAGGCCGCAAAGAATTCAATATGGAAAGCAGCAAGTTCGCCACAGAACAAACCAGTAACATGGCTCTTCGATCACAATGGAATCATAAGTACCAGGAGGTCCGCGGGAACTGAAAACTTTCTTTTTTCTTTCAAATCAAAAGAAAATATTTTCTCCCAATACCCCCACATATCTTGTACAGAAGCTTGGACTCGTTGCTTGGCCGGTCCAAGCAACTCTGCTCTGTACACTTCCATGATATCCAGACAGGTTTCGCTTAACAAAAGCTGGGTCATTTTCATATTGCCATCACGTACCTTGTTAGCTATCCTTTTTTTTTTTTTTTTTGCCTCCCCTGCGCTGTCATATTTCTACTTAAACATGCCTCTGTTTGTTGTGGAGTTGGCCCGGCGATCATCGTTCTCCCTTCCCTGTTTATAATCTGCGAGTTATTAGTGGGTGTCTTCCTTCTGCATGTACAACACATACGAGATAACGAAACCTTAGGGTCTGCTTCTATTAGCTTCTCAGCTTGAATACCTCTTCGGCTTTCCATATTGTTCGTGAACAAGCGGTACAGCCTGATAAAAACTACATAATTTCATGTGCTAAAACTGCACATTCAAATTTTATTAGGTTTTGCTGCGAGGGCTCCGAATCATTCCAGGTCGTGCCAAGGAGTTCTTCCGTGCTTCCAATTTTGTAAATAGAAACCGGGCGAGAACTTCGTTGGCCTGTGATGATTGCGATTCGATGACAAATACAGAGTTCTCCGTATGAAGTACGCCGCATATGCATGCCAGTTCCACCTACATTGCCATTCAATCGCCGCGCTGCTGTTGAAGGATACGAGACGCGTGTGCCACGAGACGAGGCATTCTCGAAAACACGTGACGTCATACAGGTGGAACCTCTCATCATATTTACGCCTAGGGATCCGAAATGGGCTTCTTTGACTAACTGACCTCGGTCCCCAGAGACTCATTTGTGCAAGCTATCTTTTGAGACTGAAGCTCTGAAGAATTAAGAATGACTCGTCATGCCCTTGTCCTTGGTGCATCGGGTATCTCTGGCTGGGCTCTCACCAATCAACTCCTGCGTAATTATCCCCGACCAGGAGTTTGGAGCCAGATCACGGCCCTCTCAAGAAAGCCTATGAGCGAAGAGGAATGTTTGCATTGGCCCAAGGATGAAAGGCTGAGACTTGTCTCTGAGTTTGATGTCCATAATGACCCAGAGGAAGTGTTAAAGAGGAAGTTCAAAGAGAAAATTCCCGATGTTAATACGGTGACACAGGTCTACTATCTAGGTATTTGCATGGATGATCCTAATCTGAACCTTGAGGCAGCGAGGGATCGCTTTATTTTGGCATCTATTACTAGCTTAGCTTTGTTATGCCGCTGGGAAGGAAACGAGAGCAACCAATATTCTGGCAGATGAATATGGAAGAATATATTTCTAACTGTGAAGTCTTCAACAGTCCATGATCCTCCTCCTAACCCCAACGACAAGGATCCACATGCAATTAGCTTGAATGCGCTGCGCAAGACCGTTACTATTCTCGACAGTTTGGCTCCAAGCCTTGAGTTTATTTACCTTCAATATGGCACTTTTATATATGGGTTGTGTTTCCAGTGGATTTTAAACATCCTTTGCCACTTTCAGAATCTCTTCCGCAGTTTCCGCCACCATTTGGCGACGTGTTTGCGTTTTCCCGACTCAGCCGCTTCATGGAAGAGTTTTCTGCCGACAAAGCCTGGAAATGGTGCGAGGGAAGGCCGGGCGACATAATTGGTTTGTGTGCATAGATGCACGAGTTTCTCATTTTTAGGACGGAACGTCTAATGCCACACGACCGTCTTGATAGGTTTCGTTCCCCGACTCAACGTGTATAACGCTGTTTATCCAGTTGCGGCTTACCTCTCGCTGTATGTGTACATCAACGGCAGGGAAGCCGAGTGCCCCTTTCCGGGAAGTTTCGGAGTTTGGAAGGCTCTCAGCAACGATAGTGGGGCAGATATGATTGCAAAGGCGGCTATCCACCTATCCCTACTGCCTGATCCAGCTATTAAAGGCCAGGGTTTTAATCTTGCGTCGTCTGAGACACCATGGAGCTGGGACATAAAATGGCCCGCCATATGCTCCTGGTTTGGGCTTGTTGGCACACCTCAGCTAGACAAATGGAAGGATAGGACGGAGAGCATGGGGCCCCAAGAATATGTGGAAGCCCACAAAAGTGAGTGGAATAGGATGGCAGAGGAATACGGGTTGAAAGGCTGGACGGTTATTTCACCGACAATGGACCCCTCGGACAAAAATTGGGCCTTGACCAAGCTCAATGCTGATGCACCACTCAGTCTCCAAAAGCTCAAGTCTACTGGATTTAGTGAGGAGGAAGACCCGAAGGTTTCTTGGTTTACTGCACTAGAACGTATGAGAATCGCCAAAGTAATCCCATGAAATGTGTGTAACTATGCCTTACCCCGTACACTGGAATGCATATATAGCTCTTGATTAGCACATAAATTGTAGTGTCTATTCTTCCTTGCTCCTTTGATTTCTTTCGCAAAGTACTTCGTGTGCCTCTTCTAGATTGGTCTGTGCAGTGAATCCGAATCAGTATGTCGAGCTATTGGTCAGGTTCCCCTGTCCAGCCGCTTGTTAGTTATCTTATCTTGGGAATCTTATCAGATCTTGCTGACTCACCCGATCAACGCGTCTTACCGGCGGAGAATCAAACATCAATTAACTTGTATTTGCTCTAAATCTGAGCCTCTGGACCTGCGCATAACGCCAATTGTTGACAACAATCAATCTGGATACTCTCCAATAATCCTTTCCACCTCACGCTCCTGTATGTCCACCATGGCTCTCACAACCCCACGGATCCTCCCCGAACATCTCCATGCCTTTCTGCCCTCCGCGACAAACCGCACTCCTAATCCCGTTCGCATTTTTGGAAGCGTCGCCAAATTGCACGGCGAGACCGCAACGCTATCGTGCCCAGATCATGGACAGGTTACTCTGCTGCTAAATCGGGATTCGCACCTACAGATTGGAAGGATGGTTGATGTTGTGGGGAAGGTGGTAGAGCATGAAGGGGTAAGTTTATGTGGACTTATTCAGCCTCGGGGCTTAATGATGAAGGTCAGTGCGATTGAAGATAGAACGCTAACGTGTGAGGAATGATCAGGAAACCGCTATACGCGTCTTGGGTGCAGCGGATTGCGGGGAACCGAATGATTTTGGTAGGGCGCCCTGTCGACAGTCGTTTCCCTTTTTCCCGCTCCTATAGGAGATAATTTCACTGACTCTTTTCTTCTTGTGGAAGATTATAAAATATACGAGCGTGTTGTCGAGATGACACATCGATTTAAGAATATTTTCTATACTCCGAATTCGTGAATAATGAATGAAAAGGTATCGGAATCAACACGTTCCCGGTCTTCGCAGGGGTTTCCCTGGCTCGAACGGGATCTATGGGCTTCCCTTTTGCTTTCAGGGACCGGCTATGTCCTGTGAAATGTGCCTGGTTAGGTTGAGCCGCGGGATCCGAGTCAGAACATTGTTCATCCTGTTGCGATATACCTGATCACCTACCTTACGACACGGCGTTATTGGCGTACGCGATCATGATTCTATGATCAACATTTCTGTAAAAGCATAGCTCGAGTATGGTAAATATTGACCATGTTCAGTAAACTACAATGAAATAATTGGCATAGATATATTCATATGTATACTCGCCTCAATCCTCTGCAACAACCATTACAAGAGCAGATATAAATTTTTGTGTGCTGCCTATAACTACATCCTGTCCCTGGTATCTAGTGGATATATGGCGTATATCCCTACAGCTTAGAAGCCCTATCTTTTGTGGCGATGCATAAAGGTGTCCCTCACTGCTGTAGCTTACATAGCTCAACTTGGTCCAGCAGTTCAAGGGGATAAGAGCCACAACTGGTTTTGCGAAGAGGATGAAGTAAATCAAAACTATGTTAAACTAAGGCGAAAATTCAGAATTGGCAATTGGGTTGAAAGTTATGTGAGATCATGGCAACAAAGGCCTCACCGGTATTTAGATATGGAGAGGGAGTATTTCCAACTCCACTAACATAACAATAGCTACATTTATCATAGACAGGACATGTTTCACGAGTCAAAGTTGGATCAAACAAGGAAACACAAGGGATACATGCAAAGATGGAGATTGCTAAACTGACCAGGAAACCTAAAGAAAAGGGGCTGAAACGAACCAATGTGAGTCCGGTTAAATCAACAAAATGAATATGAACAAATAATCAACTCCGCTATCCGGGTTCCATGCAATAGTTGAAGTTGGCACCCACATATGTTATCCAAGTTTATATTAAACCTGGTCGATTGTCTTAGGTACTGCTAGGCTTCCCGGTAACCTCCTGAATAATGGCTGAAAAAACCTCTGCGTCGAATTGATCCACTCCACTATTCTTTCCACCGGACGGGGACGCAGCAATGCTGCCATCTTTGCTCCACATACCACTAAGCAACTGTGGATCAACCAAGGCTGGATCAAAGATATCGGTGTCCGAAATTGCAGACGAATCATTGAAAGCAGTATATTCAGTAGCAGTTGCGAGAAGGAGGGATCGAAATTCGGCATCTTCGCCAGTTTGTATGTTGGAAGCATCATTAGGGGCCTGGGCCTCTTTATTTTGAAAACCATCAACAATTGATGGGGAAGTATTATCGTCATTAAGGCCCGCGGGAATGCGGCCGGATTGCTCGTTTGCTCCTCCCTCAGCTACCTGAGAATCTCTAGGTGAGACACAGTCGGGATCCCAATCTACCCAATCGCCGCTTGCAGGGGCTTTGGGGGGTACGAAAGGCTGAAAGGAATCTGTGTGCGTAAGAGACTCATCGTCTGATTCGAAAATATTCAGAACCAAGCCGTTAATGGTTTCAAAACTTTTTGAACTTGGGCTATTCCAAAGCGACAAAGTGCCAATATCGCCGTTCTGGCCCTTAGCGGCGTTTGGCGACTCCTGAAGGGTTTGCTGATTCTCAGAGGAAGTAAACTCTTTTGGCTGTTCTGATGGCACGTCGACATTTTCTTTATTAACCGTTCGTGTATATGGAGTTCGGTTCTTTTGCCTTGGAGTTGGGCTGTTTGGGGGGTCAATATCAGGGAATGCATCTTCCCCGCCTTCAAAAAGGTGGTCAAGACCGTCACCTGGAGATTTGCTGTTAGATTCTGCGCCCGTTCCTTGTTTCGAATTCTTTGGAGTTGACCGAGGACTGCGTCTGACACTGTTAACCAAAGCTTCACTGAGAGTTTTCATAGCACTGTCCTCTTTCGAAGATTGGAACAAAGTTCTTCGAACAGGATTGGGGGTCAGATTGGGCTCCATAAACGGCATTTTGCGTGCCTCCATGTTCCTCGCGGGACTGGACTGAATTGCTCTTCTTAATGCTTCAAATGCGTCTTCTTGTTGCCAACGGTCATTTTTATTGGTCGATTTTGGTGGTTCTGCACTATTTGCTCTTCTATTATTGGAATGCGGCTGGGAAACACCATTGTTTCCCACACTGTTCCCGTTTTTTGGCGTTGTTTCTTCTGGAGGAGACGAAGCTTCCGTTGGGGGGGGCGAGGACCCGGAGCGTTTGGCCGCCAGGAGCCTCATCTGTGAGCGGGTTGACGCTGCAGGGACCGCCGGAGGCCTTCTATTAGACTTGCGTTTTCTTTTATCTTTGGCTGGGGGCTTGTTCCATTTGTTCTCAGGGCGCATGTTCTTGAACTTATGAAGCCATAATCCACAAGCTGTCTTTGGTTAGTTTAAAGTACCAAGAGTCGCGTGTGAAAAGCCACTTACGATTGCAAAGGAGAAGTTGTATGTAGTCCCTGTCCTCGTTCGCCAATGATTTCTTAAATTGCCTATAAGATGTAACAGTGCCATCGGTTTCAGTGTCAACTGCCTCCCAGAATAGCATTCCCGGATCGTTAATGCAAGCGTTCGCATCTTCCGCACTTCCTTCAATGACTTTGGACCACGCCCGCCTCCACGTTGTGGTTTCAATGGCTCCACAGTTTTCGCAATATGGAGGCACTGTGCCCTGCTTGATGCATTGGTCTAGACGAGCTTGAACTTGCTTCACACGTCTTGCTCCAGCACCACTCCGGATCTTTCCATCTGGAAAGTTTGTGGATCCAGGAGTAGATACCATCGGCATGTCACTCATGGGACAAGACGGCGTTTGGGCGTTGATTGGGTGTTGCAGTGGTTGTACTGGATCACTAACGGGAACAGGAGGTAGTGGTAGCCGGGACTGGCCTACATCGGCTTGCCGAACAGGAGCTGGGGCTGGAGCGAGTGGTTTCGAACCTCTGACGCTTGCTCTAGACGAAGGCCGAGAACCAGCCGCTTTTCTTGGCTGAGGCGGAAGAACTGGTGCGGGATTTCTGGCTGACATCGTGCCATCACTCATAATCTGTCTATGCTGGTGACAGGCGGCCGGGTTTCCGCTTGCAGAAGGAACTCCAGGTCTCGAAGATGTGTGTGAGTTGGCCATATCTGTCAAAGTATTCTGTTGTTGGGTATTGTGGTACTCATTATTTGCGTTTTCATCGTCGAGGGGTTCAAAGTTTCCACTCATGAATCCAGAGTCCTGATCTGGTAGTGGTGGAAGAACTGGACTAGAGGTTTGGGGACACGTCATATCCATTACAGGTGGTGAGGATGGCATATTGAATGGGGTCTCGGAGGATATAGCATAACGCATCTCATCAGGCGGGGAGCCGGATGTCATTTCCGTGGCACGCCGTTCCTCGGACATGTATGGAGGACCGTGCGAATGCTGACTGAAAGTTGATGACTGACGTCGAAGGTTACTCTGAGGAGGACGGCCTATTCGACGAGTTGGTGCATTGACTGCAGACGGAACAGGTGTAGGTGGGCGAACGGGGTCTTCGTTTGAAGCCTGAGCTGCCTGGATGGTGGGATTCAAAGGTGTCGGGCGATGTATTCTGACAGAAGCGGCCGTGCTGGCGGCAACGCGAAGGGATCCAGGCTGGCGTTCGATGTTCATATTTGTCTTGTCTAAATCAGCCCTCATAAGCTTTGCCCTTTTTTGCACTGGGCCTTCAGCAGTCTCATCTGAACTTCCATATCCTGACATGATAGAGCCTCGACGATGGGTAGGAGCATTAGGATGTTGAACGGACCCTCTCGAAGAGGGTCTAAATGTCTCGTCGACATTTCTCTTTTGCTGCTGGCTCATAGGTCTCACAATTCCTGGAGTCGAAGTACGACTGGGGGTAGCATTCGTGAATTGGGCTGGTGAGTCAGCGTGGAAGTTGTTGAGATTGGAAAGATCACGAGGCCCTGATCCCTCGCTTAACATTCGATGAACATTCTCAATCCCTGACCTATCCACAGCATCACGCTCGGCCACTGGGTTTGCATCGCTGCCTGCGAACAAACCGGGATTGGATTGAACAAAGCTGGTCCAAGCCTGTGCGTCGAAGTCCTGTGGAATTACGGTGCTTAATTCCCTATATTTCTGCATGCTGTTGAGGTACTCGCTTTGTAAAATCGACGGTACCGGTACCAATCTCAATTTGACCTCGAGCGTTTCCTGCGCACCCCTTGCAAAAAGGCCGGCATTTTGGCACACGCGTCCAGTGACCATGGTTCTTGACTGATGAGCCGGTGCATTAGGTGTCGGAGAAGACGAAGCTAGGACCCATGACAACATCCCTTGTCCCACCAGTGGGGTTTCATACTCGGAATAATCGTATGCGTAAACGGTGTAGTCTCGGCCGAGCTTTGCAACCAATTCTGGGCTAGATTTCAGGCCAGGTGCCTCGATGTTAATGAATGCTGAATGTTAGCCTAGTGAATGAGTCATACCTTGCCGAAACTATGGCCTGGATACAAGTCTTAAGCTCGATCACGCCAACTTGTATGTCTTCGTCCAAGAAAGCCGTCTGAATCTCAAGCACGTGAGGCCACCGGGCAAGACAGTTTGTTTTGCTTTCGTCATCAAAGGTGTAGAGGACTTTGACTAAGGGGGAAATTAGATCAGCATCTACGCAGGATCATGGGAAGAGATGGCCAACTCACGCCTCATTGGACGAATCGAGATGCCATCTTGGTCCTCCATGATAGCCGTTGCGAGACTGAGGCCAGCGGCTTGAAAAAGGTATTTCTCAGAGCCCACAGGCTCACCGATAACCCCGGTATCGAGTCACCACAGAATACACGAAAGGACGGTCTTCCTGTAATTCACTACTTTAAAATCTTGTGCGTTCCATAACCGAGGCGACCATGTACACGAGAAATTGAGTGAAGTCGCCCAATTAGCGTCAAATACTCAAGAAATTGATCTTAAGTTGCTCGTTCAAGTTCGGCCATGCAAACAAGGAAAGACGTAAGGGTAGATGCTAAGTCGTAACTCGGTGCGTGAGGCGAGGACGAAAGGAAGATTGGCGGTGACGCGAAGATGAAGGCTGGAAAGGGGCCAACTAAGGAAAGAAAAAGGAAGAAAAGGAGAACAAAAGGAATCGACAGGCGTACGGCTCTCAAACCTTTCAGCTGCTGGGATCCGTGACAACTGGAAGAGAGTGAGAGAGGTTGGGAGGTGAGGGACGAAAGAGCGAGCGTGTAGAGTGACCCGCGAGGAGACGCGATGCAGCGAAACCTTGAAGCTCGACACTAAAGACGATCTAGCTCCAATTTCGGTTTAGTGCTGTCAGCACGCGTCGTGACCTCGGAACCGGCACCGCAAATTATCCGAGCCCAGATACACTTATAGCTTGGCACGCTAGTCTGAAAGTAGACTGGGCCTTGGGCGTGTCTTCCTCAGCGAAACGAGCACCGCAGCGAGCTTTGATGAGAGTGTTGAAACCGCGCAACCATTCGAGCGTCCCCGTCGACCCTTATATACCCGCGCAAGATGTCTGACGTTAAGATACAGTAAGTCTGCATTACTGGGTCAGATGACCCGGATGCGAACCCCTCCTCGTCGGGCCGTCCTTGCAGCCTGTGCTTGATCAATCCAATCCAAGTCTCAAGCTACCTGAGCTAACATGACTCCTCCTCCAACAGAGATCTATTGAACAAGCCTCGTAGCGAGCTCACGTACGTTGTCTCTCTCGGATCCATCATCCACTCCATGATCCGGCGATCCCGCAACGCCAATGCTTCCATGCATTCCCAGCATTCCGTCTCATGTCCTCTGGCTCGCCCCTGCTAACTCGGTTCACTCATCTCTCCTATAGTGAATACGAAGTCTCTCTACTCGAAGAGCACGAGCTCACCACCGGCCCTCTCTCCATCCTTCAGACTGCTACACGCTCTCACTCCCAAGTCCTCATCTCTTGCCGAAATAACCGGAAACTCCTCGCCAGAGTAAAGGCTTTTGACCGCCATTGTAACATGGTCCTCGAGAACGTCAAGGAGATGTGGACGGAGAAGCCAAAGGGCGGCAAGGGCAAGGGTGTGAACAAGGATAGATTCGTTAGCAAGATGTGAGTATGGTCAAATTTCCCTTTCCGACATCATCTCGATCCAACAGGGCGAAGAGGGCACCCATCCCATCTGTTCTGTGACTTCGGGCTCACTAATCTCGTTACAGGTTCCTGAGAGGAGATTCCGTCATCCTGGTCCTTCTCAGCTGAGCGGGGTCATCCCTTGTCTCACCACAAATTCTAAACCTCCGTTTTCCCACCCAAACCCTTATCCCCCGACCTCGTCGTACGCTTGCCATGTCATCTATAGTGATGCGTCTGCCTCCCTACTATCACCCAATTATTTCAAACCACATTACACGTCACGATGTTAAGTTTCGAGCGGCTCTTGGAAGTGAAATTTTCTCGGACTCGCTTCCTCTCTTCCTACGTTTCTCTTCCTGGGCTGGATGGAATAAGTATAATAGACATCGGCGTCGCTGGCGTTGTTGATCGCTTCTATGCTTTTTGACTACATAGGTCGAGGGCGATCTATCTGTCGAGTTTCATTCAACCGCCAACAGAAGGGGAAATCTTAGCTAATCATATGCTTGAATGGAAATTTCGCTTTGAGATGAGAGCTCTTGTCGATTCATCGAGGAAAATCTTTTTGCTCCTGTTTGAGCGATATTCGTGTTGTCTGGTATTCACAAAGCCTCGCATTCTTGTGTTGGCTAAAAATACAACTGATGTTCTAAACTTAGCTTAACAGTTGAAAATTATATGCGCGAGCCATCAATATTATTAGCCAATATCCCATCCGTGTTATTCAAATTCCATCGGCCAAGCCATTCAGGAATTCACTCAGGCCATATGCCCCAGGGTCTGGAATTTTACCTATCCACTCATCTTCACCACCGATGTACACTGATCTTCCTAAACTAGCTTTCATGCTCTTAGTGGACTCGGCACCCTCCTGCGCCGCACGTGCAGCGGCTTTAACATCCCCAGATTCAGTCAGTTTATTAATAAAAGGTACCAGTGCGTCGATGAGTGTCCGATCCCCGGGCTGGGCAGGGGTATACTTCGCTAACGCCTTCAGTGATTGTTGCAGCGCCCGTGACCAGACCTTGGCAGTGACCGATATTGAATTAGATGGAGAATCTTGCTCGCGGAGGCCATGCGCGAGGGCGTTAAGGAAAATAGCGTAGATGGCACCGCTCGTGCCGTCCATGGTAGTTTCGACTAAGCTGATGATTCTGTTTAGGCTACGGAGAATATCGTCGTTTAATGGGACGGAGGGATTGTTCAAAAGGCTGACGATAGCTTCTGCTCCGCGTTTTAGGCCGACACCACAGTCCCCATCGCCCACGATGGTGTCGTAGCGAGTTAGTGTGCTTTCTGCGGCGATCAACCGGTTTAGACCGGATACCACAGCCTTCTTGAAAACGGAGATATTCACTGTTAATTGGTTAGTTGGGATGTGATTGGACTCATGGGTTCCGGACTTGCCTTTTAGGTTGGAAGGGGCTTCTTGAACGGACGACGCTCGTCGACCTTCGAATGTAGCATCGGATTGACTTTCCCAGGTCGATGTTTGGATGGGAGCAGCCCATCCAACAGCCTCAGCAGGGGCGTCCAAAAGCTCCAGCAGAGATCTTCCCTGTCCAAGTCTAGTGTCAACTAGCCTCAGTAACGAGATGCTGAAACCCATTCCATTCAAACTGGTCAGAAACGTTCCTTGGATTGTTCTGACTGGCTTAATGTGATAGTCTCTCTCCAGTTGAAGGATCGTCTCGGCAGTGATTCCAGACAGCTCCAGGGTACTGACACCTCCAAGGTTGTTGATGAAGAGGACAAACTTGTCTGGAGAATCCCATTTTAAGAATCCTCGATCCGTGTCATCCTGATCTAAAAGCTGTCTGAGCATGGTCTGTATCAGCTCCTCCAATGTGTTTTTGACTCGATGAGAGCCAGGTTCGTTATGAATTCCCATCCCCACTTCAATCTCACCCTCAGGTATCACCTCTGAAGCGTCTGAAGTCTCTCTTCCGGGGACGTGCACATGCTCCAGGGACGATCCTAAGCTCACAACATTCTTTGCAACCAGTTTTGCAGTCGCATATACTTCGCTCAGCGAAGCCCTAGGCACAATCTGCAGTCAGCAACATCTGTCATCTGGCACGCGATATCCCAGCGCATAACGTACCCGGCTTCCGCCAAAGCTCCGATTATTTTCAGCACAAGAATCCCACCACCAATGCCTCTTCGCCCTACCTTCCCTCCCTTCGTCCTTCCAACTCCAACGTCATCTCCAACGGCAAAGAATTCGGTTTTAATCCCAGCTGCCTTTGCCTTTTCCGCCGCCATTCCAAAATTGAGCACGTCACCCGTATAATTCATTATGATAATAAGCACGCCCTTGGAAACTTCTACTCGCTGCATCACAGCTCTTCTGACTTGCTCTGCGGACGGGGAAGCGAATATTGTTCCAGCCACGGAGGCCGTCAGGAGGCCTTTGCCAACAAACCCGGCAAAAGCGGGCTCGTGGCCGGAGCCTCCGCCGGAGATGATTGAGACTTTAGGTTGTGTGGATGCATCCCCCGTTGGGCGTCTGTAAATAATCTTATTCTCTTCGTCGAAAGCGAGCGACGGATTGGTGAGAGTCAGCGAGCGTAAGGCAGAACTGACGAGGTGGGTTGGGTCGTTGAAAAAGTGTTTGGCTAGAAACTTATTAGAAACTAGTCCATCATATCTCTTTGTTCGACGTTCGGGTGTATCACTCTGCATTTTGAAATAGACCTCTTCCAGAGGCTGGATTCGCTCAAGGCGATAGGCCCTGCAGTGTTTAGAAAAGTGTAATGAATGAATGGCTGGGAAGTCCGAAGTAACGAGGTATCAGAGCTGTTGGAGGAATTGACAATGAACAAGGCGAGGGGACGGGGCTGCACATAAAGGCGATTTCATCTTGGAGGGGCAAAGACCCCGTCCGTTGTACAGAGCCGCTGACCGGGGAATGAATGGTGCCTAGGGACAAGAAAACCGACACAGTGAAGCTTCATGCGTCACAACATGTATAAGACAATACCAATACCACGACAGTCCATGAATACGCTGCTCAAGTGGACTCAATTGCGGGATTATTACTCCGTACGCTGTCCGGCATTCGTTTTAACAAAAATTCCTTGCGGCGAGGAAAGCCTGCGCGTGGCGTGTGGGGCAAGCTTTCCAAGGCGATGAATGCGGAGAAACCTTCTGCAGCTGACTTCCCGGCCGGCCCAGGACAGACAGCTAACTAGGTAGTCAGCCAACTGGAATAGCGAACTAATATACTGCTTGTTTTGTCCTGGTAGCGGTCACAGCCCTACGTCTTTTCTAATATCCATTCAAGGCACGGCCTGGAGTTGTATGTAAAACGCCGTTCAAAAGTATTCCATGAAACCTGTTGAGTCACGATGGATCCTGCAGGAATTTCCACATCAGATGAGAAGCCAAAGGCCTTTTCCATGGACGTTCCAGAACCTTTTTCGGATTACCGATTCGGGAATTTCCGCCGTCCGATCACGCAAACGCGAATTCAAGGTCCTATGTCGGTCGGCAGCAGAAGAATATAAGAGTAACCTACGGAGAAGGCAGAGCAAGAAGTTTTCCTTCTTGGATACTGCTGTCGAAAGTCTTGTTGGTATGGACGTTGATGACCCTGTAAGCTTGAATGCCGTGACCAAAGTAACAAAGCCAGCGCGTTCCGGCGAAGTTTCTTATCTTATCTGATCGGAGCCACCCCCCACCAGTTAGTTAGCAACCAGCGCCGGCTTCTGGAACGCAGGGGTGCTATCGATTAACTAGCGTGATTCGGCAACACCAGAAGCAGGGAGAATACATTCAACGGAGTAGGGCGTACTCCGTTCTTCGCATCAGAATCAGGAAATATCATAAACATCACCTATAATAAATCCTACCCGACTTCTACAAGGGAGACTCAATTATTGTGGGTGGATTCTTCAAAATTTCTTCTAGCTTCATGAAATAACACAAGTAGTGATCAAAGGTCAGTAAAAGGGTAACCCCCGTATTTCGCAAGCCTAACGGATAATCATCCCGGCACATTGAACGTATATTAAGTTAGTTAGCCAGAGACGCATCTGATCGGTACTCGGTGCAAGCGCTTTTATGCTATATACTTGTACTTATTTGACTCCGTGTCTCGTTCCATATACTCCTTTTCAATAAGCCTAAAAAGAAGTCGTACGTCAGCAACCCATCATAGCCATTCAAGTAAATACGTGCAAAGAAGGAATGCTCGCTACTTACTTGTCGATGTTTTTCTTTATATCCGCTGGGTCCAAGTCACCGCGATTCCTTGTTGCCTTAATCACCTCTACGATAAGCTCCTGCGGAGAAATGGTCTTCCGGCTCTTCATGATGCGCACAATGGCTGCTTGGGTTTCGTAATTCCTGTCTGCCGCAACACGTTCATGCGTTTCCTTGTTTTCCTCTTTAGTCTCTTTCAACTGGATTTGGTTAATTTTAATCCGCATCTTTGGGTCCGAAAACCTGGTGTTGAAACTAAAGGTATCAGTTGCGTTAATGTCTCTTCCCTTTGGATGTTTGATGAGGACTCGGTATTTAGCACATGCAAGGGATTGAAGTGTACGCTTCAATTCAATATCGGCTATTTTGTTGTTAGTTTGAATCCTGAGGATTTATTGCTGACGCAGGATCCTATTCCCGTCAACTTACAAAGACCTGTCTCATCCCGGATATCATGATAGGATAACGTCTGTCCATCTGCTACATCATTGAACAAGAGCAGGACAATGGCTTGGAACGAACTGACAACGATCTCCTTGTTACCGCTAGGAAACCTCGCCTTCAATTGACAATGGGCAAGAGAGTGTTTCCAATTAAGCTTCCTGCCGTTATACTTGTTGTTGTAAAAGTGCTCGAAATCGGAGAGTGCGCTCGATATTATTCGAGGCACTTTTACAGGCACATCTGGGTAAGACGGCCAGGCTGCAGATGAAAGGACGTTGACGTAAAGGTCCAAATTTGTTTTTTCCCTTTTTTCGCGCAGTAGAGCGTTATATGAAGCCATCTCATCACGAGCAAGATCTATGTCCTTAAACATAGACTCGAGATTGTGTGTGAAGTTTGAACCGCATTCTGAATTTTCGAAAATTAGCAACCGTATCTTTCAAGAGACAAATACCGCCATAGAAATACTTACCTGATGCTAATCTAGCCAGCATGCTCTTTTCTGCATCGTCGCTGGCGCTTCTTCCCATAAGGAGACGACGAGCAAGATCATTTTTATAGAATGCCTCAAAGACTGCTTTTCCATGAACGAAACGAAACAGATCAAGGACCTGATCAAGTGCTTTGTTTAGTTCGGCATCCTCGTCAATCATTGCAATGTCTTCGTCATTTTTCAGTGGGACTTGGCGTTTGCGGATCGATTTCAGTCCCCCCCTAAGCAGTAGATCCACATGTTTTGCAATCATTTCTCCAGGCTGGGCAACATCACCACCCTTTTGGCTCTTGTTGATAAACGTTTCAAATGACTCCCTGAGAGCGCGAGCTAAAAGCTCATCCTTTTGGAAGGACTTTGCCAAGATATCATCCAAGTTTTGTTTAAAATCGAGTAGCCTAACGACCATTTCGCCTTCTCTTTCCTTATCAAAAACAATTGAAGAGCCCTCTTCTAAGATGAAAGAGGTAAACGCAGGTTTTAACTTCGATCCCAGGTCGATTCTCTGTAGTAGTGAATATAGCTCCCCAAGGGCAATTTGGTTACTTGTCCTGAGGAGGCCTAGTACGTCGCTTTCTTTTAGAAGCGTGTCACTTTGATCTGATACCAGGCGCTTATCAAGCATTTCCGATAGGCGTTGTTTTGTGTCGATATCAAGGTTGAAAAGATCGCACCTCTCCATCTCCTTTTCAATAACCCGGTGACTTTTACTCACGTATGTAGCAAGATAACTCGAATTCGCTTCATTATCCGCCCATGCCTTTAAATATCTGTCTGAAGCCTCCAGCATAGCGGGCTCGAATTCACTTTTGTAAACTCTTAGGTCGGAGAATAGCTTGATAGCGTTCCTGAGCAACGTAGAATCAGACGATGCATCATTATTTCTGTCAAGATCAACTAGCTGGCATGCTCCTTGCAGCATTTTCGGCTTGAGAGATGGGTTGGAGAAGACAATAGATCGAAACCCGATCGTGCCCATTTCATAGATGGTTGGGTGCTCCGGGGAGCGAAGAAGGAAGGACTGGTCTAGGTAGTAGAATATCGATCGTATTGTAACCTGCGGGAACAGGGGTTAGTCGCGGTCGATTATAGACGAATGACACCCGATAACTCACTAAACGGGAGCTCCACGCCGACCATGCTGCCTCCACCGCCCGCAACACAACAATATCGTCACTATCTTTCGATTTTGCCAGCAAGGATGGGAGTACAGTCTCGGATATGTAAACTTTGCAGCGCTCTTGGAGCTTCTTTGCTAAGCTCTGGGCACGTTTCTGGCGGCAAACATTTTCAGCCCCTTTGTACAGCTCCTCCAACGAGAACGACGGCTTTTGTTCATTAAAGATCGCCGTTAAGGCAGTGTTAAGCTGAGCCCAGATCTTCTCAAAATATTGCTCTTGGTCAAGTTTTGGCACCGCTCGGAGGTTCTTGACAGTGAGCCGCTTAGGCCCGGTGTGAGGTGTGAAGTTCGACGGGGTAGATGATGGGTTTAGGTATGTCCGCGGGACGGTGCGACTGTTTTGCTGCCCAAGCGAGGAGCTTTTGGCGCTTTGGTTCGGAAAGTTGTACATTCTCTCCACAGAGATACGTTCTTGAGCTGGCTGCGACTGTTTGGACGGGCTTTGCTGCTGGGGATCAAGTTCGTTCCGCTTCAGCCGTTTGCTCGTTGGTGACAGTTGCCGACTCTTATGGCCAAATATGGTATTCCTCCCCCTCGAGAAAAGATCGGGAATTGTGCCTTGACTATTTCGTACCAAGTCCTCGGCTGTTTCTGAGTTTCCGTCGCAGAGCTTCCTCTTGCCGCCTGGTTTGCGCGTCCCACGTGTCCCGTGATTCTGCATCTAATTTGCGATAATTAGGGGGATTAGCAATTTCTTGAGGACAAATACAATGTATTCATGATGGATTGTTACCTGGACTTGCGGTTTGTGAAGGCACAGAGTGGGAACAACTTTTGATGAGATAAGGATCCTGACGTGACTATCAGTCTGAAGTTGTGATTAGGTTCACGGGAGCTTGCTCGGAGATAAGCTTGGCTAAACTCCACTCAACGTTTGTAACACGAGAACTAGAACAAGAATCTAAGGGGGCCACAATGAGTAACACAGCAGGATGAAGTTGCTGTGATGTAGAATTTTGGGGCCTGATAATATATATATAGTTGATATCTTTGTGATTTTTGTATTTTGAAATTATGTCTCTTCACAATCATTGAACGGAAACCCACCAGCTTGATCTACCCTGAGTGAAGTCATCAATTTGTCATACATTACTGGCTCTATGAGTATATAATAAGGTGGAAATGATAAATATATGGACGGGGGTATCTTGATTGAAGAGTATTTTTTCTAGGCTTGGAAAATCTGCCTCCATAGCACCGAATCCCAGCCTCATGATACATCAACAAAGAATCATGAGAATAACTTTCGTCCAGCTGGCTGCTCTGATTGCTCCTCCTCAAACTACGGCCATTAGTGCCTTTTAATATCCAAAAAAAGGGAGGTTGATGTATTACTTACCTCAAGGAAGTCAACAGCGGCAATCAATGCAGCATATGATTTGACAAGCTCTTCTAGAGACTCCTGTGTTCCGACACCTTCAAGCCCTCCAATTTTAGCATAGCGTTTGAAAATTCCAACCATACTCTGCCGGTTTTCAGAGAGGAAATTTCTAGTTTGCTCGACAATCTGATTGTTGTGTAAGCCCCGTGTGAAAACGGTAGAGACAATGACTCGAAGCACAGATAGAAGGAGGTCATAATATTTACGGAGAGCATCGGGATTATCGATGTCTAGGCAAAGAAGTTAGCTGCCTGGAGATAAATAAGGTCATCTACACCTACCTAAACCGATATCGGGGTCAGCCGCAAAAATCTGGGATTCCTTGACTGCTTGAAATAGACCTGCATCAAGAAGGCGAATAGCACCCATTTTCGTTTGCGACAGTTGTTGGAGGAGTGACAATAGAGCTTCGTAAAATAGTAGCAATTGGGCCGTCTCTATGATTTAGTTCAGCCAACGGTCCACGAGAGAATCTGGGTGATACATACGTGCAGCTTGGGTGTTTCGGAATTCTGACGCCATAGCTCTGATGACACCAAGGAACATAGAAAGATAATTAGACTGAGAGATCAAGGTCACGAGAATAGAAGATGACTGCTGTTCGTCGAGAACAGAAAGAAGATTCAGTAATATCAGGGCCGACACTCTACAACCTTCATCACCGGAATAGGCGTCGTCGCAAATCGTATCGACTAGGCCCGAACCTGTTGATTTGATAACTTGCTGGGCCCGGGGTCCGAAACGAGCTTTGGCCGTACTTCTCTGAGTAATTCGTGTAAGATATCTGGAGCAAATGTGATAAAAAGTTTCCCTCAAGACCGTCTCTTCTAATATGTTGGGGATGCCACGAATACAAGCCTGGAAAAGGTGATGTAGGCGCTCATCTATGACATCTTCAGTGCTGTTTGTCGAAACGGTGTCTAGCTTTTCAACCAGAGTTTCCGCCAGACGAGCTAATTCAATAGCTTCTGCTGCGTTCCCGGCAAAAGAACTCTCAAGTTTGGGAAGAATGGCCTGAAGAGTGTGTAAGATAAGTGTCACCATACGAGCAGGTTCCATGTCACAAGTAATCAAAACGGTGATAACCAGCTCCACCCAAGATCTTAAAGCGACGAGACGATTATAGCGGACTTGGCGGCTTTGATTCGTAGCACGGAGGAAGAGGAGAAGCTTATCGCGTTCCGATGAAATTTGATCTTCTTCCTGAGCGTTGACTTGGCCAGCACTAACAAGATGGTCTTTTGCAAGCTGGAGAAGGGATTCCACGCTTGGGAGATCATATAAAACTGGATGGCCATCTTGCTGAGGCGTGGTGCATAAACTCACGTCCACATCCCTAAAAAATTTTAGATCAGGGAAAGCGTATGCCCAATCGATGTCCAGGTCCGCAAAGTCAAACAAATCAAAAATCGAAGAGTGGGAGATTGTTTGCCCATCTTCAGCTACTGAAGCGCCAAGCAACGTTGATAAAATATCTTTCTGGAAGGAAGGAGAGCTTTTATTAAACACAGCTCTTATTTCGGTTGTTGCATAGTCAAAGATAATGCTGCGATAGACAAGGAACTCCGAAAGTGCCACGGCAGATTCTGTAAACCAGAATTCCGGCACCGTTATTCGGAACTCATCCCAAAGCAAGTCAGGGCCGATTACGGGTTGAGATATGAGAATGTTTGCGAGCAGCCGATTTGCACGAAGTTGAGGCAGGATTAGCGGCGAAGAGAGCGGCGAAGTCCAAAGATATTGCAGTACCTGGAATGCCAATCGCTTTAAATGCACCATCCATGATGTTATCATGCCTTGATTGCCATCCGGATAGGTCCTGACAAAATCACTGATAGCATGTAGCAATGAAAGGCCGTTGTCAAAAAGGCTACCTGGTGCCACATCAAGGGAACTTCCAACACATCTAAATCCAAGAAGGACATGAGCTACCGTAGGCTTGTTTGGGATAGCCTTGAGGCATCTATCGAGTAGTTGAACTAATCCAAGCTTAATAAGATACCCAGAAGCCTCTGGACCATTCTCCAACTCCCGAATATCGGAAGCCATTTGTGCCGCTAACGAACGCGCTATACGATCGGCATCAACGTTTGTATTTAATAGTTCCACAATTTGGTTGGAAGTCTGCCATTGTGAGAATGTAGCGGTTGGCCTGTTGAGTTTGCGAGACGCCGACAGCTTCTCCAGAAGTGCTAGAGAGACAAGAGTTAGTTGCGGGTGACCGGTTCCGCAATATAGGCATAAATCAGATATGAGGCTCAGATTATCCATCATGCTGTCTTCGAACGAGGCAAGAGAGGCATTTGCCATGGTTGACATCCCTTGCTGCGGAAAGCTTCTGATAAAAGGGCGCACAATATCGAAGAATGTGGCTTGGTGGTCCAATATCAAGTTCATCACCTCGATGCTGCGGATCAGCGAACAAAGTAACATAGAGTCCGATGAAGCATTTGCCACATCACCGATATCTTGATGAGAGCAAGAGAAAAGTGCTCTTAAGACATCTTCATTAAACATCCATTCCATAACTCGAGAGAAAGGATGCAAACGGAGATATGTCGGCAAGGGAACGCTTCCAACGGTCGTATTGGCGGAGATGGTAGTTTGGTTCACAAGAGATACGAGGTTTTCGTTGAATGATTCTATGCACGTGGCGGCGAAGCTTAGGCAGTTCCATTGCAAAAGTCGCGCCTCTTTTCCGTCAAGAACCGTTGATTTATTAGCAAGGGCTTGTCCCATGACAAAGTCGATGTACGGCTCGATTCCAGGCATTCGGTATGACGAACCTAGCGATTCGGGGAAGTGGAGGCATATGTGTGAACCTGGTAGATCAACAGTAGGAGACACTAAAATCGTCAAAAGTTCGACAAAGGCATTGGTTTGGTCAAAGCTTTCCATGATTCTTTGAAAAGCATGCCGTTCGTTTAGGGCGGGGGAGCTTGATAAAGCTGGCAACTTTGTGAGTGATAAGGGGGACGCCCCGGAGCCAGAAATCCACTGATCAATCAAGGCCCACATCTCATTTCCATGAACTGCTGTTCGCTGTATCATCAGGCAACGCAGAGTCACAAAAATAGCAGCCCTTAAATGATGGGGAATCGGTGCTGCACAAAGGGTAAGGAGCGTATTCGAAAGGTTGGCAGTCGGATGCTGCAAGATCCAATCGCGTATTTGCCCGTTTTCTTTGCAAAGGTGGCTGATGAGTCGCAGATAACAAGTAAGCATGACTGGGCTTTCTGGTTCGTCAATGTCCACTGACTCGGGTTTTCGGTTGCGAAGGATTGACGGCTGAGCCGCTGATGGCCGCTCGGTAACTCTGGTGGCATATAATTGTAATTCGGCAAACATTTGATCCCAGTTCATCGAGGTTGACCGCCGGAATTTGGAGGAGGAGGCGTCTTCATCGAGCAAGAATCTGTGTGCTGAAGCCGAATTCTCTTCACCACCAGAAAGCGAACACAGCATCTCACAGAAAGCACTGACACGAGGCACGGTTTGACGCTTAGATACCCACTGAAGGAATCCATAGAGATTACTGTCCGTGTCTGCCCAAAATTCCTGAGCTGCCTCGTCCCTATGGTCAAACGTGAATGCAATGATCACTAGCAAAGACTCTAGATGCATCCGGGGTTCGACTAAACCACGGTGTAAAGACGTATTTGTCGCTTCGCGGAGCGCTGTCATTTGATCTAACCGTTGCAAATCTTCCTCTGATCTTAGTTGGCGAATCGCATCTGGCATGTTAGCTATCAAGGATTCTGTGAACGTCTCCAAACCCTCCATCAGAAGATCACGAAAATAGGGCGAGGGAGCATCCGGTTCAACAGTCAGACTCGCAGCATCTTTTAGGAGTAAGCCAACCAGTTCGTTTCTTGCCGGAGCGACCCACTCTTCACTGGTAATGCCTGAACAAACTAAAAGGATGAACTCTAAACCCCCATCTTCAAGGGCGGCCATGAACATTTGAGTGAGAGCTGCGAGCTCATCGCCTGGATTGATTCCCTGAAGTGGGGATGCCGGGCCACTATCAAAGTACCAGCCAGCATATTCTGCTAGCCAAAGTACAACAAGTGCGGCATGGAATTTCGGCAGCGCGCAGCTCGTGGATTCTTTATTGCCGGTGATGGCGAGGTGCAAAGATCTGGCTTCTCGCAGCGGGCCTTGGCCTTCAGAAGAACCATACTGTGAAATGGCAGAAATAAGGGCAGGAATATAGTGTATTAAAAGCATATCGAATCTTTCGTTCTTCTTAAGCTTTTCAAGCAGCTTCCGGAAATCTTCCGAACTCGTGAAGGTCCCTTTAAAAAGGTAGGATAAAATTGCCCCTAACGATTCATGTTGCCTTCCGAGACTGTGACGCTGATATTCGATCACCTCTAAAACGTCCGAAGCCTGTGCCTGCCCAACGATTGAAGCCTTTTGTATTTGCTCACCGAGGAGGACGAGCCACCTTTCAATGTCCCCCATTGAATCCATACACTTTCTAGCATATAGAGAGCCATTGCGCAGCGGGCCATTCTGTATTTCAAGAATCATCGCAACTATATCCTGCATAAGTGCACGAGTGTCTTCTCTTTCAATTTCGAAGGACTCCCGTAAGATAAGACGAAGGCATTCGAGGAGAAAGGCGCGCCGTTCGTGGAAGCGGATTATTGCCACCATTACCGGAGAACGGTCAAGCTTTACCGAATCCAATTGGGCTTGTAAATAATAAGCAGCGGCTTGTATCTCGTCGATATCCAATGCATCCGCAACTTGTAACACGGCTTGCTGAAAATCATCATTGAGGGAGTATTCCAAGTTCTCAAGGGTGATTTTCCCTAAATAGGCGTTGTATCAGATCCCTGCGGCATCTGCGAGAGCAAAAGCAACCGGACAACAAGTATCTTACCAGAGAGAACAGCTTGACGGCTTTCATTTTTTTTCGGATCCTTATCTAGGAGCTTCCTAAAATCTCCAACAGTTGCCTGCAACTCCAACACCAGTCTATCCACATTAGGTAAGGCGTTTCTTGAGAGAGCTGAAAGGTCCTGGTAAAGGCCCCGAAGGCCATCCAGTGCCGGATCGCCGTCCATCCTTCAGAGCGGCCAGGCAATGAAATGAAGTCGGTTAGGGTGGGCTTTGAAGAGCTCAAACGCGCACCCAGAGCTTCACACCGGAGAAATATAGAGCCGATGGATATTTCTCGTAACGTAATTTACCAGAAGCACTGCTCGCTGATTGGCTGGTTAGTTAACTTACTCGGCGTGTGTTGAGCTTACTCAGTTAACGACAGAGCACGATAATATTGTTTTCCAACCTGCTCCCAATCTGCACGGGAAGGCTGAAGCCAGTCATCCACGCAAGGTTATTGTTCTTTCATGCTTTGGGCGAAGAACATATCTGTTAGTCAGATCCTTATGCTGATGGTTAGATTGCATTTCATTCACTGGACTGTTCATCTAAAAATAAGTTTAAGCATCACAGGATGCCTTCCACTACTGGTCCTAGAGGTCTCTGAACTTGAATATGGAGCCAAAACGACCAAAATATCCAACTCCATACATGCAGTGCTGTAATAGTGCAACAGTGACTCTGAGGGGAGCCCCAGGCCAAACATGGGCGAGGTCAACATTAGCCAGGCTCTTGACCTGATTTCGTCCGACCGCCTACGGGAGCGGCTTGACGGCCTTGGGGGTATGAAAACATCTTGGCTGCATGAAGCAAGATTTCTCGTGCTAACAACCTTTAGATTTGAAGCATATTCTGCTTCAAAACAAGCGGACTTCGAATTTGTAAGCATTTGCGCTGCTTTTCTCAAGCGGACATGACTGACAGGTGTTTGATATTAGAAACTTATTAGATGACAAAGGTTATCAGAAAATATTCGAGGCTCTTTTCCGATTCATTTCAAAAGAAAAATTGGCTTACAATCGGGCAACCAAAATCGGTCCGAAATCAATCGCGGCGTCGCGCCTTTCAACATGTGCTTCAGTCCTTCGAACTGCTGTGGAATTGTCAACGAGGACAGTGGGATCCAGAACTGTTGCCGTTGTCGTGTGCCATATTATAGACGTGCTACCCATTCCGGGTGAAGGTTTGTGGGATCCCCTTAGCGTTGATTATATCAAGGCCTTGAGGTCTCTCCTTCAGTATCCACCCCATGTTGAACACCTCTCCAAAGACGACTGGCATTGCCTTGTTGACTTTTGCCTTCGCGGGATTGGTGTTGGCGAGGAAAGAAATGAAAGCCAGTTGACAATTCGTAGCGGGCCGCTTGCCCCAGAGAGTTTTGATGACAGGGGTAGCCGCGCCGGTTCTGCAGCTCCCAGAGCATCTCAACGCAACGGCCATGCAGATTTAAAAAGTAACGCTGAGGAGCTTGAGCTTTGCATCCAGCTATTAACGTCGTCCCCCACATCTCCCATCCTCGACGTAGCTGAAAAGCTACTTTATGGCATGACGGATTATTTATCGTCGCTAAACGTGGTAGGGAGATCGCCTTATGCTGCCCTTAATTCGATAAACGTAGTACTTGCAAAGTCAATAACGGATAATATCGTACTTGTTCGGGAAACTATTTTTCGTCTCCTTCCTACGATCCGCCGTTTCTGGGTCTCCAAGTCTAGTCAACTGAGAGATGAGATGTTAATGACCCTAACTCTCGGGAAAGACATCCTAAGGTCCAACTGGGCGTCGCCAATGGAGCTACATATTGATACTCTACAGGGCTTAGTCGAGCAGATCCACCGAACCTATACACGGTTGCCTGAGAAAGAGATCTTACAGGTTGATGATCTGATATTCGCTTTTGACTCGAGTCCAATTCCGATGGCCATCAAGTTTATGGCCCCTCGTCCCGGTGTTAGCAGGTCTGTACAACACTGGATGACGTTATCGATTATAGCAACTCTTTCGAAACTTGTGGATGATCTCTATCTCACATCCCACCCCCCTGAGGCTGACGGGGAGGAAGAATCGAACAAGAGACAGCAACTACTTTCAAGAATTGACGATATCTTCCGAGATGCTTCATCCTCCCTTGGTGTAAACCGAATATGTGCTCTTCAAACGATTCCCTTTATTATTTATCAAGTGGATCTTGGGCTCGAGTGTGTTTCCTCCTTGTTGCAGCAACTCGCAGCCAGTATTCTAGACGAGAGCGCTATAGTCTCTTCATGGACTATGATTGCTATTGCAAGGTTGGACTTTGTCTTCAAAGGATGCATTATTCCCCGGCTAACAAAATTTTCCTAGTGTTGCTGGTTGTGGGCATGCATCCTTGAATGAACTGCGAGAGACCTGGTCCCATATATGGGAGCTAGCATGTCGCACTTTGCCGTCTCCTGGAACGACCCGTGCTGGGTGTACGCTGATGTGCACCATTCTTCACTACCAGTTATTAGACCATGTTGACACTGTAAATACTATTGATTCGATTGCTTCGTCCGTGGACCTCAACGGGCCCGTTACCCTCACGGATTCTGCTCTCTGTCTTTGGACGACTACGATGGATTTAAGGTCCAGAGCAAACCCGGCACAGTGTCAAGAGCTGGCGAGACAGATTTGTGCGTGGCTTAAGACCACTTGGGCAATTGGTATATGCTTTGTTTTAAAATCTCACCGAGTGTTGCTGATAATGCGTTAGGCCCAGTTACCGATAGACTCCATGCGTCTCAGGTCGCTTGGTTTGCACGGCCATTAAACCTACTCAATTTGTTAATATCATGTACCGGCAGAACAGTCGCTTCTCTAGCTCCCAGCTTTCACGGACCGGTTTGCCGATTAGCCCAGATGTGGATTTCTTATCATCAAAACCGCGATTTACTAAAGTACCTCCTGCTTATTGACCCTCAGGAATGTTTCGAATGCTCGAAATTGTCTAATAATGGGATCATTGATGTGCAGTCCTCTACAAGAAGTAACCCCAATGACATTATTGTCCTGGACCTTCTGCAAACCAGACTTGACTCATTTTCCCAGGCTTGGACGCAGCTTTTTGCGGATAAGTCGAGTCATATTACTGCCGAAACCATTCAGACGTTGGTATCTCTTTGTGTTATAACAAATTCGTTCGTCGAATCCATCTCTTCGCAGTCTTTTCGTTCACAAACTCTAAAACGGGCGACTGATACCCTGTGGAAGAGTTTGTGCGAGCATCTATCTCAGGATGCTGCATCTCTTCAATATTGCTTGGACGTCCTGGCTCCCCTGATATTGTCACTAGAACCGCCGTTTGATCGGAAAAGCATAATCTTGAAGGCAGTTAGTACAATGTCTCCTGAGCTGCTTCCACTTCTAAATCGTCGACGCGAGTTAGAGCGGGGTGGAGCAAATTTGTCAGACGATGGTATGGACCTTGATGGTCCGTTTTTGTCTCGGGAGAGCATATCAGCCGAGTTTGAGATTATCTCAAAGCTAAACCGCGAGGACGATGCGACTCCTATTTTTGAGGACCTTGATTCCATTCGGATAGCGAGTACAGTTCAACTTTCCCTAATTGAAGGATATATTTCTACCGAAGACCAGATTGACGTCAGCGGTCTCATCAGTAATTACATAGAAACTTGGGACGAGGCCGATATTCTCGTTGGATGGACATATTTGGCTAATTTTGTTAGCTCCCTACCATATATTAGCAGGTCTGAGGCGTGCGCCTTGATAGAATTTTTTGGGGAGCAATGCCTCGGATCATACGCTCTCGAAAGATGCGAAGCTTCAATATGTGCGTGTATAAAGCTGATGACATGTCTCGCGGAGCTTTGGACAACTGATGAAAGCGACGATCTTCATGAGTCTGCATCGGATATTTATACATGGTTTGTTGATGTCTTGATCGGAAAGGGTATCGGCACCTCTAAGGCCTTGATTAGGCTTTCTGAATTGCTGAGGCACGTTCTGAATGCCAACCCGGCCTTCCTCAGGGGAAACCAGTGGCCTTCACCCCGAACAAGCCTGTTCAAAATTCTTCGAGACGGCGACTCAATAGTGAAATTCCATGTTTCCGATCTAATCCCGGGAATATTTGGTGGATTTGTTTTGAAAGAACACGATGCGATTTTTGACGATATTTTAGAAAGCCTCCCCCGGGATCGTGAATGGGTTGAAGGAATTGCCTTGCGTTTATTCGTCCTTGCCAAGCTTGCATCTAAATGGCATACTCTACTGCGCCGGAGTATATATCATATATTTGAGACGCCGGGGCAAGTGCCATCGTCTACATCGTATGCGAAGGAATGCCTGCAAAACGTGTCAAAGGCCCTGGGTCTTGTCAATGTGCGAGAGCTCTTCAAACTCTTTTCATCTCAGATTATCTATACGTGGATAGAGACCCAGTCGCTTACGCAACTGCCCTTTGGAGTGTTTGGCTATGATAGCCTTAGAGATTTACTTGTGGACGTGCAGGATGAAGCCATCGCGCAGGTGGTCATGCGTGTCAAAGAACAGGATATGGATGAGATTTCAACGTGCTTGAAACTATCTCCTCAGGACCTATTATCTAAGTCGTTCTACCGAGCCGAAGCCTATAGCATTGCTCGTGATATCAGTATGCCCCCATCCCAAGATCCAAAGTCACGAGGCTCAGAAAGTGGAATGAAAAAATTGTTGGGACCGGATAAGTTTTTGAGTCTTGTGGAGAAGCACTTCCCGGAAATCGTTGCAGTGATCTTTAGGTCTATGGATCAGACTGAGCAAATCGAGAGAGCCTTCGTGAAACGTCCCTTTTTCCAGCCCGCCTTGGAGCGGTTGAAAAATATTTGTGAGAGAAGCTCATCATCTGCAACACTCCCAATTGGCCAGCAGCCTTCTTTTCGAGCACGATACTTAATAGATGAGCTAGAATTTCTTTGCAGGCGTACAGGTTATGACCTTGAGACAATGTGGACACCAGCATTGGTTTCCTTCGTTGCGAGAGAGCTGATAGAATCAATACATCCCGCTCTAGGCTCACTCCATGCGTGTTCTGTCATTCGCAAATTGAGAGCTTTGGTTTGCATCGCTGGATCGATAGTTCTCGTGAATTACCCTCTTGAGTTACTTCTACATTGTTTAGGTCCGTTTCTTACTGATTTCCAATGCTCCGCCGATGCGATTGGCGTCTTTTGGTATCTAATCGATGAAGGACGAAGGTATCTCTCCTTCAGTCCGTCGTTCCTTACTGGTCTAGCGGTGTCTACCCTGGCCTCTCTCAGGGGCTTTCTTTCTTCTCGACAAGAAAGCACAACTCAGGAGACTCACTTTCGAGCCACGATGTCCAATGCGCAGGTCTTCCATCATTGGTTATCGGAATATTTACATGATTATCAAGCTCACGATCTTAAAGACGACGAACAAAGATCGTTGAAAAAGATTATTAAATCCTCTCAGAACATTTGCCTCGCTGGTAATGCCTCCAAGGGCACCCATGAAGGCGAACTTATGGTAGAATTGCTACAAGGTAAGGTGTCAGGGAGGAATCTATTGAGCAGTGCAGCTTCAGATCTAGCTTTTACACAGCTGTGTCACGAGTTCCAAAGGCCGGAAACGTTCCGTGATGACATTTTGGGTGAGGATCAGGTTGCCTTCTCGAATACAGTTGCATTATGGAATTCATTAGAAAATAAAGCACTTGGCTCAGGTTATCGACTTTGGGTCGCTAGAGCTTTAGGGAGATCATATGCCGCTACTGGTATTGTCAGCGAATTGTTACTTCGGGAGCAGCGAGTGGCATTTCCCAACGATCCTACCAAGAACGATTCCGTCAACTCGAAAGTGTTGATTATACGTGCTCTGTGTGATTCTCTCCTCTCGAATGATCGGCAAATGGTCGGGCTGGCAGAGCGGACTCTGCAACTCATCATGCAAAAGTCATCCAAAGCAACGGGTATTGATGGGTACGAACAAGCCATTCCTGAGTCTCTTACGGAAGCGCTATTTTGGTATCCCTACCACTGCCCAGACTTGACTCTAAATGAGCCTGAGAAATCTTCCGTTGATCCTAATATTTACTGGAACGCATCCGTATCCGTTCTTGAATTTGCTAAGAGCTTTTCCCTGGCTCTATCACTTAAGGCATCCGGCGACCCTGTGGTTGGTGTACTGCAACCCATCCTATTCGCCATACCTTCTCTAGCGGTCCAATTAGTTCCATATATTCTTCACGAGGTGCTATCTCTGGAAAATCATAATAAAAAGATTCGACAAGCTGTTTCCGCCGCTTTTCGAGAGGCGTTACACAACGTCCAAGAATCGACACTTCCACACGTTCGGTTAATAATATACTGTATTTTATACCTTCGGTACCAGCCGTTTCCTCGGGAGTCGACTATGGACGAGAGAGATAATTGGCTTGAAATCGATTTCATGGAGGCTGCCCACGCAGCAACCAAATGTCGAATGTATAAAACTGCTCTTTTGTTCGTCGAGATCCATTTTTCACATATCGCCTTAGCCGCTCGAAGATCGTCAGCTATTAAAGTCGCGGAACCAACAGAGCTGCTTCATAGTATCTATTCTAATATTGATGATCCCGACATGTTCTATGGTATTCGGCAGGAAGCATCCATCGATAGTGTCCTTGGAAAGCTGAGTTATGAGAGTTCTGGACTCAAAAACCTTGCTTTTCAGAGCGCAAATTACGATACAGATATGAAATTGGACCTAACCACGGACGAAAAAAGTGCCCTTGGTATCGTAAAAGCCTTGAATTCAACCAACCTTCAGGGCATCGCCAACGTCATGTTTCACTCACCAGAGATAAGAGTCAAGAGGCCAGAGGCTTTCGACAACATGATTTCCACTGCTTTGTACCTTCAGCAATGGGATGTACCAATCCCGAATACTGCTTCTCCCACCGGTAATCTTTTCAAAGCTTTGCAAGCCTTGAACACTTTTGAAGAAAAAGCGCAAATAATGCGGACTTTGGATGAATGCTTCTTGGACATGCTTAGCCGCCTATCCGAGCAGAATCAATCTCTTTCGTCTCTTAAAGACACTATGAGAGCCCTTGGTATACTTTCTGAGGTCGACGAGATTATATCTTCCGAATCATGCACTCAAGTTCAAGAAACCTGGGAGAGGATATTAAGCAGGAGCTCATGGTTGAAATTTGAAAGGTAAGACTTGAGGGTGCGTTATCTTATGAAGAGGTCTTTGACGATTGTTGTTAGTTTTGGAAGCATTGGTCAAATCCTGTCTTGTCATGAAGGGGTATTTTCCATTATTAGCCGAAAGCCTCAGCTACAGGCGATGTTGGGCATAAGCTCTGGAGATGCACAACTTTTGAAAGTGAAAGCTATACGAGAATCCCTTCGAATTAGCAGAGAGCATGATGCTCACCAAGCCTCACTTAAGTCAGCGATGCTATTGACAAAGTTGGCTGGGCCGTGCTCGAAAGTGGGACTTGAGATTGATGCTGCAGCCACGTTCGATTTGGCCAATGTGCTATGGGATCAAGGAGAGATGACTACGTCCATTAAAATGCTTCAACAACTTAGTGAGCGAAACGACCCGCAAAAGGAGGCGATTTCCGTGAATCGAGCAGAGATTCTAGCCAGTCTGGTAAGATCACAGCTGATATTCGTCAGTACGAATGCTAATCTGGGGGTAGGGGCATCATATCGCTGAGGCTAGGCTAGAAAAGCCGGATGCGATCATTCAGGATTATCTAGTCCCAGCTATCAAGGAGCTCAGGGGACATCATGATGGGGAGGAAGCAGGTCTTGCTTTTCATGAATTTGCCGCGTTCTGCGATCAACAATTGCAGAATCCTGATATGCTGGAAGACTTCAAGCGGATTGAGCAAATACGCCATCGAAAAGAGAAAGAAGTCCAAGATTTGGACCAAATGATGAAGACAGCGACAGGAAAGGAGAGGGATCAGCTACGTATTTATCGAACCAAAACAAAGCAGTGGTTTGACCTCGATGATCGGGAGTATCAACGCTTGAAACAAAATCGAGAGACCTTTCTGGAACAGTGCCTCGAGAACTACTTGCTCTCACTCAAGGCATGCGACAGTTTTAAAAATGATGTCCTTCGATTTTGTGCTTTGTGGCTCGATAACTCAAATAGCGACATTGCCAATGGGGCAGCCGGGAAATACCTCTCACAAGTACCGAGCAGAAAGTTTGCACCGTTGATGAATCAGCTTTCATCGCGGATACTGGACGTTGAAGATAGTTTTCAGCCACTGTTGTTTGATCTCATCTTTAGGATTTGCAGGGAACATCCGTATCACGGCATGTATCAAATATTTGCGAGCAGCAAATCGAAAGTCGGGAACGATCAGATGGCTAAATCGCGATTTAATGCCGCAGGGAAGCTGGTTGGGCGGCTTAAGAGTGATCGTGCATCAGGCGCAACATGGGTGGCAATTCACAACACTAACATTAGCTACGTAAGGTTCGCGATGGAGAGAATGGAAGAAAATGTCAAGACTGGATCCAAAGTACAGCTCCGAAGTTCTGTCATGGGCCAAAAGTTGATGCAAGATGTCGCAAAACAAAAGATTCCACCTCCAACTATGAAGATCGAGCTTCGTGCAGATCGTGATTATAGCAAAGTACCACGCCTTACGAACTTCTTGCCGGAATATTCAGTTGCGTCTGGAGTCAGTGCGCCTAAGATTGTGACAGCGATTGCATCTGATGGATTACGTTACAAGCAACTGGTAAGTATCTGTCCTTTATCTTAGGGTGTAGATTCTCACCTTGCTGTTTAGTTCAAAGCTGGTAACGACGACTTGCGTCAAGATGCGATAATGGAACAAGTTTTTGAACAAGTTAGTGGTTTACTCCAATCTCATCGAGCCACTCAACAGCGTAATCTCGTAATCCGAACTTATAAAGTCCTTCCTCTTACCGCCAATGCCGGAATCATCGAGTTTGTTCAAAACACTCTTCCATTGCACGAATACTTAATGCCTGCACATCAAAAGCATTTCCCAAAAGATATGAAGCCAAATGCCTGTCGAAAGCACATCAGTGATGCACAGACAAAGTCCTTGGAGCAGCGATTAAAAGTCTACCGCCAAGTTACGAATCACTTCCACCCAGTCATGAGATACTTCTTCATGGAGAAATTTCAGAATCCAGATGACTGGTTTAGCAAACGACTGGCATATACGCGAAGCACGGCGGCAATATCAATTCTTGGACATGTTCTCGGTCTCGGTGATCGGCACGGCCACAACATTCTTCTCGATGAGAAAACTGGCGAAGTGGTGCATATTGATCTTGGCGTAGCATTTGAGCAGGGCCGCGTTTTACCTGTCCCTGAAGTAGTTCCATTCCGGCTTACTCGCGATCTAGTCGACGGAATGGGGATCACCAAGACAGAAGGAGTCTTTCGTCGTTGCTGCGAATTTACCCTCGAGGCTTTACGCCAAGAATCCTACAGAATCATGACTATCCTCGACGTGCTGCGATATGATCCATTGTATAGCTGGTCCTTGTCTCCACTCCGCATGAAGAAAATGCAAGAAGCAGCAGAAGGAGCAGGGGCAGTCAACGAGGGTGGAAACGGAGCATCAGCGAACGAGCCAAGTGAGGCGGACCGAGCATTGACGGTTGTAGCGAAGAAGTTGAGCAAGACGTTGAGCGTGGCTGCTACGGTTAATGAACTGATCCAACAGGCCACGGACGAGAGGAATTTGGCTGTATTGTATTGTGGTAAGTTTTCAAATCTCTAAGTGTTTGTTGAGATGAACAAGATGCTAACGGCATCCGCAGGATGGGCTGCGTATGCGTAAATCTCCCTACGTTTGAGCATGGCGTCTGTCATTGAATATCTGTTTGGCTATTGGCTAGATTTGGATATTATAGAGACCCTTCGTACCGTCTCCTAAAGATGATCGGTGCTCATGTGCCAAAACATTGCGCTTTCTCATAATTATACCCGATAATTGTCAAGTCCTTAGGGTTGATGTACTATCCAGTTACACCCGAAGTTTCAAAGTTTTCGTATATAGACGACAGACATAGAATGACAATGTTTCTTTGTTAATAGATCCCATGAGGATCCACGGGATCCGTGTTGACTGTGTTGTTGGACCTCTTATGCATACATATTAGCCAAAATAAGGTTTGGAAGAAGCAATGAACTACTAAGTGTTATTCAGTTAGTTATAGTCTGAGTACAGAAACCATACAAGGCATTCTCTAGCCAAGACCAGAGGGTCGGTGGGATGTCAAGAATTATCTCCATCTGGCGTTAGACACTCAAATCAGTTATATGTCTCCTCAGCACCATAGCTCCAAGTCATTAAATACGAGATGGTAGCTTGGCGAAAAACAATTGCCCTGTAAAAACACCTTATGTAGACTGAGGTAAAAAAGGTTGAAACGACCTTTTGTATAATAGGGATACTTTCACTAGAAAGCTTGATTAAATAGGCCGCGGGCGTTCACAATTATGGAACTCACTGTCCAATGCTTTGGCTTTATGATACCATCAAAATTCCTGCAGAATAAAGATCATTGCCCGTTAGCGAACGGATTCATCTAATGGCGGTATCAATGCCCTCATTATCACCCTAAACGTGGTAGCCAAAAGGATAACCTAGAAAGGTGGAATGGGATCAGTTTTGGAGGCGGTTTCTGCTCCGTTGCTGCAAAGCTGTACGGAGGAGGATAGGAGAGTATTTTCCGAATTAAGACCTTCACAAGCAGGGAAACTTGGAGGCAAAGCAGAAGAGTTTGTATAGAGCCAGGCCTCAGAATGCTCTTTCCGACTCTCCATTCAAGTCAACAAGCTGACCGGGGAAATGGCAATAGGCGGAGATCTTCCATCGGCTATTCAGCAGACAAGCTGCTCCGTAGAGGAAAAGCGTTTCGTCTCAATCCTCAAGACAAAAAGCTGAGTGGCAGGCACAAAGCGTGTCCACTCGGCGAATCTAGAGAGCACGATGCATGCAAAACATGCTAAATAACTGGTCGAGTGCAAGCAACTGCCCCTGAAAGTGGGCGCACGGTTCGTCTCGGCTGCCTCGGGATGCGGAGAGAAACCTTTGCCCTAAGTCACAAGCTGTAATAAAGAAGAACCGATTTCTCAACCTTAACTAAGCCTTTTCCATATAGGCTCTAAAACCCAGCCGGTTGTGCCTAGAAGGCCCTTGAGAGTGTGTATAACAAGAGGAGCCTGCAGTTGAATAGCGTAGAAAGGGTAACGTACCAGTACTTCCCATTAAATAGATCGCAGCGGAGACCGGGAAGCAGCTTCTACTGCCGTTCTTCCTGCTATTCTTTGCGGCTAAACGCTGCAGTCAATTTTCGAGGCCTGTACCTTCCATCGACTGCATAGAACGGACTTACAGACATTTCCCCGCTGCCGCCACCCGGAGATTCGTTGCCCTTTTTCCTTTCAGATCAAGTGCTTATCACGTCTGGCAATCGTCCCCTTTCTGCCAATCGATTCGCATGATTTCGTCACCACCTTGGAGCTGTGGCATGTTGGTTAGTCACATTCATTTCTCACGCCAGCTGTATAACAAATCCAAGAGTAGCATAAGCGGGTAAGCCAAAAGAGTCAGAAGAACCAACTCACCTTCAACATTCTCAATAGGAAATTTGAAGGAGGGCTAACTTTGGTATTAATTCATCATTCTCTCCTAAGCTATACAATCATCCCCTCAATACAACCCCCAGTGGAACAGAGATATTCTTCTCTTAGAGAGCATCACCTCTCTAGAGGTACGGAAAACCCGTGCTTTTCTTGTGATGATGAGACTTGTTACGATTCTAGAAACGTTAGTTCTAATGATTAAGAAAGATATGTTCTGAACAGGGCTTAGAGCTTCTGGACGCAAACCTAGATTCTCTTACCGAGAGGTGTGTAGAGGGCCTGATCTCTCTGCAGTGAATATAGATCAGTCCAAAAGCGGCGAATGAAGGAGAAACATCAGAAACACACACGTAATGCCAGGAAGGGGTGGAAAAGGGAAATGAAATCAATGCTTACCTGGTTAATGATGAGAGTATGTATAATGAAGGAAGAAAGAAGAGAGTTAAGCAATTGATGGGACTGCGGTTTTATGTAACTAAGTATCAGTCTTATGCTGAATCATCGGCTGGCGGTTGTGGATTGATTATCACGGGTCATTGATGAGTGTGTTGTGTAGTTGTGGAGATTCGAGAACTTTATGTTAGAATTACCAAAGATTGATGTTCTGAAGAAGTCATCTTTTTGTGTGCTGCAAGCCGGTTCGAATTTCAGTATAATTATCACATCATCTGTGGTGACTACTGGAACTATTCTAGCAGGAGTGTAGGCACTTACAAGCGGATAGTTGCGAACGGAATAATTTAGCACTTTGGATCCCGAGAATATCGATAATTTAATGTAGGCTATCCTACAACATGTACGGAGCAGTGATCATCTTTTTAAATCATCAAATTGCCGTGCTATATATCACAGTAGCTCCATGTCCAATACTTTATAAAATGCAGGCTGGAGAATCCCCTACTCCTCGCCGTTCACGCTGCGGCCGCAACTCCCACCCTCGGGGCTTCCAGGAAAAGTGTTTCAAAGGTTTCCTTCACTAAGAGTTTTGCTGGGGCCTTCCCAGTCACAGCACCCGCTGACGTCAGATCCCACTGCGTGAGGCTCAGGTTTGCCCACAACTTCACCGCGTTTTCTGCGGCGCCTGGTCCTAGCTTGGGTGTTCCGCTCCAGAGAGTTCTCACCGTGTCCCATTGCTTTTCAGGTGGCGCCTCTGGCGTTGGGTACCAGGCAGGGTTGGCAGCGGGAATCGTGGGGAAAGGTACATTGGTCACAGTTTCGGTGAAGAACGTTTTATACCGGAATGCTGGGATCAGGTCTGATGAAAGGACGGGCTTCGGTGAGGAGATCTGAATGGCCATCGGTAGTGGAATGGTGGATTTGTCCCCGCTGAGAAGATCAGGGAGACGGTTGGGATCGGGGTTGGAGGAGCTGCTAGGGTCGAATTTGCTATCATCTGCAGACAAAATCCATTAGTGGACACGCTCGTGATACTTTGGACAGAAAATGAGAAAGAGAAGTATAAAGTAGTAACTTACATATGCCCCAGAGCGCAGTCGGGACAGATTTGATCACCATTTGCGCTGTATCCCACCGTGGAACTTTTGGTTGAGTTCCTTCGGCAAAGAGGGCCACTTTTGGTGGCACCGGGGTGATCGTCACCTTTAGCTTGCTTGATAGAGCGCTGGTCAAATGCATCGGTCTTGCAAAGATGGGCTGCCCGTTGCCCTTTACCTCCAATGGCGGGAGCGGATCACTAGAGTCGAGCTGACCGGTGATAATAGTAGCATGGTCAATCGCAACCTTGCATCCGATCGTGAACTGGAATACAGCACCGCGGACGTTCCAGCACTCATCGTTTGGATTGGATTTTTGTTTACCAGAGGGAATCAAGCCTCGATTGCAGGAAAAGACGTGAGGACATGGCAAGGGGGCCGTAGCAAGACTGTCTGCCGGCCCACTCAGCAAGCTCTGTGATCCCTTTGACAGGTCAGCCTGTAAGACCATCTCATAAAACTTCTGCCACGACAATATAGGGTCGGGTGGGCCTTCTAAGTGTCCAAAGTCAATGTCGAAGCCAAACACCCAGAAATTCACATGCACCCTTCCGGCGATTGGAGGACCCTGAAGATACAGCGTTGCTGAGATCTCCACACCAATGTGGATGGTACAGATCCAAAGATCAAGTGTAAACCTGACACCGACACTGAGTCCGCCTTCGGCTGTGAAGTGGAAGGGCTTGTAATTTATGAGAAAGTCCGCGTAGGCATCGAAGAAGGCGTACAGAGGCCCAAGGGTGAGGGAGGCGTCTAAACGTCCACCACCCATGCACACCTTCGGCGTTATGGCGAAATAAGCCTCCCCTCTGATACTAATAGCCGAATCATAGGACCAACTGATCGCTAATCGAGGTGGAGTTGGATATTGTGCTGGAGGCTTGAACGATCGGTGGTATCCGCCAATTGTGAAGACAAAGTCCCCGGCAGCCGATGACTCGCTATTGGAAAACCATGTATAGAACCCAAAGCCGCCTTCAAGGTGACAGCTGGGGTCGAGAACATAGGAAGACGGCGTGAGCTGACCCTCAATTTTGAGCGTGCCAGCATTGAAATCCACTGCTGCGACGATACCCAACTGGACGTGTACGAATTTTCTTGCGTCTGGGGCACCCGGCGGCATATCTGCGGTAGCCACCCCGAAAAGCCCAAGTTTAATACTTGGGTTCCATTCAATGACCACCACTGCCTGCACTTGCAGCACCTCAAACGCAAGAACCGTGAGGCCCGCTGCAACCCAGAAGGAACCTTTCTGAGAGAAGAACCATCCGCTGCTGATGAGGGAGCTCAGAGCATCCTTTGGATCTTGCGTCTGGGGCACATTTATCATCGGGAACTGAGTGACATTCTTTGCGTCCGGGAATTTTAGAAATGTATTATATCCGAAACCTCCTGTCACTCCCTTGATTTCTGCAAATTCCAGGGTAGCCAATGGGCCATTTAACATAAAGTACACAAAGCTTGATTCAAACACATTCGGTTTAACGCCGATCTCCCCATAAAATCCGGCTGCTTGGAAAAGATATGGTGTGAAGCTAATCGTCGCCGCGCCTTGGTAGGTATCTGATTCTTTTGTGACAAGGTGCTCGAACATGCCAGAGAGAATAACCGGCGAGCGGTCAAAGGAGACCGCAAGTCCAGCAATAGCGAATGTGGGCACAGGAAGGTTGTGAAGCGTAGTACCTTTCTTTATGGGAATAACGAGACCAAAGCCGAGAAGGCCGACACCAATCGGGCCCACGACAACGGACGCATCCATGAGGATGGAAAGGGTGGGTGGTGAGCCAGTGGAAAATTTCAGGCCCATGTTGCGAATGCTGAGAGGGCCAATGGACTTTTCGTACGGCGCCTTGGATGAACCTGGGTTGCTGGTTTCTTCTGCTACAAGAGCGGTGGAATACTGAGTAATACTGGCTTGGTAGCTCTGTGAGCCTTTAGGTTTGCCAAAGACGTAATCCAACACGACTGTTGCTGCGCCCTTGGGACTCTTTCGTAGGAGCATAAAGTGCGACCCGGATGGGAGTACAATATCCGTATCGTTGTACTTCTTTTTGGTGATTTTATAAGGCAACGGTGCTCTCTGTCCGGCTAGCAGTGCGTTGATCGACGTCATGTCCTTATGGTTAAGGCCGGCACCCACGTCGCTCCCCTTTTTCTGACCCTGGACATAAACGAACAGCATCTGGTCAAACGGCTGAGGCAAATCCCCAACGAGCGGGATGTCCTTAACCATGGCGAGCGGGTTAACTGCGATAAGGAAAGCCCTCTGAGCGGCCGGTTTCGGCCCACTACTGGGACCGGCGGCCTGGAATTGAACTGCTTGGAAAGAGAATCCCAAGAAGTCAAGCCACGCAACAAAAAGAAGATCCTTCTTCTCAGGATTCTCAGTAGAGTCTTGTGAGATGATTTCCAATCCAACAGCATCCTTGTCCTTTGGCGGTGTTATCTTGATATCTCCAACAAAATCGGGTAGGTCAAGCTCGGGCCCAAAAATATGTGTTGCTATCTCCTGAATAGTCGTTTCGGGAGGATCTATATCCAGAGAAAGATTGGCTTTGAATTGCCATTCTGATTTCGTATGCTCAAAGTTCAACTGGAGCGGCAAGGAGCCTAGAAATAACGTCCCATCGATCACGAATTTGGAGGCATCTTTACCCTCGTAGGTGTATGTAACGGTAAGGCTCTCCACCCTGATCTCATCCAACAGCGAAACCACCCCATCCTTGGAAGATGAATCAAAGAATTCGTAGAGAAGAGACCCATATACTCCTCTCAAAGTGGCTTTCAATTTCCAGCTACTTGTTGCCGTTGGCGCCGCCATCGCTCTTGTAACTTGGCTCATTTCTGATAATTCGGACGTAAAAAATGATTCGCATTAAATGATGTGACAGTGTCGCTCCCTTGATGCTCTCATGAGACTGCGAGCGCGCAATAATTCAGCAAGCGACTGCCGGATCTTCGGATAGACAACACGGCTCACATACCCTCAGTATAGGGCGACTTTTTTTTTCATATAATTCTAAAGAGGGTTAAGCAGGATACTTGCGGAGTGCTTGTAGAGTTAACTAGCCAAAAATGATAGGTAACCTTCTTCCCCCTAACATTTGACAGGTAGCAAAGCACATCAGATGGCACGCAATGCATTTCCATCCGCTTCGTGGCAACTCGACGCTATGGTGAGCATGCTTCTCTGACCCGGTATTCCCTGCACTCTAGAGGGAGTATTTCTTGACGGGAAAAGGAATTGATCGGTTGGGTGACAATTGAAATTCAGGCTGAAAAAGGCCAGCTCTTACATCTCTGCCGCAAGGACATGAACAAGGCACCCCCACTGTCTGGTGTATGTTATAACTATGTGGGTTCATCTCAACCGAACCAAAAAAAAGGAATTGGGCTGGGCTGGACGTCCCATCTAGACTTCATTCGTCAGCATGCATGGTTAAGTTTCAACGGAGAGGTGCATAAGTACGTGCAGAACTTAAAAATGCGATGATCGTATGTATATGTACAGAGTACAGTACTCCGTACATACAGAATACGCTTTCCCAGCCCGCACATGCATATACAACATATGCATCAAGAGCCTGTAAGCTTTGCATTCTGATTCTTCACTCCATGAGTCCATGCAGGCAGGGATCTTCCGTGCATCCTGTCACTGGTTGGCAGGTACGACGAAATGTTCCAGTTTTGACTGACGCACTGACCACCTGCAGGGTTATGATTGGTGTGCGCATCATCATGGAAATTCTTTCAAGCAAGCTACTATTGAAGTTAACTGAAAAAAATCCATTGCGTGATCGAATGGATGTAATACACCGAGACACACAATCCGCCCTGCCGTTCCAAATTGGTCCCTCCGACCCCGCGTAAGTCCTTCATGAAGTACCTATACCTCAGCCTCCATCCCCCTTCCCGCTTTGTTTATCCTGGTCCAGCACTGCCAGAAGCTGCATCTTCAGGCCTAATAATCGGCGCTTTCAGCTGTAAATACCCCTCAATTGCTGTATACGGACCCTTTTGGTATTTGGGCTTGCTGTCCACTTTCCCCAAGCCCAATGCCATGTACTGCGGATTATCCGAAGTTGCATTTATGAATGGCTGAAGCCACGCCCAACTGGCCGACTGGAGGGAAGGGATACCCACCGCACTACCTTCTATCGTCTGGTCACTGCTGGGTGGATACAACTTGTAATCCGCCGAGAGAGCCTTGTCTGAGTGATAGTATTGTTGCACGTCATCACTCACGATAGTGGGTCCCATATGGAAGAAGGCCGTCATTTTCTCAAATGCTTTTTGCCACGTCCAAGGCGGGAGGCGCAGGTTGTTCATGGGTAACATGCTGCTGTAAGCCGTCACAGGCACAAAAGGATCAATTATCATTCCAAAAACTTGGAAGGCACGATTCCAATCTCGGAAGAATTCCTGTGCCCCTTGCTGGGCATCATTGCCGCGTTCAATGTAGGAATCTGGCTTTAGCCAGAAAGCCTGGAAATCAGGGAAATTCGTGGTGGAAATCTCCTCTAATGGACCAGTGGGATTGTTGCCAGTGTAGTAAGTAAAAATTTTGCTTAGGTCAAGCTCATCGCCTGCCTTAAGTCTAGACTTAGTCTTGAAGTAGCCGACCAAGCCATCACTTGCTCGATTCTCATCCCCCAGCTTGACTGGGAATTGGTAGATATCTTGTCCACCCAAAAGTCCCAACTTTGGCGGACGGGGATCGAGGGTAGACTGATTAGATTTGGCATCAGTAGCTAATTCAAGAGACCAGCCAGCGTTGACCAGCGCCAACGGCCGGCCTACAAGTGAATTCATGAACGTGGCATAGGCGCTTGGGACCGATGAACTGGACTCGAGTGATTTGTTTGCCATGTCTAAGAAGGCAAGCAAATAAGTTTGATCGGGGTCGGCCAGCTTGTTTAAGAGCTGATCAAGCTGGCCCGTGTCAGGAGATGTCGCTGGCGGGTTGAATGGCAGCCATTTAGCGCTGGTGGAAGTGTGCTGCGGCGCAGTTGGAGAAGCGATGCGGACCTCACGATAGAACGTGCCGTCGGGTAGGAAAACTTGAATACCGTAGTCAACATAGTTGAGAACTATCCAACCCCAGATGGGGTTTTCCCACTCTGTCACTGGTCTCCAGTAGGAATAGTCCGTAGGGTGGGTGTCGGATCGAGTATCATGGATCATGAAAGCGGAGTTCAGACGGGCATGTTGATTTATTCCGGGAGGAACTTGGGTAAATTCACAGTAGCCTTTTTCAACCGGTTGACGGACAACGTTGGGCTGACCATCTGGAAGGAGCTGAGGAGCAAAATACTCGCTGATATGCGGATAAACGGCCTCGCGGTCTTCGTGGCCGTAACGAGGGTCAATGGCGTTGATTGCCTGACCAAACTTGTCGATAATGTTCAGTTTCTTGAAGCGGAATTGTCCGTGTGTTACCGGCTTGAACGGGACGGGGCTAGGATCGTCGTGTGAGACGGCCGTAGTCATCAACGCTTGCTCCGCGGTGAATCGTACAAGAGAGGCGTAAGGGGTCATCTCGGAATGGATGCCAATCAGCTTCAGTTCATTATAGTGAAAAGGGCCCTTGTACGCATCCACCATAGGTTGGACGCCCTCTCCAGGATATCTGGCATTGGGCTTAATGTGCGTGCCATGCGATAGAGTGAGGAGATGGTCAGTGAAGCCATCCAGGGGTGCGGAGAGGAACGGAAGCTTGTATGTATTGTAGAGGACATTATCACGCTGCTCCTTGGTGGGTAAGTATTTCTTCAAAACCTCTGGATCGATGCTGTTGAACAGTTGGTCGATCGCGGCCTGGAGCGAGAAGCTCGGCTGCGGAAGGAGTAGGATTCGCCCTGAGAGAGACCTGATGTCTTTGATTTGCTCTTTCGCGAGATCTGTACCAGGAGTAATCCCGAACCTCCAATGCGGATCCAGCTGGCCCTTTTGTTCCTGGACGAGGTCCCAATCCTTCCATGGAATGTGAAAGTAGTCGGCCTGCCATTCGAGGAAGAGCGGGGCCCAAGGTTGGGTTTTGCCCCATTGGTCTCGGAGAGGATCGGTGGCCAGCCCATGCTTGCCGTGGTCGTGGTAAAGAGGAACATAATGGTACTTGGGAGGAGTGACTTCTCCAACTCTGAGAGCCACAAACTCTTCAACCAGGGCCTGAGCGGTTTTCTGAAGTGGTTGCGGCAGTCGGTCGATGCAGAACGGGGACACGTTGAAGGAGGGTGTTGCCCCCACCAGCTGTGTATCCAAGCGGACTTCCAGGCGGTCGAGATAGTCGTCCGGCCAGCCAGCACTGATTCCAGCGACCAGCAGTGTCGGGTCGCGCGGCTGGCTGAACTCCCGCAGCACGCCGCTCTGGGGCAGACGCGAGAACTTGCTGGTGTCTCGCGAGAGGCTGTCGATGAACGTCTGCAGGGTCTGCGCCAGGCCGATCAACTTGTTGATGCGGTTAGTCAGCGCCTCGACCGGCATCGGTGGGGGCGACGCCTCCGGTGAGCTCGCGAGCTGCCACCAGTACGAGAACAACTGCCACTGCAGCTGCAGGATTTGTCGAGAGGTGCCATCCAGCATCCGCTGCGCCCGGTTCAGCTGCTCCAGGTATGCCGCCTCCGTGTCGCTGGGCTTCACTGCCGGTTTGTCGTCTGGACTCTGGAACAGCCAATATTGGCCGCCCGACTCTCGTGCAAAGTTCCAGTTCAGGACCTCATCGGTGGCAGCGCGGTGAGCGTCGACTCCTTCATCCTGGGCGCGCAGAAGGGGCGCGATCAGGCGCAGGTCCTGCTCCAGCCCTTCCGTCTTATGGCTTTCTATGTACGCAAGCAACGAGTCTATTGGTGTCGTCCCCACGGCGACAGACATGGAATCAGTGAGTGTCTGCGAGGCGTCGTTCGCCGGCACTTTGGGTGGCAGTGTGGATGCGTTCCACTCTACATCATACATCGCGCCGTGGCACAGAATCTGCGCTGGGTCTTCGGAACCGAGCCATTTTTTTATTTCCTCTGGGAGCTCCTTTTCGCCTTTCATTGCCATTGACAGAGCATCCATGCGGCCGCGGCGTGTCAAATGCGAACTCGGGTCCATTTTCCCAAATGGCCCGTCGGCCGCTTCAGAATGCCATCCGATAACATAGTAGCTCGCAACAGCTTGGGTGAGATGGCTGTCGGTGCCGTTGATCTTGCATGCAAAGGTATCGACCGTTGAAAACACATTGCTACAGTGAGGCTGGTAGTCCACAAACAGTTGGTTGGAGCTGCTTACGGCCGTCAAGTCCACTCGAGCCTTGCTGGGGTCCTCGCTCCACTGATTGGCACGCTGCTTGTACCCGATGAATGCTTCTGCTTGTTTTTTAAGGTTTATATTTCCAATGCTCTCTTTGTTCGAGGTAATATATGGCGAGATATCAACTTGGAGATCTGCATTGCTGAGAGCTTCGTCGTCGATTGAGCGCAGTCGATCGCTCTCAATCACCCATGCCTCTACCGGATCGATCTCAGCTCCCTTTGGAGCTGTCGTTGGGGCATTAGGGTCCAGTGTCCGAATCACCAACCACCGGTTTGGTAATGCTGGGAACTCGGGTGCTGAGTAGTCATTCGCTGGATTCTCTGCCCCTGACGCCCTGAGTCCCTTCTGTTGTCGTCGTTGGGTATGACCAGGAGCTCCAGAGGGACTAGCTGCTGCACCACTTCTGTAGAATCGTGGAAGGATCCAATGCAAATAGACTCCAACGCGATTTGATCGCACCGTTCCCTGACCCAAGTCCATCAGTCGTGGGTTGGACTCCGCTGGAATGGCATTGTGAAGATCCACATGATCCAGAATGTCTGGCTGGATGAGGGTATCATTGAGCTGCAGGAAGGTGTAGTTGGGCTGGGTGATAGGTGCAATTTTCGCATCGTCCTCATTGCCATTGCAGACACTTCTGTTAAAGACAAATGCGTCCAATTTCAAGGGTATTGTTAGGTTTTTGGGCTGCTCTGCCATCCTTCTCTGACCGAGGAAAATGTCACGTCCGAAATATGAGGTTGGAAACGTATTATGATTTACCCTCTTCTGGCGATGCAGTCAGAAAGTTGCATAATATCAAATATTATGCCAGTGAGATAAAGGCAATTGGGTAATAGAAAGCAACGGCAGGCCGATTTCTATTTACAAGCTAGATATACTGAACCTCCATACAAATTCTCAAGGGCTGAACTAAATGCAGCATACACATGCGTAGCTATGTGCGTGTCTTTCCCTCGCTGCTCAAAAGCTTAATGGTGCAGCCAGGTAGACTGCAGGTTTTTCTCACATATCCTTTATTCATAGCCTTCCGGCCGGGTCTCCGGCTTTCTTCCTCGTCGTCTACCCACTACGGTTGCAGTTCCCCCGGTTTCCTCGTCTTCCTTGCTCATCCGACCGAGTCGAACCCGCAAAACGTACAGTTTAAAACACGACTTGATAGCATCATCACTTTGGATTATCCCATCCGACATGCATTGATGTCACATTCAGAAGCACGCATATTTATGCAAACACTATGCAGTGGGAAGAGTGTTAACTTCCACTTGGTCATCACTCCAATGTCCGCCGGAGAAAGCCAAGAGGATCTTCGTGATGATGCATTAGGCTTTCGCAGAGGGTTGCATCCCTCGCAGGAGGGCAAGATTGGGCAGACACTCTTGCATGTTCTTCAGGACGTCAAGTGCATTCCCCCAAAGGCTGGGTTCCCATCACTTTGCAGCCAGATGGGGTAGTTAAGGTTGGAAAAAGAAATTTTTTGGAATGAATGCGGAGAGATATCTGCAAAGTTTAACAAATGTAACAACTCTGCCTATGCTTAACTAGTTATGTGGCTGCTTGTGCACGGGCCGCTCTAGGTTTTTTTTTTTTTTTTTTTTTTGGCATTCTTTGCAGTCGAGATTCAAATGTATCGATACATGCACAAACCCCTCCCCAGGGCCCTCGTCCGTAATGTGGCTTGCTAAAGGACGCGGGGTGCGGAGCTACCCATCCTTGATAGACAGCGTCGTCTATCAAACGATCAACAGCCCGGGGATCAAAGTAGTATTGTTTAAGGTCTGTGCGGGCCGCGACAGGGTGCAGGGCCTTCATAACTCTAGATATTTTCTCCGGACATAGTCACGAAGCTTGATACTCAGCTTCGGATAGCGTATCTCCCTGGACGCCAAACCAATCTTTGACGCAAGCCCCGCCAGGTCGAGGCGTAATTACAGCGGCAAGTAAAAGCATTATTGGATACTCCGTACTGAGTATAGCCTTACGATTTCAAGACCCATTGATTACCGGGCGTACTTGAGTTGGGCTAAGATTCTACCTTGGATAGGTATCCCGGTTATCTAGTTCCAGGGAGGATAGATTCCTACATGCAGGATTTGGCACCGGGGTGGATTAAACAGCTAATAATATCCATCTTCTCCGAAATATCAGCTCGACTAAAAGAGTGACTAACAACTAAGTTAACGAATTGAATTGACATCACATAAAAACATCCTGAAGGAGGAGCGTTGAGCGTGCGCTGAGAGCCTATCCCTCTCTCGGCTCATCAAAAAAGCTGTCACGGATGGTATCGTTAAACGCCCTGAACTCCGTGTCTCCATCTGGGATGTAATACAAGCAGTTCCATTTTCCCTCAACAACCACGCCCGTCAATAGCGTGTCCACCTTCATCGGGGGAGCGCCTTCAACGACCTGGTTTGCATACCAATGAATTTCATTGTCTGTGACCTTTCCGACAATTCGGTTAAGGAGGGTGTTGACGTCCATGTAGTACAAAAAGATAGTCATAGACCTCGTCTGCACGTTCGTTATTGTAGTCGCGGCCAGTGGGCTGGCACTCATAACGCTACCAGTGCCCGAAATTCGGTTTGCTGTGGGGTACTATCAGCTTATACCAATTATATAAAGTATAACGATAGCGTAGGATTACTCACCACTCTGAAGGGTGGAATTAACCCAGTATAGGTAATGACGTGTGTCAGTGTTCGAGAATATGATGAATCTGTCTTTGTTCGGGGAAAAGTACACTGCCGCAAGGTTTGAGTTCCCACTCGGAGTCGGACCGCTATACACCGTGGGAGCAGAACTCGAATCCTGGATATTCAATTCGTAAATCGCATACTGAGGTGTTCCTCTGTAGCTTTGGTTAGCTTAAAGGCCGTTAGCCCAAAAGACGGGCGGCATACTGTGGCAGATTCAGGTAGTAGACCCAATTGTTACGGTCATTGTCAGAACACGCGGCCAGTGCCTTCTGCGTGGTCTCTATTGGCTGGTTCTGGCGGTTGGCGATGAGATTGTAGGTGGGGCTTATAACAGAAATGTACTGCTTGTCGGTGCCTGGCTTGGTGATACCGTACACAGTAACCTATCCCCGGCGGTTAGTCAAACAGTGAAATGTAGGTTGTCTTCAAACGTACCAAGCTAGAACGCATCGCAGCTGCAATACTAGAGGGGTTGACAATGACACCTTGAGACACTCCATGATCAACATAAGCTGAATAGCCTAGAGAACTTTCAATGGGACGCTGTTCCAATGCCAGCTGCTGTTTGCTGGTAAGGAAGAACAAAAGGTGTTGACCACTCTTTGGAATTGGGTTCTCCAAAACAGTCACGGGGGACGCCATTTCGATGATGCTTGAAACTTAGAACGACTTTTCAAAAGTTCAATCAGTTGATCGAATAAAAGGATGCCACCTTCAAACCGGGCTCTCAGAGCGGTCTTTCTTAGGATTTATACCATTGAACTCAGCACAGTGATTATAAATTCACAGAAGAGAATCCTGCAAGGGTGGGTTGGAAGGTTTTTTTTTTTTTTTTGGGGGGGCGAGGGGGGTGTTCGACTGAGGGGGAGCATTAATCCACCAGCATGCGTGGACGCATGCGCATCATAGTGCCAAGTTGCAAGCCCATAAAATACAATACTCTCTTATCAGGATCTTGAATCTTGATATCCATTTGACGCCAGCCCAAGTGGCTGGCTGATATCATTGGGACAACTTCGTAACGGACGGGAAGGTCGGCTTCGTTAATGGATAGGCCACCGACTGACCTCATATTGTCAAGGGCCCAATGGGGATTCGAGAGATCCACGGATGATTCGCTGCATTGATGCAGATGAGCATAGTCAGACCACTATGCTCGGAGACGGCTGCATGATCAAGGGAGGTGAATGTTGATTTTTGGGGTGGATGCACTCTGTATGCCGGCTAAATTTGCACGAACCTTGACGGCATCATGCAACATGCAGTTTAAAATAATCCATGAATGGAAACATGGTGTTGTGCATCCCATCCCCGAATAATCCGGAGAAAAAGCTCTCACATAGCATCCCCCCTCACTTTGGACGATTCATGCCTCTTTTGAAAGCCTAAAAACAAGGAATTTACCATTGGACATATTCCCGACCGTCCCGAAAGTCGGCTAGAAAAATGAATTGTCAAATATGCTAAGCGTAATATCATCCCATTAATACGCACCATCTCACATTCATTGTCACGGGCAACAAGAGCTTATTGATTATCACGATTTCAATCAACCATGGACCTCCGGCGAGCCCCAAGAAAACTTGACTGCTCGCCTCGCCATCTTGCACTGCGTCATGGGACACGAGTTCTTCGATCACTTCGGGCGACGGCCGAGGATACAACCCCTGGAATCAAACGGGGAGAGGAACAGTTATTCTCGTTTTATGTACCTGGGCTTGCTGCTGGCGTTCACAAAATCGAAGTCGAGCAACACGTCGACACTGGCTCAGACAAAAAGACCATCCCAAGCAAGCATGAGTTCAATGTTATCGCACCTCGGTTTTCCTTGCCCGATGGCGCCATACATTCGATTTATCCACCCCAAGGGCATGCTGACAGAGGAGAAGTCCTTCCAAATGTCTTGTTTACGGACCCGACACTACCTTGGGAACGAATCGCGAGCTGGAAGTCGGAGAAAGAACATCCTGCCGACTATAATAACAACCGAGTTCCATGGCTGGCCGTACTTTTGTTCACACAAGATGAGCTTCGTTTAAGCCAATCGGAAATCTCGTCAATATTTCAGAAAATTCCTTCGCAGACGGATGCTAAACAAAGCGATACCCTTAGCATCAACATGTTGGTCGCGGATGTGTCCCAATTACAGGACACGGCTACATCCGTGGTATATGACCCAGAAGCTGATGGAGCGACGGTGAAAACTGATGCAATATTCCTTCGGTCCGAATTGTTCAATTCACTCTTCGCAAAGTATGATAAAAATGGGGCGCGGGATCCGGCGCAAACGACAGGTGAAGTGTATCACCACCGTTTTCTCGCTCACCTCCGTCATATTCATCTGGACGGCACACCTTCAGCGGCCACGACTGATGACGAAGATCATGCCTATTCGGTGGTTGTTTGCCACCGAACCGGTCCCTTGTCGATAAAACAGCCGACAACGGTGGTTGCCCATTTGGTAAATATCGAAGGCGTAGAAGCTATGAGCTTCCCAGTTAAGAATCAAAAATATGTGTGCATGTCCTCTCTATACGCCTGGGAATTCACATGCTTGCCTCCCAATTCTCTAAATGTGGCGGATGCTTTCACTTACTTGGGAGAAACCCTTACGGCACTGACACCAAAGCTTAGCAAGGAGGACTTGAGCCAGCTGAGCGGGCCCGTTGGGAACCGTGTAGCAAAAAGGCTCAACGACGGTTTTTCACTGGCGAGATATCGAATCCAAACTGGCGAAGTCACGGCCGCCTTCTTCAGGGGCCCATTTGCCCCGTCAACGGTGGACTTCCCAAAAGAAACTCCATGGCCACTGAGCTCCACAACGGGAACAAAACTCCAAATCCTTGATCAAGAACTCAATATCATGGATATTACATATTCTGCAGCTTGGAACCTTGGAAAAACACTTGCGTTGGCAAACCAGGATTTTGCTGCAGCACTATCCCGAGTTCGAAAGCAGATTTTTGATATTGCGTTAAACGAGGCACGACTGCACGCTATCAAATCCCGGGCCGCTTCCCTTGGAGTGCCATCGGCGTACAAGACCCGTGAAGAGGTTGTGAAGACAATCGCCAGTACCATTGAGATCGTGGCGAGTTTACCAAAGAAGAAAGTTCTCCAGTCCAAATCCGATGGGATGGCAATGCGTTGGTTCCGGCAGGAGCTCCCTCGCCTCGATCTTACATACAAGGGTCAAGAGATTGACCCGATCATTGATGATTACCTGGAGAAGGCCGCATACAAAGTCGCAAGTAGCACAGACGGCGAGGACATACCATACAATGAGTACAATACTCCTTTTTCAACCGACTGGATGATTGTTTTGCGCTGGGTGTTAGATCGATACTATTTGGTCGATGTGCCCCCACATTATCTGATCACCGACCCCAGCCATGTCCCCCAGGAAAGTCTGCGGTTCTTCACAATTGATCATAACTGGGTAAGTGCCATGGTCGATGGAGGCCTGAGCCTTGCCAATCACGTAGACCGTAGCGACGACCGTTTGAGGTCAGCTATCAAGGCAGCAATCAACCGTTATCTGAAAACCGAGATCCCCACTTTGAAGTACCGTCCCCCGATACCAAGTTACGGATTTTTCGTGCGCTCTGCACTAGTGACCAAGTTTCCCGACTTAGTTGTGGACATTGACCCCCCTCCGAGCCACGAGTGGGCTCCCGTCGTACTCCGTCATGAAGTGGTGGGACCGGACACGATGTTGTGCCTCATGCGCGAGGCGCCCGTCGAACCCGAGTTTCATTCGCTATTTCTGCGAGAGCCGCCACACCAACAGTACTTCGCTGCCGCAAAGACGCTCACTGCGGAGTATATCGACATGGATTATAAGCGAGTCTATACCGACCCCAATGCGGATGATCCAAACCGCACCACGCCAATAAGTTATACGATCCATCGCAACACCCCAAATCCACACGGATCGATTTTTATCTGGGGAACGAGTCCAACAACAGATGATGTTCGGTGCTTGAACATGGAGAATTTTGCGAACGATTTGCACCAAACGATCAAGAAAACGTTCGAAGATGAGCACCATCCTGGATGGTATCAGGAGCCGTTCCCGACGGCAGCGTTAATGGGAATCCAACTCAACGAGCCACGGTGGCAACTTAGTATTTCCCTGCCAGACAAGAAAAAATTCCCTGGTCTCTTTGCTGCCTCTGAGAATAAGTACCGGACCTTGGCATTGTCTCCAAAACGGCAGATCCGTGCTCAGGCAACGATCGAATTTACACCACAGTCTATTGCATGTGGTCCACACCCTGCTTTTGGTGCCCGTAAAAGAGCAATTCTAGAGGAACCACTGCATATTCCTCCGCATTTCCGTATGCCACGGCCAATTTTCAATGTCACATCTCCCAACATTGCTGATGGCCCAGCGAGTGCTCCCGTGTTCAACTATGCTGTTTACCCGGTTGGTAAAAAGCCAGGAGCCAGCATTCCTATGCTCAAGGGAAAACAGGACCTCATCTTTTCGATCGTGTACGAAAAGGATGCCCAAAACTTTAACATGGAAAAGCTCAAAGTGTCAATCCCACTTGGGCGCCCAGCACCGCTGATGACCAACTACAAGGGGACAGGGCCAACGATGCTCTCGAATCTCCGGTTCAATGTCCTCGCACAGTTCAGCAATGACGAGAAACTTGTGTTGTCGTTGATACCACGAAGCACGTTGCGCTATGTCCCGGTGAAGAAGATTCCGGAAATGAGTTTCATGTTGAGTGGAGTGGAGGTGGCATCATACAACAGCCCGACGAGCATAAAAATTGAGGTGGAAGTGAAATATCAGCAGGAAAGTCCCTGGCCTTTCGGGTTTTTCGCTCTTTTGGAGCCCGTTTCATAAAGCTTTCACCGGGTAGTTACTGTTTTAAAAGTAATCGCAGTAGGAACATGAGAATCAGAGCAGCATCCTGGATAATAGGGTACTAAAAAATTGTACCTAAAGATCAAAGTGCATATATCAAGGATTGAAGTAATTGACTGAACAACTATTATGACCAAAGTAAAATAATACCCAGATAGACGAGGGACAATGTGTAGTCGGGATTAATCGAAGTGTTCACGTGATCAATTTAGTAAGTAGCTGGTTAGTTTAGTTAACGGCCTCCAGTAACCAACTAACCAGCCAATCTTGACAAAGATTGTGGTGTGGATTCTGTATCCATATTCGAATCTCATTATGGACGAGACGTTACCTGCTACCTATACGGAGCACACACATATATAAGTTAGGTACGGAGGTTAGCACGAGATACCTAGTATTCTCCTGCTGGAGTTCACCCACCCTTTTACCCTGATCGCTGATACCCTAACGCCCCCTCCAGATAGTTACATGGTCTCCTTGCTGTGTCACGAGTGGGAGCTTGGCTTAACGCCCGCGATAAAATCAAGGTTAAATCTGAAGCCTATACTCTCTCCCCACCAGCTGGATGCGTCTAACTCGATGTGATTGAGAAAAGGCTGTGCAATGGAGCTGGAAGACCTGTCTCTCAGCCCTTTAAAAGTTTCCCCAACAGCAAGGCTTTCCCTGGGAGATGCTGGCATAGGCCCGGGTAATTTTCCGATGGATTACCCTCTGGAATGTCAATGTTTTGACCAGGGATAACACTGGCGAGGTGGATTGACGTACCAGTGTTCTCCGGAATGGGATTGAAGTCACACCATGCCTCATAGGAGAGTTGAAGGACAGGTTCTGAGATTGATCCCACCCTAGGAAGAGATAAAATTAGCACACACAGTATGCGGTGGTATTAATATCTCAAATTAGTCTCTTGAAATGTTCTGACAATTCCACAATACTCCCCGAATCGTTCCTGTTTTGTTATGCCCATTTACCTAGGAGTGTGAAAGGAGAAAGACAGGCTTTTTACCATCTTGATCTTGGCCAAAGCTACTAGATACCTCTATGTCTATGCAGAAATATGACAACTCCGGCTTATCAGATGTATATGTTGCGTCCAATCCGATTGTTACTCGTCGCGGATTAAGGCCATCAATGGTTTTCTCTTGCTGAAGAAGGGTCTTCACGAACGTCAGGTCATCCATTGCTAGCGCCGCAAGCCATGCCAGTATATTGTCTATGGCATCGAGGGTGTCAACATACAGGCTAAGTGAAATTTCCGATCCCGCTAATTGGACACCTCTCTTCATCTTCACAACATCGGCGGTCTTTGGTGTCACTGAACACTCCAGAACAAACACCACAGAGCCTTTTTCCGGCCCAATAGGTTCATCTGTCATCATTCCTCCGACTAGCACCTTTTTACAGATGACTTCAAGGTTTGTGATCTTAAACCGTGAAATAGCAGAGAGTAGGCCCGTAAATTCCTTATCCACACCAAAGACCAAATTGCAGTCTGAGCGTGGTCGGATAGCTCACAAAGGGTTCGAATCACAGAGCATTGCGCTTCCCTATGTAGCTTGACCTTTGGAGGATGGCCTGTAGAGGAAGGATGACTGTCAGGATGCTATCTATAAACCTGCATTGTCCAGCTAACTTGGCAATGTCTTCAACTTTGACAGTAATGTCGGGATTTCCGTTCCAGAAGGCCACAATAGAGAATACCACAGTCATTATCTATTCCCGTGCTTGAGATCATGGCGAGTGCTTCTCCAAATGCGGAAGCAAGAGCATCAGAAGAGGAGTTGAACATCATATCCCAGGAGCTTTTGAAAACAAATTAGAAGCTCTGTATATTGCCTCTCTTATCATTCACCTGTAGTGAGAATTGCCCATCTCCAATTCGGGAAAGCCATTTTGCGGTTCGTCTGTTTCCGGGGCGGGCTTCTTCCCCGCTATGACGACCTTATTCTTTAGCGTTGAACCAAACCTGTCGGTGTTTTCGCTCCTAGGGAGGACAGGCATATACTTGAGGCCTTTGTCTGGTGACGCTAGAATAGATATAGTACTTCTCGTCCATCTCTCTGACCCAGTGGAGCTTGATAAGAAAAACTGCAAAACGAGGTTAAGGGTACTATGTCCCAGCCGAAAGATTGCCTCTATGTCTCGGATCAGACAGTCGACATTCGGGTATCAGATAGTTAGACTTGTGTAAACCAGATGCGTACCGTTCCCTGAAACAAGGTATATTTCGCAAGGCCAATGGAAGACAGCCTCTCTGCTGTTCAAGAAGGATTACCTGTGATCAATATCGAAACAGAGACATATCCTACTTGCGTACGTACACGACCTCTTCCGCTTGGTAGTTTGGGTTTCCATTTCCCCTCAGTGGTGGCGAGCTGACCTCGCCGCCGACGAATGAGTCCTGCAAAAAATATTCCCGTATGTCGACATTCATCACGCCAGCCCGCTTGTTACACACGGCAGGCACACATGCAGATTGTGTCAAGTGTCCCATGGGTTTGCATTTGCCTTGCATTGGACGCGTTGCCCACTATGTATGGTACAAACAGGGGATTCTAAATGGAGATGATGGCAGGAAGTAAGATCGACTCGAAGGCCCACAACGGTGTTCACACATGTATGCGCATAACTACGGAGTACATATAGGCTGGACAAGCTGCAGGCATATCCTTCGTATGGATGGTTGCAAAGGTCATTTACGCGAATATTTGGTTTGAATTTCGACCGCGCGGGGCCAGGTAAAGTACTTTCAATCTGCACTGTATTCAATCAACCCGCAGCAGCAAGGAAACGAAATGCACCACAGATACTTGCTGTCCACCCTCCATGCTCAACGGATCCCGTCTATTAAGCAGGGGATATCCTCTTGATCTCGACTGCGTCTCCGCTCATGCCATTGAGATGCAATTTGATGCCTTCTAGGTCGGTTGGCTTTACAAACTGAAAAGCATCGTCCTCGATTCGGTTCCAGATGTAAAACTTGCCGCTGGACTCGAAGAGAACTGCAGGCCGGATCGACCAACTAGTGGTGACTAACTAGCTTCGGCCAAGGATTCGACAGGCCGTACTTACTCCGTATTCCTTGGCCATCATCTGACCATCACTTTGGTCGTCACCCCAGTGGTACTCGATGTTTTAACTCCACTGCATCGTCTGTCCAACCGCTGGGCACTGGCGCCATCTTTGATACTGATCAGTACGTACGTATTCAAGGCCTTTTAATGGCAAGGTTGGGGAGGGATTTTTCTGACTTGAGTAGGAGAGTGAGAACGTTAGAAGAGTTAAATAAAACTAATCAATGTCGGGCAGAGAGTTCTCGTGTTGGGTTCGGACTTAAACTGGCTGTAGCCAGGAAATGGGTGATATAAACACAGTACCGGGTGTTCTCGCCGAAGTATGATGTAGCTATTGACGGGATGCTCATCTGCACTCGGCATGCATCAACCCCCACTCTGGCGTTGCAGGAGGAGAAATCCTGAATTGGAGCTGAGTGGGAGCGTGTGTGTATATGTAAAGTCAGAAAAACTTCCAGACCCGCCGAAATGATAGCCCCAACCTCGCACCATTCGGTTGTCTATGGCGACGCTCGAACCTGAGCCGATTCTCTGAAACAAGCAGCCCGCGGAAATCGACCTGAAGGAGGCCTACAAGTTCAACTCCAGGCAGGAGCCGGCTTATTCCTTCAATTCAAAACCAGCCGCTGATGAGTGAAGGGAGCCTAGGTCTATAAGTTTATGGACGGGGGTGATTGAGAACTTTGCTGATTATGACATGATCCAAGAGGGATCTAATGAACAAAGAGAAATAGTTGTTCGGTTGGGTTACGGTGTCATTACGCTCGCCGTCGCTAGACAACTGTCGAGATTCCTGCCCCGTCTGACCCAATTTCCTTCACTATAGTGCCAAAGTTGATGACTAGAAAGACTCGGGCGACGACTGTTATGCACTGGGGTTGGAACCCAACTAATATCACCTCCGAGAGCTTAATCCTAGGCAAGACGGTTCAAAGGACAACCCATCGAAATTTCTAGTGGCAGATGGCCTTTTTTACTACACCCTTCGTGGAGTGACGATTCGATACTGGAATCCATACGATCTCGTTGGACTTTTCTTTGTCATTTCCTAAGCCGTTCAACAATGAAGCCAAGGAACATTTCTTTCTTCCGCTGACAGCGGTGTACGTTCGACGGAGCGGGCAAATTGCGTTGAGCCGAGTCAAGGCTTCTGGCGGCATTCAGAAACTGCCTGCGCGGTTTCACTGCACGTGGTGTGAGAAAGAAGGGATAACCCAATGTTTTTTCCTTGGAGGTACGGAGTATTCCGTACAGATATGAATTCGATAAAAATGACGTGTGAGGCTGGGAGAAAATCTTGAAGTATGAACGATACAAGCTCCTCTGCGAGATTGCATTTCCCACGAAAGACTTCAATGTTTCTGGAGCTAGAATGGCGATACGGTGCCAAGATACAGGAATTGCGCTGGAACGTATCCTTCTATTGAAGTATTACAAACCTTTTTGCTCCTCCTCCGTCTGTTTTTCTGTATAGACCGCTTATTAGAAGCCTTTAGGCCTTACAATGAGACGCATATTGACAAAGCATATGGCCTTACAATTCTACCCACCTTCTTTGATAAACAAGGCAGCAAGGGAAAGGGCAAACCCCAGATCAAATATATTTATAGCAGAGAGCTATGATAACCCCTGTGACAACTGCAAAGAGTTAATCAAAAGGTGTGCTGGAAGAGGACCTCAACTTATTTCATGCACCAAAAGGGGCCACAGTATTAATGTGGTGATACCGCAAAAAAAACTAGCGGCGGATTCATTGCATGTATGTACGGCAGGCATGTACGCAGTGATTATAGCTATTTTCCCCACCACCAACGGCTAATTCGCCCACAGATTCAGAGATATAAAGAAAATTTCCAAAATTGTTGATAATCAGAGTTATTGTAAAATCTGTGCATGGCATCATCATATTCATCTGCAGTTAGAGTTCAGGATGATGATGGAGCACAATTTGGAAAAGCATGACGGAAAGGAATTAAGATGGCGGACTATGGGCCATGGAGGCTGACAGGCCAGTCAAAGCCCAAACAGGTAGCTATCAGGGTGAACTGGTCTGCACAGGGCACTAACAATAATTGCTTTCCTTTGACATTCAAAAGCCACGTGGCTGGGCTTCATTAACTAACACTAGTGTGGGTTAGGGCTGGTTGGGGGTCTCATGGACCCAGGATTGAGGGTCAGCTCGAGGAACAGGAACCCTAATTTTAGTTCAACTAAGTTCTAACTAACTTGCACCGCGGCGTCTCAGCCTGGTAGCTTTGGGTTTTGGACCCGTGGCAGGAGAGAATTGGTGACAAATTGGAATGTTTTTGGACAATGATCCAGGCCACACACACTCCCACCGGGAACAAGCAATGTGCCTATTTTGACTGAAATAGCAGTCTTTCACAAGGCAGCAGCCTCTGCCAAACTCGGGATCCGGGACGATTCGGGGCTTCACAGGATGGCATTGGTTGCTTCACCACCAAGGGGAATCGTCGTCTTCTCTGGAGGCAGCGCTGCAAACAATCTCGTTGACGTATTCGAAGCCGTGCGTCAAAACAAAGACTGTCCGCTGAGTTACATCATTCCCATCAGTGACAACGGCGGCTCTTCATCAGAACTGATCAGGGTCTTTGGTGGCCCGGGAATCGGAGATGTTCGAAGTAAGCCCGCTCGCCTGACAAGCTATAAGGTGTACACAGTTGACAGAACTAATACCAGGTAGACTTGTTCGACTCATTCCGGACTGTCCGTCAAATCAAGAATTAGCTGCCATCAAAGCCTTTTTCAATTATAGGTTGCCACCCGCAGCTGATGCAGCGCACAACGAGTGGTATTCCATTGTCGAAGGAACCTCTCCGCTATGGAATGCTATCACTCCTGCAAAGAAGGAGCTCATCCGCTCGTTTCTGAACCATCTCAATCTTGAGATCCTGAAGCGGGCGCGACCACCATCTTCAACCTTTGATTTCACTTCTGCTAGTGTCGGAAATCTGTTCCTTACTGGAGCCCGCCTTTTCACTGGGAGCTTTGAGAGTGCGATTTACCTTCTGGGCAGCATTTGTTCTGTACCACTTGACAGTGCTCGAGTTATACCAGCTATTAATTCCAACTTTTCACATCACATATCTGCCTCACTAGCCGACGGGACTGTGATCGTTGGTCAAAACAGCATCTCTCATCCCAGCGAGACCACCGCTCTCCAGCCCGTTAGACGACGACCAAGCCTTCTCTTAGCCGATGGAGAGGATCTAAACTCTGAATCTGATGACCTCTCCTATGAAGACAGCCACTTACCTGGCTCGCTTCCAACCCTCCGCAACAAAAACATTACTTTCAGCAAATCCACCGTGGAAGAGCTACCATGCCGCATCTCCCGCGTTTGGTATATCAATCCATACGGCCAGGAGATCAAACCACCCGCCAATCCCCGGGTTCTAGAAGCCATACGCTCTTCTCAAGCTATAATATATAGCATCGGCTCCCTCTACACGTCTCTCATCCCTTCCATAATCCTCCGTGGTGTCGGCCAGGCCCTCTCAACCTGCCCAGCCCGCCACAAAATTCTCATCCTCAACGGCTCTCTCGACCGTGAAACAGGACCGGCAACTCACCCCTTCGCAGCCTCAGATTTTGTCGAAGCTCTGGTGCGCGCCGGGGAAGAATCGCACGGCCGCAGCCGCGGAGTGCAAAGAGTAAACGGCACGGTGGCAACACCTGAATCATGCCATGGGCCTGTTAAATCCGCATCGCAACCCCCTCGCATCTCCGTCCCGTACACCGCGTATGTTACGCATATCATCCATCTGGAGGGACCTGGGACTCCACGTGTCGATCGTGAGCGTCTGGCAGAGATGGGAATCGAGTGTTTGCGGGTATATGGACGGAAGGTGGAGGGCCAGTCTGGGGAAGTGTTGGGAATGAGATATGATTCTACGGCGTTGACACAAGCGCTGGAAATGGTGCTAGGTAAGAAGGGAGATGCCATGGTAGGAATAAAGAGTAGAAGAAATACAATGGAGAGCATGGCAGGAAGGTAGAACGGCCGGAGTCCTGGCAGGTCAGTGTCTTGATGTAGGGTTTTAGAAAACGCCATTTCTTTTTCTTTTTTTCTTTTTTTTTTTTTTTTTTTTCCTTTTTTTTTTTTTTTTTGGTGGGATCCTATACTCATGAAGGGAGATATAGATAATTTTAATCAATGGTAAGAAGATGGAGATGATCGAATATTTTCGGACTACATTATTTTTATCATAAAGAAAGAAGGCTGTGTGGTATATCCCTGGTGTAAGTAACGTTTCCGACCACCCGACGACTGCAATTTCAAAATCCAACCCTCAACATTCCAACCACGATAAAATGGTCAACGAAGCTGCAATTGAGCAAACAATTAAGGATTTAGAATCTCAAGAAGCTCAAAATTACAGATATACAGCTTTAAAATATGGAGTCAATGAAACTACGCTTGCACAGCAATTCAAAAGCTTACAAGTCTCCCGAAGTGAAGCCCCTTTTCTTTACCATAAATTATTGACAGATTCGCAAGAGAGATTCCTTCTTGGCTATATAAATAATCTTACGGTCAAAGGCTTTCCTCCTACGCCTCGAATTCTATGAAATCTTGTTGAAGATATCCTCAAATTGCCTGTTGGAGAGCACTGGGTTTCTCACTTCATTGAACGCCATAAAGATGAAATCAAAAGCATATAATTACGTGCCATTGACTAGCAAAGGAGGAATGCGGATAATGCGTACTACTATAGCCATTACTTTCAGCTTGTCAAGATCCAATTCCATACTGATTTGGGCTGGTTTGGCTGTCAGTTTTGCTAACTATCTCTCAGCTTCAGGAAAAGATCCACGAACACTGTACTTTGCCCTCAAATATCTATAATTTTGATGAGAAAGGGTTTGTACTTGGAATCCTGAGTATGCTCAAGCGAATTGTCACCACAGAGGCTTTGAAATCCGGGCCAATACTAGGAACAATGCAGGATGGAAGCAGAGACTTCATATCTCTACTGGCATGCATTTGTGCAGACGGAACAGCACCTCCACCATTTATTATCTTCAAGGGGGAGTCAGGAGACCTTCAAGATAAGTGGCTTGCTGATTTTGTATGCAAAAAGGACCACTCTTCTTTGCTGCTTCCGAGAATGGATGGAGTAGTGATAACTTTGGCCTTGAGTTCCTCAAATGTTTTGACCAGCTTACACGAGATAAAGCAGGCGGATCCAAAGGCTCTAGGCGTGGAAAGCGCCTGCTTATTGTGGATGGCCATTCATCCCATGTCAACATGAAATATATTGAATACACTGATGCGAATAACATCCTTCTTGCTGTCTTTCCACCCCATTCTGCACACCATTTACAGCCTCGAGATGTTGGAATATTTGGACCACTGTCTTCTGCATATTCCGAATATATGGATGACTTCCTTTGTGGAGGATTTGGCTTCGATCAAATGAACAAATCGAGCTTTTGGCAAATCTTTCACCCAGCTTGGAAGGATGCCACCATGCCAAAGACTCCTACTAGTGCCACTAGGATTTGCATTCTGAGCCAGTGCTTGAGCCAAATACCACAGCTACCCTCCGAAATCAAGCTTCTAGTTAAAGCTACTGAGAGACTAGTGCTCCATAATGAAGCTCTAGTGGTTGAAAATCAAGGCCTAACCCAAGCTCTACGGGTTGAACGCAAGCAACGGCGGTGTGGAAGAGCCATGGGGCTTTTGGATCCTGAGAAGCCTGGTCAAGCTCAGTTCTTTTCTCCCAAGAAAGTAGCACAGGCTAGAGAGAAATTTTTGGAATTAGAGAACAAAAAGGAACAAGAGCAGGCTCAGAAGGAACATGACAAGCTTCAGAAGGTCATTGCAAGAGAAGTAAAGGCTGCAGAAGCTCCAGAACAGAAGAAAGCTCGCGAAGCCAAAAAGAAGCCAATAAAGCTGCCAAAGAAGCTCAAAAAGAAGCTCAATGTGTTGAACGAGAGGCTTGTAAAACCCTTGAACTAGCTGAGAAGGAAGAACGAGCTCGCAAGCGCCAGCAGGCCAAAGAAGAGAAGGCTGCTCAGAAGGCCTTCCAAAATAGGAAAGCGGTAAAGAGCCCTAGTTGCTCAAAAAGCCAGGATACCCTAGTTCAACGGCCTAAACCTCCTAAACAGAACCCTAAGAACCCTCCTAAGCCAAAATCAACCCTGCCAGCTTCGAATTTGGATAATGCTGTCGCTCCAATTCCAGAGAAGCCAAAAACGACTAGCTCCCGCTTCGGCCGTACTATTAAGCCAACACAAAGGGTTTTGGATAATCTATAGAGATTTATATGTAATGTTCCATCTTATTTACTAGTATTTAATATTTAATTTGAATATCTTATTTGGTTGTTGAGATATTGCTGGTTTTGTAAGGAGGGTTGATTTTTAAGCCGTAGTCGTTGGGTGGTAAAAATCGTTCGGCGGTCGGAAACGTTAATCGACTGGCATAAACTCTAAAACCCCTTTGACACCTTTCTCCAAAACCGCCAGGGAATGTCCCGCACTGTCCTTCTTGAGTTACCCTCCACAGAAGATACAGAGAAACTAAAATTATGAGATCTGGATATCTTTGTTACTGCTTCTTTTTTGTTGTCAGCTTAAGCTGCAGAGGTACAAGATTCCGTCGAGGCCCAGGTACGTCAGATCTTGTAAGCACTCTGCGGCAAACCGGGCAATTTCCGCGGGGCGTTTTTCCATTTTCATGTATGCGTCTCTCTTCACCAAAGCGGAGCGTGTCGATAATGCATTTGTGGCAGAATAGGTGGCCTAAACGCAAGGTGCATTAGCCTTGTTCAACAAACTAGAGGCCCATATAGGAGGGAATGAGGGACGAAAGCCTACCACAAATGGTAATCGTGGCATCTTCAGGCGTATCCATGCAGACAGGACACTTGTAAGATGTTAGAGCGGATCGACCAGTCTCATCTTTTGCAGAATGTTGCGCCTTGACAGCATCCTCTCGTTGTTTGGATAAAGCGTGGGCAAGAGTTGTAGAGTCATTGACCGAAGTTAGGTCAATTGACTCGACATCGGGGCCTTCAACTGCAGAGCTGTTTTGCGGGGTAGAAGCTGCATCTGATGTGAGTATGGAGGGTCCCGCAGCTGCACCATGATTCAACCTCCGTCTTTTGGAATCGTGAGAGTCCCCCGAGACATGTAATCGTGATGGGTTGCGTGGTGGAGTATAAAGGCTGCTGAGAGGTCGAATTTCGTCTCTACCGTTATAAGGAGAGGATGATCCGAGGGTCGTAAGGTCGACAAAAGCGCTAGCGCTCCGGGACATGTTTCTGGCAAAGGAGGTGCGAGGCTGACAATATTGCTAAGTGGAAAGTCTTGGAAATACGGGCAGATTCCCATAAGACCAAGTCCAAAAATAAGACCCCACGCCCGACCAAGCTATGTGGTAAGGGAAAGATGCCACTAGAGAGGACGGTGTAAAATACGGCGTGAAGGTGGTGATCTCAGTGCAAGTGAAAAATGGTAGCCCTCAGCGGCCTCCGCCGCCTCTTCCAGCACCAAAAGTGTTCGTTTGAGCGGCCTGAGCTGGTGGTCACTTGACGAGCTCGAAATCTGAGGAGTGAGGGAAAGAGCCGGCAGTAGGGAAGTCAAAATGTGGGCCGCAAATGATTAGATTTGTCAAGAGGCAGAAGCAAGGGCAGTAAAATCAAATTATACAATAGGCGGCGTTGATTATGTGTGTCTGGATAAAGCCGGGACGAGATGAATGAAGATGGGATCAGATGGCAAACTCCTGATTATATAAGGTCCTTATCGATAAGATAAGGGTCCATCAGGACGGAGTACTCCGTACTAGTTCCATAACTACTTGAGGTTTGATGGTAAGGTTCCTGTGTTCTGTGCACGTGAGCAGCCTTATCAGCTCTTCCGCGGGTTTCTTCTGCTGGGCTCGTCGTCTCGTCCCAACTGTCGGCTCAACACTCAACCTTTGCGCACAGCATGGTTTAGCATTTGATCAAGGATGCTGGTACCATCTGCCGGCGCTTCCGGGGCTTTGCTAAGAGCCTCTTGTCAGCCTCGGAGGCTCTCCTTGGCTCTTCACCCCCAGCAAAATCTCCTATCGCTTTTCAGGCATTACTCGTCGCAAACCGCGCCAAATGACGTGGCCGACGCGTTGAAGAGGAGTACGCTTGCTTGTGAGTATATTTTCATAGGTGCAAGCAATTGTTTCATATACTGAGCTTCTTTTTAGTGCCGTCGACTGCACGATTCAATGAGATTGGTGTCCAGCAGCTAAGCAGCCATGTCCATTCTCAAATATTTCCTCGACCGCCCACACCGCCGGAGCCGGAGTTAGTGGCCCTTTCGAAAGACCATCTAACCAGGCATGAACTACTTGGGAAAGCCCAGGATGCCGCTAATCCGATTGCCTTCGATTTGCCTCGCCTGCAAGGCGAGACACTGGATGAGCATTTTTACAAGCTGGGAATGGACGCCTCTGCGCCATATCTGGACTTTGCGAGACGGTATTCGTTGATTCATCTTTCACCGGCCCCCCGAAAATGGGTTAGAAGGAGTGGATGGACGAAATACAATGCCGATGGGACGACTGAACAAGTACACGCCCCCAACGAGAGCATGTTAACCTTCGACACTGAAGTTATGTGGAAGGAAAGTCCCTTTGCTGTTATGGCATGTGCTGCGAGCCCCACAGCATGGTATGCCTGGCTTTCGCCGTGGCTTCTTGGAGAATCTGAAAATCCTCAGCACCTTGTCCCACTAGGTGACCCTTCGAATTCGCGGATAGTTGTGGGGCATAACATTGGCTACGACAGAGCTAGGATATTTGAAGAATATGATTTACAACAATCGCGCAATTTTTTCCTCGATACGATGTCTTTACATGTGGCAGTGAATGGAATGTGTTCGCAACAAAGACCTACCTGGATGAGACATAAAAAGAACCGTGACCTAAGAGAAAAGATAGCGCAGCAAACAGACTCCTATGAACTTGGCCAACTGCTAGAAAACAAAGCACTTAGTGAAGAAGAGGAGGAGTTGTGGGTAGGAAGGAGCTCCATTAACTCCTTGCGAGATGTCGCCAAATTCCATTGCAATGTCACCATCGACAAGGCGCAGCGAGATCACTTTGGCGAGCTTGACAGAGACGGTATACAGCAGAGATTAGATGAGCTTCTCGATTATTGTGCAGCCGATGTTTCCATCACCCACCGCGTTTACCGAAAAGTATTTCCCAATTTTCTTGAAACCTGTCCCCATCCGGTGAGTTTTGGGGCACTACGGCACCTCTCTACCGTAATTCTGCCAGTCAACGAGACATGGGCCCAGTACATCAAAAGCGCCGAAGAAACATATCATCGTCGATTAAGTGATGTCCAAAATCGGCTGGAGGAACTGTGCCAAGAAGCGGTTGAAGTGAGAGATAAACCAGAAGTGTACAATAATGATCCTTGGTTACGGCAACTTGACTGGTCCGGCCAGGAAATTAAGATGGTTAAAGGAAAGAAGAAAGGTGATCCTCCCCGGCCAGCTGCACGCCAGAAGAAGCCCGGCATGCCTAAATGGTACAAGGATCTCTTCCCAAAAAGCAATGGCCCGATGAATTTGACTGTGCGCACGCGAATTGCGCCAATTCTTTTGAAGCTAGCTTGGGATGGATATCCCCTCGTGTGGTCTGATAAGTATGGGTGGACGTTCCAGGTCCCGAAAGCCGACGTGCACAAATATCAGCATCAAGCCGTCGTACAATGCGACATGTCTGAAGAAAAGAACGAGGTTCTTAAAATTGACACGGCCAATGTATATTACAAGCTGCCTCACAAAGATGGGCCCGAAGCACGCTGTGTAAGCCCGATGGCAAAGGGCTATTTGCAATACTTTGAGGGCGGGAAACTTTCGTCGCAATTTGCATTAGCGAAGGAGGCGCTGGAGATGAATGCTTCGTGCTCATATTGGATAAGTGCCAGAGATCGAATCATGACGCAGCTCGTCGTCTATGAAAAAGATTTACCTGGCTCATCGCGTGATGGAAAATCTCAAAACCCTGCGTCAAATTTGGGTTTCATATTGCCTCAGATCATCCCGATGGGAACGATCACTCGAAGGGCCGTCGAGAATACCTGGCTTACGGCGAGCAATGCAAAGGCTAACCGTGTTGGCTCGGAACTCAAGGCTATGGTCAAGGCTCCGCCTGGCTACGTTTTTGTAGGCGCTGACGTTGATTCCGAAGAGCTTTGGATTGCTAGTCTTGTGGGCGACTCCCAGTTTCAAATCCACGGGGGTAATGCGATCGGCTTCATGACTCTGGAGGGCACCAAAGCCGCTGGAACCGATCTTCACTCGAAAACCGCTAAAATCCTGGGAATCTCTCGAAATAACGCTAAAGTATTCAACTATGGTCGGATCTACGGAGCTGGACTCAAGTTTGCTGCTACTCTCCTGCGGCAATTCAACCCTTCGATTTCAGACGATCAGACAAAAGTGATCGCAGCCAATCTTTACAAGGAAACAAAAGGTACACGAACAATTCGTAAGACGATTAGCGACTCGCCATTCTGGAGAGGTGGGACTGAATCCTTTGTTTTCAACAAGCTTGAAGAGTTCGCAGAGCAGGAAAGACCTCGAACTCCTGTGTTAGGTGCCGGAATCACGGAAGCTCTAATGCGGCGCTTTATTAACAAGGGAAGTTTCATGACCTCACGTATTAACTGGGCGATCCAGTCATCGGGCGTCGATTACCTCCACTTGCTTATTATATCTATGGATTTCCTTGTTCGCCGTTTTAATTTAAATGCCCGTCTCGCCATTAGCGTTCACGATGAAATCAGGTACCTTGTTAAGGAGGAAGATAAATACAGGGCTGCCATGGCTTTACAAGTTGCAAACATTTGGACTCGAGCCATGTTCTCTCAGCAAATGGGCATTGATGACTTGCCTCAATCATGCGCATACTTCTCGGCTGTCGACATCGACCATGTGTTGAGAAAGGAAGTTGATATGGATTGCGTGACCCCTTCGCATCCGCAGAAAATTCCCCCGGGTGAATGTATTGACATTGCTCAGTTGCTCGAGAAAGGCGATCAAGCTTTCCTGGACCCTTCTATTGAGCCGCGTCTTCCTCCGGCTCCTGAGAAGTACACATATACTCCGCGAAAGACAGTGATGTCCTCACTAGACTGCGCTCAAGATATCTCTTTCATCAAGGCGCAAATCGTCAGCGACGACAAGGAATTACGCGCCATTATCAGAGACATAATGAAAAGCCAACCTTCCTCCGATAAATCCAATGCAACTTCTGGGTCGTCCGCCAGCAGACGACGAAGTGTGTCGAAAGTCCCTTCACATGCTGAGCCCCAGCGTGCGGTTCTTATGGAGGTGGAGCCAAACCTTCTCGACGGATTCAAAGGATTCAACAGCGTTGAGAAAACGCCGCAGTTTCCAATTCACCGCTATGGATGGAAACCCAAAACATCGCCTCGTCTCTAGGAGACCCTATCTATTCGACTCTCTTCATACCTTTCTCTGAAATTTGTACTGTACATGTAACTTCCTGAGCACTACTTTCCTATGTTCTACTACCCCTTTCTCTACAGTGGCAGTATGCCCTTCTGATATATGGAGTAACGTCCTCCCAGAAAAAAAAAAAAAAAAGAAGAAAAAAGGGCCGACAATGATGTCCTTGGCGCATTGGCTCACGGGGAGTTGGTGTACAATTGGTGCATAAGACGGCGCTGGCGTAGCTTCGGCACCGCCATGGACGGAGGACAGGCGGACTTGAATAGTATTGGATAGCATCTAATAATGTCTGATGCGGTGAGCATATGCTGTTTGGATGACCAAAGTCAATGTATTATTAGATGATCTCATTTGTCTAAAGTTCAAATATTTATTAATTATGTGCGAATATGGCCTTTGCAATTACTCCGTAACTCTGAGGAGGATGGCTAATTAATCGACGTCTCGCTGGCGATTGGGATTGATCCCTTAGTGAGGTCGATATCTGCCACCCGCAGTGCCTCTGGCACTGGCAAATGATTAAAACGAATTGATTCGCAGTGAGGCGATCTGGCAAGCGTAACTTGGTCGGGTTTGTAGTTTGTCAATCACTCACATACCTCAGTGTGTGAGTTTAGCCATGAGGGTGCAGTTACCCTTGGTCGGGGGCTGTGCTGTGGAGCGCATTTGGGAGCTTGGATACGGGAAGAGTCTATCGAGAGGATATTTTCCCGTGCGGCTTGAGGAAACTCTCCCTCAAGGATTACCACGTAGACCCGAGCTATCTCTTCTCGACGAGTATGAACTCCAAGCTCTGTGCTCTTACAGATTCCAGCGTTCACTCCTCGACGTCACGTTGCAGCGTGCTCCAGCAGCTCTTGGCCCCACAAGCAGGGGACAATCAATCCGTGGCGGCCCTGAGGGTTCACCATGAGCATCACAGGATACAACCACGCCCAGTACCCAGAGAATAGCTCAGATTCACTCTGCGATTTAGAAGCGCGGGCGGCCTCGACATCTCAAAAGCGTGACCGCACGTTGTCGTCTTCCCCCGGCCATTGTGCTCAGAATCCTTGTGGTTTTACCTACGCCGACTCTAGTTCGGTAAAGAGACGCACAAGACGCTCGAACACCGCGCATTCGTACTATGCAGACGTCGCTGCTGGCCAGCCGGGCTGGCGCCCTGGAGAAGAACCGGGCCTTGATCCCTCTGAGCCCATCCCTCCGCCTTATCGCGCTCCTGGCGAGTCACTGTTACCCCAATCGATAAACAAGCGATGCGATATTACAGTGGTCGATTGTTCGCACGATAATATACGGGTGTATCAATTGGACAATGATACTCTGCCAGGTTTTCTTGAGAAGGGGAAAGAGCCGTGGGTTGTTTGCCGGTGGATCAATGTCAACGGATTGAGCTGGGATGTTGTCAGGTTACTGGCTACGGAAAAGCGGATTCATAAGCTTGCGGTTGAGGACTTAATGCATTCGATAGATCGGACAAAAGCCGACTGGTACTCAGATCACACGTTTGTCTTGCTTGAAATGCAGAAGTTGATCAAATTGAGATCTTATGACTCGGTTGAAGGATCGGAAGCTGAAAGTGATACGGAGGATGGAAGGCTGAGCGAAACAACATCAAGGACTTCTTCGCCCAGCAAGAGAATCAACAAACGTGGCACAGTCGGTGGTGTTATAAAGGATGCGCTCCTTGACTTGCTAAGACCTACGTTTGAAAAGCGACGCCTTAAGCGGAATGCAAGTCAAACGGGCCTGCAACCAAATGCTATTCGCACGCTCCAGCGGTTCCGAGGTGGTCCTAACGAAGACAGGGTGGAATTTATGGAACGTCATGCCGTACTTGGTCCAAGAGGGCTGGGGGTTGCCATTGAGCAGGTGTCGATTTTCCTTCACGCAGATAACACCATAACATCGTTTTTCGAGGAGAGTGGAGACGACATTGAAGGCCCCATTGTCCAGCGTCTCTGTTCTCCGGGAACAATTCTCCGTGAATCCTGCGATGCGAGCATGATCCTACAGGCAATTCTCGATGCTATTGCGGATCTCGCCATTCCAGTTACAAGGGCTTACCAGGATGTCATGGGGGAACTAGAACTCGAAGTCTTGACCGATCCGGATATACACCAATCCACAACTCTCTACCTCCTAACTTCAGAGATTTCTGTGCTGCGAAATGCCATCCAGCCGATGATCGGTGTGATCAATTCGTTGCGTGACCGGAGTTCTGGTATCGAGGTTAAGAAAGCCTCGTCAACCGCAAATTTTCTCCTGCCTACAGGACGCCCGTCAAGCAGGAATTCTATACATCCTGATGTAGAAGGGGTAAGGATGGCTTCTGCAGTGTCCATTAGCCCGATGTGTCAGACATATCTGGGGGATGTCCTCGATCATTGCATTACTACGACAGAACAATATGATCAAATGCGGCGTTTGGCGGCTAATATGATTGAACTGATTTTCAATACTATTGGTACGTGGAATTCAACCTACAACTATGGTGTATTTAGAGATGCTAACATGTGTTTGGCTGAAGGTGCTTATCAAAATGAAAGCATGAAACAGTTGACTCTGGTGACATGCATGTTTCTTCCGTTGACATTTCTTACAGTAAGCCCCGATAATATCGCACCACTCTTATCATACATAGAAGTTTGACATGTTGCTAGGGTTATTTTGGCATGAACTTCCCTCGGTTTACAGGAGTTAACAATCATAGCGATGCGTAAGTTCGTTTACCTAGGATTCCCATCTTCAAAATGCTGACTTTGATAGATTCTTCTGGATTATTGCAGTGCCATTTGTCTTTGCCACAATGGTTTTCTTGATGTGAGTGCTAATTGCATTTTTCAAATCGTATACAGAGTATTTGGAACTTTACTGATGGGAACGTTAGGCGGGAAATGATAAAGCGCTGGCTGCTGAGGCTAGCGCAGAGACGGTTGATCTGGAGTTCACGTCGTCGCCGAAAGGATCGATAAAGAAGCAATCGCGTCCTCTAGCTTTAGTGATATAATCAGTATGAGTAGATGAGGAGATGGGATTATTGAACCTTCGAGATGCATATCGAATACTACGCGCAGAGGTAGGTCGATGCACGTATACACGAACATATCGTCCAAACCCATCGCTGTTGCCTTATGTCTTCAGATTCAAATTAAAATTTCCTCCGCTGGAAAGCTAAATACGCCTTCCAAGGCAATTTCCAATCCGTCGAGAGAAGTTCCGGTTTAAATATGTCGAAGTCAACTTTCTGCAGCTTATCTAACCAGAGTTGGGTGGATACGGCAGGCATCAATACTCCGAACCCTCGTTCAACGTCTTGAAGTTGCACGGCCAAATTCGACATTTTAGAATCTGCACCGTCGGCTGCGGGCTCGTGTCCGTAGTACTCATGGCCTTCCTCTCCCTCATGCTCAAAATCATGCCCCACATCCTTGCCGGCACGGAGGTTCTGTAGCATTTGTCGAGCAGTGATGAGATGGTCACTCGCTCGCGTCGCCACCGCAAAGACAGCATCACGGAGTCCTGGGGCATCCGCACCTTGCCTGAAGACGTCTTCTTCTTTGAGCCTCGTCTGCGCCATCACGTCGAGCGGAAGTGTGATATGGCCCTGCCGGGTACTTCCTCCGGGACCACCTAAGGGATCTTGGTTGGAGTGGTGATTTGGCGGCGGGGGAAATGCGACCAAAGGCAGACCTCGGAGGATGGATGTTATGCCTGCTGCTTTGCCGATGTGAGACGCCAGATGGTCTACTGTCAATGATGTGAGGGGGAGAACACTGAGCGTCAGATATAAAAGGGTGGAATATGTGTTTTCGGCGTATTGGTCCAGGGCAGCAATATTGGTATATGGTGTGTTTGTTAGAGGCTGCTCTCGGGCATTTATTAGCCGTGTTAACCACCCTTTGCTTATGCGGGCTTTCCCCTTTGTTCTAGCATCCAGGCTGGAAAGTGAATGGGCAAGCAGTATGGCTATGGGCTCCTTTGGTGGAGTGCCGGCGAGTGTTTTTGTGATGGTATCCCGCCAGAATTGAAGTCGCATAAGACCGATCGTGGGGTTGGATGTGCTGTCTGGGATTAAGGACAGGGAGACATTGAGGGCGCGGAGAGCAATGTAAAAGTTCAACGTGTGACGAGGAATGAAGGTGCTAAGTGTGTATGACGGCCGGTCGTATTTCCTGGCGCATTCGTTAGCACGGAGGTTTAAGCTGATGCTAGGATGAAAATGGCTGCATACTGTAGGAGTTCAATACAATATTTTTGCGCCGATTCAAATTCTGCCTTAGAATTGGTAATGTAGGAATGCAATGGCGAACCTGAAGCGAAGTGCCTTGCCCCTTGCGGTTTCTTCAGTGGACGCATTGTTGAAGATAGCTGATTGCCTCGAAGCATGCACCGCAAGCAGGCCTTGTCTGCTTGAAATGCCATCTTTTTGGATGGCTAAGGAAAACTGTGGGATTTTCAAGCTAGTAAAACCATAGCCCCGAGGTATCTAGGGCTCAACAGATCTACTCCAGTAGAAAAGGGTCCAATTTCATATTGCGACTGGAATTTGGTCGGATTTCAAAGTGACGCGCGCTAAACTGCTTCGGGAATGCACTCTCACCATCCAACAAACGGAACAATCGGCGGAACCGCGACAAGTGGAGCAGAGACAACTCTAACAGATCTCTACTCTCACGCTACAGGGTGATGCAAGTATAGAGATACAGCGGTCCGCTGGCTTTTATCCATAACTGGCATCATGGCGGACGAAGCCGATGGCGGCGCGCCGTCCTTTTCCGAACCTCTTGACCTGGTCCGCCTATCGCTCGATGAAATCGTCTTCGTGAAGCTGAGAGGAGATCGGGAGCTCAAAGGGCGCCTACACGTGGGTGACAACTCTTCTACTAGGATTTTTTGCTTGTGAGGATAGCATGGTGACTCTTCTATTAGGCGTACGACAGCCATTGCAACCTTGTTCTCGGAGAAGTCGAGGAGACAGTCTATGTGGTGGAGGAAGATGAAAACGAGGAAGAGATCATCAAGGTATGGACATCTCTACAGGAGGAGCCTGGTTATCAGACAATAACTTTGATGTAGACGATAAAACGACAGGAAGACATGCTATTCGTTCGAGGTACGTAGGAAATGGGCCCCGTCCATGACTCTTCTTTCTAGTCGCTGAACAGTACTCCAGGAGACTCCGTCGTCCTGATCTCGCCGCAATCCTCGCCTTGAAAAAGAGTCTGGCGATGAGTCATACTATATGAAATTTTCCAGCGAACGCCTCCCCAACGGGTGTGAATAACAGCAGCCCCGAAGTGGTCGGCGTCAAAAGAACAGAAATTTAGAATAATGGAGCACATCCTAGGTCGATATCAAGTGGGCGTCACCCGTGATATCTCAGGGAGAATCGTAGGCTGGGCCGCCGAACCAATGTAAAGTTCGAGATCTTGCCCTTGAGAATGGCTTTATCAACGCATGCTGTAGTTAATTGAACCGTCAAGACCATGTATCCTTTCCAAACTCTTGAGACTCATATAATCACGCGCATCCTTATTATGGCTGTCGTCTGGAGTAGAGGGCGCTAGGAGCAGAGTGAGTCAGTCATAGCTGCTACTGCCAGCGCGGAGGCCCAAACGGGACGGAGTGGGAATTACTCATAGTTCAGGAGTTCGTTGATTGGTGTGAGCCCCGGCTCGTGCTTGAGCCGCAAACCTTCGGTTCCATCGTGGAGTTATTTAACCAAATGAGGTCCAGCTGTCCGCAACGTCATGCCATCATTATTAAACCCCGATTCCACGCCTCTTCAAGCATGCGTTCATAGTTTTGATTATATTTCAGCTATCTTCGTTGGATTTATAGGCTTCAGGGGAAATGATCACTCGATTACGAACGTGAACGTCTAGCGCAAACCCGCGCTCGCCCTCCAAAACCGCAGCCAAATGTATATATTATCTTTAGCATGAGTCACAAAGGTTACAAGCAAACACTCGAGGAGAGACGGAGGGGCGAATTGGTATGTTTTTTATGACGACGGTGACCAGTCTGAATCTGACCACATCCAGTCCCTTAGTGAGTTCGCCGAGTATGTTGAGAAGCAGCAGGCAATCCGATACGGCGCAGTGAACGTTGGCGGTGCCCGGGTGGCACCCAGCGACAGCGGGTATTCGACCGCCGCTCCTTCTTCTGTGGTACCTGACGAGCACCCGGAACTGGATATTCTCGACCAGCTAGACTTGTCCGACGCTGCTCCGCCAGTGAAACTAAAGGATCTACTACTTGATGACTCTTCCGATGAAGAAGCCACGCTGCTACAACTTGCTGCCATCGTCCAGGCTCGCGTAGATGAGGGCCACGGAGAAACCGTCTTTGATCTTGGACAAGAAGATAGCGGCGAATGGATGCAATTCACCAAAAACCAATGGGAATTCGCCTTCAATCGCTTAAAAAAGGCAGCTCAGCACAATCAAGCTGATTGCTCCGTGCTGCTGACATACAATGTTGGCGGCCCAGCTGAAGCCAGCACCAAAAATGACCGTATAAAGTGCGCCTATGGCAAAGTCTTGATACGACGGGCGGCAGGTACAGTGGAGGATGTCATTGAAACCAGGATCGCAGTTGTTGGGAACGTCGATGCAGGGAAAAGTACCCTCCTTGGTGTCCTGGTGAAGGGCAGGCTTGACGATGGACGCGGTAGGGCAAGAGTAAATCTCTTCCGTCACAAACACGAAATCGAGAGCGGGCGCACTAGCTCTGTTGGTATGGAGATAATGGGATTTGATGCGCATGGTCGGATTGTTGGGCACGGTCAGCAACGCAAACAGTCATGGGAGGAAATCGGGAAGCAGTCTGCCAAAGTTATTTCCTTCACCGACCTTGCCGGGCATGAACGATACTTACGAACCACGGTCTTTGGAATGCTTAGCAGCAGTCCCAACTACTGCCTCCTTATGGTAGCGGCAAATAACGGATTGATCGGTATGAGCAAAGAACATCTAGGAATAGCTCTCTCTCTGAATGTTCCCGTGATGGTTGTGATAACCAAAATCGACATCTGCCCCCCTCAGATTCTTCAACAGACGATCACTCAGTTGACCCGAATTCTAAAGTCCCCGGGCGCCCGCAAAATTCCCGTTTTCATCAAAACCCTGGAAGAGACTGTTAACACCGCAACTCAATTTGCTAATCAGCGCATTTGCCCTATATTTCAAGTGTCTAACGTTACAGGAGAGTCGCTTGACTTGGTTCGCACGTTCCTCAACATCCTTCCCCACCATGGCCACTACAATCCTGACGCGCCGTTCGAGTTTCTCGTGAACGATACCTTCTCCGTCCCGTTCGTGGGGACCGTAGTGTCCGGAGTTGTCAAGTCTGGAATGGTCCATGCAGGAGACACGGTTCTCATTGGGCCTGACTCTGTTGGACAATTTAGGCAAACAGCGATTAAGTCGATTGAGCGCAAACGTCTACCCGTTCATGCTTGTGCCGCTGGTCAAAGTGGATCATTCGCACTCAAAGGAGTCCGGAGGAAAGAGGTTCGCAAAGGCATGGTTGTTTTGCCCAAGCTTGAGAAGCCCCCAAAGGTCTACCGCGAATTCGTCGCTGAAGGTAAGGATATATATATATATGCCTCCTTCCCGTAATGCTCGACTATCACTGCTGGAGTTTTACTTATCAATATATATTTATAGTGTTGATTCTTTCCCATGCGACAACTATCAAGCGAAAATATCAAGCAATGCTTCATGTTGGAGCGGTGAGCCAAACATGTGCAATTATCGACCTTGACCGCGACTTCATTCGTACTGGAGATCGTGCAACTGTCGCTTTCAGATTCATCCAGCGGCCGGAGTTCCTGTCTGTGGGCGATCGGATTCTTTTCCGCGAAGGCCGCACCAAAGGCCTAGGAATAGTCAAAGCAGTAGGCTATGATCCGAAGAACCCATTGAATCCCAACTTAATGAAGCCTGTCGACGAAGATGGGACAGTGAATTAACATTATGTGTTATTTTCCTCCGCGAAGCTAGTAACATATACATGATTTTTATGCTGATATTCATTTTTCCTTACAACAGGATACAGCACACTGGCGTTTTGGGTTTTGTCTAGGTGTTATGCTTTTTGTTTAACCGGAGGCAGGCTTGTGTGCTACTCCACAATATTCTTATACTTTTCTTGCCCACTCCATTGCTTAGCCGATGATGACCTGACACCCTGGAATGATCTAACCTAATAGTGATCATGTAAAAACCATGGCAAATGCACTGTTTTATTCCCCTATCAGCTCTTTATCTGGTGTTCTTGGCCGACATTGCGCACTTTTTGGGTGAACAAGCTGCTTTGATAAGCGGCGGCCGGGATGACGTCACTGGCTACCACACGTCATCTACGCCTAAATATGGACGAGTTGGACGCATCAAGTACGGATTGTCATAGGGAGATTTTCCTGGCGTATAAAATGATCATGATGGTCGAAATCGAAAGGTTTGGGTCTTTTATTCATTTCAGTCATATTTGATATTCCTTTTTGGTTATTTTTAACGGTTTGTTCGATACTCACACCCGCATGGAGATGATAAAGAACGTGTATCATACCACGGAGAAGGCAATTTGGGGCGAACAGCGGCCCGAAGCGACCCGCGAGGAACCCATCTCTGGCGTGAAAGGCGAGGGAACACCATCTGACCCGTACGATGCTGGAAATGTTACTGGCGATGAACCAATTTCCGGAGTGCAGGGGCAAGGAACTGCTTCGGACCCGTATGATGCGGGCAATTTGTCACGTATGCGTCAACCCTTTTCCCTTGAGCTTCTTTATGCGTCCAAGGCTTGCTATATTATCAAATTCTCCTTTATACCTATAGTGCTTGCTCGATTATATCACCCACAGTTATCACCTAAATCAATGGACCTTCTTTTCAATGCCCACAAATGCAGTACATATGAATTAAAAGCTGATATGGTTTTTTTTTCTTCTTCAAACAGCTTCCGAACCAGTAGGACATTCAGAATGTCACGTCTTTGGCCCTGCAAGAGGGTCGTTTGACCAGGGCATCAGTCACCATTCAGGTGCAGGAACCTCCACCCTCCCTGACTCCTCACCTGGCGTTCCACAGCCGTCAGGGATTTTGTCATCTGGCGCTGCAGACACCGGATCTTCGATGGCGCACACTGGACAAGCCTATATTCCTCTGACAGAGGATAGTAAGGTCAAGTCCGTCGGTTCGGTCCCCCGGGGAAATGGCCCATCCACTCTTGGTGGCAGAGAACCGTTTAAAACCGCACCCTCTGATGCCCCAGGCACTGGTCCCACAGAGCCAGCAGGATCAACACACCCAACGTCCTCTCCCACGGCCCAAGCATCCACTTCGCCATCAATTAAGCAGCAAGACCTTGGCGGTCAACGGAGGACCTCTGCGCTTGAACTTACTGAAGCGTACCACAATCGAGCTGGACTGGAAGGCTCCCCTAGCCAATCCTCCCCTACAGCATCGGCAAAAAGGTCATCAGCCGATTCAAGCAACGAACAAACCAACCCTGCGAAGGCAAGAGGTGGAGGACCAGAACAGAAACCAGTGGAAGAGAAGGTTGTTCGGAGCACTGGTTTTGCCGCTGAGGGCGGGAACTTTGACGCTTCAGAACCTGGAGCTGGAAAGGAGGCTGATCGTACGTATTTCGCACAACCCTAGTTGATGGCCGGATGTTAATAATTGAAAATCCAATTTGATAGGGCTCCTTGAAGAGCAACAGAAGAGACATCCAGATGCAGCCCCTGTCAAAGGCGCTATGCTCGAGAAGGAGAAATCTACTGAGCACCATGGTGGACTCTGGACAGGAACCCATAAAGCTGGAATCTCATTCTCCAAAGCAAAGGATAAATTGCACATTGGAAAGCATCATGACAGTTAATACAGATGTTCATTTCTGTGCACAATTGTTTTATTAATGGTTTATATATCCATTGAGGTTTCACAGAATGCTTATTATGTGGATCAGTGGATATTTAGGTCCGGTTTTTGGATGTTGACTTTATATGCGACAAGAACCAAATGTATCCTTTCACTGCAACTAATATGGTCATTTTGATGGTAGTTGCTATTTCGTGGATCTTGTCCGGGTCTTCCCTGAAGTTATTGTATTAGTCTTCGGAACTTGATGCAAAATTCGAATACGTTTGCCATGTTATGCTTCAAGATAACAAACCTTGGCTTGGAAAGCAACCGGTCTGTTCAATGTCTCGAATTTGACTCAGAATCGAAATGTCTACACAAATTATCAAACCGCAAATGTGAGACCACTGTTTATCATAATCCAAAATTGCACTTAAGCAGCCCGTAATGCACCTGAATACCTGAATACATCCTTTCGTATTCGCCCCTACGATCTTAAAGCAATACTAGAAACACCCACTACCAATATCTGCTTTTCATTCAAAGAGTAACTTCAGCTCCTCAATCCTCTCCTTTCTTCTATCCTCCTCACTGGCATCTCCGACCCTCAATCCCAGCGACCCCGCAATCATCATCTTTCTCTCCTGGACCCTTAACATCCTCTCCTCAATACTATTCTTCACAACGAATCTCGTCACCTTAACATCTTTCAACTGGCCCATCCTGTGTACGCGGTCAATTGCCTGGGCTTCAACGGCAAAACTCCACCATGGATCCATCATGTACACATGATTCGCGGCAGTGAGGTTAAGGCCTACGCCACCGGCGCGAAGGCTGATCAGGAGAACATTCGGAGAGGGTTGTTCAATATTACCCTTTGAGTTAGATTTATAGCTTCGCGTGGACAGGAACATAGGATTGTCGTCCTCATCTTCTTCAGGTTCGGAAAAGGCTTCGGGCATCTGATTAAACTGAGCAAGGATAGCTTTCCTAGCTTTTTGTTGCATAGATCCATCAAAACGGAGATGTTCAATGCCTTCGCGAGTCAGCTGCGCCCCAATCAAATCCAAAAAAGATGTAAACTGGGAGAAAACGACGGCCTTAGTATTTTTAGGCAAACTAGAAAGATGTAGGATGAGTGCATGGATTTTCGCTGAGGTACGCGCAGATGGTGACAAAGGATGTATGCGCCGAAGAGAAATGCGCGGCCCTGAAGACAAAGATTGGGGGGAACTATCGTATAGGTCATCCTTTGGCGATGATTGCCCGGACGATTTGTGGCGGATAACCTCGAATATGTCACGGATACTCAACGTCTCGCGACACGAGAAGCACCGAGGAGTTTCTCCTTTATCCGCTTGATGTTGTATATAAGTCTCCAAGCACTTCTTACAGGCAGAATGCCAGCAACTAGTAACAGCCGGGTCAATCATTGGCTCTTCGGAGCAAATAGGGCATTCGCCACTTGATTCTGTTTGGATTTGCTTTAAAGAGTGCGTGGTGAACTTTGCCATTGGATCTTGAGATTCTTCACTATTGGTAGAGCTGGTAGAAGCAGTAAACCGGTCAATTAATTCCTGGAGATCCATATCATCCTTAAGCACATTGACATCCTCGGCGGCGATGGCAGCATCTTCCTCTTCAGCAACAATACTTTGATTCCTTGTGAGAATTGGATGACAGCAAGTTTGGCGTAAGCGAAGAAGTTGTGCGAATATTGTGGTATAAGACTTTAGTAGCGTACCAGCCGCAACGTTATCATTAAAGGTACGCTTTGCGCGGGTGAAAATAACATCGTAAATATCCCGCTCTTGGTCTGAAAGTTCAATGTGTTCAATAGCAATTGTTCGCGACGGCAATGGCACTAAAGGTTCACCTTCGGGAGTCTTCATGGATTTTGTCCGTCGAAGAACCAAGGGCTCCAGGACGGTTTGTACAACATTAAGTGCACGAATAAAATCCTTGGACTCGAATGGGATAGTGATAAACGTTCTCCAGAAGGAGAAATTGCACCATGGCTCAACTTTGAGGTAACGAACAAGGCTAAAGAGGTCCTCGAGCCGGTTGACAATGGGGGTGCCGGTCAATGCCCACCTATGGATGGCCTTGAGTTCACAGCACGCCCGCGAAGTCTTTGACGCACGATTCTTAATGTAATGCGCCTCGTCAAGCACAAGCCGGAAAAATTCGACTGAGAATAATCCAGTTCGACCAATGGCACTGCGATCGCGGCTTGAAGCGATTTGAAAATATTCTGAGCGAACAACACCATAACTGGTGATAATGAGATTAATCGGGCCCCCCGGATTTGTAGAAGAGCATAAAGATCTGAGGTCGACAGACTTTTCACTTCCGTGGTAAACAAGAACCTTCATTGAACCAGGCTTTGACGCTTTCATAGATTCACTCTCCCATTGGGAAAGTAAAGAGGTTGGAGCGACAACAAGAGTTGCACAAGGAGTTCCTTTTGTTGCAGGAGGATTTGTTAAGGCCGGCAGAGCGTTTGCAGAGGTTGGATCGAAAGTGCTTGGGGGAGGAACAGGAACTGGCTTGTGGGAATGGATTAAGCTCATGATCTCGATTGTTTTTCCAAGACCCATCTCGTCTGCAAGTATGCCACCAAGACAATGCTGCTCTTGCAGAGGGAACTCCAAGCTAAGTTCTCCTGAATAGGGATTTACGTAAAATTTGTCTCTATTAAGAACCCGTGGAAGTGGTTTATCGTCAACATCCTTGACAGGCCAAGTATATTCTTCCCAAAGTGGATTCATGGATGTCTCTCTGTTGGATTTCATATCTTTCTCCTTTCCTAGCATCCAGTATAAGGCCTGCTTTTGATATTTTCGGAGTTCCATCGCAAAATGCTCTCCTGGGGTCGCCTCCGGCATCGTAAAATCAAACCGTTGGGCTTTTTGATACAGGCTATCCAGTTGATCCTGGTCCAGTCGCTCTTCTTCTTCTGTGTCAGAGGACTCCTCTTTGGACTGCGTTGAAGACGGCAAGCCTTTTATCCCACGTTGTTCGGCCACTTCAGCAGCCCGAAGTAACCCTTCTTTTTTATGCCGAGCAGATATCTCGTTACTCGATGTGGGCTTCAAATTAATTTCATCGAAAAGTGTAACAAGTGCAACTTGTCGCAGGCGGAGGGACTTCTCTTCCGCAGTTTCTTGCTGTTCAAACAACCGAGGGACATGGTCTTCTTCTTCTGAGGAAAAGGCTGCTTTTCGAAAGGAATTTCTCAACAAAAAGCACTTTATTTGGATGTATACAGTGTCGTTGACCCGAATTAGGTCTGGTGCATAAACGCAAACACCAGTGAATTTGCAAATCTTTTGGTCAAGGAGGGTTGAAACCCATTCTGCAGTTTCTCGAGGCAGCCGACCGATCTCATCGCCGCGAGCATTTGTAAACCTTGTTATAACATCGCTTCTTTGAGTTCCGGACCGGGAGGCTCCCCGGCCGCCTCTCCCAATTTTAAATGTTGGTTGCGGCTTGGTCCGTTCGATGCGAACCTCATCCCCATGGCTGATTAACTTTAAACCAGAGCGAGTAGCCCAACCACCGACTCCAAAGGCGCCAATATATCTAGTCTCAGGGTCTTCGGCGAGCGGTTCGGCAAGAGGGGAATCGACACTAGGTTTCAATGGCAGAGGGGGTTGGAGGGTTGGTCGAACTGTCGAGTGCAAAATATTCGAATCAACAGGATCCGTACGCCGTATTTTCTTCTTCCATGATCCGTCGAAGTATATATTTATAGCTCTCTCTATGTTGCCCCCAGCCATATCCCGAACCATTCGGATTGTATCTTCGGACAGATCATTTCCAACCACGCTTGTAAAAAATCCGACATCAAATTCATTTTTGCATTCTGTAGCCACTTCTGTATGAGCTTCAAAGGTATTCGAAGGATTAGCTGCTTGGGCGTTTGAAGACGTTACGGTCGGCGATCCGCCCTCAATCGATGGCGCACGCGACGACGCGTCGGGAGTCTGTAAAGGAGGAGGGTGGCCTTCTGGTGTTTCGGGTTCATCATCAAAAAAAAAACGTCTTTTTTTCGCCGGGCGCTGGTCTATATCGGAGGAGTTCATGCTAAAGGAGAGCCGGCTGGAATTGCGCCGTCGTGGTTGCGTCTCTCCCCAATTCGACGAAATGCCCAGGAAAGACGCGATCTCCACGCGACACCGGAATAACCTATATTCCGAAAGCCACTTCTCGGAACAACTGTATCCCCGCACGCCGTGCTCCCAAAGTTGATCCAGCACCTCACACACGACAAAAATAGGTCGCGGACAGCAAGGTACTACGCTGATTCTTCCTCAGTCTTTATCTCTTGATTATCGGTATTGCTCAGGTACTCATCGCACTTTTGGCCCCCTTTGGAGGGTCTCCGGCGATTCTTGAATGAGGGGAATTGGCATTTTGGGAGAGACAGTCGGGTCTCAAATCTGTCCATCTTGCCTATGGAGGATTGCTAGCCAAAATGCCTCCGGTGGCCCCCCGCGAGGGCCATTGGAATTCTTTCGATCTGTTTCCACGCTTCCTCGCAGACCCTTGGTACCCTCGTCCCGGCGAAAACGCAGCGCTAGCCTGAAATGGAGGATCGGAATTCCCGCAGCGGTACATGGAAATACGACAGCAGCACTACCCAGCGAGAGCACCCTGGACTTCGATCCTTTTACACTCGGGAAGGACATCGAGAGTTGTAATGGCGATCAGTTGCTCAACCATAACCCTGTACAACAAACTGTTGTACCGCCACTTGACATCGACGCAATTCTCGAAGAAGCACAACCGGGGAGGATACTGGCTGGGCTCACAAGCTCACCCGAATTCCAGCAAGCAGTATCCCAGCTGCCAGCAGCCACCTTTTCCGAAGTCATACGGCTACTTTCTCCCGAATATTTTATTGAACCCAGCAAGGAATTACTGTCTCATCTACACCCCACCACCGCCTATGTCAATCGAATCTTACCACTATCCATGCTCATGGCACGGTTTGCAGAACAGCTGGAAACCATTGTTGAACAGCGGCGCTATGCAGGCCATCGCCTGGGTTTAGCGGAATACACCCATCTTCTGTCCTGCGCTGCATCAATGGGTTATGGTCGAATGGCCCACCGTTTTTGGGAGGAAATGGCTGAGGATGGAATTGAGCCAACTGTCGAATGTTACAATTACTTGATGGAAGCTAAAGCATGGGACGGTGGATATGTGGCTAAAGAAAATCACAGGGTTCGGTCTACCGTTTGGAATTACGAAAAGCGAAAACGATGGCCGAGCAATCCTGGTTATAAAGGGTTCAAAACCGGCAAAGGTGGCGTGAGGGACCAGGTGCATGGCCTCTTCAGTATGATGGTGGAGTCCGGATTGAATCCAAACGAGGCCACTTTCATACATGTTATGACGGCAGCTGGTCGTGAATGGGATATGGAATCCGTCAAAACCACGCTACGGACGGTATGGGGTATCGATGTTGATTTACTTGAAAAGGATCCCGCGAGCCACCCACCAGTAACCGTATACGCCGTATCCTCTCCGCTACATCCTACATCCCATTCTCTATTCGCCGTTGCTCATATCTTTGGCTCTAATAATGAGTTCGCAACGGCTTTGAAGCTTGTTGATTTTATCTCCCAAAGCTATCACATTCCCATACCGCAACGTGTTTGGCAAGAGTTGCTTGAGTGGTCGTTTGTTCTCTCGGTCGATAGATTCGGGGAAAATCTTCGCGAAAAGTCGGTTGGCATGATCCCACGAGATTCTGCCCACAAACTCTTTGATGTTTTCACTTCCTCCCCTTACAACACGCCCGCTAATTTCAAGATGTACGATTTGGTCATTAAGCTTGGCTGGATGAGACAGTCGAAGGACCGGACTTTCCGATATATGCATGCTGCTCGCGAACACTTCCTCCAGACGCTCAAAACACGAAATCAGCTTTTCCATAAACTTTCGAGCATGCACAAAGAGATTATGTCCACAAAAGGACCATACAGAACCGACAACTCATCAGCAACAGGTGAATATGGCTCAGTGTTGTCCGAACCAGCCTATGACTACCGCCTTACCCACCTTTATCCTTCAGTCACCTCTCCAGGGGCTTACTGGGACCTGTATAACACCGTAAAACACCTCAATGTTACTGTTGCCCGCGAAAGCTTACGCTTCCAACGGTGGATCCGATTAGTGCTCACGCGACGAAAGTGGACTGGCTCAAAAGCGCGGTGGGAAAGACAGGGGATCCCAGATTTTATAGCGGAATGGAAGGAATTCCTCCCTCGCCGTGTCTTTTACCATACAAGGGCCGGCATAGTCGAATTTGACCCCGTGAGCCTTTGGCCTGAAGGCCATCGGTGGGACCTTGCAAACTTCATGCTGCCTCTTTGGGATGCAGAAAATCGGCTGATCCAGGGGTATGGTGAGAGTCACCAATCCCAAACGACAGACGATCAAGAGAATCTCAATGACCCAGCCACTTGTGCAACGCGACTTGATTGATTTTCTCGTCCAAGTTATCCTGCCCCCGAATCAGTGCCGCCCTGCTTCGTCCTGCGATTTTCAATCAATGTCTTAATATTTAGCGGCGTTTGTTCATGTATTCTGCACTGTAGGTGCACATTGTACCCAGCAAAGAGTTTTCTTTCCCTCACTGTATATATACCTGCTTCGGTTGGGCTTCATCCAGCATTTGGTCTCTTGATGAAATTGGGTTTAGTAGGTGCAGCCACCTGCTTCCTTTTCTACACTATGATACCATAAATGACAATGCAAAAGTAGTAGCGGACCCATTCGTAAAATAACAATAAGGCTGGAGAAAGATCCGTATATTGGACAAAGTATGGGTCATACGGCCAAAATTGGGACGAGAAATGGTCACCCATGGCCGTTTTAATGCCATAAGTTCGGAGAGAATAACAGCTATATACACATATATGGTGGTACTAAAAAACTCGCTCGCCGGAAAGTACGTAAATTATTAACATAAAAACATGGCGAGAATTCGAAGTACACTATGTTGCTCTCTCTAGTGCGGCAATGGCAGAGACATCCGCCGGAACAAGCGCATACTTCTTTTCTCTGACTGTGGACATGCTTTCTTCTGCATTAGATATTAATATGTTCTTAGAAACAGGGTGAGGACTAAAGAAGCAGAACAAGGATTGGTTATATTTTCTCTCTCTTCAAATCATTAACGACCATATATCGGCCAATCGTGATCCATCCCCATCGAAACCAGACCATTTGGCTCTTATGCGCCTGTACCATCGCCTTCCATCCTGAAAAACACTGGTCGACATTACTCACAAAGAGTAATGTATTTGGTGATGGATCATTTCCCTTGATTTCCGTGTCACTCTCGCCAATGCCCGCTATTATATTTCTAATTGCGCCTAGTAACATACTGATAGGTGCGTCGAAGACGCCAAGATATTTTCGGACGACATTAGTGGTAGTGAGGGTGTACAGATCGACGGGACAAGGGTGGCTCTCGTTGCCTTTCATAAGTATCTGTAGGAATGCCCTGGCGCCGTGGTACAGGGAGCGATGGTTTGGATGGTGGCTCACGCCGGACTTATCGAATGTAAGGAGGACGTCGATGCTCGCGGAGGGTGGGGAGGTGTGGCCGTTGGTAGAGCCGTTGGTCCGAATGGACGCTCTGCGGCGTTGTGTCGAAGCGGGTTTTGAAGACGTGGAATCGTCATGGGTTCCGTTGGCAACAGCACCGGGTGCAAAGGCGGTGGCTAAAAGTGATCCGACAGCGGTTGCAGACCATTCGGTGGTCATGCTATCTGGGAATTGGGATGGATCGTCAAGGACGAATACGTCAGATGGTCCCCGCAAACCGAGGTGCACCGCGCTTTTTTGGAGCTCCTTTTTGCGAATATGACCAAGTCCCTCCGCATCACCTGAATTTGGAGATTTTTAGCGAAACTTTCACGCAAGCACACATGAGCAGAAACAATTAAACCCAGATTCGACCCAGCTCTCCAAGAACGAAGGCAGAACAATAACCATCCGTATACACGTACCGGAGCTCAAACAGAGTATTTTAACATGGTTTCCTAACTCAGGCCTGGTGAGAGCCAAAAGTGTCGGCGCAAAGAACATTGCCTCATCGTCAGGATGGGCGATTAGGAGGCATATCCGCTTATCCTGCAACGAGGGGAAACTATTCGCCAAAGGCGACGAAGGTCCGGTGGCCGATATGGTCCAAAACGCGAAGAATAGAACTGGTAGAAGGGCGAGAGATATAAAGGTGGCTATCGAAATCATGTCTCTTCGTGAAGCGTGCGAAGGCCGAGAGGTATCTGGAATACCACCTCAATGCAATTGATTCAACTGAAGTGGCTGAAACGCAAAAATAAAAGCTCCTATGACGGAAACTGTCGAGTTTCAAGCCCATCCGGCGGTGACGCGGAAAGCTTAAATGTGTCAATGGTTCGCGATCAGGTCGCCAGACGACGTGCGCAGTCGACTGCGGCCAACAAACAGTTCAATCGCTATGATGAATTCGATGCAACACAATAGACGGAAGCTTAGACTATTATTCGGCCACGCATGACAGCATGCGACTCGGGCATTCTTCGAGAGAAACTTGAAACGTGGCGTATCTAGAGAAACGGATTCAGGAGAGCGGGCAGAACGTCGAATAAAGCGCGCGGAGAGTCACTCCGGCATAGTATCACAAGCCGGGCAGAGAATTCAAAAATACGACCTTTTTAGAAAGCTTAACAATCCTCTATCCTAGCATCCCCCGAAGTCCTGAGAGCATAACCGGATTTCGGCCTCCTAATACGTATTCGCGACCATGCACAACGAGGCTCTCGCTGTCTAACTCTCGCTTACTAAGCTTGCATCAGGCAATTAGTTATTCCTCTCCGAAAGACGCGTTGCAGGATGACATAACCACTTCGCTCTTGGCGTCATGCTGTGACTGTCGCCGATCGACAGATATCCCACACAATACGGAGGACAACGAAGAGGAGAGATATCCCATTTCTCCGTACCTCTTCTAGCGAGTTGTCAAGTCAATTTCTAAGCGCTTCCAAATTCTTACGCAATCGGAACGAGGCGAGGATCTCCCGGTCAGTTTGCAGCATGATCCTTGGGACCCACTTCAAGAACGTGGCAGATTTATTGAGCGTATTTTTCCCTCGTCACCACGACAAATTCGTGAAATCAGGGGTCTAACTTAAGTTATTGACTCCGGACGTTTGAAATGAGTCTACCGCAGTCCTGCTGTACTGGCCAATGGTTTTGTTTCACACAGTTTGAGCCTGCTCTTTAGTTGTCTCGGATGCTGCTGCTTCCCCGATCCAGCACCAAAGGCCGAGTGGTGTAGTTGGTTATCACGTTTCGTTAACACCGAAAAGGTCCTGAGTTCGAGTCTCAGCTTGGTCATTCAAAACTTCTTTTTTTCGTCTCTTTTCGCCTTTTTCTTTCTCCCATGTGTGCGGTGGGCCTTTCGGATAGAAGTGGCCCGAGATTTTTTGCGTGGCCTTCGGGTGTGCGTCCTTGGCGCCCTAGAATTAAGCTTAAACGGTTTAAGCTCGCTGGAGCAACATTCGGGCCGACGCGGGATCCCTGCATCAGAAACGCGGGGGAACAACCACCACGTAGAAACAAGATGTAAAGTGGCGACGGGGTACGGAGGAGGTATTTATTTTAGGCTCTCACGTACTCCGTACTGAGCGTACTTTATGGATCCTGGATAGCTATTACAAGTGCATCAATCAAAGCACGACATACAGATTGTCATAGAGGTTACAGTCTGTTGGTTCGCAGTCCTGTATCCTGTTTCCTTCTCCCGAACTTTCTGCTATTCTTTCTCAGTCGTCGTCACATTCCTGGGCCTTCTTATGCAGATAGCTGGTGTACAGGACAATGGAGTACCGGAGTACTCCGTTCCTCGGTGCCAGTTGATTGATTATATAATCATTCCACGCTGTCACGTGCCAGCATCTTGGAACCTCAAAGCGTTGATGGCAATCTTTGGTTTTCATTGTATGCAAGACTGCATTGTTATCACCCTCGAAGTAACCATGCCGCCTCGAAACCGTAAAGAACGTCGGGCTGTTTCTGCGTCTTCCGCTGCCACTGGCAATTTCGATCCGGTGTCAATTCCTATGGCTCGACCGTCCACCAGGGGGCCCCTATCCCAGAAGACTCTCCTTGAAATTGCTACAGAACGAGAAGCAACCGGCAAAGGCGGGACCGAATTTATTCATGTCTCTTCCTCTGGCGAGATAATAGGAACAGAAAATTTGATCGACTCCTCCCGCTCCTTCGGCCGCCCCGCGCAACGTTATGAGTCAGACGAGATCTCTGAAGCTAGCGAAGACGATGCCGCTATCCCTCCCTTCGCCGACACCATCTTCCTTTCATTACCACTCTCGACTGTTTACTTCACGCTCTCCTTTCTAGCGGCTCACCAGTACGCGCAAGAAATTCCATATAAGAAGCTCATCCGAGATTCCATATTCGTCGCTTTCCCTATCTTGACGTTTTTGATCCACTTCGCCCATGGTCACATAATTTCATTCAAGCAAGTCAACATCTTTGGAAATAAAACGGAGTTAGACGGGACAGCCGCGGATAGCTCAGCAGCTACTCGACCCATATCCCTAAAATCTTTATTCCCTCTGACTACCCGAAATATAATTTTCTGCATTTTGGCCATTATTTCGGGGATGCGCCTTATCGCCATGGCAAGTGAAGGTTCATATTACGCAGTAATGAAAAATACTCCGCCAATTGGAACAATATGGGTCTGGTGTGTTTTTGAACTTTCTCTAGGTTTCGCTGTATTAGGTCTCTTGATTCCGGTCGTGTGGGCTGTTGGGTTGAAAGGTTACAGCATGATATGACAGGCCGAGAAGGTATGCCTGTTGACTTAGCTCGAAAGTGCTCTCACCTTTGCACTTTACGTTGTAAACCATGCTTATGGCTGTCACTGACCAAGCTGGCATCCTTATCGCCGAGAGAGTGCTTGGCAGAAGTCCACATATATTGTATCCGCCCCTGAAAAAAAGCCCTGTCGGCTAGGCTGCTGATCAACCTTAATGCCGTCGATCAAAAAAGGGACAAATAAAAGAATATGGAACGAACTCGGGAAGCGTTTATCTGACGGAAACCAGAAGCAAAATGAACGATATACCCCACGGAGAATCGATGTTCTCCTGAGTCAAAACCTGTTATCACCGTATCAGCCTCCAAGCGATGTTTGGCCCATTCGTGATCCAAGCCATAGCGGTATGACAATGTTCATATGTTGACGAATACTGAAATAGAAAGGTTAGAAGGTCATGAAAATCTGGAGTTTCCAAACCTCTCCTCACGTAGTTGCAATCAAATATTTGCATGTTATAACCTGCCTCGGCGACGATGGCTCAATGGATACTTTGGAAAGCAAGGCCAGAGCTCCTGTGTTAGCAGCCACAGCTTTGGCCGCATTATCTACGGATAGGAGGAAATACAATTTTTCGTTTGTGGTTGAATAAACAAATCAAACGTACCGAATTTCCATTGACCGTTACCCACTGTGCCCGAACGATTCTCAATTGGCATCTTCAAATTCCCTACGAGAGTGCGGCGTATTGATACTTTTCCGTTCTCTCTACGCACGGCATTTCCAGATTTAAACATCGCCCAATGGGACCCGGAAAGTGTACCTGCCGAAGTACCGCTACGTCGAACCGGAATCATTCCTATTCGTGGGATTTTGCGGATTCGGTTGACACAGGGGCGTGGGGAACTAGCCGAATGTGCTCCACGCCGGGAAGCTTGCAAAATCCGACCAGAAGATGATGATTCATTTCTCAAGATTCCCGAAAACCTACGCGCAAAATTCCTTATTTAGTTCAATCCAAGGACGAAGCATCAACATCGCTGTCGACTGAGACTTTACATCCTTTTCCCCGACAATGGCAGACCCCGAAGGAATCGAGCTACGAACTTAAGCTTCTCGACCCACCAGGTTCGAAAGGAGCTCAAGTGCAGAAAGTTCCAGATACGATGCGTCAGACGATGAGCAGTACATTTTACATCCTTTTCCCCGACAATGGCAGACCCCGAAGGAATCGAGCTACGAACTTAAGCTTCTCGACCCACCAGGTTCGAAAGGAGCTCAAGTGCAGAAAGTTCCAGATACGATGCGTCAGACGATGAGCAGTACATCACAGCCGAGCTTGCCCTACCACCAGTTGATCGAGGCATCCATGCCTAGGCATTCTTGATTAGGTGCTTCATCGTCGAAGCTATAATCTGGGGTAGGCTCGAGTTGTCCGCTTTATATCTCTACCAAAAAGACGCGAAACAGACATACTAATGGCTAGGAACAGGCTTGCCTTTTGCATACGGTCTCTTTCAGGACTTTTATACCACACACGAACCTTTCAAATCTGATCCTTCGGGCATCGCAGCCATCGGGACGACAGCACTTGTGAGTGTAAACCGTTCCCGAATCTCATTGATCAAAGTCCTTCAATGGCCCTTCAAGCTAACTTTCCATCTTCCAGGGAATGATGTACCTTGGGAGTCCTATTTGCTTCATGGCTATGCAAAAATGGCCATTCTGGAGAACTTGGAGTATTCGTATTGGTTTTATTATTATAATCGCCGCATTAGTTACATCTTCCTTCGCAACTGATGTCTGGCAACTTGTTTTTACGCAGGGCGCATTATATGCAGTTGGAGGAACTCTTGCATATGGCCCTGCAATTGTCTTTGTTGATGAATGGTTTGTCCGCCAGAAAGGGCTGGCTTATGGGGTAATGTGGGTAGGTAATTCGACAGATTTGCTTCTCTCTTATACAGTTCTAACGTTAATTAATTGCAGGCTGGGACAGGATTTGCAGGTGTAACAGTTCCTTTCCTCATGTCTTGGATGCTAGGGCGCTTTCACTTAAAACCAATAGCGTGGGCAGTAATAGTTGCAATCCTCGCAATTCCGTTGTTTTTTGTAGTGAAGTCGCGAACCCCGATAGTCAGAGACATCATGCACGCCACCTTACTTTTAACTTTCTAAAAAAACGAACCTTTTTGGTTTGTCCAGCTTGGTAATATTTTCAAAGGGTTGGGATACTTCATGCCCACTATTTACTTGCCAAGCTACGCGCGCTCGCTTGGAGTCCGCAACGAAGCCATCACTGCCACTGTATCTCTTCTCAACGGAGCAGCTGTTTTCGGCTGCATTTTTGTCGGTTTCCTTATTGACAGGTTCCATATCACCACTGCCATTCTCATCAGCACCATTGAAGCCACCTTTTCTATTTTCGTTCTATGGGGCCTTTCCTCTTCAATCGCAGTTCTCTGCATATTTTCAATGATGTACGGGTTCTTTGCCGGGGGTTATAGCTATACGTACGCTGGGCTCATCAAAGAGGTGCATGCCGATGAGAATGGCAACGGTAGCGAGCCGGGAATAGTAATTGGCTTCCTCGCTGCCGGTTGCGGGATTGGCAGCGTAATCTGCGGTCCGTTAAGTGAAGCCTTAATCAAAGGAAGGCCCTGGATGGGTAAAGCCGGTATGGGCTATGGAACGGCATACGGTCCGCTAATCGTTTTCGCCGGGATAAGCGCGCTTCTGGGCGGAGTAAGCTTCGGGGCGAGACTACTTCGATGGATGAAGTAGTTATTAGGTAGAGAACGAAAGAGTTTCAGACAGACATTGTTTGAAAGTCGCTTGGATTTCATTAGAAAGATCTTTAACTGCGGTTCGAGAGGGGTGGGAGGCACCCTAGCTAGTCATAAAACGATAGGCGTGGGGCAGAATTCAACCAAAGTCGCTTGGATTTCATTAGAAAGATCTTTAACTGCGGTTCGAGAGGGGTGGGAGGCACCCTAGCTAGTCATAAAACGATAGGCGTTGGGGCAGAATTCAACCGATGCCTAATATATATTCATAGATACAAGGTCAAGATAGGTGGGAATGAGATTGGTGAAATACGTGATTGGTAAAACATCGAGGGAAAGTCAAGCCTGCGAGCTATCAAAGGTCGTTGACTGTTCTCGATTGTCCATTAACGTATTCCAACCAAGGAGCCTCCAAAGTTCTTGAATAAACCAGTCACCGTTGTTTTCACCGGAGCTTTCGATATTATCTGCTGAGCCATTCATGCCTCGTGACTGCACAACAGGACGTGGGAGCTTCAATGAATCTTGAAATTTAGCATCATCTTCTCCAAAGACACCCCGCAGAAGTGTATTCTGCAACTTCTTTTTCGTATGACCGAGGAAGGGTGAGGTGGTAGAAGTTATATTACAACTTCTCACCCCACTTTTTAGGTGATCGCCACAGCGATCCAGAGTTGACAGTGCCTGCTCAAAAATCCAGATAAGATGGTAGCTTTGCAGCACTGCGGCATGCTCCAGGGTAGTGGGCTCAATCCTGCTAGTTGGTTCTTTCGCAAGTGGACCGGGAAGAGGTAACTTGGACGGACAAGTTCGAAGGTCGGAGTTGGATCGCAGCTCTTTGAACACGACCAGGCCAAGCATCTGGCCAATGTGCTCCAGAAGAATGAATAAAAACCCCTCTAGCAGATCTATCTGCTTATATCTGCTGGTGTTTATTGAGAGTATCATGGTAGCGAGAACTCGAGAGATAGAATCCAGTGTCTGGCTGTCTTCGCGTGACAATTGAGCTAATGGCTGCCCAAGTGGATTCGTAGTCTTGGTTCTGGGAACTTGTCTGCCTTTCTTTGTGGACACCTTTCCCAGATTAGAGATAGCTTTTGCCTTGGCCAGAACATGTTGATGCAGCTGGAGGAGGATAAATTGAAATAGATGAACAAGGTGATAATGAATTATTCCTTTGTTATTTTTCACCTTATCTTTTCCTGCTACCTTTCTCAAAGCCTGCAAGAGTAGGGGATAGCATTGTTCAAAAACAATCAAAATGTCCAAGAGGCCTGGATTCTGTGAACGGATGTGAGAACTGTTGTCAGAGTTCATGGTTTTGGTGCGATTTGGACCAATAGATAACCGAATTAGTTGCTCTACATTGGCACAAATATCAGCGCATGTAGTCACCAGCAGCTCTGGTTCCGACCGCCTATGAAGTAACTTTCGAAGGGTATGAACACGTCGCAAAAATGGAGTTGTAGCTACAAATTATTTAGTAAAAAACCGACTGAAGCTTATTTAGAAGGCTGTCGAATACCGTTCTCTGGAAATCCAGCCGCTATGCCTAGCTCAGAGGCAGCAAACTTTGAATTTGCTTTACTGATATTTATTTTCTCATCAGCTGTAGTTTTCGACCGTTTCGGTGGCCGTAACGCTATGGAGCCAGGACTACCGTTTGTTTTTCTCTTCCTTAACGGGGCTTTCGACCCAGATTCGGGCTCTACGTTAAGAGCTGAAGCTCCATTTCGTTGCTCAAGTTCATAGATTCTGTCGAGTAGTCGGCTTTGGGCGGCTTCAGATTTCTCGTATGCCTCCCGCCAGAAAGCGGTACTGTCTAGATGATATTTCTGGCTCGACTCATCCCGTTCTCTCTGCCCAGTCTTGATGTAATTTCTGATACGAAGAATGTAGTCTAGAAAAAATGAGCGTGTGAGCTGACACGGGGCTCGCTCGGGGCTCCCTAACCTTTGATGGTTGTATGTGGCGGCTTTGACTTCACAATGGCTATTGCTAACGCCAACTGAGCTTGAGAAGGAGGACTAGGTTCCCCCGGATAGGGTGATGCAGCCATCTTCGATAAATGGCGACGAGAGACATGCTAGAGAGCACTGAAGACGCATGGTCAAGCATGGGATGTTGTTGGAAGAAGAAGAAGAAGAAGAAGAAGAAGAAGAAGAAGACGAAGAAGAAGAAGAAGAAGACGAAGCCCGGGCTCTTATACCCCGCCACGTACCAAATGAGGATGTCTATCTGATTTCCGAGTAAGGAAGTAGCAAAGTGGATGCTGAGTGATCAAATCTCCCAGTGTATCTCTGTGCTGTTGGACGACTTCACTGAGAGGCTTGAAGCCTTCGGAGCAGTCCATTCGGGGCCTGGCCGTCTCATATGGCTGATACTAGACGACATTCTTCCTAAGACTCTGTCGCAGCCATTTCAATTGAGAACATTAACTAGTTATTGCTCGTTTGCAGCCCATGCTCACGCTGCCGTCGACGAACGGGGTTAGTTATCGCAATTCCGAGTTGCTTATTCATCGAGGCTTGGCACATTAGCAGTGGCGGCAACTTGCTCGCTGAATCTCTAACCTAGAGCAAACGCCCCGACGGCTCACATCGCGAATACAGCAAGCTTATTGCTTCGGCTTGCAGGTCATTTTATTGTCTTATTCATTATGGCACCTTTAGACGACCTAAAGGCTCATGCGGCTTCCTCTCATGACTTTTACGCCTTACTAAACATCTCCCCTGCCGCTGCTGAAAATGAAATCCGCCGTGCATACCGCAGGACAGCCTTGAAATACCATCCCGACAAACTCCAGAACCCAACGCCCGCTGATATAGACAAGTTTCACTTGCTGCAGATTGCATATGATGTCTTATCCGAACCGTCAATACGGCAGCTTTACGACAATGCCCGGGAGGCTAGGGAGCGGAAGAAGCGGGAGAATGAGATGCTGGAAGGTCTACGCCGGAAGATGAAAGAGGACTTGGAAGCCAGAGAACGTGGAGTTAAAAGACCCTTTGCGACAACAGGCCTTGGTCCAAGCATTGATCTCGATAATGCCGAGGAGCGGCTAGAGCAGGAGATTAGAAGATTAGCGGAAGATGGAAGAAGGAGAAGACAACAAAAAGAAGAATTGATGAGACGGGAGGTTTTGGAAGAAGAAGAGAGACGTGAGCAGGAAAAAGAGGAAAAGGAACGTGCCGCCCAAAAAGAAAAAGAGAGCCGACGGAATGTTGGTGGTACGGCTGTTCCCGAAATTGAACGAACAGTTAAGGTGCGCTGGATCCGCGAGGACTCAGGATTGGATCTCGATAAGACCCGCCTGGAATTGTTGTTTTCACCGTTTGGGGAAGTGGAGAGTACTTTTACACTCAAAGACAGGAGACAACGTATCGGAGAGAAACGGGAAAAGAAAACCGTCGCCACGGGCGTCATCGTATTTTCGTCGATCGTTGGCGCCCATGCCGCGGTCGAAGACAGCAAAAGACAGAAAGGCGGAGAATGGGACATTATTGAATCTGTCTTTTGGGCTTCGAATAAAGAGCCAGATTTGGAATCACATCGGGGGCCCTCTCCTACAACTGCTGCCCAAACGGAGCCCGCGGCAACCGCTCCTTCCGGTGCTAAGCCGAAGTCCTTCAACTTTCCAGGTCTGAATATGCCTGCTGCAACTTCTGACGACGGCATGAAGAAGGCCCCCTCGTTTGCCTCTTTCTCTTCAACGGCCAACGTCACTTCTACGCCCGGGCCTAATCTTGGGACCAACAGCCCAAGTTTGGAGGAGATCACCCTGATGCGCTTAAAGAATGCGGAAAGGAAACGGCTCGAGGAACAATTGAGAAAGGAAGATGAGGCTAATGAACTTGAGGAATCCGAAGGCACAAAATGAATGAGAGAAGTTCTTATTTGACGCAGGTGGTTTGGATATGTCGGGAGGAAGTGACCTATCAAGAAGCCGAAGAAGGCATCAGGTTATGAGAGGATCTAGGGGAATTGTCAACTGACTTAATACTTAGGATCATGAAAATATCCCGCAACATATCAGCTTTGGGAATCCTCAATAGCTTCGGTTCGAGTCCATCGCCAGTTCCTGGGGAGCCATTACCAACTCTTCAATATAGGGTTTTACTGGGCACTACGGCCGCCTAAGAATGGATGGGAGCTGCGCAACTCATTCAATCCGCTGTGTGCGAATATTATGGCTGAAATGGAAGAGCCCTTACCAACCAGCCAGTTCACCTGGCAATTTCTTGGATCCTTTGAACTTAGAGGCAAGCGCACACTGCTACACCCCTTCAAAGTCACTGTGCCGTTCGCCCGTTGATCCCGCCAGCATGGATCACTTTTAGTATGTCTAGAAAGACAAAGCATTGGAAAATAGGCAGCTTTTGCCCGCTTGACCGTTCTTCTAACAACTCGGATTCACCACGAGATTCACCAGCGTCTCTCCAAGCATACTTCATGGCTGGCATTAGGAGTGTATCGTTGCTGAGTCCATATGTCCTTGTAATATTCGCCGCATGCAGAGAATTATGATAATTTGTTAGGTTGGCGTGGCCTCCTTGCTACGAAGATACCCCTTTCTTGTATGCAATAAATGTACGGCCCTAACATTAATAGAGGAGTTAGCCTGGAGATTTACATGATTATATACATATACAAAATCTATGTGTACAGTGCGGAATATATGCATTCATACCATCCAGGCGTGCTCACAATATATCCACTGAAAGAATATTCACTCGTTATAGAGTACGGAGCACTCTGCGGTCAGTCCTCTTCCTCTATCTGCTCCGTCCCGCTTTTGGCCCTGTGTACGTCTTCTTTCGTCTGCCTCTGCCTCGTTCCACCGTGTAGAATATAATCTTTTACCCAGGGCGGAATAAAGGCTGTCACTTTCACCTCCCCCGCCTCAGCGACACCAGCATCCGCATTGGCCTCCCATGAAATTTTAAACTCCTCGCTAGGATTATATTGAGATGATTCTCCCGTTAGAGAGATATCCGTCATAGTTTCTAGGCGGCACAGCGCTAGTCCAACGTTTCCAATTCGAGATATGAACTTGCCCGCACTCCGTCCCTTCCCGGAAGCGCTAGACTTTGTTATATTCGCTCCCGCGGATGGGAGGAGTAGTTGGGAATCTGGCGAATAGACGGGAATTCCTGAGCTGGATGGCATGGGCTTGGGATCCTCAGTATTGTATAGTTGTACAGGTAATACGCGTTTGCGTACAACGCCACGATGGTGCGTCCGGATCGTTAACTCTTGACCGAGATAGCAGCCCTTGTGGAAGTCAATTCCTCCCATGATATCCATATTACTATCCATCGGCAAAGCAGATTCGCGGCCAAGTTCGTCTTGTCCCTCCGGAATGCCATGCAAAATTCGGCGGAGCGTATAGGTAGAGAGCGACGCTTGTTGTCCAGGAAGCGGCTGCGACAAGTTCTGCAAATTGTCTCCGGCTAAAAGCACTCTGTACCCGAAAGCCGGAGCACGATTATCAGCACAGGTTATAACTTCTCTCAATACGTCTCCAGTGTCCTTCGTCTCCCAATTTTTGGCATTATCCCAGACGGCCCATACACCCCTCTCCCCTTCATCCAAAGCCCTAAACTTCAACTTCGCCCTCAACTTATGCTTTTTCAAATGTTTCAGCAAATTTGTAACCTGTTCTTTATCCACTTCGATCAAATATCCCAGCTCCATTCCCTCATTTCCCCCATTCTCCTCCGGCAGTGTCGGGTAAATAAACGTATCATGCAGCAGTCTTCCTTGCGCATTCAGAAACCCGGCATAAAAGGGCGTTGTAGGACTTGCGCGAGATTTTGCAGATACTACATTCTGCGTAATTAGGCCTTGCAGAAATGAAGTGCTGTCTGCACCGGTGAGAGAGATAAGTGCCCGGTTAACAAGACGGACATGACCGGCTTCTGGTGGAGGTGGAGGGCGCTCGGCTTGCTTTTGAGCAAGGAATGCTGTTGAGGATAGGCTACGCCGGTGAAAATGACAGCGAGAACAAACAGATCCGGGACGTAGCCGAGGCGGCATCTTCTTCTAGCTAGTAAGCTGGCTGATGATTCGATTGTACCGATATATCCGATTCACGCTCAACCTTGTTCAACACGGATCTTATATCACGGCGGTGAGAAACGGCAGTAAACGGCCCTATGACATATGACGCCCAATCAACCCACGCTCGCTCTGTACGAAGTAAAGATGATAGAGACAATTAGAGTACGGAATAGACGGGGTGAAGTGTACGGAGCATAGAGCTTTACGATGGCTAAAATCTCATATCAATTCCATAATTTATCAGTAAGGCGAGCATAAGCCCGAAACTAATCCACTAACCCCAAAACACACCGCCGCTAACGTTGACCCTTTACAACACCGTCCAAATACCCAAGTAAAAATGCTTTATCTACTGGATATGTCATTTTGTTTCGACTAGTTGGTCTAGATTCGCCATTGCCATGGGTTTGCGGCAAGGAACCTCCCACGAAACCAACAATACTGGATTTGGCTGACGACCTTAATTGCGATGGCTCGACCTCCGTGAACTTGGGAAGCGGCTGTTCCCTGGATGGGGCAGACTTGCCGAATAGAGAAAGTAAAGTCTCTTTATGTGAGCTGGATTGACTTTGACGATCGTAATTTAGTTCCTTTGGCGGGCCCTTCGATGCCTCGGGCTCGTCTAGCATGGTCTCTCGGTGAGGTTTCGTGAACGCGCTAACAGTCACGGTATGCGTTGGCAGAGACGCTTCCAAATTATCTTTATCCGGCCGACGGAGAATCCTGGGCTTAAATGGTTTCGTAAGCTCTGAGATCTTAACGTTTTTCCTTGATGGAGAACGCGGGGTTTGGGAACGCGGCAGAGTCTCTGAGCTTTCCTTTGTCACGGCGCTCGGGCGGGGAAGAATGGTGATGTTAGATCTAGGCTCGATTTGAGACTGAGCTGGAATTGGCGGGGGAAGCCGCCCCGCTGATTTTGGTCGATCAAGGGATTCCTTGGGGGCAACCGAAGGGCCAGGGGCTTTCAGGAGTATCGCCTTTTCCCCAGTAACAGATTGGGACGTAGGAGGTATGCTCTCCTGTAATTTGGAGGTTGCCGCCTTTTCGCTCTCCGGAAGGATTGACAGTTTCACAGCATTTGCTTGTGACGTCGATGGAGTGACCGCGGGCGAAGTAGGTGTCCTTAAAAGTTTCAACAGGCTATCCTGATGATCAAACCTACGAACTCCAGCCTGGCGCTGTGGTTCAGGAGGAACTTCCTTGGAATCCGTAGTAGGTTGGTGCAAACTATCACCTTTAAATACATTTAAAAGCGCCAGAGAATGCCTATTCAATTTTGGAGGTGGAAGTTTACTCGCGGGCGGAATGGATGGAGCCTGGAAGTTCGAAGGTCGCGAAACTTGACTCGATTGATGTACATGCTGATTGGAAGGAAGTCGGGGCTGAGCTTGAGGAGCATTAAAATAGAGGTTGGCGAGTGCCGGAGAGATCAAGGTTCCTGAACTATCGACAGGAGGGTGTGCCAACGATGGTCGGTTACTTTGTGGTAAATGATACTGGTGCCCTTGGTGTGTGCTGGTCACCATCGGGGGCCGAGGGAGTTGCGGGAAATGGGAGAAACGTTCCGGCGGGGGGTGCGAAAATCCGCTTGCAGTGATGAATCCAGGTTGTGGATAAACCTGGTGGCTGGGAAGAGTAGAGTTGGGAAGGGTAGGGACACCTTGTCCGATGGTTCCAGCCGTTGATGTCGGCATTGGAACGGTGGGCTGATTGATAGGTCTGTCGTGAGATTGAGCTGGAAGTGAAATTGATGGTTGAGGTAAGGTTGCAGTCGTCTGTTCTGGGAAGGACGAATGGGCAGATTTTTGCCCGAGACTCGGAGAGGTATAAACATCACCCTGCTTAAGCAGCTGTAAAAGCGCGCTGCCCGTTGCTGGCTCAGGCATGATTTGTTCCGGTTTAAGTAGAGGGAGAACCGGTTGGGTAGTGGATCCGATATTGAGCAGCTGTTTTAGTTGAGTAGAAGGGTCTTGATGTGCGTGAGCTCCAACAAAATCTTTGGGAAATGGCGCTGCTATGCTCTCATCCTTCCGCAAAGCGCCACCATTTGTAAGTTCTCCGTCCTCCGCTGTTATATATGCAGGATTCTCAGCTTCTACCCGCACGGATTGTCCTGTTGTTTCGGCAAGATCTCGTTTTCTTTGAAGCGCGATCCACCTCTTCAGAGGCCCTAGGAAAGGGGCAACCATGTAAAATTTATTCTTGCTGAAACTCTGCCCGTTGCTTTCTTCCTGCTTAACTTTTTTCTGGGTGGGAAGATCTGAAAGCTTGTACCACTCGATCTTGCTAATTTCCTTCCTTGTCCTCGGTTCAAAATGCGTGTCTTTTGGTACTCCTCGAATCACGTATAGTCGCATATTTTGTTCTCTCATTGAGATGTCAATATACTTAACCTTTTCCTCATCCTTTATGAGACCGGATTGTTTAATATCAAATCCGGTCTCCTCGTATACCTCTCTGGCTGCACAGTCCAAGTCCTTTTCATCCTTGTTAATCTTTCCCCTGGGGAAACTCCAGCCGGCGGTTTTCTTCCATCCCTTGACGAGGACGACTTCATCCATAGTCTCATTCAGCAGGATTGCACCGCGGACCGGAACCCGGGTTTTGTAGGCCAAAAATTCTGAAAAGGCAGTTGAATGGTGGTAGCTTGACCATTGTGACATCAACGGACAATGCTGAAATATAAGAAGCGCGAAGCTACGAAGATTGAAGGAAGGAAGATTCGGGTCTAAAGGTCGAACGAAATCTTCGTAAAACCATTGGGCTTCTTCCACTTGGAAGCATATTCGCTCTACCGATTCCAACTCCTCTCGTGGGAGGTTAATAATGAAGCGGACGCACAGGTCATCCAGCCCTGCGAAGAAATACGGTTACGGACCATCCAAGATAAATATATACTGATGGGGATTCAGAGGCAGTCACTCACAGTCTTCGAGTTTCATCTTTTGTTCCACCATGACTTCTATATTTGTGCATTTCAACACAAACGGAATGCTGATGAACGATGGTTACATCCGCCAGAGTCTCGATCCGAAGTCGGCGACAACTGCAAGAGACTGATGGCGAAGGTAGGGTTAGGATTCAATATAAGCTAAGTTTTGAGGAGAAGCTGGCATATAACAAGAGCGCTTCAAAGAAGCAGCTAGGTTTCTAAGAGAAGCACAGAGAGCGAGCATACCTGACACGGAGCTTCCTGTGCCGCTTTGTTGTCGATCGACGATGATTCTGGCGCCGCCCGTGGCTGCGGCTGTGGCTGGCCGAAGCAACCGTGGCGGTGCTATGGCTAGTGAGATGGCTTTAGTCAGCCAAGCAAATGCGGGATGACGTCCATTTCGCCGTTCTCGACAGCGATTGGGAACAGCTTGCCGCCGTCCGTGAATCCGGACGAAACAAGGAAGCGAACAGACAGCGACAGCGAAGATGGATTCGAGACAATTTAATTATAAATTAATACGGACATCCCTGGCAGCCTGGCAGTTTAGCCGCTGAGGGGAAAGGAATACACTCCATGCTGTTGACTGGTCATATGTCACTTCTGATCACCAGAACCAGGAGTCAATAAGTAACTAATGAAAGCCTCCGGACTAGTCAATTATCCCTTTTCACTCTCTATTCAGAGCCTGCTAACTATTATTTAACTCCATCCTATTCCTTTCAGGTCCAAGGCGCCATTCTTTCCTACGGAGTACTTCCTTAACCTTTGTTTCCTTTTTTCATATTATATTAAATTAGGTGTCTGTGACCAGCTGCAGTGCCGTTCTATTCTGCAGATTCTTCGACCTCGTTTTACTCCTATCAACTGTTCCGCATGGCAGCCAAAATTGCAGGCGCTCTTTCGAAGAAAGTCCTGAAGGAGTCCGCAGAGAATCGGTTTGGACAAGAAGTAAGCACATATTATCTTTGAACCCCTGAATTATTTGGTTGCCCGTCCTGACCCAACTTCAGGACCCCTATTTTGAAGAAGTCTCAGCGACCAACCTCCTCGGCCGACCAACGACCAGAAGACGACGCAAGGCTGCCCCGGAGGGCATCTCGGAAAACGATGCAAAGGTTCTCACCAAGGTGAAACGCCGTGCATATAGGCTAGACTTGTGTCTGTGCAATTGCTGTGGAATAAAATTTGGCTGGAGCAGTGTTATCGCTCTGGTGCCAGCGTATGTTTCAGCTTTTTTTTTTTTTTTTTTTTTTTTTTTTTTTGCATGCAGTTTATCTGACAACCTCTAGTTTCGGTGACGCTCTTGACATGGTACTCGCCCTTATGGTTGTCAGGAGTTGCAGCAATATTGACGGCGGACTTCCCGGAAGCCTATACTTACATATGCTCCTCAATGTTGCTTTTGATTTTGCTATCGGACTAGTGCCTTTTGTTGGCGATCTCGCGGACGCATTATACAAATGCAATACAAGAAATGCCGTTTTGCTCGAGAAGTATCTCAAGGAGAAAGGCAAGCAAAATTTGAAGCGCCAAAATCAAGGCACCATAGAGATGGGGGATGGCGTCCAGCTTGGATCAGGGCAGACTACCCCTAGAATGAATCAACCAAGGCGACCGGAGCACGCGCATATACCGCGAGACGACGGCCAACCTGGGAATAGTGGACGCTCGGGCAGGATAAGAGAACCCGACTTGGAAATAGGAATACGATGATTTTTTCAGCCTTATGGCTTCCAGTTTCACATATAGATTCTATTTTCCTCTTCTTGATATATTCAAAATATCCATCTGTTTAATCAGAACTAGTTTTTGTTGGCACAACGGCATCATAACAGTTCTTTATGACTTCTCTTGGTACCTATGTTTCATGATCTCCGTCCTATGTACCATTTTGTAGTGACACAGTTGAACAATGAGCAGATAACCTGATACATAACCAGTACATGTTACCTAGCGGCTACTTTAGAACTATCAATTGAAGTGCAGTCCAAATAGCAAAACAGTTATTGATTGGTCAGGTTGAACGCAGCTGAACAAGGTGAGGGTATTGTGATTTCATTTGATCAATGGAAAAGAATAAATAAACAATGGGGGTTACGGGCAAATTCAAGATTAAGGAGGGCCTATAAATGCTAAAACCTGATATACGGAGTTGTCCTTTGCAGTTCCTGAACCTCAAGCGATTTGGGTGCTCGACAGCTAGCCACCATCTTCCATTTCCTTCAAGAACGCCGATGCAATGCAAATACGCGCTTTCTGCCTAATGGCATCGTTGTCAGAAGCCCCGCAAGGATACCGCGCCACGCAATGCAAATTTCTACCGCTAATTGTTAGAACGAGATCGAAGGTTACTCGATAATGTTTCCGGACGTTTGTCTCAGGCGGCACGATAGGCTGGATGTGGCCCTCTGTTTTCAAAAATGTCATATCCACAACGATCTTGCCCGCTTCTTCATAGCCTGCCATTCGGGGGTCATGTCAGCCTACGCCAATCGTGAAGGAATTGGTTCATTCCGGGCTTTTAATATCTTGCCTTTATTCTTTTCATGACCCCGCTCATAGTGAGATTCGTGATTTTTGTCAGACACATAGAGGATTTCTTCGCAAAGGAATTTCTGAGAGGGTCTCGTCGGAAAATAATGTGTGACCGGAATGGTCCTAACACGGTTAGTGGATTCAACCACCATCCCCTATAACATGCTTAATTAGACGTAATTCATAGTAGCACGCCATGAGTAAGGTTGCTGACCTTGTTAACAAACCAATATATGGTGTTCTTAATATAGAACTCATTATCATATTTGTCCCGCCTCTTCCTTCTAGATTGGGATTTATGCGCTGGATAAAATTCTGGATCGTAAGGCTCTGTGCGTAACAATCCATAACTGCAATATATCTCACGCTTGGGATCATCCTCATTGTTCTTCATCGCCCATAGAACAGCACCAGAGGCCACAGCTGCTCCGCTGTAAGTCCCTTCTATCAGTTTGGTAACTCATTTCAGTCCTTGAGGGAAGACGAGAAGAGCTTACCGCAGCCTCGGCGCCAGTATCCCCACTTGACGGTTACGTCTGTTGGAGAACTGTCTAAGCTCTTTCCTCAGATGGTACTCAAGGGCAGGAGATGCGGCAAACCCGCCAATGAGTAACACTTTCTGCGCAGTGGGTTAGTTTGAATCACAGCCAGTAGATATTCCGCATGTGTTAGCTACCGTAACAAAAACCTGATGGGCTTCTGCCTGCTCAATTTGTTGCAGCATGAGCCGGGATATTTGTTCGAGACACGGATTGAAAATCGACAGCATGTCTTTCCTTAGGTCCCAGAGACGAAGCCATCGTTTAGTCGGGTCCTTGCGTGTGGAGTTGCTATGGTATTAGAGATAGCTCGGGTTACTTACATGTCAACGCGCATTTCGTGCGGTCTAAATTTCTTTTCCGTATTTTCCCTCAGCCCATCAAACATAAAAACCTCTATTTTGCGTTTTTCTCTAGGGTTAAATGTTCTTTTCACCCTATTCTCAAACTCCTCGAGGATGAAATCTATTTTCCTTTCTACCGGGTATCCATTGTCAATCAAGTAGTATTCACCGGCCAAACGATCCCTGATCAGTCTACTAAAGTTCTCGTTAAGATAGCTGGACCCACAGAGGGCGCCTATTGATTGTCCCGGTGTGTCAGAAATCATCCAGCTGTTAATGATTGCCTTAGAACTCACCACCTGGGGTTCCTGCTTCTCTTTCAAGTTTTAGAGGTAAGGTACTTGTCACCTTGTACGTGACAGCGTCAACAGTCCCGCCACCGGCATCGAGGAGGACAAACGCTTCGCCCAACTAGTAGTTCGCTAGTGTCAGTCTCCGTAAGACACTCGAAGATAAGAAGAGACGGATGACCTCAATATCTCTAGATTCTGCCAACACATAAAATGCTGCCGCTTCCGGTTCATGGACAATGAGGAGGTTGTCAACATCATGAAAAGCTTCCGTGATGAACTCTACTCTTTGAAGCGCTGTAGTCATTGCCGTTTGCATGACACGGCATGCCTTTTGAGACCATATGGCAGGAATGCACAAGACAAATTTTATAGACTCGGTTCCCTCGTATTGGTACTGTCGACGCATTTGGTGTTTGGTGTGGGAAAACAATTTTGTTAGGAAGTCTGCAATCAGATCAATCTCCCCTTTAATGATCTTCCGCTCCTTAAGGGTTTGCACGGTTGGCGCAAGTTCTTCTCGAATTGTTCTGGTAAGTTCACCCCTGTCAAGAAGCAACTTAAACCTGTGGATAGGGCTTGCGAGATTGTTGGGTTCGCAGTGCTGTCTAATTGCTTGCCGAACTTCATATCCCCAGTACAATGACTTACGCTCGTCCTCCTCGTCATCAACCTCATCAATGTCCATAGTATCCGAGTCGATAATATTGTCACCTTCGTCGTCGGACGCTTCAACGTCGTCGGAGGCGTCAACGTCGTTGACTTCATCATGGTATACTGGGTTGCAATATGGCGATCTTTTTGTGTACCAGGACTCGGTGGGCACGTCAACGCGGCTCTCGTTGTGATGTGATGGCGCGTTCGGGTAATTCGAAATATTGACGATTTCGTCCTTTTGGACCGCGATGTCACCAGCGTCACCTTTCGGAATGCAGAGAACCGAAACGGATGAATAAGTTGTTCCAAAATCAACACCAACAATAAACTGTCTATGGGTTAACTGGGCTTCACTCGATTGGGCTTCTGCGATGTCTTCTGTTTCAGCACGAGAGAACGATACTGGTTGAGGCTCCCGTGGCTGCGGGGCTACAACGCCTTCCATGGGGCCAAAACCGTCCGGCTGCACGTCTAACATCATTAGATCCGACAGTCTGGAGTTCTGAAAGTAGAGTTGAAAAAGGCAATCCAAAAGGCACTCTTAAGTGCCTTCGTGGGCGTAGGCTCTATATACGTATGGTCACTTCAGACGTTCAACATTATCGCACCATCGGGCAGGGGGTCCCTGTTGCCAGTCCGCCGATATACGAGAAAAGCCAGCCATAGTGGCAAAGCGCTGGCTGCATCAGCCTGGATATGGAAATGGATAAACGCGGTCTGGGGTGCTCATTGGACGTGTTGAATCGGAACATCTCGACTCTTGACATGGATTTCAATCCCTTAGCCAATAAGATTACATTCCACTTTCCCGGCGCTTAAGGTGCAATAGGCTGTGCAACAGAGAATCATCCGGGATCACCCATTGAATTTTGGTACTATATCCGTATTTTGCCCTTATTTAGCAAGCTGATTATCCAGGAGTTCAACGGTGGACCGAGGGCTTAAACTGCAGCTACTATTCTCATCCTGTTCTCTCCTCTTTCCCTAAACCCGGAGTGATTGCTTTGGAACGATCTTAAGGCTTTATACTTGGTGTCGGATATGGGCCGCAAGAAGAACTCCGCGCGAAAAAACAAAGAGCCGCAATGGGACGAGATAGACAAACACCAGCTCATCGGTTGCTTAGACCACCTCCTGTATGACAGAGAAATAACGGACAGTAGGGTCATACGGGAAGAGATCAAGTTGTGTCTCCAACGTTCACGCGGTAAAAATTTCGCCATTGGCAGAATCTCAGAGAAACTGCAGGAAATTCAGAACGAGCACTCCCACGGAATCCGGCGGGGAACACTTCTCACAAGAGGGAGTAAGGTTTTGAAAGATATAGACCATGAAGAAGTGAAGAGATTTGCGGGAGAGCTGAAGAGCCAGCATACTGCCTCAATTCTCCAGTCTGATGGCCGTCGTCTCCGGAACACCCCTAAACGGGCAGAACTGCGTGCACATCTGAGGCCCCATGCAAACATCGTGACTCGAAGCATGTCTGCTGTGCGATCGATGTCCGAAACTCCCACACCAAATAAGGTTAAGCGGAAACGCAGCACTAAGACTGAAAAGAGCGAAAGGCCATACGCCGAAACACAGCTGGCCCTGGGAGAGAAGGTTTGAAGCCATCTAAATAATTAAACCATAATTTGTTGACAAAACTGATTTTCGAAAGGCTCCCCCAGAAAAAGCCACCCAACTACCCATCACGCGCGGAAGAAGTGCATACCAAGTCCTCGGAGCACGCCTTCACAGGGAGCTATCTGTACCAGATAGCCAAGAAGCCTACAGCACAACTGAGAATGGCCGGAGTCCACAAAGTAGAAATGTTGACAGCCGCCGAGAGCTAGAGCGTGAGCAAATGAATCCAACCCATCGTATGTAGTGGGGATATCAGGAACATGGGCCGACGCTGATATTGTTAACATCAGATGAGTATAAAATGGAACTAATGCGGCTTCAAAAGGAGCTCAACGCTATGCAAGTGAAACTAGCGGACGCAAAGAAGCTGCGCGATGCAGCTCTCGGAAATTTAGCAACAACCCGAGAGAAACATGACGAAGCAGTCCAAAAGATAAAGGCGCTAAAGTGCACGATAGCTGAGATAGACCCAAAGCGAGGAAACATCGCTAACAAGGTAGTGTACCAAGAAGAGAGGATACTCGCTCTGGAGCGTGCGCTTCAACAGACACGAATGTCCGCCTCTTTCGCAGGGCTGCTCGCGCAAAGTGATTACAGTCCCCCAGCAAGTATTGTTGAGGAGCTCATGCAAGAAATTGAAGGTGAAATGCGACAAATTTTATTTGCTTTTGATGCCTGCCCAAAAATGCATTTAATCAACCTGGAGAACAGGGTTGAATCAAGGACTCTTTTGGCCCGAAGTCTTGATGTGGATTGTAGCCAAATGGGCTCTCCCGGAAAGTTGCCTGTCGACCTGCAATATCTCGGTCTGAGAACTATTGTTCATGCGATTACTGCTGCCGCACTGTGTGATTGGGTATTTGGGCATGATTTTGAACACCCTCCGCTCTTGCTCGACATGTATCGACACCATCTATTGCTAATGGGTATGTCCTGAGAACTGTGATGTGCTCCGGCCCGTTGTTTCATCTTCCAGGTCACTGACGTTCCAGCACACAGGCACGCAGTCATCGGTGCAAAATCTAGACCTTGTTGCTCACAAGAGTCTCTTTGAAAGTAAAGAATATCAAGAAGTCATTATTCCTCTGCGGGCAGAGCATCTAGCAGACCACCTGGCTACGGCGCTCTCTCCGTTTTCCAATGGCGAATCTGGGGACTGGGAACTAGACAACCATAAAAAAAAAGACTTGATGGATTGTTTGACAGACATATTTGAATTGGCTCTGAAGCTTAAAGTACATCTTTTACCCAGCGGCAAGCAATATTTTTGCCTACTCTACCCTCCTGGGTCAAAATTTGACCCAAAGGCTATGGTGCCTGAAAGCAGACATGGGGATCGGGCTATTCCATATCCTGATGAATTATCGGAGATCGAAGTATGCGTTTTGCCAGCAATATATGCCCGCAGGAAGGATGATGGAGGGTTCATCAGTTATCAGTTCACAGTTCAAAACAGCATGGGCCTTGAAGCAGATGTTTGCCTGCTTCGAAAGGCGGTTGTGGTTGTGAGATATAACTGACACAACTGTTTCTGGTGATATTAAACCTTTTAATATGAGAGGGTAGTTAACGCGGATTCACCTTTTACCTCACCAGCGGGTTTTTCCTTTTTCACATTACTCCGTAGCTTATTAACTAACCTAACGAGAGAATGTGGCATTAGCAACGCACGGGAACTACACTGGTAAGTTACAAGGTATATACTCCGTACATGCCGTTAATATCCTTGAAATCATTGAAGGCGCTTCTTGCTCAACCCACTACGAGAATAAGCCCAACAGTACGGAGTACTACGTAGTTTTCCCCATATGCTATTATTATTCGCGTCAACATGTTAAGAGCCAGTAAAAATCCTTCAGGCTTCCATCACATCGTAACCACCTAACTAATCAATCCCAAGTGCCTGAGTCTCGATCGATCTAGCTGATATAGTTCTCCAGCCAGAGCTCCAAAGCCTCTTGGTCTGCTTCTTCTTTACGATATCCATTCTCCAAATACAACCCTTTATTGGAAAGCACTTGTAAAAGCTTGTGACGAACATTATCTGGGTCCTCGATGTCGGAGTTGTCAAAGACAACCAAACAATACTTTGGGCAACTCTGGAGCCATGCTATAGGTCTTTTCAGGATGATAGCGCCGTCAGATCGCGTTGCTATGCCAAACCTTTCGAACTGGTCTAGCGTATCAATCGCACATGAATCATGTACCACTATGCTCACGGTACTCGAATGAAAGGAGATGGAAGATAGAGGTATACCTGGGATATTTTCTTCGAGGGCGACCCAGAGAGCATTCGAGCTTTGCCTGGCTTCCTTAATCCATCGGTAATGACCTTCGGCAAACTGTAGAGATAAACATAGATTCACAGCAGCAGCCCCAGCAGAGTCAGCCCCGAATAGTAACCTAAGGTCCCGCGCTATATCCAGGGTAGGTTTGGGAGCCCGTCCTAGTTCACGACACAACGAAGAGAATCCATCCCAAACAATGCTAGCCAAAGCATTGATGGCCTCGCAAGAAGCGGTGATGCAAGACAGTTGTCTTACAAGATGCCAGTCAGTGGGTCTAAAGTACGTTCGGAAAGAAATATGGGCTACTACTGCGCCATCCAACAACTCTGACTGCCCACTACGCGTTTCTGTCCACAATTCTTCTAGCTCGGTGACGAACAACCTTGTCACGACCACGGCCGACTCAGTATCTAAAAAAGTTAGAAGATATCGGGCGTTGTCAATAATGCTGACACCAGGCTTGATTGCGGCGAGAATTTCAATCAGGCTGTCGCGGGATTCAGGTAACATCAGGTGGCGAAAGGAGAAAAAGACTTGATTTGCATTTCTAATGACCGGCCCGGCGTTTGACTCCTCATGTCGACCTAAGCACATATCAGCATGTAGGGCTACATCGAGAGCATGGCTTGCTGGATGCTGTGTACCATCAGGATTTGCTGTGATGACATCTATATCATCTCTAGCAGGAGTTGATAGATTGATTATATCTGGAGTACTGATGGTACTCTCGATTCTAGCATCGTCGCATTCGTCAACAGGAGAAATAGACATGTCGAACACACCTGAAGCGGTGGCGCTTAAATCGTCGGCATTCATAGTACTCTCTGTTTCAAAATCACTGCCTTCGTCAAGAATGTCGGAATCAAAAAAGATGTCGTTTTCAATAGAACTTCCCGTAAATTGATTGACACGATTGCCTATACCCAAACAGCGGAAAATCTCTCGCCGGTAGACGTTTCTTGCCCAATCCCATATGAAATCAATGATGAGCAGCAGTTGCAAAGCGCAGTCATGTCTCAGAATAGTGCCGTGCCAGAGATCGATTACTCGCTGGAACGGGTGTCAGGACCTCTCGAGATTGTCTATTTTGCAAATCAGCCACAAATGACACTCACCGTTTTATCTCCATCAAGGTAGCATGCATAAACTCTCCACTCGTCTCCTTGATACGCCAAGAACCATACCAGGGGTAGTATTGTATTTCCTGTCGCTTCGTTGAGCGCCTTTTGAACATTGAGTACAGTCTTGATAGGGAATGCTGTCTGAATCTCGACAGAAGAGAATCCGGGACCACCCGATTCCGACTTCGCTTCCAGAATGAGGAAATGAAATACACCACAACCTTCCCCCTTGATAGGGCTGAATACAAGTCCCTGATATTCTTCCGAGGCATTCTTGAGCTCAGGTGTCTCGGTGAGCCCTACTATGATATCTGGCTGCCTAGTGCCAATCTCAGAGATTGCATCATGCACAACCGGTGCATTTGTCCGCCAGACAAACGGCTTTCTGAGTGTCTTCCCAACTATTAGCCGTACCATCACGACAACTCTATCAACATACCGCATCATACCTCGCGGTTTACCACACCAGTCTGGTTGTAAGAACACAGGCAAATCTTGTGAGCGCTGTCAGGGAATGTTTCGAGAGCCACAAAGGAGGGTGCTGCAACTCGGAATTCGGAAATCCAGCGATACTTGCGGCATAGTTCGCTTAAAGGTTACACTCTCTATTAGTATTTGACTGTTGTATGGAGAGCCAGTTATCCATACATACCACTTGCTGTCGCTTGAGAATCGCTTCAACAGAAAGTCTTCAGTTTTTCTCCTCCAGTTCTCCTCATCTAGCGAGGAAATACGACACTCATAAGCAGCATTCACAAGATTACTAGCCCTGTTAAAGGTTCTGTTCCGCTGCGCTTCGAGCAGATCGTTGCGCTGGCTAGAGCAATACTCGTCGGATCTCACTTTCTCAATATCACGGACCTTTCTAAATATCTGCGCGTAGGAAGTCGGCCATTCTGACGGTTGGATTGGTCCATCGAATTTAATATTGTGTTGGTCTACTAGTTGACGCTCTTTCTCTCGACTTAATTTCTTCTTTGGGCCCATCGCCTCCGTGTTATAATTATAGGTTCAGCTGACGGACGTTGCTAACAAATAGGCGCTTCAAATTATGAGTAAAGATCAAATCCGGTAGCGAGAGGTAGCGAGAAATGGATTCCATATTGACAGGAGAGAGAGACAAAAGGGTGGGAGTGAAGAGAGTACCATAGGTGTACGTCCCTTCCCAGGACTCAGCATCCAGAGTCGCAGCGGTCAGGAAGTGGGGTAAAAATGCGGCGCATGATCCAGGGTGTAGCCAACAGATTCAGGCCAACGCCACATATTTTTCGGTATGTGCAGTCCGGAGTAGATCCGACGTAAAAGATCATCAAGAAAGAGATCCAGCCGGGACCTTAAAAGGCTGACGGAGACAGGTGCTCTCAGAAGATTGGGTCAAACAGTCGGTTGCAAAGCTCCTGGTGTGTCTATATACTTCATTGTAGCCATGGACATACAATGTGACCAGGAGCTTATGCCGGTTCCGGAGTTGGCTATACCCAATTTCCCTGTATTCTTTTGATTTTGATTTTTTTATTTTTAAGAAAGAAAAGACGGGGGATAAGACTGAAACAACTTGGGCTTGGAGTTGAAGACTTTCTCTTGCAAGGCTTCCAGATGCCAGAGTTGACCACACCGCTGGTGACAGGCACAGAATGTCCAGCCTGGCTAAAGGCTCCATAGCCACAAAGCCATGAAACCACGAAACCACGAAACCAACTCTAGGGTTACAACATCACTAAAGAATTTGAAAAATGATGAGAAAGGTGTAAGAACATTTCTTTTATTTGGTGCTGTTCCTTTCCTGAGATAGAGAAATAGAGAAATTTGTATTAGAATGTGTAGTCTGGTGAAATTATTCGCAAAATAGAGTAGAGATGGAGACTGGGTTGGAGCAGCGACCAAACTCAGTAAATCAGGGCAGGGAAATCCCAAAGCTCCAGTAAGCAATAGGCTTAAGGAGGTGTCAATGTGTCATGGAAGAGTCGGCAAAGATTCACATCTGGACAAAGTGACCCAGCAATAGCGATGCGCAGGTACAGAGTCCAGAGAGTTCGAAGCACTCTGTAGTCATCACGACAAGGTTTGAAGTGTGATCAGCATCCTGACGGACTTGAATTTGTACCCCAAAGATTCATTGGTATATATTTTCTCTTCTGCATTGCAAGCTGGTTTTGGACAGCTGGGTAATAATGACCTGTTAACAGCCTTCAACATGCGACAGTTTAGACTAACCACCAGATCTGAAACCCGGGATTCTTTCCTGAGAAAGGCCAATGTGGAGAAACACACAATCGCCAAACAGCCACACATGAACCCAGAGAGGCACAGTAACTAGCTAACCAACAGGCTGCGTGACAACCATGATCGAGAGCATGAAAACACTCTGTCAAGTCTGATCTAGGAATTTAAACAGGAGAAGACGTGAAAGGAGAACACAAAGTGATACAAAAAAGGCAGGAATTTGGAGCAATTTGCCTTTTTAACCAGGGTTTCATTGCAACGGAATCGACATGGTTGATTAGGGTATCATTCGCAACAGAAAGATACTCAGTCTGCTTCAACAAAGGCTACGCGTCTCACACTGGAGGAAGATGCCCTTCTTGCGATTTTCGAGGCGCAAAATAATTGTTGCTCTGTTGACCAGCTGCCTGCTTTTCTTGTGGAGCACCCAGACCGCCCTGCACAAGCACACAGTCTTCCTACCAAATGCGAACGAAAAACCCGTGGTGGTAGACGACGAACCGCGCCGTAACGCTTTTTCCGAAAGCAATAATGATGAATCCATTTGGGCCCGTGTTCCCCAACACCACCCTGTCCGGTCTATGATTCCGATCCCTTCTCCTGTCCCGAGCAGTATCCCCAAGATACAACATAAATTTGGGGAGGAAAGCAGTGAAGCACGAAGGGTGAGGACAGGACGCCTAGACGCTGTGAAGGGGAACTTTACACACGCTTGGAGAGGATATAAAACACGCGCATGGATGAGCGATGAGGTTAAACCCATTTCCGGTGAAGCCCATAATCCATTTGGAGGATGGGCAGCCACTTTGGTTGATGCGCTTGGTTTGGAGCCTATTCTGGAGTCATATTGAGTGTAAAGCTCACTGACAATGCCATTAGACACTCTCTGGATTATTGGTCTTCATGATGAGTTTGAAGAAGCTGTCCAGGCTATTGCTAAGGTCAATTTTAGTCGCTGCGCCTTAGAGGAATACAGTGTCTTTGAGACAACAATCCGATACCTTGGTGGTTTGCTCTCGGCTTACGACTTGAGTGGAGAGAAATATCCATCTCTACTAACAAAGGCCATTGAGCTGGGCCAAATGCTTTATGTAGCGTTTGACACGCCCAACCGGATACCCATTACTCATCCAAATTTCATTGCTGCTGCGAAAGGTGCTGCACAGAAGCCCCAAGATTCTGCGCTGGCCGCTGAACTAGGGTCTCTGACATTGGAGTTCACCCGACTCAGCCAGCTAACCAACGACCCACGGTATTTTGATGCAGCTCAGCGCCTCATGGACATATTTGAAGAACACCAAAGTCAAACACGAATTCCTGGTCTGTGGCCAGTTGTTATCAATACAAGGAAGCTAGATTTCACCCGTTATGGTGGTTTCACGATTGGCGGTATGGCTGACTCTCTCTACGAGTACCTTCCAAAGGTGTGCATCTCTCCAGTTTCTAGTCCATTATACTACTAACCGCCCTCTAGCAACATATTCTACTAGGAGGGGCTACTAAACAATATCGACAGCTGTACCAGAATGCCATGGCAGCTATTAAACGTCACATTTTGTATCGTCCCATGACAAAAGGAGGAGAAGATATCTTACTTCCAGGCAATGTCTGGGCCGACGGTAATATCCCCCTCTCTGAGCTAAAGGCCGATGGAGAAGCACAGCACCTAGGCTGTTTTGCTGGCGGTATGGTTGCAATTGGTGCAAAGATATTCAACAACCCCGAAGAAGTAGATATAGCTCGTAAATTGGCCAATGGTTGTGTTTGGGCCTACGAGACAGCAAATCAAGGGATTATGCCAGAAATCATGCACACAGTGCCATGTGAAGATCGAGACAACTGCCCTTGGAATGAAACTAAGTGGCATGAGGCAGTCAATCGAGCTTATCCTTTTGGGAACATGCCTGCCGAACAAAAAATCCGAGCGAAAAATTTGCCTCCAGGGGTAACAAAAATTGGCGACGCTAGGTACATCCTTAGGTATGGTAGAGCAAAATATTCTGAGAAGTCCATTCATTCCATGCTTTGAAGCACGAGATATACTCCCAAGCTAACACTCCCCGACCTGTGTTTAGGCCCGAAGCAATCGAATCTGTTTTTGTCCTCTATCGTGTCACAGGCGACCCTTCGTTCCTGGAGAAAGCATGGAAGATGTTCAATGCCATCGTTGAAAACACTATTACCGACATTGCTCACGCCGCACTAGACGATTGTACCTTAGCAGACCCTCCTAAAGCCGATCGCATGGAATCCTTCTGGCTCGCGGAGACGCTAAAGTATTTTTACCTGATATTCGCTGAACCGGATGTGGTAAGCCTGGATGAATACGTATTGAATACTGAAGCCCACCCTTTGAAAAGAAGCGTATAACCCTTTCTAGAGCCCAGCCCTTATGTCTAATCAGTTTTATTCAGTTTCAAGTACATATTATGTGGCCGGTCCTCTTGACTATGGGGCTGCCTGTCTTGTTGTCTTCCGATTTTGCGAGAAAATATGTCCCTCGTGACTGATGCCTCTTTTAGAGCTTTCGATTTGACAGCCCATGTATTGCAGCAATACTAGCCAAGATGATGTAAAAATGTGTGATTGTGCTTGCCCCAATGGCGTTGAATCTAATAAGGGCTCGTCTGGAAAATCATTCAACTCCATGTTTCTAATCTTGCTCGTGGCGTACTAGCAAAACGAACCATAGGGTAACTGCGTATCGAGAAATTCGGAATGGATCCTTCAATGGGGAATAAAGGCGCTCAGGGATTTGTCAACCTAGCAAGACGGCATGCTACGACATAGCCTGATGCGCGGTCCTGGACAAAAGCATTTTGCATCCTAGTATAGTATTGGGTCCATTCTCGCGGCCTGGTTGACCCGGTCAAGCTCGGTCGGGTTAACCATTTACGAAATCTTCACCCTGAATTGGAGGTCGGAGCTTTCATATCCAACAAAGTTCTCATACATCCATAACAAGTTGACCGAGGAACCGTAGTTGTTTCCCCATTCGATCCGATATCCATTTGAGACCCGGATGCCGCGTTCAGATTCTCACCGGCAGGCACTCTGCAAAGGATACACATTTTTGCATTTTCCACCCCTGGAGTCGTAAGTTTATCAACGGTTCGTACGATATTGGCCATGACACCCGGATATTTCGCGCCCTGCGTCAGGACATATTGCGACATCAAATCTTCGATTGACATGTGCCTGTTCGACAGGTCCTCGAAATTCCGTGGATCTTGGTCGATTATCTGCTGGAGATCGCGCAGCGCGTAAGAAGCATATACCTCTAGTTCAGACTTATATAGATCCCGTAACGGAAAATTGAAATAAATGTCCCACGGGGACATCCCTTCACAAACATTCCACACGAGAGAAGACCCTCTCCCTTTAGCAACGTTTGCCAATGTCTTTGCAGCCAACCGGCTGTCCGAATCACCCCATAGAATTCCATCACATTTGTGGGATTTAGCGAACGCGACAATTAGCCGTCTTAGGAGTATTCCATCGATATCTGCGCGGGCTGTGGCTGTCGAGAATGAAGCACGGAACAGGTTTAAAATTTCTTCATCTGATCTGGATGGATTACTCCCCAAAGGAATGCCTGTATGTTGCGAAATATCACCTCTAATGTCGGGATCATAATCAAATATACTGCGGAGAGGTACTTCTGAGTATGTATTATCGGGATAAGCCTCTTTAATCTTGGCTAGTCTCCCAGATGCAGCTGCGCCTTTCGATGGATGTAATGAAACTGGATCAACAATCAAGACATGCAGATCGAAAGCAGTGCGCTTTTGCCCTGTTGTGCGCTGTTTCAGAAGCAGACTGCTGACGATATGGAGCAGTGCAAGGGAAGATACACCGTATGAGAGGGGAAGGATGAGCTTTCGCTGTCGGTCTTTGGGGGCATTTCTCAAACGATATCTTTCCATTCGGCGTAAGACCTTGGTTTGTAAGAACCTAATAAAACAGTTTCTTTGGCATAGTCAACTTCTGCTTCACGAAATGAAGTAGAGAGGTGATGGAGTGGTAGTACGTACTCGCAAAGATTTCGAGTCCGAACAGTCACACACGCAGGGGCAAACCTGCAATCGACGCAGGACATGTTTCTCACTTTTTCTATCATATCCACAGCTACTCCTGAATTCCTTAACCCCCTAGAGTGCAAAAATATGAGGGGTTCTGTTGTTCACAAATTTTTGGGATGGCTGTTTTTTTCCAGGACACGCTGCTTACGTCATGCCATGAGGCACAATCTCGGCGACAAGCCCATACTGCTCCGTGCCTGCACACGACAGCTGTCCCTTACAATAAACCTTCAGGGATAAAGCAGGATGGTGACCGCCTAGGTGACACATACTTTACTCCATTTGCATATATAATACATATCCAATGCCGTCAAACCATCGCTAATTTTCTTTTTTCATCGCCCTATTCCTCCCTCTGACGCTACCTTTCACGGGCCGACCGGATTCAGGCGGAGATAACAATGAGGTGGCAGCTCTGGGGGTTCCTGACGGCGTTGCTAGCGATCAACGGTCTCGCGAATGATGTAGAGCTAGTAAGGGAAATGAGGACCTGAGTTGAGGCTTGTCGCTAATAACTGATGCCGTAGAATCAAGATGACAGCCGCCGGCAGCAATGCTCTGGTATGTACGGTAAAAAGGCCTGGGGCGGTGACGTGGACCCCTTTATCCATGTGGCGCTGGAGAAATTACCGCCAAAAGAACCAAGTCCGTTGATGAGCTTAATAATCTTCGAGTGGAAGGATGAGGGCTTGATCGGTCGATTCGCTCCAGGTGACAAGGAAAAGGTATCGACGTCCAGTGATTCGGGTAGCTACTCGGGGAGGGTTTTCCATTAACCTGAAACAGTTCCAAAAAGAGACCATATGCGACCGTCACAATGTGGAAGCCGGACTATGCGACGAACAGTCCTTGGGAGCGTTTATCCTCGAACCCAATGCTACTTCGCGCGCGCAGTCGGCGCTAATCTCGATGGCGGTGAATTTAACGAGCGCGAAACCGATAAAGTACCCCATTAAGAAAACCGGATTTTATTGTGTTAGCACCTATGCATTTACAGGGGACGACTACAAGGGCATTGTCACGTTTAGAAATGCATACGGGGAACTCTCCGCGCCGCAGATCCCGAAATTGGCCTTTTATGGTGGTTTAACAATCCTCTACGCAGTGATTGGAATGTCAGTTACGTTGTACGAGATCGGGGAAGCGCACTTAACTGATACTTTATAGTTTCTGGGCATTTTTATATGTTCAGCATCGTCATGATATTCGTGAGTTTGCACCCATCGACCCGAGATTCTCTGCAACTAACCATAGCCTCAGTCCCGGTGCAGAATTATATCACAGCCATTCTTGTCTTCTTGGTAGTCGAGCAGCTTATGACTTGGGGGTTCTACGGTGAGTAATATTCCTACGCATATTGCCTATTGTCTGCTAACTAGGTCCCAGATTATCAAAACAGACATGGCATGAATGCGATGGCAAAGGTGCTCATGTTTATTGTGGCGGTCCTGAACGCTGGGCGCAATTCTTTCTCCTTTTTCTTACTGCTCATTGTGTGCATGGGTTATGGTGTTGTTAAGCCATCTCTCGGCCGTAAAATGATTTACGTCCGTTTCCTTGCCATCGGTCATTTCGTTTTCGGGGTTATCTACGCCGTAGCCAGCCTCTCCATTGCGCCAGAGAGCGCCGGCCCACTAGTGCTACTAGTCGTGTTGCCTCTTGCTGCCACGCTTACCGCATTTTACGTATGGACACTGAACTCCTTGAGTGCAACGATGAAAGACTTAGTCGAGAGAAAACAAAGGGTGAAAGCTATGATGTACAAGAAACTCTGGTGGTGCATCCTTGGTAGCATTATGGTTATATTCGGCTTCTTCTTTATCAACTCCTTCCTGTTTGCAAGCAAAAGGGTGGTCGACTATATCCCCGAGCATTGGAAGACAAGATGGTTCGTCTTAGACGGATGGCTCAATATTGTTTATCTATTTGACATTGCATTTATCGCATATCTCTGGAGACCTACGATGAACAATAGGCGGTTCGCCATGAGCGACGAGGTACGTGTCTATGAGTCAATCAACCGAAAACCAAGAAGCCTAATGAAATTACAGATTGCACAAGACGACGACGGTTTTGAAATTCGATCTCTTACCAGCTCTCTGGATGACGAAGAGCGCGTTGGTAGTAATGCCAATAACAGGCCCATTGGTGGTGCGCATGCGGAACATTCACCCGCGCCAGCTGCGGCAGAATCCTTGTCCCATCCCCAACAGGCTCGCCATTCAATTGATGCCGACCATTTCGCTGTCGGAGAAGAGGACAGATGGTCCGACGACGAATCACCCAGGAACTCAACCGAGAGAAAGGGCCTGATGCATAAGGATGATTAATATTCGAGTTCTCACCTGTATCCATAGTTGCTGTTTGTTTGACTACTTTGATTCTTCGGCAGAAAGAAAATGGCTTGCAGAATAGCTTGGCGTTTACTCTTGAATTAGGATGTTACATGTTACTATCGCGACATCTCCTGTGATCTCAATTCCCTTTTGAGCCTCCCAGGGCATTACATGTTTCTGTGTGTTGAAATTGATTACTATACTCCGCATATGAACAACATATAGAATGACAACAGGAAGTGCCTTAGCCGCAGAACTCGTGGACTGCCTATCCTAAAATCCTGGCTAGTTAACTAACATAATCCACCCCAAGCGAGACACCAAAATATACATACAAATCTCAACTTTTTGCTCTCTTATATCTTAACAAGTTTATGTCTCATCATTATAAAATGAAGATACTATACGGAGTACAGTTATAATAAACTTCGTATACGTTGTGTCAGTTAGTGGGGCGCCCAGCCCGGCGATCAGGCCTGCCATTGGTCCGCAATGTGCACTATGCCTGTTGTGGCATGGCTGTTGCTGCTTTGGGGATGGCGCCTGGCTTGCTGCTTTTGGCAGCATCTCACACCACTCCAATGTTGCCAGGTGATCTATATAAACCTGACCTCACTCCCTTGAATGATGACACACTTTCTCATCCTCTTTCTCTCTTGTCCTGTGTCCTGTTTCCCATGCCCAGATACACTGTCTCTGTCACCCTGCAGAGATGATGCTGTGTTATCTGACTGTCCCTCTTTTTTTATCTGTGTTCTGGAGTCACTGAACATCTGTCTGATGGACCTGGACAGTCTGTGTTGCTTTATTGATTTCTAGATCACTGTTGTCTCTCTTGTGATGTTATCTTGCTTGCTAGAGTTTTGCAGCCATGTTATGATAGTTTTCATTCTGTTGTCTGATTGGCAACTCTAGACAGCAGGCTGATATTAACTACTGTCTGCTTTTAATTTTTATCTTCTCTTATTCTTTTCTTTCATGACCTCTCTGCTCTTTCACTCTGATTCTTGAGACACCCCTGGCCCATGAGGCTCTGAGTGAAAAAGAGCTACATTCAGTATTGGAAGCTCTGAAGATGACTGACTGGCATGTATTCCAAGCCAGCATGTCAGCTGGATTCAGTATCCCAGATCTACATTCTCTGACCCACTCCAGACCCATCAAGACTGACTTTTCAGACTCCTGCTTTTGTTCTTCTAACAATGACAAAATTACTGCATTGCTTTCACTGCAGGAGCAGGATGTGCCTCTGAGCCTGCTTAGAAGAGCTGTATTAAGAAGCACAGGTAAGACATATAATCTTTAGACATTGTGATAATCAAATAAGATTAGTATAGAGCACCAAGAGTGTTTGTTTCCAGGCCACAATTTTGACAGGAATGAACATGTCAACATTCTGAAGTAAGATTCAAGAAACTAAGGGATTCTCTCTGTCACTTTTCTGGGGGTGGTGGTGAAGCAAGTGTGTTGACAGGCTGAGCACCATTATAAGAAGGCTGACTAGTGCTGTCTCAGATTTTTTGGTGTCTCTCAGATTTCCCACTACACACTCTTCTGTTGATTTGCATTCCTGACCTTCTTCCAGTTTTCTGATCATCTCTGTGTCCACTCTTCTGGAATATGCCACCTCCTGCCCCATTCAATCCTACATTTTCTGTGAATTTCAAACCATGGGCACCCCCTCATCCCAAATCCCTCAATTTACACTCTCTGGTGGCCAGCTGTTTCCTTTCCTCCAAATTTTGTCATAATTCTCCCTGCAACACTCTCTGCAACACTCCCCACAACACTCCCTGCAACACAGATCACGATTCAACCGCCGTGAAATACTACTTGGACACGGTCATCCGGTTTGACCTGCAGGCTGCGGCTCTGGAGTTCCCGTCCGACGAGGCCGTTCAGCGAGCAGCTCATGGGCTGTTGCTCGACGCGGACATCACGGCCCCGACAGAACTTCCGGACGATCTACAGGGCCATTTTGATAATGACCCAACGCTTACGGAATTGAGTGATAAAAAGGCAGAACTACTAGAAGCAATCAAAACGCTTGGATTTCCAAATATGCTCGCAGCGAAAGGAAAAACCCCATTGTACAATGAGTGGAAGAACATGAAGGCCAAACTGCAGCGCGAAAAAGAACGGCTTCGCACGGAGCTGATGAGGGTGGCAAGAGACCGCCACTTTCGCAGTGCAGGCACTGAACGAATGAACCGGTACCTGAAAGGCACCGCCGAAGTGAATCCGACTCGCCCTATACCCCCACCCTTACCTGTACTTCAGATTCCTGAACGAGAACGACTCGTAGAACTCATCCAGCAGTGGGGCGTAAGGCCTGCTGGGGATGAAGGTTCTCGGCTAGCGTGCCTCAGATTGTGGATCGGCTTGCAGCGTCGAAAGGAGCCACGGCGCCCAGGAAAACACAAAAAGCAGCACCTCGCCCAGCTTCAGGCTCCTAAACCTGGTTCTGTATCCGTCGCAGTTGCTATTGTTATACCTGCAAAACGCGCTACCCCGGTAGAAATGCATCCGTTGACTTGTCCTTTTTGCATGGCTGATGAAAGTTTACCCGATGGAGATCGGTTCAAGATTTGGGATAGGCTCAACAAGGTGTGGGATCATGTTGAGAAAAATGTGCATCGAAACGAGCTGGAGGCATATTCATCTGGTACGAAGCCATGCGGCCTCTGCAAGATGAAGGGTGCAGTGTTTGTCCCGTCCAGTACGATGGAATTCAAGAGACACATCCTGGATACCCGTAAATGGCGTTTTCGCGGGTGTCGGTTAAATGTTTAGCAAGGCAGGATCTGTAAACTTGCTAATCTGGGTTGCATGAAACACGAGCTTTTCACATCCTGGCCAGCTTACTGTTTCTATGTTCATTATGTTTCAGTAACACATGTCAGAGTAGAGTAATAATCCCAACCGCAGAGCATCGCGACAGTCCTTACAACACAGATCACAGGACTGTACGCACCCTCCTTCGATTAGTTGAGTAGATATACCAGAAGAGATATAATCCCCTTTTCAATGGCCTATATAATTTAGAGACGCCCGCTCCCTACGGTCCCTTAGCACCTCTGGATAGCAATCGTGTCAGACGTGATGCTGGAACTCCTCGGCTCTTCCATACGGTTGCACTACACTATACTATATATACATAGTATAGTGGTTGACTTCAGCGGATAAATGGGACGCACGTCACTAGGTGACCCTGATCAAGTCGGTACCTCGGACCTTCGAGTGCGGATATCTATACACCCTCCGTAGTAAATGCTACACGCCTTTGCCAAGCCGCTAAATTACTCCAAGTATCCGTACGCTAAACGTACACATCCTAGTTTGAGTGAAATGTGGTGGCTAATTGTACACTCCGGAGTGCAAACCGCGCAAACAAATCCTTAGTTATATGCTTCAAGAGGCAATCCTGAGAAGCCTCTGTTGTGGGCGTTCACGGTGCGCTAGTCCGGTTGAGCGTGGTGACCGCTGCTAATGATTGCCCAGAGGTGGCTCTTGCGGTGAGCCTGGAGGGACAACGTGTCGGTAACCATGGCTTTGAGGCGGTAGTTAAGTGAGCAATTGAGCGCGAACTGAAGGGGATGCCTGTAGTGCGTTGAACGTAGTTGCCGGACACCACTTATTTCGCCCGGGTACTGCATCCCCCCAATATTAGGACTATAGCTTATCGCTTCAGATCAGATCAAGCCGCCATGGAAGGCGTTGAAGCTTTGCTGATTTCCGAAAGCGGTAATTATCTTTACCAGCAAGCAGATTCCCAAGCGGAATTCTGGCTGAAGCTCCATGTTATGGAAGGTTACTCGTGAGTTCTATTTGAGTATTTGAACTATATATCTATCTTGTCAAATCGGCTGTGGTTCAGCGCCCGTGATAAGAACAGCTCCAAGGCGATTTTACTATACGTCGATGATATAGGCTTTGCAGGGGACCCAGCTGCCGTTGACGCAGTTGATTCTCAATCCCATGATCGGTTCAAACTTCGCGATTTAAGTCCCCGAACTCAACCTCTTTGAGGCATCCTGATCGAATGAAAAATATCAGATGAGATCGCTCTACGCGCACCCAACTAAGCTGCTACACGAGCTGCATGAGCTGCACAAGCCCCATACGAAGGATTTTGTACGAAACAAGAAGAACATCAGATTAGAAAAACGTCCGCCCAAACAGCCTACTACCGCATATATCCATGATCTACATCTATGGAGACAACCAGGGAGCTATCCACTCAGCAAACGCCCCTCGCGACGCCGCATCATCCAGACGATTGAAGCATATCGATATTCGGTTTCATATTATAAGGGAAGCGATCGCAGGCAGCAAGGTTCGATTGGAATACGTCCGCACCGGGGAAATGACGGCGGATATCCTCACAAGCACTACTATTCGAAGGTTTCATTTGTTAGTAAGAGCCACGAGACTCGGGGTTTAGGATGGCACCTATCTGCCCGAACAACTCCCGCGTCACCTTCATTCACCATGGCCAAATCACGGACTGGTAGCAGTAATTCTGTGAACTCCCCAAACAAACCAGTCTCGGCAAGCTCTGCACCGCATCACCAGGGCCCGGAACTCAAGAAAGCTCAGTCAAAACATTCGTTGTGGCCCTCCAAGCTGACCCTTCGCCCCTCACGCTACAAGATCTTCAACCCCGATGTCATGAGCCCGTGGCGTGGGAATGCCTTTGCACAAATGAGCAGTCTATCCACAGCTTCTACAGCTCCCCTCGATCCTTCAGCCCACGCACAAGAGCCAGAACGCTGTGCTAGTGAGCCTCGGTCGGTGCCCTCCCTATGAATTGACACCATGGCAACCGCTACAGAAGCTGCAGAAAACGCGTCAAAGAATCTGAACCTCGAGGACAACGAAAAGGAGGACAAAGTGAGCATCCACAATGGTGAAATCAGTCCCAAGACAACACCAATGCGTCGAGACGATGCTACAACCACTGTTATGGCTCATCCATCCAACAATACTACGCGCAACCATCCTGGTGAGCCTCCCAAAATGCCGTTGCCACAACAGCCGCTCCACCGTGATGCCCCCTCAGCTTCACCAGATAAGACACCCAAAGCAAAGGGAGAGGAGGAGACAAAGCACCAGGCAAGTGCTCCAGACACTCCAACCATGAGCAGAAGGGCTTCGAGCAGATCCGAACTCCAGGAACTCCGGCTGGCTCAATGAGAGCAAAGAAATCTGGAACCCCAAGTTTCAGGGACTCTCAATCGTCGCTCTAATCGCGTCAAAGCAAAGCCGCCGTGGCACGCACCTCTTTGGACACGGTCGACATCAACGCGCCCAGTCACCCCGTCTCTCCCCTCCTCAGATGACGAAAAGGGAGTCTACGCCTATTGCGGCGGTGCTTCGCGCTCTGGAAATTCCGAACGACGCAACCGACGCGACACCCAAAGCACAGACGCGTACGCCGCCTCTCCAATCAATTACCGCAAAAATGAGAGGGACGGTCATCAGGCGAACGAGCATCACCACTACCACCACCATCGGCAGTACCTCTCGTCGCGCCCCTCGACCCGTGGCTCACTCGAGCAGTGCAGAAACATTAACTCGACGTCACCTGGCCTGTCCACCAATTCGTCCCGCACCGAGGCTGCTTTGGTTCAGCAACTCCAGGACAAGATTGTTTTTCTTGAACGACAGAACAAGATGCTCCACGCTGCCCTGTCTGCGGTCCTTGAGATGGGGGGTACGTATGATGTGGGACTTTCCCGCAACGCCACCTTTGCTCACCCGAGTACGATGGATGGCGCCAGTGGAGATATGTTTTCGTTGAATGGCTATTAGGTTTCGTACAAGATGTACGGTATGAGTTCTCTGCGTCAGTTCGAACTTGTTGGAGTACCTATAGGGGGTGGATGTTGAAACTAGCACGGACAGATTTGATGACATTGGCTGAGGAGTCTCAAGAAACAATACTTCGACGTGTATGTCCTGTACAGGTTCGATACTAGCCAGACTCAGGTACTAAGAAAACAAACAAAGCATGAATAAATTAGTAACCATGAAAGGAACAAAACGACCCAGCAGCTGCTCCGTACTATCTGTTCAACAGCTAGCCCTTAACAGTGTCTCTTATTAGGTGCAAAGACTTGGAGTAAGTACGGAATAAGTAGCAGAAACAATCGAGCCCCGTTGCAAGTACTTCCTATCCTGTCCGTCGTTCAGGGGCTATTTCTACGGGGAACGCACGGGAGTAGCAACTTATCTGCAAGCCTTAACATCCGAGTTGGGTCGTCATCGCAAGCAGGATTGGCCCAAGCTCTCTGATATGGGACTGTTTCCACACTCTCCAAGGTCCACAGAGAAACATTTTCATGAAAGGTGGGTTCGAGGTGTAGCTGGGTTCGCGTAAGTAACGAATATATTCCGAGTCGTACTCGGCGACGATCAAGTAGATTTCGTCTCGATCCTGAGAGATCAGAAAGCGCCTGTAAACAGTCCTATAGTGCAAATCTAATTAGAACATTTACCCTGTATAGAAGGCGCACACAGAGCGGCTTACTCAGGACCAATTCGAAATTGTTGGTGCTCGTCTGGCTCCGTGAATATCCAAGCCACCATCTGAGCGGTCTCTTGCATGGAAACTTCTGGAATCCAGGCACGAGGTTTCCTCTTCACCTCCACAATGATTTTGGAGGCGAGAGGCTCCGCGCCAGTGAATAAATGACCGTCGGTTCGGGCCTCGTATAACGTAGTGTCGCCTTCTCCGAATTTGAATGCTTTGCGTTGAAGAGACCAATGCGCCTGAATGCCAGGGACCGAAAAGGTCAGGACGTTTAGCAAACCGATCAAGGCCGTATTCACGATTTGTTCGTCACCGAGACGGTTGAATTTGGGTAACTCTTCATAGTTTGGATCCGTGTCTGAATCTGTCTCTGTATCTCCTGGATTCGACCCCGCGGGCTCGATAGACATAGTCAACAGCTCGTCGTCAAAGGATGATTCCTGCATGCTGGTATCCGGGTCTGACGGTGGTCCTAGTTCACCACGGCCGGGTGGGCAGGGCGATTGTGCATAAAGGGCACGTAGTTCGCGGTCTCTTTTCTCCTGCAGCTTCCCCCTTGTCCTGCCGGCGATTGGGGAAAAAGCAAGTTTCGGTTCGTCCTCCTCGTCAACGTTCTGTTGCAAGTTTAGAACTACCTGGATATAATACCAAACAAAACTCCAACTTCCCAGGTTGGGAACAGGGAGCAGTTCCTTTGCCGGGAGGATCTCTTTTAAAAAGGTTTCCTACAACTGTGTATGCAGTTTTTGTTCAGCCTTATCCACGTCCTTAATTCCCCAAACCTCTGGATCAAAATCCTCTCTGCGAACATCGATCCAAATGGCATGGAGAGCTAAAAACTGCTTCAACTCGATTTTGGAGGCGGAGTTGTAGGTTCCAACCTCGTAAATGCTCAACCCGGAGGGATATTGGGATAGTTCTTTAAGCCGAAAATCCTCTGCGTCTTCGATGCTTCGTTGAATGTCTGTAGGCCTTTGTGGTTGACGGGCTGCCATATTGATCACAGTGGGCAGAATGGAGGGAAGGACAGGAAAGGTATAATAAAAGCAGTCAGTCAAGAGATTTCAAATCAAAAGATAAGGACGTTTAAGCTGTTCCTGCACGAATAAGAAGGGGGCATGAGACGAAAGGTATAATTAGAGCAGTCAGTCGAGGGATTTCGAATCAATGGATCAGGATGCTTGAGTTCAAGTGTTTGCACGAACAAGAGGGGGGCATTGAGCTCTTTAGATAACTCTTCTCAAACCATGCTGGGGCAGCACATCGCCCCTGTCGTAATTTGGCGTCTAGATGCCGCATCGCATTGGTAGACGGCATAGTTATTTTTGCTATCTGGTCCCTTCTGCTTCATCCCCGGGCACACGGCAGACGAAAGGTAGTCAACCGCCAGGCAGCAACAGAAGACAAGATTCGGGGAGATGCGCTGTGCGGATTGACTGCTGAGGGCTCGCGCTGTATGCACATACAGTACCCTTGCGTCAACCAAGCGAACCAATTGTCACTGTAACTGTATCTGAATCCATAGCCAACAGTCAATCCATTGGCAAAGGAAATAGGAACTCCCGTGTACGCAGTAAGCGCCCATATTAGCATGGAATCCTTCAAACTACACGGAACCTATGGACGGAGCGGTGTCGGCAGCGCAGCGTGCATTAAGCCTAAGTTATCGAATCCGCTGCTGCTCCAAGTTGCCTTTGTGCGAGTGGTGCACACGCTGGCATCGCCCCCACGGTCCTCGCTGTGCCGTAATTAGCCCCTCTAGTTCAAGTTAGTGGTTATGGCTACTGTAACCGTAGTTAGGCGCCGTCAAGGAAGACCACGTACTGTAGTTAGGTGTCAGGATTTCGTTGCCCTCTTTTTGGGTGCGGCGCAGCGGCAAAGCGCGTAGAGAGGGCACAGGCCATCTTTTGATAAGAGCCAATACTTCGCGAACCAAGCACCCTGCTTCCGGCTTTAATGCAGTGGGAGTTCACAAACTGGCTCCCAATGATGTGCCCCAAGGAGGTGGAAGGTACTGTGCCTAGCCGCCGGGCAACGATTGGCCCAGGCGTACTCCGTACTGTGATCTAGGACAAAGAGCCCGGGTAGTTCAGCATATCAGCTCTCAAGATACCTCCTCCCTGGCACATCAAGGGGGGAGCTTACCGTGCAAGGGTTTGCAACGGCGGGTAATACACAGTATTGTTGTTCACCAGACTCGTCAAGTCAGTTCATCTGAAAGCCAGCTCCTCATTGTGGTTTCTTGGCTGTTGCCTCAAGCACAGGTTAAATAGACACAACAACCCGTCCAAAACCAAACTCTTAGGTTCAACAATCGCCTCTTCCTCTTCTCCAAGACAACTTCACTTTGATAAATTAGTACGTCAAACTCTCGGACGTCGTTTCTTGCTCTTAATCGCTCCGTCGCTCGTTGCTCCGGCTTCTTCCAACCCAATATGGCGCGAAAAGAAGCAAAGCCTAAGATCACTCACCCCGAGGCCATTGAAAAGAAAAAGGTTATGGTCAAGCACCTAAGATCGATGTACGAGACAGTCAATACGTTCAAGCGCTCCATCCCAAATAGCTACCTTGAAAAACTGGGAATCAAATTGCTACCCTTGGACCTCAAGCGACCGTCCGGTAGCATCAACTACTATCGACCGCTCCCAAAAAGCGAGTATAACTCTAGGTCATTTGGCTCCTTCCATCCATTTGCGAACAGTGACAATAAGGACGAGGAAGATAGGTCGGACAGTAACGACGCCGTGCTGGCCAAGCTTTCGAATCTTTCAACCATTGTGGGAATGCTGTGGCGCGATGATCACAGTCACACGCAATGGCAGCGAGATTAGTGAGTCTCTTGACCTTGCGCATTTCATCCAAGTCTGCTGTCGCTTTAACATTGCGATCATTTAACCAACCCCTGTCTGAACAGCGTCATCCAATGCTACCGAGAAAAACCACGCCTCAGCCTGACTGAGTATGCTAAACTGGACGGAGCAGAATACACCTGGATCACAACCAATCGGATCCAAACAGCTTCCGAGATGTATCCGCACTGCAAATGTGTAGTCATACAGGATGTAGAGCCCGACGAGGAGCTGAAACGAAGTGAAATTCTCCCAATCCTTGTTATCATGCGTTGGAGAATGAGTCTGTATTACTACCAGCAACATGAAGTCTTTCCGGTGGGTTGACCCCATTCTTAATTCTCTTTTCCCTGATGTGAGACTTCTCCACGGCTTCCGTGCTGACCTATCTATGATTCGCATAGGTTGAAGTCCTGTCCGTCTATGGTGGGCAGGCTCGCATCCTTATAGGCTACTTTGACGGAAAACACCTCTGCATTCAAAAAAGTCCGATTTACGACATCGGGAGCGAGGGCCTTCAGAATTGGATACTGCTCATGAAGTGGTGGTTCAGTGATGCTGCAGGGGATACTACCCGCCTTCCATCCCCTCAAGATATCAAAGACTCGCGAAACCTTGCTGTGCGTCCCGCTCCTGCGCGTCAGGTAAGGAGTGGGCGGTGAATTCTGGCCCTGAGTTGAATGCTGGTTTTATTATTCTTTTTGAACCTGTTGTTTTGTTTTCTGTTCTATGACTATATCTTTAGTCATTCTTTTGTATGTTAGGTAAATCCAGCTGATAAAGTGCAGCAGGTAGTCTTCATAGTCCCAGACTGCACAAAACTATAATGAATAATAATAATAATTTCTCCATGATCATCATCACTTTGAGCGTTGGCGCTGCCCTTTGGGGCTCTGCCTGATTCATTTCAGGCGCTCGAGCCGTTGATTATTGGAACAAGAATCTTGGCCGTGCTGTTGATTAAGAGAAGGATGCAAGCTATTTGACAGCTTGGTGACGCGAAGGACAGCGTCAACACCGTTAAGTGAGCTCGGTGTCCAAGGAAAATGCCAAAATGGTAGGATAGGATAATTCTCCCGCTCTCTTACAAGTCAGCCTGTTTCTAACTGTTGTTAGATTTACCTAGAGCGCTCCGGGGCGCGGGGCATCAGAAAACACCTGCACTTAATGCCATGATCCGTTTTATCTACGGACATTGTCTGCTGTTCTGGTTGAAACGTCAGGCGTACTCGAACCAGCTCAGATAGTCGAATTCATAGGCCATGAAGTGAAAGTCCGAAAGTTACTTCGCCGCGGTGCGGGTGGTGGTGTGTCGCGAGGGGCTCTTCAAGCGGACCTACACGTCCGATGGGGCTTCGATAAATGCACAAAAGCAATGGATACCTGCCGACTTAACTTCATGGCAGCGGTTGGAGAGACCACTTTCTTACGACACACGGCGGGTTGGAAGAGCAAGTCAGACTTACCGCAAATAATTGCAAGGCGATGGTAGTCTATACGAGTGTGTACCCGCGAAATATAAATTTGGGACGAACAGGTGACGGCATGTTAGGAAGTGGGTGGTTTGACGAACCGCCCACTACCGACAGATTCGCTAAACCGAACCGTTGCTTCTTTCGTCGGTTCAGACCATACTGCAGTTGATTTTATCAACCTCTCGCACACTTCGTATCCACCAATACTCAACGATTGCGCGGTGCTGGAGGGAGCCATTCTAGAGATCGCTGAGGCCAGCCTGAGGGCTTGCTCTGGGTGTCACTTAGGGAGTCGCTCCGGGGGTCGGTTAAAGCATTGCCACTCCGGGGTAGAATGGTTCTGCAGACCGCAGACTTCGCTCTGGAGGCCACTGTCTGGGGGCTTAGTTAGGGATCGTTCCTGGGGTCATAGAGGGAGTGACGTTTGCTCTGTTTGCTTTACCATCGTCTTTCTCGGTAATTCGAACTCAGTGAAACGGGTGCGTCCAATTTATCATCTGATTATTTAACTGTGTACTGTACTCCGTACTTCAATTCATTCACAGTACCCAACCTTGCTGCTGATGGCCATACTGTGTAAGAATTCCATATCCAGAATCTACTGTATATGTACTGCACATACAGTACACCACATACAGCACAAGACAGTACGAAGGTGTCGACCAGAAGTAATGCTCCCAAGCAAAATGCTGTTATCATGTTTTAGTACTGTATTGTACAGTACAAGCTTTATCATTGCTTATATAGGACCAAACGGGAAAATGGGGTGCCAATGATAGGTACGCTTTAATTAGGCCGGGAGCTCCGCCAAATCGTCGTTGATGATATTACTTACTAGTGTCTGTGAAGTCCCCATTGCAACGCCTCTCATTGGCATTCGTGTTGTAATAATAGTGATGGTGGATGTGAATGGCAATCACTTTGCTCCACGACGAAATCGTCTCTGTACATCCTCTCCGAGAGCAGACGCCAGCCTCCACGTGCTTTCCGGGAGCGATGGGATGTCGAGCATGGAATTTTGACGATCGTGCCTTGCCACACCGGGAGCATCGATGTTGGCTGACAGCCCGACCTGCCTCGTGATCTCTTTCTTCAGCGGCAAGGGCGCGAACCCTGCTAGTGTTAGTAATGGCGGATGCCGAGGTCGCTGCAGCTCACATTTTGCGCATCAATTTCGAAATGGCGAGGCTGTTACCACCCATGGTGATTTACCGGATGGGAAACCAATTGTTGGAAGCATTGAAATGAACCACAGCAACCGAGTTTATATACTGTTTCAATCCGCTCTGTAACGTGAGCAGTGTGCTACAGTATGTTTTTCTGGTCGTCTCACCGCGGACGTGCTTCTCTGCAATCGAGCCTCTGAAATCCGTTAAATTTACGCCTAATTACTAGAATGCCACGACTCCGCTGGGAATACTCACAATGCCTACGCCCGTCAAAAGCGTTAACGTGCCCGTCGAGAATGAGTGTGCAGGAATGGCCCTCGAAAAGGGATGGTCACGCAGGGCTTCATGGACTGTGTCTTTGAGAAACAACAAGAGAACACAAGTTCGAGACGTCCGTCTCCCGTAGAGTAGACTCACGCTTTCTACTGTGTTTACCCGCCGAGCTGACCGGTAGACCTCACTGTTTACTCTGTATTTTTGCGTAGTACTACTCCTAGGCCTCCTCTATTACATCCACATAGACGATATTGTTAAAAAAAAACACGCGATAAATCCATTATTTTCTCGAGAACTTCCCGGAGCGCCATGGTGTGGTGATGCCAAGACCACCTCCCAAAAATCGGAACTAATTTTGTCACAACTAATTGACTGGTGGGCAACCTGCATGATTTCCCGAACAACTAGCTTTTCTGGGGCTTGGCATTAATGAGTCTAAAAAGGCTTAAATCAACGACATCCAACATGGATGAACACCCGAATCAGGGATCCCATCCGCTCAAGCGATTTTTGAAAAATATGCCATCAAATGGCCCTGGGGGCGGAGTGCTTTATCCGAGTCAAGCGGGGAGCATTAGTTACCCAGTCACTTGGGTCTGTCTATGTTTTGCTGGACTCCTGACGTGTTCGATATCACCGAGAAATACGCTGCCTTCATGTAAGAATGAAGAAATTGCCCTTCACGATACCATCGACTCATCTAATGTTGGCAGCGTTGGGCCATGGTGCATGGCGCAACGGTTCTTGTCTTGCGCTACCCACGCAGTCAAATCTGCCATTCGATAATTTTAATTTTTTCCTTGTGACCTCTTCTAGTAACCGGCTCAGCTCAGTGTCGGAGGTGTCGGAGGTGTTGGAGGTGTTGGTGTTGATGGTTAAAATATTCACGCTAAGCCTAATTGGGACTTACCAATGTGGACATGCTACACCATGTCGTCCAAGCCTCGATATATTATTCGGCTGATTGCCCCATATATCCAAGCACTCTGTATGGAACTCAACGTGACAAACCCGGCAAGCGGGGCGACTCCCTGCAGCTTGCTGTTGACAAATGAGGCACAACCCTGGCGACGGGGATCGTCTTTGGTTTGCTGTTATAGCTGGATCGACCATTGGGACCGTAGGGGAATTGGCAGGCAAGTCGGCAGACAAGTCGGCAGGCATGTTTGCAGGCGGATTGGCAGGCGGATTGGCAGAGTTAATCTGAATAGGAGGCGCGTCCCACTCTGGAATTCCAGCAAGTTCGAGCCAGTCCGTAAGAATTCTGCAAGATTCGCGGTACTGGATCGTATCTCCCTGGCGGGCATTTCGATATATCGAATCGTATAGGTCTGTGAGAGGACTTGGGTCAAAATGGTCTAGAAACAAATGACAACTATTTTCTCTATTTTTGTGCTTAATCGCTTGGACCAGAATTTGGCTCTCGACAATCCAACTTCGACGAAGCTTGTTGCTTTTCTCTTTCACCATGAAACAGAGAATCCCAATAAGGCTTCAAGTGAGGCTTAACTTTTATATTCTTTTATCATATAGTACTCAATATTGTAGTATATACTCGATCTTCAAACACCGAAATGGATATAAGGAACCCATAAGAAGTTTCCCAGTACTTTCATATCTGGTAGTTTGGCATCTCTTGCTTTTTCTCCTCTTGTGATCCCGTCGTCTCGCAGCTTTCGAATGGCTTGGTGGAGTCCTCGACATACTGTGCTCTCTGTCATCCCTTCAACGTGGATCGCCTCATACAGATATTCTGCCGCACCGACGCAGTGATGTCTGACACTTCCCAGAGTGTTCCAACGACGTGGCGGAAACCTGCAGGCTGGAATGCGCTCACGAGATGAATTCCCTCATCAACAAGCGTGTACACCTCATTCGCCCCTGTCGAACAAGGCGAGAGATAGGCAAGAAACGGAGGATTCTTCTGGAGATTAAGGTCACGAAGGTCTCCGACTCTCAACGGCTTGCTTTCCCAATCCTCCAAAAGCAGACAGCTTCGTGAAGGCTCTGTGGGATGTGAAAGCCCGTGGCCGGCAAAGTGGAATATCTGACACTGCCGCAGGCAGTCCAGAACATCGGCCTTACACAGGCTTGGTGAGATTGGCTTCAGTCCAAGCTCTGGGCAGAACTTTTTCAGATTCTCGACTTCAACTGCTGCATATGGAAGCGTTTGGCTGGCAGCCAGGCCCGGTGTTTCCTGCATGGCGACCAAGACGCCATGGTCGCTTTGAGATTGTGTCGAGCGGTGGCGTCGGTGACCATATATTAATGCCTTGATGGACGAGGCATACGACGACATAGTCCTGTCAAGCACTGTCTCAGATGACCCGTCCATGTGGCGTCCCGCAGCATGGAGTGGCAGATGGCTGAGGGGCCCAGTAGGAATCCACCAGACTCGGGGAAAATCGTCCTTTGGGGCATTTGCGAAGCCCAGTGCCTCTAGGCTCGGGCGAGAGACAACGTTCCACAGCCATTCTAGCAGTTTGGATATGTGTAAAGGTTCCGCTAGACGAGAAGATCGAAGTTTGTCAACTCATTCTTGCACATCTTCTAGATTCAGATCAGGTAGCTCCAAGGCCCTGATCTGGTCACGCTCAACGAGGAACGAATCACAGCGATGAGCGCTCATATTGATGACGATAATCGGATCTGGCTTAGCAGCCGCCATCATCCCCTCTGCACTAGGTGGAAGTAGAAAGTTACAGAATTTGGGTTGAGTACGAATCTCTTTGATTAGCTCTTCAAACCTCTGGTCTGCTTCGTAGCGTCGCTTCACCCGTGAATCAATCGAGGCTCTACCATTGGTAAGGGCCGAAGAGATCATCTCATCTACTGGCGAGTCGAGCTCTTCACGAAGATGTATAAATTCGTCTGCGAGATGAGGGTACTGCTCTTTTAAGTCCGTGATATCTCCACGCATCTCCATCAGCAGGCCAGCGATGATGTCGCGACCCAACTCGAGAAGCCGTAAAGCTTGGGAGGCAGATTTCCCAGCTTTCAGAGCAGCGGCGGCAGCTGCAGAGGCCAGACCCGTGAATTGTGCGAGCATATGCTGCTTGTCAGTATGTTCAAGTGAGCGGACGCTCACAAACGGAAGAAGTTCCACAGCACCCTGAAGTAACACACTTGAGTCTTCCCAATTCAACTGGGTGGTAAGAATAATGGCTGCGAACTGAGCCGAGGAAATACGTATAGATGGAGCGGAACTGCAGCAAGCCCAGCTTTTCTTGAAATATGAGAGGGCACGGTTGAGATCATCCATTGACCCAGTCCGCATAAATCGTCTCCCGAGCAGCTTTCTGAGGCTATTTAAGTAAATAGCTCGATTAGGGTGGGTCCTGCGGAGTAGCTTTGACTGCCATGTCGGCGACATCAACAGCACGGTTGAGATCCTCCATCGACCCAGTCCGCTCAAATCGTCTGCCGAGCTGCTTTCCAAGGCTACTTAGGTGACCAGCTCGATCAGGGTCGGTTGGCCCGTCAGGAACCTCTGACAACCGGGAGACGGTAAGTCAAGCATCAGGTAACACGGGGACTAGCGTGGCTTCGAATACTCGAAAGGGCAAAGGCAGAGCTGTTAATAAGAACTAGCTAGAAGAAAATATTTACCTGCATTCGCAATAGGATAGTTTGGAATTGAAGCGGGATCGAGGTCCCTTTTATTGACTCCGATTCGGGCACTAATCAGACATGAAACCGTCATAAAACGACTGGCGTCTCTAACAGATTGACCGTCCCAGCATGGAGTACTCCGTACATCTTATTCCTTTCTTCACCAGGAGGCTCGTACTTTATGTCATCGGGCCAAGACGTTCCAGTCGACTTCACTCGACCAAGCTCCAACGCACCTTTTCAATTCACTTTTCCCTTGGAATTGCGGTTCAAAGTGAAATGATTCCATAGGCAGGAGTGAGCTTCAGGCAACAACGAGAGTGAAAATCTCGTACTTTCCTATTCAGGCAAGGCCTAGGCGAGCTGCCCTGGTCTATAAAAACCCCAAAGATTCCTCCACTCAACCTACAATCTTTCATCATCCAGCCACCATGATGGCTATGGATAAGACTCATAACTCACCCGCAAAGGGAAAATCTAGGTAGGCCATGAACCTTGCCCCATCCAGATACGAAAGACTAGTTCAGAAGCAGCCAATCATATATATAACTAATAATAAGGCGCCATAATGATACCGCAATATTAGCGGCTCGCGCGCTTTTTAAATCAATATCAATTCTCATACCCATATGCAACCACCTGGGCGAAAAACATTACTATCGACGATACCACCAATAAGGGATCCGATCCACTGGGTTTCGGCCAGAGGCAAAACATACAGAAAGGTTAAATCCGATGAGGAAAACGACGGCACCTTTCTCCGCATATGTGAGGTACTACAACATGGTAAGGATGGTGTGTTCTATCGGGGACCTCGGCTTCACGACTGGAGCACGTGGACAATCTTGTTCCCGTCCGGATCAACGAACTGTGCTGGACGATAGACCTGTCAGGTAAGTCGGTTGATCAGTCTCCCATCCGGCATTAAAAACATGCTGACTAGCTTTCGCAGTCTGGAGATCGAGCTATTTTCGAAGTAGCGAGTACCGACAACAAGGCTACCTTCACTGTCGCCTTAAGTACATCCAAGTGTGGAAAAGAAACCTATGAAAGCCACGGGTCATTGAAGAAGCAGTTGTCTTTCTCCAGAAAGAGGAATGCGACCCAGGCCATGCGGGTGGTTCATCAACGCTTCTCTATAGCCCAAACCCAAGCGCCAATAGACCTTTGGAGATGGATTCTGCGATGCCATGGGTTATCTTGCAAGCTCCCTCCAGGCGGGTCCGTTTGTCGACTGGCGATTCGACAATGAAGACATATCCGCTGAGCTTTACCGCAACAATCGGCGAAACATTGCAGAAATATATCCGAGTGTGGAACAAGACTTTGCGGAAACTCCGAGCTGTCGAGCAAGCAGTTATCTTCTTGCACCAACAAGAGTGCGATCCGGGATTTGCCAATGACCGACAACGCTTGGTCAGTCTTGAAGGGGGCCGACCCGACCTGGTGGTAGCCATACTGCGGCATTTGTCGAACTTGCCGGTGGCGACGAAAGTAGGTCGCAATATATTTTTGGAGATAGATTCTGCGGTGCTGAAGGTGTCTGGCGAGGGACGCTTCAAGCCGGATTACATATTCGTTGCGGGTTTGACAAGTGCCCCAAGGCAATGGAGACGTACCGGCTGAACTTCACTTCAGCAGTCGGGGAGACATGCGAAGTGGCACACTTCCTCACCAACGACTCCGAGGATATCATTGTTGATATCTTGCACTTCTCTCCTCCTTGTCAGACGTTCTCTTCCGCTAAGACAATTGCTGCGGCCACTGACAGCGCCAACGAGGCCTGTATTTTTTCATCCCGCGAGCTCCTACTTAAGATTAAACCGCGAGTAGCCACTATGGAAGAGACGTCCGGCCTTCAAGAGAGGCACAAGGAGTTCCTCTATGCGACGATTCACACCTTCGTCGACCTCGGATACTCTATCCGATGGAAGTTCTCGGAGGCGATCCAATAATCATTCAAATATACGAGCAAGCTCCAGACCATAATCCCGATCGCACTTATTCCCGCAACATTGTCAAGCAGACTTTTTCTCCGCACTCCTTTGCAAAGACCATCACTTGCAATGATGGCGACAACTTCCATCCTAATGGTACCAGAGCCTACACACATCGAGAGGCGGCGTGCTTGCAAACAGTCCCCATGGAGCATCACTTCTGCGGCGTTAGTGTGCTGAAGCAGACTGGGAATGCCGTGCCACCAATGCTCGCAAAGGCTATCTTCATGGAGATTACGAGATCCCTGGGCAAACATATTCAATGGTTCCATATGAAGATATCATCATGATTGACGATAGCGCCAGTCTCTTTCGGACCGATGAGGCAATTGATGGAAGATTCCATGACGGACGAGGAATTCGAAGATTACATGAAGAGCTTATCAGCTAACGCACCAATTGCCATTCAGATCTCCGACTCCTATCCCTGTACCTGTACCGAGTACGTATCCAATACATATCAATCCTCGACCTATCGAACCTTGCGACAATATCCATAGGGAATGGCCTTCGGGGAGATCAGTTTCTGTTCGACACCGGGAAAAGATCAGTTTCTCGAAACAGACGACATCGCGGAACACTTTGGTGCCACAGCAGCGACTGGGTCCCTGTCGGTCGGAGCCTTCAAGACTCCGACTGCTCAGACAAACAAGGCCGCTACCGGCAACGCCTCCCAAAAGTCGGCAAGGAGACTTGGCCTCTTCTCTGCCTTCGACAAGCATTTTCCAAAAGAGGAAGCCGACAAGACTTCATCGGCGAACGATCAGGGCGAAAAATTCGAAAACAAAGATACGTTTCTTGATGAGAATTAGGAAAGCGGATAGAATGGCGGAGGAATTTAATGATCGCCTTAGTAGTCCGTAATAGCTCCCAAATTGAAAAGAGACCCCACAATACGTGACTGAAAGTCCGCTACTGGTCCTAATATACGGAGTACATATCCTCCACCCGATGGATCGATCTGCATCGGAAAAACAAAACCCGAAACTAACTTGAAAACGCACAATAATGTCGATGTCAAAGTCTTATTATTAGAGCAAAGCCGCCCGCGCAGCGGGCGCCACAAGGTCTAGTAAGATCTATCAGAAGCCACGTGAGCTAGCTTAAAAGCTTAAGTAAGGCATTTTCTGACGGACGAGGGAAGAAGACAAAACACTCAAGTTATCTTCATCAAAGTGCTCGCTATTTATAAGCATTGTTCTGCCAAAGGGTTGCACCGAAACATCTTAAAGAATTCTTTGGGTCTAATATTTTCTTGTTTGAAAGATCTGAGTGTGCATAGGATGTGGCTGCAGGAGCTTCTCTTATTTGACCATGTTATGGGTTCCTCTAACAAGAATTCATATGATGTTGCTTTCCGTGATAATCTTCCTCTGCGTTTCTACAGGATGGGGATAAGCATGCCACTATGGAGGTCTTTCTATTCTCTGACATTATCTAGCTACCCAGGATGCTCAGGCAGTATACTACAAGTTGAATCATCAAGTATCAATCCGCAATCCAGCTTCCCGGAATCAGCCAAATTCACAGCAATTAACTAATCTACTTCATCTAATACTATTGTAAATGTAGATACTTAACAGAGTTTTAGGTAATTACCATGTATTTAGCGATCATTAGTACCTCAGACATCACACGGCACCACACTTCCTAGCTCGTATTCTCCTTGAAAATTAGACCGCGCGCTAGAGCACGAAATCCCATAGATAGAAAACACAATGCCTTCCTTTCACCTTGGACTGACCCGTCGGCCGAGGCGGGTTGACTTCCGTGACCGCCCTCTTCCGTCGGCGGTTTGGCGGGGACAGATATACTGGGCTTACAGTATATGAGATAGTGGCATCACGCATCTGTGGCCTGCGACGTCAGACAACACTACGCTTAGCTTCTTTTACCTCTTTACTGAGGCCTAGCGACTATCGGAACAGACGGACCGTGACAGGCCCTTAGAGTTTCAAAAAGATTGACCATTGCATGGCAGATTGAGACAAGTTGGAAGAACGCGGAGATCAAAGCAAGGAGAAAGGGAGAGATGGTTAAAAAGATCATCATTGAAGCTAATCAATGAAACCTAGGGGTAGAGCTTTGATGAGAAGGAAAAATTGGCAATGCTTCTAGTTCTAAAGAGTTCAAAGAGATGGTAAAAACAAAGAATCTATTCCTTACCATTGAATGAGGTTGGGATTTTCTAGAAGGCAGAATTGAAACCGCTGGAAACTTCTTCAAACCCCTTGACTTTCCTTCACCAACAAAGACTAAAGAAGATAGGTAGATATTACACTGCTTGCAGTTAGGGATATAACATGCATGCAGATGCCATGGAGAGGGATTCCTCAGACCACAAACATTGTGCTTTGACCCATACACTCCGTCGGCCTATCGCAGTATACGGATTCGAAACGAAGAGACGAGTGCCTCATAAAAATGGCATCGGATACCGTTTTCGAACACCCTCCAGATAGCGACAAGGCAAGTAACCTGTTTCCAAACTTGGGATAGTGATAATCATGCCAAGGGCCTTCTCTTTATCTAATAGTCAGTAGTATCATGGCATCCTGTATAAAAGAGTGCATCTGCCCCAGAGCGGAAACAATCCTCTCGACTGGCTATTGCAAAACACAACGCACGACTTTCACGTCCAGCACTCTAAAAAACGACTTGGTAACAGAGAGGGCTTCGCTCTGTTGGATACACAGGAAGAAAACATGGAAAAAGTACTGCGCGAACTGTTGGAAATTAGAGGCCAAATCGAAACGCTCCAGACACAGAACGCAACGCTCGAGAAGAAAAATACGGTGCTTGAAAAGGATACTGCAGCACTCCAAAATGATGTAAGAAGCAAGCATTGATTGTAAAAAGAGCAAGTCTAACTGACCTGATTAGCTTTCAACGTCTAGAAAGGTTCATATCGGGGTACGCCATGGGGTTCTGGAGGAGAGGCGAATTTCCAACCGGGCGGGAGTCCGCAAGGACAGAGAAACCACGAGTATTCGAAACGAGATCGCAGACGGTGGTGATATCATTGGCGATATCAAGACGATCCAGTATGCCCAAGAGCAGCAGCTGCCGTATGTTGCTGAATATAAGGAAGACTTTCAAAAGGTTTATAGAGTATCGTTTGACGAAGCCTTGACCCAAGCTCCATCTTATCCCCCAGAAGCTATCCGAGCGTTCGATATCTTGGCCTCCGTTAGCGAACTCTATGCTTGGCAGGCTCGTGATCAACAAGGACGCCGAGAGATTCTTGAAAAACAAGCTACTAAGATTATTAAAGCTGCATTGAGCACCGAGAAAAACCAGCTGCAAGCACGTTTTGGAAATGGAGGGGACTTGCGGGTGGGCTTTAATGAGATGGTTGGGTTGTTTATGGCTGGAAGATAGGTGTCTTGATATGGGTTGATGGTGGGACTATGAAGAAAAGCTTTAAGACTCGGTGGTATTTTGATCTAACTACGGAGTACTCCGTAGTTAGTTAGTTACGTTAACGAACTAACTTATGTAATCGTTCCATACCTCCGATGAGAGTGATGTGAGGCTGGATGAACTCGGTCATGTAGCAAATACTGATCCCTGAGGAAATCTACTCACCTTGGCTGTGTCGACGGCTATAGGTGCTTCCGGCACTTACTTGGTTGTAAATGTCCAATTAACAACATCCGTTTCAATGTCGGCTAGTCTAAACTGCGAGGAGCGGTTATTCGAACCCGAAATGAACACGGACACACGACCGCCAGCATCTACCGAGTCGCGCGCCTCAAGTCAAGCACAGGCCCTCTCCTTGTCACTCCTCTCTCAATGCCGCGCCCTTCTCCATGAGTTGACCTCGTTCCAACTCTACCTTACTGGTTTAAGTCGACCCAACCTCGTGGAGCTCCGCCAGTTCAAGTCTGCCGTGCAAGCAGAACTCAGATCGTTGGAGAAACTATGCGAGTCGGCGAACAAGGCAGCGGAGGAGGATGAGCAAGCTAAAAGAGCAGAATGCACCGAGACCGGTGTTGTGCGCGGAGATGATGAGGACGGAAAATCGAGCGGAGGCGAAGGAGATGCGCACGTGATAGGCGCGGCGGAAAGAAAAGTCCTGCACTCGCTACGCTCGTCGAATTTGCCCTTTTTCAGTACGGTATGGAAAGTGGCGAAGACGGCGTGTACGGGGTTGGTAGCGTTTAATAAGAAATTCTACTGGCAGGAGGTGAAGAAGAAGAAAAAGCTGGAACGAGACGATTATGAGATGGAAAATGGGTTTCCAGCGCTGGAATTGCAGAATGGGGGTATCGAAGTAGGAATAGACGAAAGTGAGGTCGCAGAACCAGTGCGGTTGAAAAGAAATGTCATTGTGGATATTGTTGCAGACCATGGGGAAGAATGGGTGAAGGTCTCTACAATAACGCCAACTCGATTACTTTTCGAGTTGGCGAGACAAGGTTGGGAATTGGACTCCGATGATGAAGAGGAATATAGACTACGGAATTATGACAGTGAAGACGATGGCGATGACGATATCGTTGAATTAGTAAAACTGGCAGTTGATATGAAGAAAGCTGCTGCTCAGACTCGCGTCAGATACAAGCACCCTCGAATACGTTTCATCCTTCCCAAGGTGACTGAAGGACAGGCGCCACACACGGACAGGATCATTCATGAAATCCGAAAAGCAGGGGTAACCGTAGAATGCGGTACTATTCCAGAGAATCCGCTCACTGGGGGTGCCAAGCAACTGGACCCAAGATCCCTTGAAGCTACATTTTCGTCACTTCTTCCAAGCCCCTACCCTCAAAGGACGTCGACCTTAAACGTTGATTGCACCTTGCTTCTCGCTCTGGTGTCTGATCTATCGCATTACTGCAATATTGCCCATTCTACACATCATCATCGAGCAATAACTCGACAGATTGAACTCGAAGCAGAAAAGCCACTAGTGCCATCAGAACTATGGCCAGCCATGGGGGACAAAGACCTGCTCTGCACCACCGAAGCCGCCCAACGGATGCGAGAAATAGTGGACACCATAGGAACCCAGGCCGAAAAGACAAGAACAAAGTTGCTAATGGGGGAAATGGATGAACATTTGGAAAGGCAACAGTTAATTTCCCGATTCCAGGAATTGTCTGATCATAAAGTTCCAACGGATTGGAGAATCCCGATCAGAGTAGTAGAGTCTCGGGAGGTGATCAGTCGCGGCTTTGAAGATGGACGGCTCCCGCCTGTAGCTCGCAAAATCGCGAACCACCTCAGTGATATAAATGCCAGCGTGTTTGTATATGGATGGTCCACCGGATTGATGACAATATCAAGCAACCGAACTGTGGCAAAGCAAATCGAAACCATGATAGAAGAAAACCGAGGCGACGACGATGATTTACGAGGACCCTTCGTATGGGTATGCGACACAGCGAGAAGTTTGGTTGGAAAGGAGAAAAATAGGAAGTCGTAGTGATACTCAAAATGAAAGAAGCTATTGTTGACTGGGGTGCCTGGTAGCTCCTGGAGCGCGCCCCAAACGACTTTTCTACCAATCCTCCATGTCGTGTGGCACGCCCGGTCTGACGCCACACCAATGTGTATATGTTCGGATGCGTGATCATAGGCCTATGTTATCGATGGGTATTTCATTTTTCAGGCTGCTTTGCGCTGTCGTCAGGCAACCAAAAGACAATTTCTTTATCAGCGCTGGCAAACATGTTGTATCTTGGGTTAGTCTGTACAATGGCGACCTTGCCACGATGCGGCAGACGAACCATTGGCTGGAGGAGTCGACTCGAATCAGGAGCCTGGTGTACGTCCCACACGAGAGCGTCAGACTGTTCACCAGCTCCTCCAATCACATAGCGTCCGTCTGGTGTGAAACAGACGTCTCCCTGACCAAGTGGCTTTCCGGTACTAGATACCGGGGCTGCTCGTCCTGTCACGCCTGATTTTCCAACCAAGAATGCCTTGACGTGTCCTTCAAAAGCATCCAAAATGAAATGCCCATGGTAATCTGTGCCAATTAGGAGATGCTTGCCGTCATTTGAGAACTCTAGCTTATTCCAGGCTCTTCCTCTTGTCGTTGGGGTAAATCTATCCTCGTGTGGTGCCATGTCAAACGTCGCGAACGGTGGTTTGTCGTAGTTTCTAAAGTCGTAGAGTAAGACAGACGAGGTAGACTGAGATGCGATGGCCACGACGGTGCCTGACGGGTCAAAGGCGGCCAGGTATGGAGTTGCCAGCTTTAGCCTTCCCTGTGCGTTTCTCGAATTGAGATCCCACAGCGCAATACTATCATCCTTGGAACAGGACAAGAACGCGTCCGCACCAGGGGATAGCGTGAGGCAAGTTACTTTGTCCGTGTGGCCGGTAAAATAGCGAAGGTAGCTTTCATTATGGAGATCGAGAAGGCGTAACGAATCTTTCCAACCGTTCAGTTAGCCTCGGGGAGGAGAACTGACGGAATTTCCCGGGGGCCTTACCGTCAACCTTTGTGCTAGCATGCAGTATCTGGCGGGAATGATGAGTGAATCGTGCTAAATGGACCCCATATTTTTTACTAGGGACGGTTTTCGTCGGCTTGCCTTCCTTCACGTCGAAAAGCTGTATCATCTCATCGTCCCCCGCTGCCACCAAAAAGTCACCTTGGTCATCGAAATCGACCGAAGTAATAAGTTGCTGGCCCTCGGACCTGGCATTGCCTCGAAATACCTGGAGCAGGAGGCACAGAAACGGTCAGCTTCATGCGGTGACTGCGCGGGAACGTGTTTTGTGGACTTCAATAGCTAACTACCTTTGATGGACGATAATACTTGACAACGTCCGAAACCTTTGCCGTGGCCTGAGGAGGGAGAGTAGCCGCAGGTATCTCCGCCATCTCGAGCATCCGCCGCCAACCACACCTGGAGGACAATGAAGAGCAAGGGGAGGTTCTGGATTCTGGAGTTGCTGCCAACGGCTCTTGGTCGAATCGTAACTTAAAGCTTTAGCGTTCGGCACTTGGCGAGCTAAACCGGGAGAGCAGCCTGGATCGCCCAATAGGAGTCCTCGAAATACTGCGTTCTGGTGTCCTCGGTTCTCCAAAAGTTTGAAATTTGGTGGCGGCAAGGGCGGAGAGGCGGAGGTCAAGGGCGCATGCGAGCTGAGAGCCAGTAACTGATTTTTATCCGTAGATTCCCCAGAGTCGCACGGAGTCCTACAAGCCAAAAGTTGTTATTGTGACAATGCTGGGACCATCCTGATTAGGGCTGTTTGTGTCACTCCTTCATGTTCGCTCTCTCACTTCACTTTTCTTCGTTTTCTGGGGCACCAGTGTTTATTCATTTTTACTGAATCTCTCCACTCTCTCTGTCCGCCAGATATCAGATATCAGGGTGCCTCTAGACGTCATGTCTACCACAACTGGGTAATTCCATTAATCAATATCAGCAGTCTGTGGGCTCCATGTCTAACTGAGCGCATACACTAGGGCCTTTATTGCTGGTGGCATCGCCGCATGCGGAGCTGTCACCGTGACGCACAGTTTCGAAACCGTGAAGATCCGGTAACTAGGCCCTTCTGAGACTGATAAACTACAGAAGAGCTGACAAGCAGCTGGCAAGATTACAGCTTCAGGGTGAGCTACAGTCGAAGAAAGAGGCAGTTCGCAAATACAGGGGTGTGTTGCATGGTGTGAAGGTGATTCTGCAGAATGAAGGTCCTCGCGGGCTGTTTCGTGGGATTGGGTCCGCTGTATGTGCAATCACCTCTCGCTGCTGCTCAAACCGCGGTTTTTGGACATTTTAGTTAACGGTTGCAGTACGTTTATCAAATCCTCCTAAACGGATGTCGTCTGGGCTTCTACGAACCGTTGCGACAAGGCCTTACCTCCGTCCTGTACAAAGACCCCGCTTACCAGTCGTTGGGTATCAACATCTTCTCCGGTGCAGCATCCGGAATTCTCGGAGCAGCAGCGGGTTCCCCCTTTTTCCTTGTAAAGACAAGGTTACAGTCCTTCTCTCCGTTCCTACCCGTTGGAACACAGCACCAATATAAGAACTCTTTCGATGGGCTTCGACAGATCCACGGCAATGAGGGTATCACAGGCCTTTACCGCGGAGTCGGCGCTGCTATGGTTCGTACCGGATTTGGCAGCTCGGTTCAGCTCCCAACCTACTTCTTTGCGAAAAGGCGGTTGACCAGGCATCTCGGAATGGAGGATGGTCCAGGACTGCATTTGGCGAGTAGTGCATGCAGTGGATTCGTTGTTTGCTGTGTCATGCACCCCCCAGGTGAGTTGATGTCCGAAAGATTAATGGCCTGGCTCAGGCTGATCTTGATCCTTGCAGACACCATCATGTCAAGAATGTACAACCAGACGGGTAATTTGTACAAGGGAGTGTTCGACTGCCTGTACAAGACCGTCACCACCGAAGGTGTTCTCGCCATCTACAAGGGATACTTTGCTCATCTAGCGCGTATCTTGCCACACACCGTACGTGGCCCTGTAAATGTTGGTTGCTTGAAGGTCATGCTGACGGTGCATCTAGATTTTAACTTTGACTTTGGCCGAACAAACCAACAAGCTTATGCGGCGATTTGAGTACCGATTTATCCCCGAATCGATCAGGGCTAGGATATAAAGCCTTTGCAATCTAATAATGAACTATATCCGTAGCATGTCCATCTTGTTCTTTTGCTTTTCATGCACTCATCTTGTTGAATATCCCGGGCGTTCGCATGGGAAGGATAAGCGATAGATTTACATAGAGGGTGTCAATTTATTCAGGTTTGTTGACTGAGCCAAATTTGTGTGAATTTTGAAGACGCTCCTTTCCCAGATTCCGCATTGAGATAATTGACAAGTATCTCACGGTGTCCTAAAATAAGAACAGCTGAATTCAAATACGATCGTTTGTGTCACCAGTAACCACTGACCTCGTCGGGTTTCGGAATATCCACGAAGCTCCTCGGGGTTTTGTGCGAACTTCATTTGGACCATTCCTATCGCCGGAAGGCTACCCCGGTAACACAACGCGGGCTAGCGTGACCGGGTTGGAGGGATTCAAGAATTTTCATCGCCTCCCGAGCACAGAGTACTCCCTACTTCGTCGCAGTTAACATTTCATGTCGCGTTTTCGAGCGCGTCACCAGACGCAGCAAGAAAAGACTCCTCAGGCACCAAATTATTGGATGGCGAGACCATGTTTCCAGCCAAACTGTCCATGCATTGGCGGTGTTTCAGACGGAAGAAGGGGTAGTCATCACGATCGTTGTTTGAGATAAGCTGAATTTGACGAAACATATGATATATCTATGGTGGGCCCATCAAAATTCGCGTTCTTCCCTTGTGATGTGCAAGGGGCCTTGCAGGCACGTTATCTCCGACAAGAGCTCCCCTGGTCTTCTGCTCAGACATCCATGCAGGGCACGAAGTCTGTTCGCGTCCATTTCGGAGGTTTGGCATTGTAATGATTCCGCCATGGCATGATAATGGATCCAGCCTATCCCGGTTGGTGCCTGGGTGACGGGCTGGATTCGATGTGGGCTGGTGAGACACCCAGCCACCTGTTTACAAATCATGACATAAAGCACATTGGCGCGGACGCGTTCTGCATGGAAACCATCTGCATTGTCCAGGTTCAATCTGGCGAGGAGGAATAGGGCAATATTTAATATGGGAATTTACAATTGAATTATCATACTATATACTCCGTAGCTTCTCCAGAGAGAAAGACATTAATACTGATCCCGACTGCGTCCGGGACACGGCAGTAGGGTTTTTCAGACGAAAAACATTCGCGTTGCTTATCCGGGACCAATTCGATCAGATAAGATCCGCTGCGTCCCATCGGGCTTGGCGTTCAGGCAACCACGGCGTCTCATTGGCCCAGCACCGACCACCGTCTCCCTGTGTTGTTTACGTAACTCGTTTCGCGCTGACGGAGCGCGTGTTCACGTGACTTAGCTTCTTCGCCTTAGCGCGATTCTCGGGGTATTTCAAGCTCTCGCTCTTCGCTTTCATTGTCGTTCTTCCCCTGCTGTGCTCTCCATCCTCCACAAAAACGCGTCTTTTCCATCGAGTTATTGTGGCTCTTCATAAATTTTACTTGTTTAGAAAAGAAGCAATGGACACCCAGTCAACCCCTTCAAAGCAGGTACGTGTTCCATCGTCAAATTTGCCTTTGATTGCGTTGTCGCGTTTGGGGAGCTTGCTGACGCGCCTCGCTGCGTGAATAGACCGCATCTTCTCTCGAGCAGCTCAAGATGAGTGATTCTCCCGTCAAACCGCTCAACTTTGGCCTAGCAGACAAGGAAAACGCCCCGTTGACCTCTGCCACCGAGTCCGGCCTCAAAAAGTTCGATGCCGAGGCCGTCAAGCCCAGCGCGCCAGAGGTCCCGAAGAAATCTCTCACCCCCAAAGAGCTCGAAGCAGAGGAGCCATTACTCCAGGAGAATCCCCATCGATTCGTTCTTTTTCCATTGAAGTATCATGAGGTGAGCCTGATCTCGACGCGTTACGCGTAAAGTGGATTTGACGAAATTCTGCAAACTAACGCGTGTCGTGTTATTCCGAATAGATTTGGCAAATGTACAAGAAGGCCGAAGCCTCTTTCTGGACCGCTGAAGAGATTGACCTATCCAAAGATCTTCACGACTGGAATCACCGGCTGAACGACGATGAACGGTACTTCATCTCTCGCGTCTTGGCCTTCTTTGCTGCTTCCGACGGCATTGTCAACGAAAACCTTGTCGAACGATTCAGCGGTGAAGTTCAAGTCCCAGAGGCCCGTTGCTTCTACGGTTTCCAGATTATGATGGAGAACATTCACTCCGAGACCTACTCTCTCCTCATCGACACATATATCAAGGAACCAAAGCAAAGAACTTATCTGTTCGATGCTATTGATACCAGTATGTATTAAATTTTTCTCATTAACGCTTTATTTCTCAATCCGGATTTTGCTAACCCATGTACTAGTTCCTTGCATCCGTAAGAAAGCTGACTGGGCCATTCGCTGGATCCAAGATCAAGAATCCACCTTCGCCCAGCGACTGATTGCCTTTGCCGCCGTTGAGGGTATCTTCTTCAGCGGCTCCTTCGCCTCCATTTTCTGGCTCAAGAAGCGGGGACTTATGCCTGGTCTCACTTTCTCGAATGAATTGATCTCTCGTGATGAAGGTCTTCACACCGACTTCGCCTGCCTCCTCTTCTCTCACCTTCGCCACCGTCCAGGCCCAGAGGCAGTCCAGGCTATTATCACAGAGGCAGTCGAGATCGAGAAGGAATTCTTGACCGATGCCCTTCCCTGTGCTCTTCTTGGCATGAACTCGAAGCTCATGTGTCAATACATCGAGTTCGTTGCTGACAGACTGCTTGTGGCTCTTGGCAACAAGAAGTTCTACAACGCCACGAATCCATTCGACTTCATGGACAACATCTCGCTGTCCGGAAAGACCAACTTCTTCGAGAAGCGTGTCGGTGACTACCAAAAGGCTGGTGTCATGGCAAGCACGCAGAAGAAAGAGGATACCGAGGAGGCGATTGAAAACGGCGGTGCCTTCAGATTCGACGAAGATTTCTGATCTTCTCCTTTTTGGTTTACGATGCTGACGCGTTTCTTGTCTGTAGCATCTATGTATGAGTGACTGGCATGTGGGGCTGGCGTTCAGGTTTGGATATGGGCATGTGTACATGATGGACTTTCTGTTATACCTGTTGCTGGGCGATACCTTGTTTGCTGCCTTTGTATCATGTTTCTTATAATGTATTTGATTAAAATGACAATGATAATGTTTGGTACGGATCAATTTTCAACAATGTGCCCATTATATAATATATATATATATATATTTTTTTTTTTGGGGAGTGAGCCTGGATCTTCTCCAAAGGCTCAGAGGGCAAAGAAGTGATAACAGAGTATGGATACAGAGTAGCTAACCGGCAGTTATGGCCGGTATGTGACCAAGCAATAAAATTATTCCAAGGTGAAAGAGGCATCAGGAGGGGAAAATCTGCGGAACAACGGTAGAGTCGCAGCCGCTTCATCATCACCAAGCCCATAATGTAACCCAATCGCCATTATGCACTCACTGCCAAACATAGTTTAGATGCTGAAAATCACCCATCTACTCCGTATAGAGTACAAAGAGTTCTAGCTCGATTCCAGAGTCTAGTTCAAATTAGGCTTCAAGTGAACTTACAGGCAGAGATAGGCATGACAGTCTCTCCCATGATGTGTCTTGATGCCAGAGCAAACTGATTGATGGCACTGGGATTAAGCGGCTCCTCACAGCATTCAGTAATAGGTGCTGTCTCATTGTGGCGTCAGCGGGTGAGATAGAAAGTCGAGCTTGCAGCACGAAAGATCTGGTTTGTAACCCTTTTATCAGCCTGGAATCCTGGCTGTTCACCATTACAATTTCGCGATGCGATGGCTTCAGCAAGGGATATGAGTGACTCCGGTTCTTTCCGCATGAGCCGCTCCGCGGTCCGCCGTAGAGATGTGCTAAACAGGTTGTCATCTATGTTTCTCACTACCCCAAAAAATAGTTTTGCATCAGCCCGCACACCATTCATAAAAAGGATTTAGAATGGTTTGAGTAGGGGCCATTCTTCGTGTCCCACCTCCGGTGCGAACCATTGGCATCCACGTCTCAGACATCAATAGGATCCGCATTTCCCTCCAGGTCAAGAACTATATTTAAGGGTTTTGATATACATATGTGTCCTACCACTCTTACGAAGTCAGCTAAGTGTGGCGTCAACATGGCTAAGTGCTGCAACTTTATATTCAGAGCCACGGCTATAAGACTCCGAGAGGATGCCGACAATAACAAGTGATTGATCACCCCAGCATGAAGTCAGGTAAGGGTTTACAATGGGCCATAATGCCAGCTACCTGGACCATATTTGGAAATTCGGGACAAGTTTAAGAGTTTCCAGCCTTTATTGAATGATCTCGGCATGCGTTTGGCCGTAGAATGGCCAGTCAAGAATTATGTAGAGTAATCCTGGTCCTTATTAGGATACCACCAAGCCCGAAGGACTAGACCATCAGCAAGTTCTAGGCGATCGAACCACTGGGAGATATAAAGATGTGAAGCACCCGAAACTCAAACAAAGGAGATAGATCACTCTTTGAGAATCCCCGCGGATTTCGCACCCAAAGTACTCAGCATGGACTATCAAGATACTGATGTCAATTTGAGACGTGCGATGCATGTGTTTTGACGAGGTTGATTCGTCTCCGCGATAACTTCAACGCAAGCTCAATCGCTGAGTTGTCCAAAAGGGAGAATGAACCGTAATCAGTCAATTTGATAAATTCCAAAAAATCCTTATGTCGTTCGGACTTTGTCTGTCTTTTGCAGCCATCATGCCATTTCAACTACAAAATGCTATCCATAAACGTCACTCGAACCCGTCACACAGGGGACTTGTGGGAGAACCTTGAAAGGTCGCCAGCGTATCCTTGGTTCAGGTTTACTGTAAATGGAAGAGTCCCCAGCTTCACGGTATGATCCCAGTTCAACCGTCGGGCCAGCGAGGCTAGAGGGAAGACCAAAGCGGGGTAGGCAAGGACAGAGTACATACTCCGAAGCCAACCGTCAAACAACCAAAAAAGGTTCATGCCGACGCGAGTGGGGAAGACTGGGGTTGACCTGCATGGGCGGCTAGAGGGTGGGGCCGCTCGCATCACCATCAATTATTATTCCCGTCCAATATCTTTAAAACATCTGGGCGCCCAAGTTGACCACCGGTGAGTTCACATAATAACCGGGCTCTCCTCCCCGGAATGGAATGCATTCAATATCGTGCTTCATCCAACAAGCTTGAATCGGAGTCTCTACTTGAAAGCATTTATTCGGCCTCAAAAGCATCAAAAGATTTGGCAAAACAGGCCACCTCAATAACAGTGAACAAGAGAATGGGATGTCTTAAATCCTTCTTTCGATTTTTTTCTGCGCCAACAGACGGCTCAACTGCAAAGTCAAAAGTTAAGCACCCTAATACCCAGCCCTCTGCACAGCTGGCGCCTTCAAAACAGAACGCTTGCCAAAGCAAAGAGTCCGAAAACCGTCCAGCTGGCACAGATACACCGAAAGAAGAACAGGTTCCAATCGACCTAAGCGAGGAAGCGCGTCGCCTGGGGCTTAGGCGATATGTCGTGTGGCCACGGGACGGTTGCAACGATGAACTGACTAAGAGTGGTACTGAGAAGCTTGTAGCACTCGCCGGCAGTGAGCGCATTAGGACAAGCGACACCAGGGATCTCGGGATCAATTTTTGGAGAGCTGAGCTTAGCGATGATCAGGTTGCCATAGTGCGCAAATTCCATGAGGTAACTTTGAGATTCAAGCCCAAAAGAACGCCCCGCTATTCGCGATGCGTTGTAGGCTAACTTAAACCAGGTATCAGGTGTAATGCGTGATGATGTGCCAGGAGCAGACCCCTTTGATTGAACTGGAGTCTGGGGGGATCTGGAGGCCTCACAGAACCCCGGTGGCAGGTTTCGCTTTCTTTTCTACCCAGGTCATACTGCTTGCTGTTTCGCGTTCTACTTGGATGCCTCTATTGTTCGCAGTCCCAGCCTTGATAATTCTAGCCAGCCTAGGCAGTGGCACTATTTCCAATTTGGAGAGGATTCATCTCACATAGATCTGGGGGCGATTGGTGGTATCCTAATGGTAGCTTCAGCTTGCTGTGGTTATTTGCACAACACGTTCTCAGCTTGATTTAGCTATATGATTAATATGTATGGAGTACTCCGTACGCACTTACTCATGTGTAACTATACCGCCAGAGCACAGGGAGTGGAAAGCCTGGTGTTCAACATTGATTGAGGGACTGGCACAGAAGCTATTGCCAGCTGCATGGTCATTTCGGATTAAAATGTTTAAGAAGGCATATCAATTAGCATGTAAGAGCTAAAAGGGGATTTCTGCCCTGGCAACCTTGAAGTGCATGCATCCATGTGTATGGAGTATGCATGTGTTGGTTGCTTCGTTCAGACGACGCTCCGTTGGAAGGGGTCGGAAGGCTTGGCATCGGAGGTGGCTTCCAAAGTGAACTTAGTCATCAACCCCTCAACTTCCTAAACTTATATCCGATGTCAACATCTGGCCATCTCAAGAGCCTGGGCTGTTTGTGGGACCCTGCATCGAAACATTGATCAGGAATTCATTGATGCAGAAAAATGATACTTGAAGGGGGTTCGGTGATCGATGTCTCCATTTGCTGGATTTTATCAACAATGGCATATTGCCCCTGGACCCTCCAAAGAAGACACTCAACATGGGACCTTCGCCTACAAGGAGCGGCCGCTTTGGTTCAATCTTCCTGTCCCTGCGTTGATCTGAATACCCCAACATAACGGACCCCGAAATTCCCGGGAAGGGATGTCATCTAGGTCTTTACTACCGAGCAGTCGGGTCCCATTGCTAAGATCCCAAATGGCCCCTTTCTCTAAGCCCCGTCTGTTCGAGACAACGTCGGCGGTCGTCGGCTTTGCTACCTATTCTGGGGTTTCAACAGCCTCGATCGAAGGAGCATTGCAGCGTTCAAATCATTCAATCTTAGCGCATCTTTTCAACTGGCCGTCAGCTGCCCCTTGAGTGATCGGTCCCCAAGCCTCTCAACTGTTACGTTTCGGACAGAGGAACGGGATGGCCTTGCTTTTAGAGCATGACCCAATCGGCCCATATGTGTTTTGGCCTCCTGCATTTTAAGCATGAGAAGAAGAATCAGATTCCTAGAATTGGCCGATACATTCAACAACTCCTAGCCAATCACTAGACTACTAATGAATCTGAATTTTGGGGATACAAAGCCGAAGCCCTATATAAGGATCATGATGTTCGGGTTTCGTCAATCGTTCTTTAGATTAAGGCCCATAAGTGGCTCGTGCGAGCATTATAATATCACTCAACAAGATTCGCTCATGAAACTCAGTTGTTTTTCATTATTTAAGGGAAGCATGTGGCTCAGTCCGCAAGGAGTGATACTCCTTTGCGTTGTTGTCCCCCTCTCAGCATCCTTAGCCAAATCACAGCAACTTTCTGACGGCCAGTATCAGTGTGGGTCCCGTTATAGTATGGACATAGGCGCGTGTTGCAAGCTGCCTGATGGCCAGCGCAATTTTTGTGGCCGAGGTTTGACCTTAGACACCAAAGGATATGTCCAGAACTAATATCCATTTAGGCATGATATGTTGCGGGTTCGGCTGTTGTCCAAATAGTTCCTATGTCTGCAATATCGATTTCAGCTGCACGGGACCCAATGGTGAGATCGTAATTCCAGCAGAAAATCAAAATTTCACCCGTCAGAGGGCTTTAACCACTGCGCCTGATCGTCGTTGGCCTCACACTGTGGCAAACCTCTCTAGGCATGGCGGTTACAACGCGACCTTAAGCTCGGGTGGTCTATCTGTGGGGGTTGGCAATATGACACTTCCTGCTATTACTCAATTAAGCAGGTCTAGGACGGTTGGCATGACGTCGACCGTTGGATATACTACTCCGCCTGGTCTTGGAGGCCCTGTTGTTATTATTGTCAGCACCAAGACTGCAACGCTTCCTGCTGTGACCTCTTTGACTACCCTCCTCACTCTAGGCCATACCTTCATTTTAACGCCGCCTGCAATTTTGAGCTCAGCACAAGCATATCCGACCCTAATCATTGTTGGAAATGAAACAGTAACCTTTTCTTACGTCTCTACTATTACAATGCCCGCCTCCTCTAAAACAACCTTCCCTCTTACAACCCCAATGTCAACAAACGCAAGTTTTGGATCCAATCCAGCAACGCCTGTCACCGTGGTTGATGGAACTCGAAGTCTAACCTTTCCATCTCCAAGTAAACAGACCGCTGTGACTCTTGAGGGCCAAACCACTACAACTCAGGTACCAAGTAGGCCTCCGAATAATACCGCTGTGTTATCGCCGCTTCCCGCCACTAAAAACAATACAATGACACCAGTCATGGTAGCCATTGGCAATAGTACCTTTACATTCTCACCGGGAATCCAGAAGACAATAGTGACCATAAAGGGCCATACAGTCACGCTTGACCCTGAACAATCACCAACAATCAGCTCATCATCCCGCGCCCCATCGGCAACGGGCATGACGAGGAGGCCAGGCACGGCACCAGCGATAAGCCTGGAACCGACACTGTCAAATAGCCGTAGCACCACACTTGTGCGCGCAAATCCAACCGTTACAAATGTTAATGTATCATTTGAGCCGTCCTCAGCGACCGGAAGAGCAACTGGTACAGACAGATCTTCATCATCAAGTCGGGAGACGACAGTAACAAGTCATACAGCCAAACCCGAAATTGAAGAGGAAACTATCGCCAGAACCAAATCGCCGTCCCGGCTACCGCTCCCAACTGGAACGATGGCCGAGACGGAGGATAGTCCAATGCCTACACTTGTGCGATGGCCGCCAGAGGCTATGATCACTCCGGTGGAGACCGAGGTTAAAAAGCCTCAACTCTCGGAAGATGACAACGACAGTGCTGTGATACCGTGCAAGTTATGGTTCTTCTCCGTGAGTTTACTCTGCAGTTATTGGCGGTTATGGACTAATATACGATATGTTTCATTAGGCCTGTCTTCGATTTGACAATATAAACATCCTTGGTTGGAAGATCACCTTCCCTCCTGGCATCTACCCTCCGTATGAACCCTTCACCCAGAAACTTGATATGGATTTATTAACGTGGCATGCGGTAAAAGTGGCCCTCCTCCAATACAGAATCTCAAATTCCCACCTCCAATTGGTTTTCAAGGAGATCTTCCGCCGTGGCCCAAGTTCACGTAAGTGGTTACAAAAGCGCAAACATCCGTTCACACTAACTAACCCAGGCTTCAAATACTAGTGTTGGGTCTGACCGTATTCCCACATTCCCTCCAGAGCCAGAGCCTACTAAATGCGAGACCAGGACTGCTTCTTTATGCTCCACCTCCACCTCTTTTGTGGTGTCCACTGTTAGAGGGGCGTTGCAGACCATCTCATCGCAGGTGCTTCCTCCCACATGTGCGGAGGTGCGAGGCTGCATTGTGGAAGATTTCACCAAAATAGCAAGCCTAACGACAACAGAAGGATGTCGGACTGGGACTGCAACCGACGTAGTTATTACTTGCAGTGGAAGTGAAACGTCAGCTTGCGCTACGCAGACGAAGATCCCTAGGACAGGTTGCTCGGTGACAGCCACGACGACAACAGTGTCATGCACCCCTGCCCCTCCTGGGAAGGGTCGACGACACACTGGTGGCGAAGTTTGCGCGCCGGAGGAACTATACATTGTTTGGCCCCGTGATGGCACCGACGTTGCTGAAACCAGCGCTATTTACAGCGAAATGAAGAAGCTGCTAAAGGGTGAGGGGAAAATTCGGGCCTCTGATACAAAGACGATGGGGATCAACTTCTGGCGTGTGTTTTCAGAGCCCGGACAGATCCAGAAAATTAGAGAAATACCAAATGTGAGATAAGAAAAGAAAGAGAACTGACTGAAATTTCAATCACTAATTGATGCACTGGTAGGTCGTGGGCGTTCACCGAGAATGCACGTCGGACTGTGCGGACCCGCTGGATAACGTACAATCGAAATGGAGATATCAAGATAACTACCTCGAGATAGAACTTGAAGGCTCCATATTAGGTCGTCAGCAAATGGTTTACCTTTCGCAAAATAAGTTGCCAGAACAAAGGTTCCATAACCACTACTTCTTTGACGTCGAGGCCGGACGGGACATCCCTGTCTTCATCGTGGATACTGGGGCCCAACTGGATCACCAGGTTTGTGCCTCGATGCCGGCATATATGCACTTTCCCTTCACCTGACAGACTGCCGTAGGAATTCACCGAAGGCGATAATATAGCCAGCAAGACAGAGTTCGTTTTTGTCGAGAAAGACTACGACGGCCAGTACCACCGGGACGATGCAGGCGTACCGCTTAATGGCGTCTGCGAGCCAGGTTACTGTAATCCGCACGGCACTGGGATGCTGGGCATGATAGCCGGTGCGAATCTTGGAGTCGCCAAAAAGGTCAAGCCCTGGGTGGTGCGCGTTCCGCGAAAGAATAAAAGAGGAGGTGGCTTCACACCTCAGCATTTCCTAGAAGGGGTAGCCAGAGTCAACGACATGATTTTGGGTGATAGCAAGACCACGCGAGCTATTCTTTCTTTGTCCTGGTCCTACGATTCTGAGAAGTTTATAAAAGGATCAGATGCTTCTACTGATGATTTTGAGACCTGGAGGGTGCGATTTCATGGGATATTAAGGACTTTGATTCAGAAAGGTGTCTTTGTGGTTACAGGCTCGGGAAATAATCACATAGTAAGTTCAAAGCGTTACGAGCCTGGTAAGCATACTCTAACTTTCACCGTAGGTCAATGGATGGCCTGCCCTCTTTGGTGCTGAGCCCAGCACATTGAAACCAGAACTGCAAGCAAACTGGCTTCATGTCCCTGAGTTGTTAGTAGTAGGGGCTGTGGATGTGTTTACAGGGGAGAGGTGGTGGAAATCAGCGATTGATGTAGACAAAGGCCTTCCACACATTTATGCACCCGGAAAACATGTTCTAGGCACGCAAGGAAACAAGGGAGAGTGGCGTCGCGATTTCGAGGGAACTTATAAAGTCGAAGTCGGCACTTCAGTTGGTAGGTTGATACTAAAATGAAAAGGTTTCGGCGTTCGCTGACATTATACACATGTAGCCACCGCGTATGCCGCTGGTCTTGCTGCTTATTTCCTGAGACTTCATCAAGTTGGCCGGCTTGGACCCGACGCCAAAGGAAACGATCCCGATATGAGCCCAGCTGGGCTCAAGAGATACATCATCAACAATGGCTGGTCACGATATCACGAGAAATATGTTGGTGATATTGTGGGGATATGGAACGGCGCGGCTATCCCACGGCTCAAAGAGCAAGGCTACTGTCGCTACAGACCGAAAGACGCTAGAGATCCATTCAAGCTCCGGCGGCGGGGAAGTGATTCTCAGTTAACCGACCTGTGCGTCCCGGGTACATCTAAAACTCAGTCTATCGGCCAGTCGATCAATACCTCGACAAGCAGCCCTACTAACAAATCCACAGCTAAACCGACCGGCATCACGAAGAATAAATCGATTGGAACTGCGATAGCTAAATCCACAGCTAAACCGACCGACACCAAGAAGAATAAATCGATTGGAACTGCGATAGCTAAATCTACAGCTAAATCCACATCCAAATCGACGATTAAACCGACAGGAAAGCAAGCAGGAAAGTCGATAAGAAGTACTTCTAGCCGCCGTACAACATCAGCAAAACCAACAAATTTCGTTTGCACAGAAGAAACGGCAGATCAGTGTTCTCCGGGCATCATTTGCAACGCTCCTCGCCTTAACGGCTGCATCGATGGAGAATGCGTTTGTATCCTACCAGACCCACCACCTACAACTTCCCGGACGACCACGCTTACAAGCAAAGCCAAGTCTCCCAAACCAACTGTGGAAAAGAACCCCAAAGAGCCATTGGCACTTGGCGAACGGCATTGCCACAATAAAAGCCTGTACGACGGTGACAGCGAAATCAAAGAGCGATACGTCGCTCGGTTTTCTTTTCTGTTATGCAAGCACTGCTACGACAACGACGTCGCCTTTCATCCGGGAAAGAAACCCATTACCTTCAACACTCGGGCAAATGGTGCACCTTATTTTCTATCTATCAGCTGGAAAGATGGTTGCGAGATGACTGTTGACCGAGTGAAAGTGTTTAGGCCGCTCCAGGAAACAAGCATTGTCGCGGCTAATCGCAACGTAAATTGCTTCGAGTTACTATACAATAACTGGAGAAAGTGTGAGTTTTTGAGAGTTGATACCTCACTTAAGGAGTGAGCTGACTGGATAACCTTAGGTACCGGTAATAAGGGCCGGGGTGGATATATAGACGTAGGGTGTGTACGATATGAGTTGGCCGCGAAAGATAAGTCTTGATTAGGCTTTTAAACTTATGTTAATAAGGGAGGTAATTTCCGGGAGCGTGTACGGAGTAAGAGCAAGGGAAATCCCGGCGTGGTTTAATTATGTACGAAAGTGTCTTCGTCTCATCCCGTGAGAAGCGGTTACTACTAGATATTCATTCTTACTTTCTTCGTTTTTGGGTTGATATGTTGCCTATAAATATCTGACATAGCTTAAAAACAGAAATTTAAATGATATTGGAGAGTAGCATCCGGCTATTTCGTAATAAATTTAACGAAACGATCACCTCCCAAGCTAGTAATTCACCAATTATCGCGGTGTAGACATATAGCGCAACTTTGAATAGAGCGCAGGAGATACTGATTTGATCACGGAATCCCAAACCTACTCAAGCTAAAGACCCAACAGCTCTCCCTCGCAACTTATCTTTTTCCCTTGCCGCCTTTCTTTTTCTTCCCGCCGCCCCCTCCATTTCCTTTCGTAGCGCTCGACGTAACATTTCCAGTTCCCGCTACACCACCAGCCACAACAGAAACATCAAGCATGTCCGCATCTCCGCCCGACACGCCCGATACAGCATGCGACTGGCCCTGTTGGGCTGGTGGTGCGGAAGGGGTGGAGCTAGTAGCGTCCGCTATGGGCGCGCCGGACGCGAGACGTCCGAGTCCGGCGATGAGACGGCTAACTTCCGCGGCTTTGGTGGTGCGGTATTTTAGACATATGCCATTATAGGGGTTGTATGTTTTTAGAGTTAGGGTAGCTGGCTTGGAAACGGGCTGTGAGGAAGAGGTTGAGGTTGTCGCTGTGGCTGTGGTGGGTTTGGATTTGTGGGACGGCTTGGGGTAGGAGTATTTTGTTGTTATCCGGGTCTGGAGGGAGGTTAGAGGTTCGGTGTGTCACCCTGGGGAAGGGAGATGGGGCCCACATACGGTGTGCGGGTATGCTTCGAGGAGGAGGGAGGATTGTTTGAGGAAGTCTTGGGAGGTGGTGAGGTAGGGCATTTCGGCGGAGTGGGTGCGCGAGATGGCGCCCGACCTGGTTTCTGGGACAGGATTTCTATGTTAAGAGTTTGCAGAGTTTGATTTTATGGCGATTGTAGGAAATGAAGCTCGTTCTAGCCAAAACCGGGTGCGCGGTGTATATCGCCAGCGACGTTGGTGATCCCACGCAGTATCAAATATGAGGTGGAAGTGATGTCGGAATTTGCGTTGACGTCGGGAAACGAGATTCGCGCCAAGCACGGCCAAGCTTGGGTCACAAGCTTACCAGTTTTATCGCCAGGTCAGATCCCATCCCCTGCAAGATGTCTCACAAAAAAGAAATGAGGGTACTGTTGACAAAGTGTTGAACTTCCATTTGTATTACCGGCGATTCAAGTGGCTCTGCGAAGATCCTGCACTTCCACATCGGCAAAGTTACTCGCGAGTCCTCGAGCCGCGAGAAACTGAACTGGCCAGGCCTAACACAAGCCAGCGTCGAAGCTCCCATTTGCTGGCAGGCGACGATCCCACTTAGTTAGGGTTTGGGGCATCCGAACTTCGTCATAGCCCAGATCGACATGGGAATATGTCATTGATAAATAAAGGGAGCATCAACAAATCACTAACCGCCCGCACCTTATCCCATACAGAAGCCTCGAGACCCGTGATAGCAGCATTATCAGCTTGTCTAGACTAGAACATTCAGCTTTTGGCAACTATGAATACCTTCACGTTACCAGACATCAGTACGCTCCCCGCACTCCGGCCTTCGGATTGCAACCAGATCCTCGATACACTCTTCGAGCCTTCCAAACACTTACATTCTCTCACGGAATCACTACTTCTTCAGCAGAAATGCATTTCATACGAAGCCTTGATCGACCTGGTCAGGGCAAGGCTCATCTCTCTCGCTTCCTCCAAAGCGCCTGACGACCGAACTGTACTCCTGGATATTCTAGGCTCGCACCCACGACTTGGGGAGAAAGCGCCGGCATCTAGGAGTGCGGAAAGTGAAGCTTCCAAAGGGCAGGAAGAGCGGCCTCTGAGCGAATTTAGCAAGGCGGAACAGGCGAACCTGAGCATGGCGGGGCAACATGGAACGGCTCAGCATCTGAGCCTGTTGAATCGCGAATACGAGGAGAAGTTCCCAGGTTTGAGATATGTGTATGCAGTTGAAATATCATGCCTTGCAATAAGTATAATGGTGATAGACGGTTGACGTTTGCGCGTATGACAGCACTTTCGTAAATGGTCGCGGCAGAGACATGATCATGGAGGAAATGCGCCGGCGGATCGAGCGGGGTGATATTGAGCTGGAGATACTGGAAACTATACAGGTGAGTCTCTGGATATCTTCCAAAATCATCATGCGCGTTTATTTTGCGGGGAGTCTTCTTGAATGCGGATATAAACAACAGTTCTGCCGTAGGCCATGTGCGATATTGCGACGGACAGAGCGCGGAAGCTCCGGGACCCGGACGCGGCATATTCGATGACAAGCCGAACCACAGATGGCAGCTAAACATTGCAGTGTTTGTCTCTACCAAGGAGCGCGTATTGTCTGTAGATGGTCACTGTATATGTAGTTGCTAGCTAATATGATTTGAAACAATTTGAAGTGAGGACCAGCCGTCATTCCGGGCCGATTAATAGTAGCCAAGTTCACTAGTTAGTCGACTTGCTATGATGATCCTGGTCTCCAGCAAGAAAGTGGAAGCGGAAAAGCCAAAAAGTCTGGAAACTCCAGCACCACCTTGTCCCGCTGCAGCCCGTGGCAACAAACTATCAAGAATGGAATTTCACACTCTGTTGACTATGGTTTGTTTGTCACGCTCACCGAGGTGTGGAGTATGCTCTCCTAATCGTTGCAATCTTTTGGACTCTCATTATCTCTCATCCCCGTGAACACCGTCATACTTGCAGAACGTTTGACACGTGCGGCATTTCACAACTTGGTCAGTCCGCAATGCCTTTGTGAGGATAATATATGGAACGCAAGCAGCCGCTTCCGCCGCCCTGTCTTGGAACCACTATTCATGCATGATGGCTGCGGAAACCTACACAAGGCCTGCCAATGGTGTAGTGGCGCCGCTGCACCCGGGCCCAAATCGAGCTGCGTCGCAGTCCATCGCAAATGAGACCAATACTCCTGTCAGTGAGAAACGTCGGGTAAAAGGAGGCGACGGTGGGTTTCCGACCCCGTTTTATACAGCCCATTACTCTTCTACGCTCTGATCCAGCCCTGGAAACCTCCCCTGTTATTGCTTCGCAGTTGTTGCAGAGTTATCCGAGCGTTTCAAAGTCTCGATCACTGATGAGGAACCGCGTTTTGAAGATCCAGCAAATGGCAGTCTGGCACATGGCAATCAACAGCCACCCGTGCGCCAGGGTTCGTCCGACTGGCCGTCAAACGAACACTCCCTTCCCGCAACACCGGTACTGACAAGAAACTCAACTACCAAGTCCGCATCAAAGGGCGCCATTGGCTCCACCGCTTTGTTGCAGCAAAGACATCATTACTCCTCGTCCTCCACCTCTATCCCAACCCACGCAACGTTTCAACATACTCCGATTGATCCTCTATCACAGGTACGTCTTATGGGTGAACCAGTGGTGCCCCTATGCATCGTCGCAAATCTCAGATGAACCCCTGGTTGACACTCTCTGCTTCTCTCTCTACAGCAAATCCTCAAGCGCACAAACACGGAAAAGTCGATATCTTCAAAGTTGCGGACACAGGCGGCCATCGACGTTGAGCCGGGCCCCTCCGACGCTGCGCGGGCCCTTACACAGGAAGAGTCCTCGTCAGCAAATAGACCTGATAGTAATCTGATACAAAAGTCGTCCAAGGAAAAGAAGTGAGTTCTATATTTGTTACTTTGTGGTTTCTCTCTTGTCTTTGCCTCATATTCAGTCACTCCTAGCATCGTCGTATGTACTGTACATACGACTCTTTCAATTGGGGTTTGCATATCCACACTCTGTACTCCGTATTCTATCTTAAACGAACTCCTTCCCCATTATTGACCCAAGGACTTTTTCTTCACACTTGAACTTTAATCTTTGGGAACACTCGCATGCTGACCTTCTAAGTAGAAAAGGCGTTTCATTCCTCAGTCGAATAATTGGCAATAAAAAGAGAACTGATATCTCTGAATCAAATGACGATGTGTCAGAATTGGGCGAGAACCGCGCCGCTGGGATGGATGCGGAAGTATTCGCGCAACCGATAGGCTATATTCCTCGGTTCCCCCCTCCACCAAAGTACATCAAGGTCCGCGCACAGCACAAAAAGACCAAGGACTTCAACAGATTATTCGTCGCTCAGGAATTGAGCGGGAACGCTGCACAGGCAAATGGCTCGTCCACTAATAAGCATGCGACGATCAATGTTTTTGAATCGGATGCGGCGGCGCAGGAAGGCAGGGCAATCTGGACCACGGAGTTCTCCAAAGATGGTAAATATTTTGCCGCCGCGGGGCAAGATCGAAAGGTTCGCGTATGGGCTGTGATAGGGACCCCAGAAGACAGACAGGCACATGAAATTGAAGAGGAGGCTCGGAATGATCAGCCGTTGATGCGTCTGAGCGCGCCAGTTTTTAAGACTCAGCCAGTTCAAGAGTACGAAGGACATACGGCAAGTATTGTCGATCTTAGCTGGAGCAAGGTATGTTCAACATCGAGGATAATGTTGTCCAGTGCTTCTGGGAATTCCATTAATAGCTAACATGTCATGGGTTATAGAATAACTTCTTGCTCAGTACATCTCTGGATAAAACTGTGCGATTATGGCATGTGACCAGGAGGGAATGCCTCTGCTGTTTCAATCACAGCGACGTGGTGACGTCTATTGAGTTTCATCCCAGGGATGATCGGTTCTTTCTTGCTGGCTCTCTCGATTCCAAACTACGGTTATGGAGCATTCCAGATAAGAACGTTGCTTTTACGGCCGTGGCGCCTGATCTGATCACTGCTGTCGCGTTTACCCCTGACGGGAAGCACTCGATTGCAGGTTGTTTGAACGGTCAGTGCGTTATCTTCGAAACGGATGGCTTGAAGGTTGTTTCGCAGATACATGTGCGTTCAGCCAGAGGGCGAAATGCTAAAGGGAGTAAGATCACCGGAATTGACACTATTCTGCAACCTCCTGGCAATGACTCTGGCATAGTCAAGATCTTAATTACCAGCAATGACTCGCGTATACGCCTATATAATTTCAGGGATCGGACACTGGAGGCTAAGTTTCGAGGTAATGAAAATTCTGCTAGCCAGATTCGAGCATCATTTAGCAGCGACGGGCGCTATATAATTTGTGGAAGTGAGGATCGTCGAGTTTATATCTGGCCTGTCGTGTGCAATGAGCGGTTCCCCGAAAAGCGACCAGTTGAGAGTTTTGAAGCGCATTCTTCCATGGCGACAACTGCTGTAATGGCGCCGCTGCAGACAAAACAGACTCTTGGTTCTACTGGAGATCTTTTGTACGACCTGTGCAACCCACCACCAGTCACGTTGGTCGGCCAGACAGCATCTGCTGCCTCAAGATCGGTGACCGAGAATGGAGGCAACGAATTTCGCCCCGGGACACCTCGTGTGCCGCCCTCGTCAAATCCGCAGAAACCGGAGGAGTCCCCATCGCATACTACCCGATCATCTCACCCCGGAGGGAATATCATTGTGGCAGCTGATTACAGTGGTGTGATTAAGGTGTTTCGACAAGATTGCGGCTATCATCGGCGGCGTCATGAATCGTGGGATTCAAGTTCGCTGTTCTCGAAAAGATTGCTTGGGCGCAACAACTCCGTGTCGTCGGCTCGGCGGAGTATACTATCTATCGGCAAAGACTCGCTGCATAAGTCCCCTTCCGAGCGGATACTATCGTGGCGGAATTCCGTTATCGGTGCCCGTGATAATGGCAGCTTTGATAACGTCCGTACTCTGGGGAGTAGAACCCGCAGCGTTTCTCCCGATCGACCCCTCCGCAAATCCAACAGCGCACCAAAGGCGGATACCTCCCAGGCGATCAAGAACCTCACAAAGCGAGGCGTAATCTCGAAACCTGCAGGCTTGACCAAAATGACCCTGAACCACCCTTTCACCGGGGCTGTTTCGCCAGAAGTGATTTCAGACAAGCGCGAAATCGTTGCATCTCCTGAGGAATATGAAGATTCGGATACCAAATATGCCCCTGCAGATCCGCTCTTTATGGCTGGCGAACAGAGCTATACGTTCTGGAATAAGTCTCAGTTTGCTTCGCTGGCGGCAAATCGGCGCCGGTCGTCAATCAGTAACGATGTAGAGGCCCAGCAGGATCAGGCCAACTTGACAAGCGAAGGGAGCTCTGACGAAAAGGGTTTTGAGAACGGTATGGACGCAGAAGCACTAGGCGAAGAGGAAGAAGAGGAGCTGAGTTGCCCACAATGCCGGGCAACGAATTTTAGGGCGGTAAGGACAAAAACCGGGGAACAGCGCTTGAAGTGTGTGCTATGCGGAGCGTTTGCTTCATGATGATTAGCGTTATTGCATTATTCGTGCATCCTTATGAGGGAAGCAAGCATGTTAATATTGGGCGGGGTTTAGGGCATATGTGTATATTTTTTTTTCTTTCTTTGGCTCTTGATGACTTTACGACATGGGATGGGCTATGTGTTTCTTTAGATCTTTGTCTGTCTCGATATGCCCTTGATGTTTTAACGTTGTGATTTGAGCATATGTGTATTGTATGGGAGCATGATGGCCGGAAAGGGGGGAAAAAAAGAAAAAAAAAAAGAAAGAAAGAAAGAAAGAAAAGAGAAGAAAAAGAAAGAAGGAAGAAGGGTGACACTGTGTCAGGATATGGTTATGATCTGATTGTATACATATAAAAGTCCATATCAACTATAGTGCGTGCCGTGGTTGTAACTACTGGAGTCCCTATGTTGGTTCTAAATTATCCGTGACATTTTGAGAGGAGAGTTGGCTCCATCGCGAGTCCAGGACTCGAAAATTGCGACGGCTCGCCCAATCAGTCCGTTGCCCGGGATTCGCAGTCAACTCGGGAGGACGAGATCACTTGCAGGTCAGGCAGAGCGGTGATTGGATGGCATGGCGAGCTTGCCGTCAAGGGTGTTGCAGATGTCTTGGAGATGGGTGTTTCTGTCGGATCAATGACATGGGGGGGAGTGCGCTCCGATAATTCGAGTTGAGCGAGAGAGAGACGATGGGCAAAGGCTAGCTGATGGTGGCTGTTGAACGTTAAATGAATATTTTAGCTCTTCCGTCATAACTAGGTTGAATATATCGCAATTAAGCAACGTTCGTGGTTCAGCCAAATGGTTAGCTTCGCTCGACGCGCTTAGACCAGCCTCTCCGATTCTCGAGTGGGTTATAGCTCAAAACACCTTCCATCGCGCTGATCTCCGCAACCCACCGGCTCACTCACTCTCTCGCTGGTTCTCTAGGCCACGACCCGTTGCTCTCCCCCATCCCACCTCGCTCTGCTGTCCGTTTCACGTCCTCCGCTGTCACTACATCATCCTTCTCCCTCGCCAGAGTAACTACAGGGTTGGTAAGCTTGGTTTCTTCAGCCTAATCACACGACTATCCTCCCCCCCGCTGCACCCTCTCCGCCCTCAACATCTCGAAACTGACCCGAGTTTCTTGTTTTATGCCTCACAGAGCCAATCGGTTTCCCTCCTTTCCCCCCAAGAACCTTGCACACGGTCATCCGATCCCGTTCTTGATGTCCCAATAACCCTTTTGCCTTACTTTCTCTCGCTCTCTCTGCCGTCCCCTCGATCTCCCGCCTCCAGCTTCCCTGCATCCTTCAGCCTTCGCCAATAAGACCACTCTCCTATTAACCATTCATAGCGCCTGACTATTATCGACTCCTAAGTCATCCGTGAACACTGCCAGCCTCTTCCAACTCAAAGTGATCCCTGGGCAGCAGCAAAACCACACCAGTCTTCACTTCGTACTCGAGGTAGTCGAGCCTTTTTTTTTTCTTCCTTCGGGGGGTGTTAGTCACCCCCGCCTGCTCTAAACAAAAAGACAAGAAATAAGGAGACATGGGGAATGCTTGCCTCTCCTGCTTAACAGGTATATTTGCCTCGATCGACAGATGGTGCCATGTTTCTGATCTGTTGGCGCCCATCAAAGGTCGATCGAGGGATGGATTGTACGAGCCCATCTTGGCGGATAACGAGCGCGAGGCCGTCGCGGACTTGCTTCAGTATCTAGAGAATGTACGTCCATGCATACACCTATTGATGCATTTCTATTCTCGTGGGCCATATTTGTCTCTCCCTATTGATCTCCCTGACTGACTGTCTTTGCTACAGCGAACTGAAACGGATTTCTTCGATGGCGAGCCGCTTCAGGCGCTCAGCACACTCGTTTACTCGGATAATGTCGATCTACAGCGGAGCGCGAGCTTGACTTTTGCGGAAATAACAGAACGAGGTCAGTTTTGGAACTCAACGCCATTTTGTCCTTGACTTGTTTAGTTTCTATAGAGAGCCAAGCTGAACCAAATCCTCTTTCAGATGTGCGCGAAGTCGATCGCAACACCCTGGAGCCTATCCTTTTCCTTCTCCAAAGCCCGGATATTGAGGTGCAAAGGGCAGCTAGTGCGGCTCTGGGAAATCTCGCAGTGAATAGTATGTTTGGACCCTTGATAGCGGGGAGTGGTAATCAAGCTGACAGTCTCAAAGCCGAAAACAAAGTTTCCATAGTAGAACTGGGTGGCCTAGCACCACTTATTCGCCAGATGATGTCACAGAACGTCGAAGTCCAGTGCAATGCGGTTGGATGCATCACCAATTTAGCGACCCATGAGGAAAACAAGTCAAAGATAGCAAGATCAGGAGCTCTAGGACCGTTGACAAGGCTTGCCAAATCTAAAGATATGCGAGTTCAACGAAACGCTACTGGTGCTCTGTTAAACATGACTCACTCAGGTATACCTTTGTTTCTTTCGTCTCATGTCGGTCACACTCTAACCAGATGGCTACAGACGAAAACAGACAGCAGCTTGTGATTGCTGGTGCCATTCCTGTTCTGGTTCAACTATTGTCTTCTCCAGATGTCGATGTCCAATACTACTGCACCACCGCTTTGAGCAACATCGCAGTGGATTCGGCAAACCGCAAAAGACTCGCCCAGTCTGAACCTCGACTTGTCCAATCTCTTGTCCAGCTGATGGATTCGTCAACACCAAAGGTACAATGCCAGGCCGCTCTTGCCCTCCGAAACCTAGCCTCCGACGAGAAATATCAGTTGGAAATTGTCCGTGCCAGAGGCCTTCCACCGCTTCTCCGCTTATTGCAATCTTCCTACCTGCCGTTGGTCCTTTCTGCCGTCGCCTGCATTCGAAACATCTCCATCCACCCCCACAACGAATCTCCAATTATTGAAGCTGGATTCTTGAAGCCGCTCGTAGAGCTTCTGGGCTCGATCGATAATGAGGAGATCCAGTGCCACGCTATATCTACCCTTCGAAACCTTGCTGCCAGCTCTGATCGGAACAAGGAGCTTGTCCTACAAGCTGGAGCGGTCCAGAAGTGCAAAGAACTCGTGATGCAAGTCCCCTTGAGTGTACAGTCAGAAATGACAGCTGCGATCGCCGTTTTGGCTCTCAGCGACGAGTTGAAGCCGCATCTATTGAAGCTTGGCGTTTTTGATGTTTTGATACCGCTCACAGCCTCGGACAGCATTGAAGTGCAGGGTAATAGTGCGGCTGCGTTGGGAAATCTTTCATCGAAAAGTGAGTTATTTTCCTCCTTTCCCCCCGCCGAAAAGTGTCAATGAAATTTGATGCTAACAATCTTTCCAGTTGGAGACTACTCCATATTTGTACGCGACTGGGCGGAACCCAGCGGTGGTATTCATGGATATTTGGACCATTTCCTGGACAGTGGCGACCCGACCTTCCAGCATATTGCTGTCTGGACGCTGCTGCAGTTATTGGAATCCGGCGATGATCGTTTAATTAATCTCATTCAAAAGTCGGATAAAATTACTAGTCTAGTTAAGGATATCTCCGAGAGAATCGTTGAACCAGAGGAGTCTGATGCCGAGGATGGTGAAGGTGAGCTTGTGGCACTGGCACAGCGGTCCCTTGAGCTGCTTGGCCAGCCAAAGCAGAATCTCATCGACGGATGAATTTTCCGGCTGGGGTTTGCAAAGTAAATGTTAACTTTTTTTTTACCCCCTTTCTTTACTCCAGTACTTTGATATGGTTTTCTTCCTTTTTGTTTTCCGTTTCTTTCTCTTTTAATATTTTTACTTTTTTCCCTTTACTTTTCTTTTCTTTTCTTTTTTTGTTTCACAGCATGCATACTCATACTCGGCTGCGTTGCTCTGATACCAGTTGTTTACCTTGGTTCTGCTTGTTTATTATTCTATATCCACGCAAGGAGTTTAGGGTCTAGTGCTTCTTTTTTTCTTTTTTCTTTTCTTTCCTTTTCTTTTTTTTTTTGTATCCATGACTAGTATGTATTCTCTTTATTGGCCATGATATCTCAGGGTTGTCCACAGCCTGTTCTGTGCGCTGGGTTATTCTGGTCGTATGCACATTCAATCCAGTTCGTTATAGGCTCCCTCTTTTTTGTGTTGTGATGGGCGCAAAGTCATTTTTTGTGCAGTTTATAAATATTGATGGCATAATACGCATTAGAGGTTGTTCGGAATGCAAGTGACTCTCCTGTATGTTTAGCTCAATGTGAAGAGAAAACTAGTATGATGTTGTGAAGTGTGACTCTTCTCCCAAATATGGAAAAGGGCATTGATTCATAGTTTGTGAGTGGAAATTGAGTTTGCTGGTCGATGCGCGATGCAGTCCGCGATCCTCACCAGCGAGCTTCGAACTTCTGAACACCGCTCAGCGCAATCAGAGCATCCACCGCATCAGGGTTATTGAATGCATTTTCAAGTGTTTTTTGCATTTCTCCTCTAGCGTCTCCAGCTTTTCAACTACTATTTCGACCATGGGAGCTGTTCCGCTCCCCTCAATCGCCATCCCAGGCCAACGGCTGGCAGATTCTTCCTCCTACATCTCTGGACCTGGCACTTACATCCGCGACAACTCCATCTACGCCTCCATTCCCGGTCCCATCGTCATACAAGAGCCCGTCGCCACAGACCCAAAGAGTAAGAAAACCAGAGTCGTCACCGTGTCGCGCTCATCCACACCCTCCACATCCACCATCAAAAGCCCTAGTCAACCACAAGGCCTCGCCCTCCTCGGCTCCTCGAACAGACGCATCCCACTAAAATTCAACACCCTCCCCACGGTCGGCAGCATCGTCCTGGGCCGCGTAACGCGCGTCCAAAGACGCCAGGCGACGATATCAATCCTACTCGTCCTCCCTGAAAACCAACAGCTCAACCCCAGCGCGGATGATTCAGAAGACCCCTCCGATGCCGATCTACCCAGCATTCTTGCCAGTGCGAGCATATCTACTACTTCCGACTCGCTGAATGCAGATGAGCTACGTCCCCAGGCGCTGATTCGCAAGGAGGATGTGCGTGCAGTGGAGAAGGATCGTGTGGTGATGGAGGAATCTTTTCGTGTGGGGGATATTGTGCGCGCGGTGATTGTGAGTGTGGGTGATCAGGTGGCTTATTACGCTAGCACGGCGGGGAATGAGTTGGGGGTGGTGATGGCGAGGAGTAGCACTGTGGAGAGTGGTGTTGGAATGGAGGGCTTTGGTGGGAATATGATGTTCCCGGTTAGTTGGAAGGAGATGAGGGATCCGGTCACTGGGAGGGGAGAAATGAGGAAGGTTGCAAAGCCGTTTTGAGGAGGGTGGGCGGCGGCTTTATGGCCTTCTTTATAGCATCTTAGGAATTTGGAGGGGTTGGTGCTAGGATTGATGATGTTTGGGATACCTCGAGATGGCGTTTCCTCGCGGAAAGGGAGTATCGATCGGGGATTCTGGCTACAAGGACTGCATCCGCGAAAAGTGAAGTATCTCACACCCCTGTGGATGCTCGAAATATGCCCTTCAAAGGGATAATCACCATCTTACCGTGGCACAGGGGGCTGGCTAATGAAAGCAAGAAAGCGGACTGATCAATGGGACAAATGGCGATGTTGCAAACCGTAATGCTCTGTCAGGCATGGAATTCCATTATTCCTTGATATCTGGACAGTCAAACGTTGGACATCACCCCAGCGTACACAACGCTCTTGAGTCTACAAACGAGGTCGGAGACGAGCCATGGGCAATGCAGCACACATACAGATGAGAAGGTATAGAAGGGGAATGGATGAAAAAGTCAACAAGTTTGATTACATCCTCACTTGCTCCAATCTAAGTGTACAAAAATCAAACTCGAGAATTTTCGCGGAAAAAAGAAATCTTTCAAACCAGCGTTAACTCGGGGCAAGTAACCCAAAAATTCATGAATATCAAATATTTCGACGATCATCTTTTCAATGTCTTTTGCTTTTCCGCATCCTTGATCAATTTCTTGCCTTTCACTACCAATCCTTTCCTGCTCCTAACTTTATCCATATACCGCTTAGCAACGTTCTCCCGGTCAGCCAACTCTCCTAAATCCTCAAGTTCTTCCTCAGTTGCGGGTACCCAGAACGGATCTTCGTCCAGCATTTCAAATCCCGCAAAAATAAGCTGCGGTGAAGCAGCGCCTGACGTTCGTTTGCGGATCTCTTCGGAGAATCCAAACGACTCGGCAACAGGAAGAAGAGACAGGATGGTAAAGAACGGTGTGCCTTCTTTCATTGTTTCAGAAAGTATGCGGCCGCGACGTCGAGTTATGACACCGTAGACACGGCCAAGGACTTCGGCTGTTTTGAAATTAGCATCGGCAGGTTACTATCTTGCGATATTTCGGCTTTCACTAAGGCACTTACTCGAAGCTTGGATTTCGCAGCTATACATTGCTAGAAGGATCCGTGGACTCCAGTCCAAGAACCCTTGCCACACTGCGTCGCGGACTAGTCGAATAACCTCTCCTGTGAGTCGACCCATCTCCTCGTCGCCTGTCTCTGTAAGAGTAACATCCTCAATAGACACTGCAATTCCCTGCACAGGTTCGTGGCAGAGTGGTCCCTGGTTCGTGGCAAGCTGAAAGGCGTATGAGATTTTGTCGGAGAACAAACCAGTGTTCCGTTGTTGCTCCTCTTGATTCCCGTTTTGTGCAGCGTCGGTGTTATCGATGAGCTCGGGGAATCTATCGTTTCAGGTTAGTTTGTGGGATTATGACTTAAACCGACAGACTTACAGTCGTTCGAATGCTCCTGTAGACGTTGCATCAAGCAAAAGGTTCTGGCCTGTTCTCCGGGGTCCGAATTCCGCAATCTGGCCCATGACACCTTTCCACCCGTCTCTGTCTTTTGTCTCTGAAAACGCGGCACTGAGCTCTTTCTTGAAGTCCTCCTCCGAAAGGATATTTCGACTCGACATGCTGCTGTCGCCAATCTCCGGACCGTCGTCTTGACCGTCGACTGTGGTGCCGTTGCTTTGCTCTTCGGTAGCGCGCGTACCTCTACCTCTTCTGTGTGCGAAAAAGCGCTTGATGCTCCCGGCCTGTTTTCCAAGAAAGTCAGTAACGGCGGCTGGCAGTGGTCGCACTCTCAGTCGAATCATCAGTTGTTTTGATGCTGAAGTTGCCAGGACTGTTCCACGCGGGAGCTCGGGATTCTTCGGCGGAGCCATCTCCGGCGAACTGATAACGGTTTCCCTATATGGTACAATGGACTCGCCAGCCTGGATTTCGCATTTGGCGTACCGTTCGCGTAAGTCTTTTAGGCAGCGCTCAAGGTGCAATTCTCCTGCGGTCAAAATAACATGCTCACCACTCGGCAACACTTCGTATTGAGCACAGGGATCGCTTCGCTCCAGCATTTTTAGGCCATTTATCATTTTATTCAAATCAGCAGGGTTGACAGGTTCCAAGGCAACTCGAACAATTGGTGGACTGCTCAGAGAAACACCAGCCAAATTTACGGCACCTTCAAGCTGACTGCAAATCGTTCCCGTTTTCATTATATGGCCTTCAAGACCCCCGATTCCAAACACAACACCCGCTGGAACGCTCTCCAGGTTTTCGAGATTTCGTCCCATAAGCAGATATAATGCCGTTATTTTGACTCTCTCCGGTTCGGGGGCAGCATGAGGATATTCCGGAGAAAACTTTGGTGGAAGAACATAGACCGAGTCCCCAACTGACAGTGTCCCAGAATACAAACGAGCAAAGCCGATAAGATGCTCCGGATCTTCTTTCTCCTCCACTGCACCGGTCCCATTGTCTTCAAGACTTGTGGATCCGATCGCACTTGCTATATGAGACAAATCGTCGTCTCCTTGCCCATTTGATTCGGCTTGGAGTTTTGCCAGCTGCTCTCTTTTCCGACGTGCAAGATCCCGTGCTTCTTCTGCTGTCAGAGTACCGCCCCCTCCTCGGCGTGTTTTGGATGGCAGCTCGCTTTCTGGAATAGAAACCATTTTACTAACGTATGCAACTGCTGGGTCGTCCTTCCCGGATCGAAATTTCTCCATCGCATCGCGCACTGCTGGGCTAACAAACGACGAACCGGGAGAGTCATCCAGCATATCGGGAAGCCGAAGAGCTTGAGCTGCTGGAGGGCTTGGGAGATACTCAATAACAGAAACTAGTACGGCTGCTGATAATGGAAGCCATGAAGAGAAAACTGTGGTCAAGATATTTCTCGGATCTCTTGATCTCAGAACGTAAGGAGGTATGGTGATTGAGAGAGACTTTGTGATCTTCTCCAGCAGTGCAGGATCACTAGGAGATGTCAATATCACAATGTAAAGAAATATTCAATCGAGTATATAAACCTACCCTGTTTTGCTTGCTCCACCTGTCGTTGCATTGTAAACCGCCCATATCGTTTCCAAAACCAACTGTACGAACATGGGCTTCAAATTCCTTCCCTTGAGATGTTTCTGGCCGAGTACTCGTTTTGTTTTGGGATCAAGATAATAATCTCCCCACAGAACCTTCTCTAGAGTAGCTCGTTTGATCCCAAGTTTTTTTTCATATAGCCTCGAAAACTGGCGTATGGTAAAGGCCCAGCCGTCCACAGCACTGCAAAAAATAACGTTGTTCTTCTCCGGGGCGAAGTAGAGATCTTCATCATCACCTTCTTCAAATTCTTCCATTTCCTCGACCTGAGGGTCGGTTTCTGTGCGTTTCTTTGACTTATCCTTCTCTTTGGCTGCAGCAGCCTTGACTCGTTCTTCTACTCTTTCTCGCCACAGGAGATCTTCTTCCATACGCTCTCCTTGGTAGAAGCTTCCAATCACTGCGTTAACCTGCTCAAGCAGTCTACTTAAGTGTGAGTAGGCTTCACCAGGACTCATCTTCAACTCCGTAACCAGCCGGTCAACTTTATTAAATACAAGGATTGGCTTGAGCTGTTCAACCCACGTATGGCGCAATACAGTAACAGTCTGGCTGCATACTCCTTCAGCGACATCAACCAGTACTAGCGCACCATCGCAAAGCCTGGAAGCAGTAGATACTTCGCTGCTAAAGTCGATATGGCCCGGGGAGTCGATCAAATTGATAAGATACTCCTTCTTTTCCGGCTGCGCTTCAGGCAAAGATCTTCGGAGCATGGAGAAATGAAGAGATATGGCTGATGATTCCATCGTGATGCCTCTAAGCTGTTCATCTGGGCGGGAATCCAGATAGCGGATTTTCCCCGCCAGCTTAGGCGAGATAATGCCATTAGTGGCGATCAAGCTGTCCGTCAAGGACGTCTTGCCGTGATCCTAAATCGAGCAAGAAATGATATCTTAATAAGGGTATCATGAGCAAAGTGACTTCGTTTCACCTACAACATGTGCGAGGATACAGATCTGCCAAACAGTTAGCTTCTCTTTATCTTTTGGTCAGTGGGGGTTGGCGATTAGATTGGAGGGGCGATCGTGCATTTCGAATATCTTCAGCTTGATGCTGAAGGCGAACAAGATCCTTCAAGTCGACGACCGGCATTTGGACTAGAAGAATCTATAATTATAATAGTATGGAAAATAAAAGCTTTTATCGAAGAAATAATCAGAGGCTGGCTTGCAAGTCAAAACTATGGTGTGAAGGAGAGTTTGCTTCGCCAGACAGGAAAAAAAAAAAGGTGCGAAGTAAAATCTGAAGCAGAAAGCAACAACAATCGCCCTGATATATTGCTTATAAATTCGAAATTTTATCGTTTTTGAACGATTTGAGCCCTGGAGATGGTGTGATTTACAAGCTTGAGTCATCTATATAATTGTCAATGAAGTGTGTATTACTTGATTAACTATCAGTTCGCTGGCATTAGTTTATGACTCCTTTGAGATTAACGTCGTCATCCAGCTACTCTACATTGGTTAACCGCAGCTTGAATACACTATATCAATTAATTTTTCTTCCCCTCAGCTATACATCAGTGCCACCTTGAGATCCAGATGATGGCCATGGAAATGACTCATTATGTGTACAACAGGTTGCGAAGGTGGCCGGAAACCACGACATGAATTCAGCTTGTGCATGTCACATCTCTGTGCAAGATAATGGAGCTGAATGCTCTAAATTGTAGAGGCTAATAACAGAAGTTCTATGGTTTTCAAGTGATCTCGAGTATCTCTGGAGAAATTTTTCCTAAGTACTGACCCTAAGGGATTAGGGTGGGTACAGTTTGGTGATGGTTTGCCCAGGATACGGGACTCTATTCCTAGGTAGTCTGTTGACTTGAGGGAGCATAATTTGATGCAACGTATCTTGGAAATCGATGCCTATGCTTCAGAATTTCAACCGCTCGGCACGTAGGTGGCAAGGGGTTTTGAGCAGGCGTATGGACCGCGAGCAACAATCCAAGACGTCTTAGGACAAGCAATGAACATGACTTTGATAACATACGCAGTTTCCTCTTGTCAAGTACGCCCTTGACCTGGCCACTGAGGGTATTTAACCCCTATGGCCGTCAAATCTTTGGAGCGTCGCAGGTAATAATTAGATAGCAGACACTGCAAAGACCGTTCGCGGCACTTGCAAAGACTAAGTTTCCATCTGCGAAATGGCTTTGAGTACCAGACGGGTTCGGTCGATGGGTTTTTTGGGGGGGGTTTGCTTCGAAATTTTGCATAAACCCAGGGATTGGATCCACAGGCAACGCGAGGCAACGCTCCGCGACAGATAGTTGAAGCCAGACTGTATCTGCCTCAAATATCATGTTTCCGTTTCTTCATCAAATGACAATTTAATTTTCTTTTTCTTTTGCCTCTTTTTCGGCGGACCGGTAACCTTTACTTGGGCATCTTTCTTAGCTGTCTGATCATCATCATCATCTGCAATGACTCTCGCCAATTTTTTCTTCTTTGCACCTCCTATCTCCGCAACCTTCTGGCTAGGAGCCAATTCCGGTGGCTCTGTGGCCTTCTCGTGAGTTTTATCGCTGGTGCTGTTTTGGTTCTGGTCACCATTCTCCGGCCTGCTCGTTGGCTGTTCACTTGTGTTCTCTTCTGCATTCCTTAGCATCGCTTGGTATTCCTCCTTTGAAATCACTTCATTACTCTCTTCATCGACGTAGGTAGGTTCATCGTCCGCATCGGGGTCTTTCGCCTTAATAGGACGCACATTGGACCGCCCGTGGCGTTCACCCGTTCCATCGCCATACTGACTTCGAAGTCTGCGAAGAAAGGCGGGTTCATTCTTGTCTAGAACTTAATTTTAGCCATCGCATATTTATCAGAAACAAAGATGAGCAGCGGACCATATGTAAGATTCTTAGCCTTGAAATTCATTGTCAATCTACAAGGAGGGGGTTGAGGCGCCCGAGATTGAGTATCGAGTGACTGTCGGGCAAAAGCGGCAGCACCGTGGTGAGACAAGGTGCTTTTCTTTTCAAAGGTGACTATATTCGGTTCTACCCAATACTTATACTCGTGTCCCCAGCGCCCATTTGAATATTATCGTAAAGAGCGGTGCGAAGTCGACGTCTGCCCAGCTGGCGAGGTGGTCGCGGAGCGGAAAAGACCCTAGCTCCGAGCAGCTCAGACGGGCAACACTTGAATCTGATCAAACTGCCAAAGAGCAAAGAAACCCAATCCCTCAATTGTCAGCCAGCGAACCCGCCCACAATGCTTTGCGCAAGTGAGATCTCTCTTAGTTTTCGTATTTACATTTAAAGCCGAAGATACTGATATTTTACTCCAGTCTCTGGGGAAGCTCCCCAAGTGCCGGTTGTTTCGCGCAAGAGCGGTACGTCAACGGCCTTGCGACAGGAGCTTTATCGGAGCTGACATTTAATAGGGAATGTTTTCGAAAAGCGACTAATTGAGGCGTACATCGCCGAGCATGGCAAAGAGCCAGTTACCGGCGAAGAACTCACTATCGACGATCTCATTGAGCTGAAGTCTGCACGCGTTGTGCGCCCTCGGCCGCCGACACTCACTTCGATTCCTTCGCTGCTCGGGGTGTTCCAGGAAGAATGGGACGCTTTGGCTTTGGAGACATACACTTTAAGGCAGACTTTGGCTCAGACACGACAGGAACTTAGCACCGCTCTTTACCAGCACGATGCCGCAGTTAGAGTGATCGCGAGACTACGGCAAGAGAGAGATGCTGCGCGCGACGCTCTATCGAAAATCTCCGTTGGTGCTGGACGAGCCCCGGCTGGTGGTGACGCAATGCAGGTGGATAGTACCGGCCTGTCTCCTGCCGTGCTTGCACGGATAGAGGAGACACAGGAGAAGTAATTTTTTTACCACGCGCAGCTTGTGAGGGTTGCTGCTGATTACTCCTTTTACAGGTTATCAAAAACGCGCCGCAAGCGTCCTATTCCCGAAGACTGGGCAACCAGCGAGACAATACAGCAATTTAAGCCCGTTGCTACCTCCGAGTCACTCTATCCTGGGGGTGATTCTTTGTCGCTCAATGAATCTGGGGAGTTGGCCTTGGTTGGAGGTGTAGATGGCGTTGCCGGTATATACTCATTGGTCGATAAGGCCATCGTGGCTTCTTTGAAAGGTGGCGGTGGTGCGATTACCGACACGATGTGGGTTAACGACAAAGCTGTCATCTCAACGTCCACCGGATCAGTCAAAGTTTTCGAGAATGGAGCCGAGGTTGCGAGTTTCAACTCGCACGCGGGTGCGGTCACAGCTTTGGCGAGACACCCAACTGGAGATATTGTAGCTTCTGTTGGTGTTGACAAAAGCTATGTGCTGTATGATCTCTCAACATCCACGGTTGTTGCGCAAATTTTCAGCGACTCTGGTAAGAAGCTTTTTCTACGTCGGTATTGCATTTGCTAACAGTATCAAAGCGCTATCGTGTGTCCAATTTCACCCTGACGGCCATCTAGTTGCCGCCGGCGCTGCTGATGGACAGATAAAGATCTTTGATGTCAAGACCGGATCAAATGCTGCGAGTTTTACCTGCTCTGGGCCCCTCAAAACTTTATTCTTCTCGGAAAACGGAACCTGGTTGGCATCTGTTACCGAAGTATCCTCTAGCGTTTCTATTTGGGATCTCCGTAAATCAGAGGTGGTGAAAGTCTTGGAAATTGGCAACAGGGTGGACTGTCTCAGCTGGGATTACACGGGCCAGTTTTTGCTGACCGGCGGACCAAACGGCTTGACCGTGCAACAGTATTCGAAGTCAGCAAAATCATGGACCGAGCCTCTTCGAAGTGCAGTTCCTGCGGTTGCGGTTGGATGGGGAAGATCAGCTCGTAATATTGTGGCTCTCAACACAGACGGAGTTCTGACACTGGTTGGATCGGAATGATAATGAGGAGTTCAATTTCCTTGCTTGTACGGAGTATTGCTAAGTAGTATTATGGTGCTTTTTGAAAAGCGGACTTTGTTCAGGTGTTTTTTTTTTTTTTTTTAATTGAATACAAGGAATTTTCTTGCTTGGCTGGACCAAAAATCCCTCTTTGATCTCATGACAAGCACGTCACGCAAAATCCTAAAGGCCATAAATAAATCAAGGTTGTTGGCTGGCGGGATTATTAAACCAGCGCTGGGCCCTGGCGGCTGGTGACATAGCAACTGGTTTAGTTCCCTCCATTCGCTCTGTAACCTTAACTTTCGGGCATAGAGATAAGACTCGGTGCTCGCAGCCGACCCATCTTTCCAAACCATCTCCTCCCATCTCCAAGTTCTTCCGCTTCTTCCACCATCTCCGACCTCCTGTACGGGCCCATCCGTCTTGACATCCGCCACAATGAACAGGACTCCCTCCATCCAGTTTTTAACATCGACACCGTCAAGAAAGGTGAGTTATTCCTTCCCGGCGACTGGTGGCGGCCAGCGGGGTGCTTCCACCCGCTGCACACCTACGGACTACGAGGACTGATGGAATTTTTCTTTGCACATTCTTAGCGTCCCCATGACCAAATATCTGGCTCCAATTCTGAAAGCAGAAGTGAATCTCCCTGGACAGCCCAGGAAGAGGCGTCTAATTCTGCCAACAGCCGTTCATTTGGCGGTGCACGCTCACAGAACCTTCAACTTCCACGAATAAGATATCCCGGGGACGGATACGATTATAGAAGACCTATCATGTCGACCGGAGTGCCTCCACCCCCTCCCTCTTTCCTACAAGCCCAACCGCAGCCAAACGTCATCGACTTGACCCAAGATGACTCTAGCCCTCCCTCTCGCTCACCGCAAAGGTCTTGGATTCCGTCCTCGGGAAGTAGACCAACAGGAGCAAGTCGACCACCGCGGTTCGGAAGGAATATCATGGCAGATGTTGTCAATTTGGAACAAGAACCAGGGCAGTCTCCAAGCAACAACCAACAATCCAGCCCTGAAGTACAGTGGTTAGGATCCATTTCTCGGGGAGCTCGCCCTAGAACACAGCCTCAACAAACTACCTCTTCGGAGCATCATCATAGAGGTTTGCCTTTCAGGAGGGGCGGCCTGATGAATTTACTAAGGGCCGATAGACTGGCCCTAAACCGAACCCAAGAATTCGCGGAAGAGATGGCATTGCGCACAAGGGATATTGTCGCCTTCAGTCATGCTATGACGCCTTTCTGGATTGGTGAAGCGCCTAGGCATGGAATAGATCTGACCATTGATCTTGATAATCCGCAGATGGATTTAACTCTCGTTGGGCTTGAATCGTTGAACCCGGACGGTCGCCCGACTTCTCCAGCGTATCAATCGCCTCCTGCGCCCCCGGCGGGTTTTACTAGGACCGCCGGTGAAGATGATGTCGTAATATGTCCTAATTGCGAGCATGAACTTGGGACTGGGGATGATCCTATACAGAAGCAAGTGTGGGTGGCAAGATCATGCGGTCATGTTAGTACTTCCACACACCCCCAACTCTCTCTCTCTTTTTTTCCTTTTTGTATATCGGTTGCTAATTACATATTAATGTAGGTTTACTGCGGGCTATGTACGAAAAACCGTGCTTCATCTCGTGGGAGGAAAGCAGCCGTACCTGCAAAGACAAGACCTTTCTCAAAGTGTGTGGTCACTGACTGTGGAAAATCAGTCAGTCAACCGAGGACAATGCTCCAAATCTATCTCTGATATTTGGACATTGCTTTTATCCCTATTTTTATCCTGGCTCTCAATTTCTCAAGGTGCATTTTTTTGGCGACGGTGTTTTCCGGGCAGTAATTGGAGGGGGCATGATGGCTATTTTTTATTTCTTTATGATACAGTTTCCATGGTTGAGCCATTTCAAGACAATTGTGCTAAGATGTTCTCGCATTGGCAGTGGATTTTGGCCTGGGATTCATGCTTAAGCTTATAGTGTATTAGGACCATTGGATCGGGCACAAGGGAATGCAATATAGATCGGACAATTGAAATACAAAGTATTTCAAATGGATGATTCTTTATAATAGATAATATGCCACTAAATAAATAAACCCATTGGCAATCTTCATTGAAACTGATCCCCAAACTCCTACGCCGTTCACATGTAACCTCCAAGTAGTACTGTCACGCGCATCATATCATCTTGATGTCGCCATGATAAGGGTCCCAAATACCTCTGACGCTCTCGTTTGTGCTGGAAACAGGATTTCTCACCGTCTTCAGTTTCTCTCCGCTGGCTTCTTTCAAGAGAGTAGCTTTCTGGAGGATCTGATCCTTCTCAAGGTTTCGGACGCAGATGGCTTTCTCGCGGCCATTAATATAATGGCCTTTGATGATAGGGTGTTTGTGCGGTCGCGGTGATATCCGGATTTCGATTTGGGGGTTCTCTGCGGCGAATTTGGGGAGAGCATGGCGGAGGAAGGAGCTGGAATGAGAGCAAAGTGAAGGTTATCAGCAAGCAATGTTTCTGTGAAAAGTGCAGAGCCGTGGCATTAAAAGCCAATGCAAGACAAAGCTACAATGAATAGCTTACTTCATGCCCTTTGAGCTCCCGGCCCAGTCGCAGTAGTGAAAGTCAAGACGCTTGCATTGTAGGATAAATGCGCCCACGCCGTTCTGCACTTGTGGGTTAGTCGAGTCCGTTTCGAGGGGGATTGGACAAGGGTCAAACATACTCGGCCCGTGGCTAACGCCTTCACTCCCTGAATCGGCATTGTGACACTCTGGTTTCCGCACTGTGGTGTTGTTTCTCGAGCTGCCGTCTGCTGTCTTGCGCTCTGGAATTTTTGGAGGAGCCAGTAAATCGAGATCTGATTGGCTGGTAGCACTGCATTTGGGCGCGCTAGCGTGACACTGCCGCTTTACCGAATTGGGATTTTCTCGGCTTCACTTGAAGTCGCCAGTGGCACATCAACAACTCTCTGGCCGACCAGCACAGCGAGACGCGCTCCCAGCTCTGACCACTCTTCCTGTGGCTGTTCTGGGATGTGCTTTTGTTTTCTACATCCCTTTCTCCCATTCTTCAATTTGGACTTACTTTATTTAGTGTCTGTTTTGAACCCTAACTTGCTGCCATAATGACAGACAAGCTTCCTGCCAACCTCCTGGCACTGTTCGCACCTCGGCCGCCACTCAAATATTTAAAGCCTATAGATCGCGCGCCAGAAGACGTTCGACAGAGTGATCTCACTGGAGTCGCCCAGTTTGTCGGCGAACTACAGAACTATGCCGAAGAGGTGCCGTACAATGCAACAGAAAGCTGGCTTCAGCGCAAAGCGAGACAGAAGCAAGAGAAGAAAGAAGAACTGGACAAATATCTCACAGAGGGGCTGAAAACTTGTATGACGGCCATCTAACCTTCCGAACCAATGTTTTATCGGCGGAATCATTTATATTGTTCTCCGTCTGCTAAACTCCCTGTTCAGATGATCCCAGTTCCGACCCGCAAGTTAGAGGCGACCCCTTCAAGACCCTGTTTGTCTCGCGTCTTAGCTACGACGTGAAAGAAGCAGACTTGGAGAGAGAGTTTGGGCGGTTCGGCCCGATCGAAAGGGTAGGTCTGCATTAAACAACGCAAACTTTCAAGTGACTGACCAAGCCGCCCGCTCTAGATTCGAATCGTCACTGATCCATCAAATACGAATCCAAAAAAGAAACATAGAGGCTATGCATTCATTGTCTACGAGCGTGAATTGGATATGAAGGGTACTGAATCCCTTAGCGGCTTCAATCTTTCCTATATTCTCCCCCTCCCCCAAACAAAAAAAAGAAATCCCTTTTCCCCTTTCCGACAGGTCGTCAGGTCAGGTAATGTAAGAGTCATGACTAACACTATGAAACCCATTCGACTATATAGCGGCATACAAAGAAACAGATGGTATTCGCATAAAGGACCGGCGCGTTTTAGTGGATGTTGAACGAGGTCGTACTGTTAAAGGCTGGAAACCGAGACGATTCGGAGGCGGTCTAGGAGGACGAGGATATACAAAAGCAATGCCTTCGCGACCAATGGGACCTGGCGGATTTGCACCTTCTGGCCCCGGTGGGTTCCAAGGTGGTGGTTTCCGTGGTGGTTTCGGAGGTAGAGGTGGATTCCGAGGTGGATTCAGGGGTGATCGTGGATATGGTGGACGTGGGGGTATTGGGTATCAAGGTGGAAGAAGCGGATTTGGAGGTCCTCCTAACGGAATAAGCGCTGGTCAGCCTCCACCCAACGCTCCCTCGGGCCCTGGCGGCGCTCGTGCTGGTGGTCCCGATGATAGACGTGGGGGATACGACGATAGGTCGTATAGAGGCGGCTCCAGATATGACCGATCTGGCGGTGTCACAGGAAGCAACCGTGAACCGGTAAGACCCAGGGATGCATATGATCGAGATAGAGACAGCCACAGGGACCGCGATAGAGATCGAGATCGAGATAGGCGTGACCGTGACAGGGATCGAGGTCGCGATCGGGACCGAGACAGGGATAGGTATAGCCGCCGTGACGATGATTACTCCAGGAAGAGATACCACGACGGTGACGATTATGATGACCCGCGCAGCAAACGGAGATACTAAGATACTGAGTTCTCAACTTCAACACGGGTTTGTTGGTTTCCTTCGTTCGACTTCTACTCTCCCAGGTACCTCTCAGGGTAAGACCAACGATGTTCACGGCTCATCATTCCGTCATGGCCCATGCCGAAAGGGGGATATCCATTGAAAGTCCTTCTAAAGCGTTCTGTCATTAACATCCATTGGTGATCCGACTCGCATAATCCGTTTCACTTTTCGGGCCCCCTTTGCCCAAATGGATTATCGGCTGTCTATTTCTTGGTCGACGGCGAAACATCTGTGGCTTTCCAGCTTGCCTTGCTTATGCTTCTCTCTATTTGCCATTCGAATATTTGTTTTCTTATTTTAGTTTGTATGGGGGTAAGTATGTATATTATGATGAGTTGGAAAGAACGGGCGAATAGGTTTCTTTTTTGTCGGAGTCCTAGGTAAGATCAAGGTAAGGCTGTTTGGCATTTCCCAAACATTCTTCGGTTTGATCCCCTGTGATCCCGCGCAAAAAAATCTCGTAGTCATTTTATATCCCAGACTCTTCGCTAAGACTTTTCTGTAAGGTATCTCTTTATGTACTTCGTAGTTTGTAACGCAACACAAGGACCCACTGCAACCTGTCCTGAATACAAATCAATCCCATCCGAACAAAGGGCGCCGGGAACTCCTTAAACCAAAACTCCAATCGAGATGCGACGAACCGAGACAATATCCCCGCTGATCACCCTGATTTTTGCTTTTTAATGGTCAACTTCCATGCCTTCATCCTTCTGCAAGACCTCCACTTCTCCCGTCTCCTTAGTCCAATGGGCTCTCATCTCAACTCTAAACTCCGCAACCGCGACTCCAAACATCTTCAGCAACGTCGTCTGCCGCGAATCGAGCGTCTCTCCAGCCTTGCACACTTGGTACCCGCCTTCCATATCTAACGTCACTTTACCCCTCACCAATCTTGTGGGCACCCCTAATTTTCTCAAAGTGGGCTCGATTGTATGACTTATCGGCTGGTCGTGCTCTTCGGGGATCTCGCCTGCATGGGCGTATACGATTCCCGAAGGGATTGTAAATGCGCGTGGCGATACATTACCAGCACGAGCAAAGTCCATAGGGTGAAATGACGAGAAGTAGTCGAGGACGGATTTGGGAGAGCGGGAGGTGAAGAGGAGACCGACAGCCCCGTTGAGGTAGGGAGAGAGCTTGTCGAGGTTTGGAGCGAAGGCAGTCTCTGGGTTAGTACCGAGAGCGACGGCCATTACTTTGGTTTTACCAAAAAAGAGTCTGGGGGAAGCTGGTTAGCATCTCACCCTACTATGCTGTTTGCAGCCCAAGATGATGCAGGATGAATGATGACGTACCGTCCGTCTTCCGAAAACTCGGTTCGCACATCTTTTAAGTATGTATTTCGCATATTATCCACCGAGAAAACAAAGAGGTGGTCATAATTAGATACGGCTTCCTGGACGTTGGCGTAGAGTCGGCGGGTTTGCTCTTTGTGGGATTTCTTGGTGACCTTGGACTCGTGGACAATCTTTGCCCGCTTGGAAACAGGCATGATGGGCAATCGCTCTCCTTTCGCTAACCAATCCTCGAGAACAGACTTATGCCAGGTATTGTCTCGAGAAAGAGTACAGGCAAGGAGGAAACCGGGTCAGCGAGCTGTTTGGTCTGACGAACTCAATTTTTTGGGATTTTTTGATTTTCGATAAGATTATGATTGCGCTAGTCCCGACGCGGAAATATGATACGATTAGATAAGCCTAAGGCCGATCAGATAAGATATGACCGCAGCTCGTCGCTGACACGACCGGCATACAGCATCTCGGCAACGGACGAAGACCAATTTTCTCTAAGAAACCGATAAGAATACCTGAACAATTAATGGAGCATCAAACCAGAAGATAACCTTGAATCTGTCTCACAATGATAGATTTTATGGACTATATCCAGCTCACCTTCTCCGATGCCACACACTGGAATAGAGATAATTCCTACACTGCGCTCACCGATACCGCCAATGGTAACATTTTATCCCTGGCGTACCATTTTATTGATAGTAGTTGCAGAGACTAACGCCTTCCATCAACGTGGCCAGCTCTCCTCGATTTTTCCATACCAGAACGGCTCCGCGTTCACCTCTCATCTCTATCCACCCCCCAATTCGCGACCACGTATACACTTGGCACAGTAGGCCTTATCGATGGCTCCATATCGTACTTATTTAGCACCCTGCCGCTGGAGAGCACGCCCAGCAGGAGCACCCTGATCCCGTTGCGGAGATTAGTACCGGGATATAGGCAGATTCATCCTCCATTGGCGCCGGAGAGCCCGAATGAGTCTCGACATGCAGAGCCCAATGAAAGGAGTGAAAAGGCGTTACAAAGCTGGCGAAAGGAGACAATGCTTCACGCCACATTGCATTTGCCCCCTCCAACGACCTTGAACGGCTTATTCCTCCGTCGAATCTCACCCACAACACAGCTCTCTTTGGCAGTATGCTCAACGCAGGCAACGCCGCTGTCTAAATCCACCCCTCAAGCATCAATATTAACGCAGCTGTCCCACGACACCGGAAAGTATAGTGCAGAATTTCTATTCAGCACCGACAATGCACTGTTAGGATTCAAAGGGCTGTGGAACTTCGGGCCCGACCCCAGACATGCGGCGACCGCACAGCGTCCAAGGACTGCATCTCAATCGGTATCATTACTTTCCGCAGGCGGAGAGATGTATTATTCTCCTCTTTCTTCCGTCGTAGGCCTGTCAACAGGCTTACGCTTTACTACCTTGCCAGCAGCATCGGAGTCTACACATTCCTCGTCATCTACGCATCCAGCGCAATCACCCATTTCCACATTTCCATACACGCTTACCCTCACATTGACACCGTTAACTGGCTCCTTGTCGACGACGTATTCTCTCCTCGCGTCGCCGAATTTGGCATTTAGCTCACGATTCGGATTTAACGTGTATAGCTGGGAAAGCGAGATGGTTGCTGGATGCGAGTTGTGGAGACGGAAGAAGAAGCGACATGCAAGCACGTTAAGCGACAAAGATGATCTCTCCTGGGCGAAGAGGAAGATGGGACTGTTACCTCCACTTCCTCCGTCACCGGTGAAAGGGACAAGTGCAAGTGCTGTTACTCCAGCAGGAGAACAGAAGGAATCCGATTCGGTGATAAAGCTCCGCGTGGATCAATCCCTGAACGTCCGACTGCTTTGGGAGGGTAGGGTTAAGGATCTCCTAGTCAGCGCTGGTGTAGGACTGGGGCCATCGTTGCCTTCGATTGGCGGAACCACATATGGGTGGACTGGAGTTGGTGTGTCCGTGTTATATTCAACATGAACGACATCTAGACAATGACTGACAAACAAATGAAAACATAAAATGTATATGGATTTATTTCTATCAGAGATAATCCAAGTAATCAGGTATGTTACAGGAATATTTTATGTTCCGATGGTTGGTTTGCTCCAAAGTCATGAGTTTGTCACTTTTGTTTTCTCATTTAGAGACGAGCATTGACAATGTCAACGACTGCATGGGAGAGTCAGTAGCTATTTAACCTTATGGGGGAAGCAGTAACACTCACATGCTGGCTTCAAACTAGCTCCACCGACCAGGAATCCATCAACATCCGCTTGTTTAGCAAGTTCCTTGCAATTCTTCTCATTGACACTGCCGCCATAGATGATACGGAGGTTCTCAGCAACACTGGGCGAAACGCTCTCCGCGATGTACTTGCGGACTGCAGCATGGACCTCTTGGGCCTGCTCGGTTGTGGCAACCTTGCCGGTTCCAATGGCCCTGCAATCAAAACAAAGCTTCAATTAGCGGCTGAAGACTAAAAGGAATAGCAAGTGTTCCAAACGTACCAGACGGGCTCGTATGCAACAACCAATTTAGACCAGTCCTGGGCGCTGAGTCTGGAAGCAACTGCGCCTAGTTGTCTGGTCACAACATCGACAGTCTTGTCGGCCTCACGCTCCTGTTATGCCTTGCGCGTCAGAAATTTCGCTTCCGTCCGGATCATCTGCATGTGGAAAAGTCCGCACCTCAAGAGTCTCTCCGACGCAGAGAATAACGCTCAATCCGCCATCAATAGCAGACTTGGTCTTGCGTGCAGCAAACTGCCATCATCGATCAGCGGTCAGCGCACAGAAATAATCTTGTGAATAGAGAAAAAGTAAAGTGGGCAAGCGGTCTTTACGTCGTCATCCTCCTTCAAGATAACTCTCCGCTCACTGTGTCCAACCAATGTCCAGGAAATACCGCAGTCCTGCAATTGTTCCACGCTCAACTCACCAGTGTACGCTCCCATGGGCTTATCGAAGACATTCTGAGAGGCAACGCCGATCTTGGGATCGGCAAGGCTACGGGAGAGGATGAGGTAGAGGGAAGGGGGGGAGATGACGACTTCGGTGTTGGGATCGAGATTGGCGCTGTTAAGATTGGTGATGATATCGGTGATGGACTTTTGAGTCCCATTCCTATGTGAATAGAAAAGAAAATCGTTTCAGTCGCGGTAAACAAGTTTTGGCTGCCATTGTTTGGCTAAAGTGGGATGCGGCTTCATATCTAGACTTACATCTTGAAGTTACCGCCAACGAAGAATTTGCGAGCCATGGTTGCTGGATTGGATCTAGCGGATAGAAGTGAAGATAGAGATGAGTAGAGGTAAGCGATTCGGGAGGTTCAAACAGTGTAGTGGAATGCGCTGGAGAAGAATACAGAATACAATCTTGAATTCATGGGCGGGGGAGGGGCACAAAGTGCGGCAGAATTCGGGTTGCATGTCGTCTGCCAAGAAATTACTACAACGTCGTCCTGATCGAGACAGGATGCCATCCGGTCACATCCTCTTGCTAGAACCCTGGATGTCATTTTGTTCAAATCCCACATCTCGGCCTTTGGTCAGAACCGATGTTGGAACTGAAGAATCTGAATTAGCATGACTTGAATGGGAACCCAAATGCAGACTCCCCTGTTGCTCCATAACTACACGTGAAGTACATATTTATTTCTGCCGTTCCTGAATTTGACCGATTCCTCATATTTCGCATCCTGCAGCCGGGGGGCCGGTGAGGATGAGTATCTTGTTCTGCTAGCTCTGTGTACAGAGTAGAGAGGTTCCATATCGCCCAAATCGCTTCAAGTTCATTTCAGGGGCTTCCACCCCTTCAGCGTTCAATGATTATGCCACCGTGGATTGCAGCCCGATGTGTTGGATTGTTCTTTTCCCTGCTTCTTTTTGGCAAAAGGTTTTCTTGCTCATCTTGGTGCTCATAGAGCGAAACCTGCAGCAGTTCGCTTAAGACTAACTAAATGCCTCAAAACTTGTCTAGGACTCAAATGTTAAGAACTTCATACGCCGTTAGAGGTTTATTTCGCTCTTTAGTAGCGAACTGTTGACCCTGATAAATTCTAAGCTAAGTGGCACATTTGGATTATTAAAACTCCTCTTAACTTCATAACTATTCAACATAGTCATTAGCTAAATGCCAAATGACTGCTGGATCAATCTAAGGTTGACTAGAAACAAAATCCAAGACAGCAGACTAGGGACACTGCGCATAAGGATACAGTTCTCCGAAGATGTATTCTGTCAACATGACATATAATATTTGGTATACAAAGGAAGAAAAAGCAGAGGGACGGTCCCAAAAATGGAACGGCTCGAGGCTGGAATCAAGTGAATGCATGTGTAATTTACTACACCATATCACACTTGTTCATGAAAACCTTTCCCGGAACGAAAGTTTTAGCCGAAAGAAGATGAACATCAAACAGAAAGGGTAGTTAAGTACCACTTAAGAAAGAGTGCAGGATGGGCGTATGTTCAAGGTCAATGCCACTGAACAAATCAGGCTCCTGGTTTGCTTCGAAAAGTAACACGGCTTCCTTCTCGGATATCAGCCGTGATAGAACACACAAACGAAATGAAGGTCATGCCACATCCAATCCAGTTTGGAAGGCTGTTCATGATGATACAAAAACTTCTGGAAGCAAAGCAAAAAAAAAAAAAAAAAAAAAAAAAAAAAAGGAAGAAGAAAAGAAAAGAAAAGAAAGACAAAAAAGAAAAAAAAACGAAAAAGAAAAATCTTTTAAAACCGAACACCGTACACGGTCATCCTTACAATGGGTATCCCTGTATCCCAGCTTTCCTAGTTTACCGTTCCTTGCGCAAATAATATCACAAACACTGAATAGCAGATAAAAACGAAACAATAGTACACTTAACGAAACAGGGGGCGTTCTGCCCCATGGTACATCGAGCCGCGTCGGCGAGGAGCCTCGAACTTGGAACGGAAACGACCGCGATCTTGATCGTCGTAGGAATCAACGACGGATGATCGACGCTCAGCACGCCCGGCTCGCTCCATTCTCATCTCACGACGCTTCACGTCCCACTCACGGCGTTTCAGGTCGTCCTCTTTCAGCTGCAGACGTTTTCTCCAGATGTAGTCGATTTCTTTTTGACGCTCCATCTCCTCACGCTCCCATTCTCTCTGGATCAGAATGTCATTGGTCAAGCTTGTATATCGAAACGGAGATTTGTCTCGAGATGAAATAGAGGTCTGTGCAGACCGTCCTCCATGGATTAACTTCAACGATGGGCGAGAACTATAGGAAACCGATGCCGAACGGATAAGCGGCCCGCGGTGCATGCCTGTAGCTGGAATAATATCGACCTCTCCACGGCTATATTGACTATCTCGGCTTCGCGGGCTAGCGGGGTATTTAGACCCGGGACGGCGGTGTCTGCGGTAACCAGAGGTGGGCTCGTTACTTTCCCTAGACGCATGTTGTGATCCTCCGGTTCTATAATTCTTGCTTTCGAAGTCGTCAGCGATGAATGAATCATCAGTTTCCGACGAGTCGTCAACGTGTTCGAAGAGCTCAGACTCATTATCCCCGTTGCTGCTATCCTCAAGCCACTGATCGACGGCATATATGTTTTTGGGTGTGATTTTTTTGCCCACATGCACTATCTCAGGCGCCTCATGCATTTGCTTCACTTGAACTGGCGTCTCTTGTTTAAGTGACCGAGGCAAGGACTGGTGATCAGGTACTGAATGAATTGGCGGGACTGGGGGAATATGTGGATGGGATTGACGTGGTGGTCCATTCACGACTTGAACACCGGGCGGGATATTTCCTTGTCTCGTTGGATGCATCGGTGGAAAAGCACCTTTGGGGACAGATAATCTCTCGGAGTGTTGTGGAGGCGGATGATGTGATGGTGGCGGTGGTGGTGGTGGCGGTGGTGGTTGCAGGTTAGGTTGGGGCTGGGGTTGTGCTTGGGGATGAACTTGCTGCGGTTGCGGAAATGGTGGTAGGGGCTGTTGTTGAAGTGGCTGTGGGCGAGGGTCGGCTTGCGCTCCATGTCCTGGACCCGTACCAGCGTATGATGGCAATGTGGGTGGGTGAGTGGCCTGAGGCCGAGCGCTTCCAGCACCTCCCGAGATAGGATGTGGCTGTGAGGCATCATAATGAAACGAGACTCTTGGACGAGGTTGGCCTCGTACGTTTCCCTTAACGTTGGATGCTGGGTCATTCTTAAAGCGAGGTGATTTCTTCTGCGAATTCCGAGGTGACAATGAAACGCCGGGCTTTAGCGTCTTTTCCAAAACCAAATTGATAGTTGTAGTAACTAACATCGCGGTGAACCCTCGACGGCCGGTTTCCTTATTGATGGCTTGGATATAAATAACGTTCCAGTTAAACCGACCGTCTTTCCTTCTTAACTCCTCTATCAGGTCGTCGATTTGCTTGCGCTTCAACCGGCCAAGGCTGCTGTAGGTTTTTGCAACGGAGCCTTTCTTTTGCCCTTTAACGAGTTTACGAAGATCTTCCTGGGTTAAATTCATTCGTGACTTCGTAACGCGAGACCAATCCGGCTCCTGGCCAAGTACGGTAGGCTTCGCGCGATACAAAGACCACCCTTGGTATGGCTCTCTTCCCTCGTCTTCGTCTTCGTCTTCGTCCTCGTCACAGCTATCTTCCTCGTCGGTAAAAGAGTTGTCTTTCTGGAGAAATAGGTTCCGGTCTAACTTTTCCTGGGCTGCACCGCGAACGAGCACAGGATCAAGATTGAGCTTTTTGAACTGAGCATTGACTTCATCCAGCGGGATGGACTGGTTGGCATTGGGTAGCCCATTGACATGAGCTCGTGCCATCTCCCTTTTCAGGAGCTCTGGGTGGTGTGCATGAGGGACTTGTGGCGGTGGCATCGGCGGCCGAAAATTGGAATTCTCGTTCGACATGGCAGCCACAGGTTAGAGCTGGCCTGATAAAGTGGCCGCTTCTAATAACGACGGTTAATGACTGTGATGAACAATAGAACGAGATATGATTGAATCAAACGACATGTTGTGTAGCGAGCGAGGAGGAAAGAGCTTGACATATATACCTAGTGCGCTAGAGACTTTCACAGTTGGGAGGGTCTACGATTTGTCAAATTGACACACACTCAAGATTGCGTTTATAGAAAACGCCTTTCCCGTAATCGGCAATCGTAACAAGGCAAAGCAGACAATAAAGGGCTGTGAAACGCGAATTTCGAGCCTTGGAATAGGGGAGCCTTCTTCCCACACACCATCTAAATAAAAAAAGTAAAAATAAAAAATTGGAGAGCGAAAACCTCCATGGACATAAGGATGGAAAAAAAAATAATCGAGACAAAGTTTGGGATCTAGTTTGTCAGGAGACCGAAAACTCAATTCTTTACTCTCCCTTCCCTTGAGTCAGAGTACTTGCTGCAGATTGTTCCCCGGTATTCGGGAGCCTGATGCAACAATAGAACTGCTGCCTTGTGGCGTAGTCCCAACTCAAATGCAGGACAAGGGCAGGGTCTAATGATTGATTGGCTCAGAGGCGGTGTTGACAAGAGGGGATTGTCGAATCGGTGATATTGGGGGCATGGGCCGGCGCCCTGTTAGAGTGAGCAGCTGAAACGGCCCTTCGCGGTGGAGCTGGGCCATCACGAGTTTGCTTGATAAGCCACTCAACTGCTTGAAACTGAGGTTGAGCCTGGATGATTCTGATGAAAAGAAGACGGGAGATGGTCACGCCACTACCATCATCGACTACCAAAGGCCCCAGAAGAGGCCAAACAACGTCCAGCTCCTCGGCCATACCCTTTCGCCTTCACATAGTCATCATCGTGCGAAGGCAGCTCATAATGGTTCGGGAGGACAAATTCCCAACGTTTCACCGCAAGTAGTCGTGTTGGATATCAACCCACCAGAAAAGCACTGGACGGGTTGCCCCCCTCCAAGGTGGGATTTTGACCAGGGATGCCCCTCACCGTTTTCCGCTTTGTGCGGATCACATGATTGCCAAGGGCACACTCCAACCATTTTCCAAGGTAGTTGGTACGAAGCTGTGGCTCAAACTAGCAGGGTCGCTGGAAGGCTGTGGCTGGATGGCTGCAAGATGTCGTCAGGCTGACTCCATGATGGTCTGCAGGACCAGGTCTTCTCGTACTGATAGGCTGAATCGCGATGGCCGACGTTGGCGGGCAGAGGAGTTGGTTGGCTGGTTGGCTGCCGGGCTGCTTTGGTGGGGGAGTCGGCGCTAAACCCGATCTGGCTTAGTTGGCCCGTAGGCCTCCCGCCGTAACTCTCCACAGCGACTTGAAGGGTTGTCAGTGGTCAAGGGCAATATTACCGAAGACGGATAACGTCAGGAGGCAACTAGATGAATTTCTCCTTCAATCCAATCATGGCGAGTAAAAGAAACGTAGATGACATCCGGGCATACGTCCAGAAACTTTTTCAGCCCCAAAAGACGTCCTGTCACTGGCAAATGGCTCTCATAATACACCTAAAAACGGAATAATGCCAAATTTCAAGCCCCCTGGCAGCGTATGAATACAGTACCTGCTAAATCACCAGCTTCCTTTTTTCATATTGTTTGGGTAGATCGCCTTTCTCAAGATCAGGAGACAGGGCTGTGTGTACCAAGTACAGTACAGTGCTCTATATTCTGTACGTAGGGCATACGTGTTCTGGAATACGCGCTTCGAAAGCAGCAGTCGTGGAAGTGCCATTTCAGCCTTGTGGGACTTGGATGTAGTCATGTGTGCATGTACGTACTCCAGTGCGCATGCTTAATACAATATCATTGTCTTTCTGTCCTCAAGTCTTGTGATTGGTGCGACCCGGTCCTCGTACTGTACCATCCAAGACGCACACAATGTAGGAAGCTTGGAGGGCGAAATAGCGGACAAGCCTGGTCATAGATCATGACTCTCTCGCGGATTCTTTGTCCGTGACGCCCTGCATCTTCCAGTTTTCCCCGTGCGAGGCGGTTACCTTCCGTATCAGCCTTGACCTTACCGAGCAACACGAAGGACTCGGCATTCCTCTTCCTGTTAAAACAGCAAATTGAACAAAGTCAAATGAAAGATTCCCCAAGAATTTCTCCACGGTGTAGCACTGATATGCACTCAATCAAGCCTCACTTTCAAACTATGTCTGCTGAGCAAGACGCGTTCGGCTCCTTTTGAGCTTTTACACGAGAGGCATTGCGCCTTGCGGTCGACTGCTGACTGGATGACATAAGATATACCTTGATGCTGGACTCGGAACGCTTCAGCCTCTAGCGGCAAGTTTCCAAGTGTAGCGCCAAATATTGGACGTGGATTTTATGGAAACGGAGAATTGCTCCTGTTCAGCCGCAACCCGATCGATGCGGTGGGGGTTAAGGGTTATTTCGGAGCCGCAATGCTCTAAGCAATGACAAGGTAATAAATATGCAGAGTGCTCCTCTCAAATCAAAGAGCCGGAACAACAAAACATGGCGTTAACCGCTCCGCCACAGTTGGCATCCGATCATTCCTGTCCTTGTTCATCGGTAAGTCCTCATAATGCAAAAGGCGGCCAGTGACCAAGTATTCTGCTGCTCTGTACCAATGTACCAATGTAAAATAGTAAAAAGGCGGTGAGGCCCGTTGCAGCTTCATTATGGCAGCCTTTTAAAGAGTGACGGACCAAATCGAGATTCAAGTCTGGGTTTCCTTGAAAAAGGCCATTGGAGAGATTTGCATAGCCCACAGGTCATGTTTGACCTCTGGAAGACGGCGAATTGGCTATGGCAAAGAGAGCAAGAGGTACATACCATGTGGGTATGTCCGTTCAACCAGTTTAGCTTATCACGCTTTTTCCTGCTGCCAATCACCTTGAACTCATCTTTGATGCCTTAATGATGAAGACAAACAAACCCATGGGGCAAGCTTGAACAAAGTGGCTTGGCATGCTGGTCCAAATTCCGTGTGGCCGGTTTTAGTTAGCACGCCAAGCTCCACATTGTGAGTTCCGATCATCCTGCGCTCAACATCTCGCATCTTCAGAAAACAGTTTCACCTCTTTTTCCGCTCGGGCTTTGGCTAGTTGACTAATATGTCCGCTGAACCAGCAATGGATTTTCAGTTGAAGGTTTTCCTAGTTGTTCCCTTCATAGATTTTCAGTTGCCTGTCGTCTTCTTCTGTGGCTCTCCCAATCACGCCGCTCGCAATAATAGCAGGGTTCAATGTTCACGCAAGCCAAAATGGCGCTCAGATATATATACTTTGATCCATTGACTCTGAAGTCCTTGTGCTCGAACTTCCAGCCAAACGCTGGCTTCTTCAAAGGAGGGTGGCTGAAAACGGACAATGGACAGATTAGCGAGGGCTTAACGCCAGCAGCCGAGAGGGCATACTAATAAGCGAGGAATTCTTTCATTTGGCCAATTAAGCAAGTCAGTTGCGAAAGCATAACCCGTTTGGCTGATTCATTTCCTTGATAATAGCGGCATTGATCTGTCGCAAAAGCTTTTTGAGAAGGCATTTTAAGCTTCTCCTTACTAGCGGTCTTCCCCCGCATTTCCTCAAATTTCTCCGCATTTTGTCAGAGCAGCAGGCTGCAATATGGGTCGGCTACTATTAAATCTGCCAGCGAAGATAAAGCTACTAATTAGCTTCGCTGGATCTTTGAAACGCGGCGTCCACTTTTAGATGCTGGTACCTTAACTTTATAAAACTTGTCTAACAAATGCCGAGAGTACCTCGGACAAGCAACGACTCTCCCCTCAACCAACCGGCTAAAAGGGCCTCAATTGCAAATTGTCCTTGTTCAGCGTTGTGAGACTGGAGACTCCTGTAGCTACTCCACAATCATGATCCGGCTCAGCACTTGCTTCTTTCTCGAGATCGGCTGCTTGACCCATTATCCTGGATTCCTCCGCTCTGATCTCCAAGCTATATAGGCCTGCATGTCCCAATCTGTCGGGACCATGTGTAGTTATATATAGGCTTTTGAATACCAGTTACTCTTCACTCCCCTTTATCCTGTTTTCGATTTCCCCCAGACGACGTGATTGATGCCGTTGAACTTCAGGTTCAATCGCAAAAATGGGTAAACTCGTCCCCAACGCCTTCAACCTTGCGGTTGTCATATTCGTGGCCCTGGGCTCGACAGCCTGCAGCTATGGCATGGCCATCATTAGCTCGACCATCGGCCAACCAAGCTTTTATCACGACTTCAACCTTGCCAAGCAGGGGGAACCTGGCTATGGTAGGACATCGAGCCTTATTGGGGCCATGAACGGTCTGAACTCTGCTGGATCTGCTTTCGGTTGTGCCTTTCTCTCCTGGTCTGCAGATCGGTATGGGAGATTGCGCTCCCTACAGATAGGTTCTCTGATCCTCGTCATTGGAGCTGCCCTATGCGCTGGCTCTGTGAACATGGCGATGTTTTTGGTCGCACGATTCATTGCTGGATTCGGTATTGGTATCTTGGTCACTGGCATTCCGATGTAGGTGACTCTCGGCCTTTGTTTGATATTGTACAAGGCGGTATTGACCCCATGTCTTCTTGGTTGACTAGGTATCAAGCTGAAGCGTCTGCTCCGAGTTCCCGCGGATTCATGGTATCTATGCACGGCATCATGTTTGCAGTTGGATATTCACTGGCATCCTGGATCGGCTTCGGGTGCTATTTCATGTCGGCTGCTGGAAATATGTCTTCTTTCGCTTGGCGATTTCCTCTTGCCTTCCAGGCAGCTCCAGCAATTCTCTTGATCATTGGTTCTCCGTGGCTTCCATACTCGCCACGTTGGCTCCTCGAAAAAGGCCGCTCGGAAGAGGCTCGCGAGGTCTTGATTCGCCTGCATCGCACAGCGGATGATCCACAAAACATTGAGGCCGAAAAGGAATTTTTCCAAATGAAGAAGCAGCTCGAGCTTGATCGTGAGATTAAACAGAACACGGGTAAATGGGATATTCTCAAGACTGGTCCTAACCGCCGTCGGGCGCTTGTTGGATTTGCGCTCATGTTTGGAAACCAGTTCACCGTATGTCTTGGGAGTAAATTTTACTGTGCACGTCATTCTACGCATACTAATAACTCATTCATTTAGGGTGTGCTCATTATTGCCAACTATGGGGTCCTCCTTTACGCCTCACTCGGTATGAAGACTTTCATGCCTCTTCTTCTCTCCGCTCTCTGGGTCACAGCCTCCTTTCCTGGCAACGTCTTCACTGCCTTCTTTGTCGACCGGCTTGGGCGCCGGTTTTTCCTCCTCACAGGGCTTGGAGGCATTCTTTTCACCCTTATCATGGAATGCTGGACCCAAGCTGTCTACCTCGGAACCGACAACGCAGCAGGTCAAAAAGCAGCGGTATTTTTCCTCTTCCTATTCATCTTCTTCTGGTCTACCTTTATCGATGCCACGCAATTCCTGTATCTCGCCGAAATATTTCCCACCCAAACACGCAGTCAAGGGATGGCGTTGGGCATGGCTGGAATGTTCGCTGCTACGATTATCTTGCTCATCTCTGGCCCAATTGCCCTAGATCAGATCACGTGGAAATTCTTCTTTGTGCTTATAATCCCTACGGCGCTACATCTGGCTGGCGTGTATTTCTTCTACCCAGAGACTAAGCAGAGAAGCTTGGAGGATATCAACGCCGCTTTTGGAGAGAAGGTCGCTGTACGCCTCTATGGTGCTACGGAGGAAGAGGAAGAGATGTATGCTAAAGCTCTTGAGGCGCGGGAGCCCGGCGCTAGTGGTGATATGGGAACCATTCCGTCGTCAGAGGACGAGAAGTCCGCTGCTCATGTCGAGGCCGCCTCGAAGGTCTAAAAAGTACAGAGCTAGAGGGTGTTTTCTGGGCCTTAAGCATACCGTTGTTTGTTGGTAAAGTTCAAGCTCACTATACAGGTTGCGTAGAGTCGACACTTATGCTCTATCCTACATGAACATCTATGACTAGATTTCAAGCCTTACAGTGTAGCAGATGGCGCTATTTCCTTGCTTCTTCAATATTCCCCGTGCAGAGGGCCAAGAATTGTGGCTCTTGGCGTTTCTATGCTAAGACCGAAGGATCGGCCCGAGCCTAAACCCAAAGACGACGACGTGATCCTAATGTCACTTCGTCCTCAAAGACAGCATTTAAATCTTACACTTCAAAGCACTTACAGAAAGCCGAATTTATTTAAAGAAAGCTTTGTTTCTTGAGATTACAAACAGTCACTAACTATCCCTAGAAACTCCGAAGCTCCACCCTTAAAGATCCCTCAATTTTTCTTCCGAAAAAAGCCAAAGAAACCTTGGCTGCTCTGTTTTGCCTGGCGCTGAAAGGTCTCCCACAAAGTTTCCTCCCTCCAGCGGCCCCAAGGATCCATGCACTTACGCTCGAATCTGTGAATGAGTTTTTCAAACCAATCGTCCCCATACTGAAGGCGGCACATCCTCCTTAGTTCGGCTGCGATGTTAAGGCTGATGTCTTCCCAGATTCCGCCATCCTTAAGCTTGGAGAGTGGGACGACATCAAAGGAGTGCCCGGCCCACGGGCCCTTGTTGACAGGGTAGTTGACCCAAGTGTCTCCATGGTCGGACCAGCAGGTCTTGGAGATGATTACTTCACCGAACCCAAGAATCTTAATGAGGGGCCCTTGGATGTACTCTGGCTTAAGGGCGATTGCTTCGGCACGAACGAACTGACGCGTCGTCAGATTGCGAAGAATCCATTTTTCGTTTAGTGGATAGAACATCGCCGGCGTTGGTCTGACGATACGGAACATATCTTTCGGGCGATACGGTCCAGTCGTTTCGGAGACTTCAATCATGGTTTGAACTGCGTCATCGACTAAAGGAAGCATTCGATACCTTTTGATGGCGAGTCTGAAGAGATTTGTCTTGTAGTATCTGTTTACGATCTCCTCATGTCCGGGGATGTGAAACATCTGGCCGGAGAAACCGGGCTCTCCGACACGCAGGCCCTTTTTCAATTCTTCCTCAGCTGAGCTGCTGAGAACACCTGTTGGATAAGAGTTTTCTCCCTTGGGGTGATCACAGCCTGGACAAATGAGTGGAACGCCAGCCCAAATGCCGAGGACTTTCTTGAATCGACTTTTGATGAAATATTTGGCAACCGGCCATAACTCTTGGCAGGTCAGACCAAAATTGAAGATGCTTTGTACATCCAGGGTTTCGAAGATGCAGCCATAGATTTCGTGTGGCATTTCGAGGATAGGAGAGCGTGGTTGGTATTCGATGGCCTGGGGCTCAACGCCAAGTCCGGACGCATCTTGTGCAAGCTGATATTTGATGTCAGTTGCTTGTCTGATATTTCAGAAGATTTGTTGGGGGGGGGGGGGGGGGGGGGGTTCTTGGATACCCACATTCATTGTTTCTGGTTCATCTTCTTCTTCCCAAATAAACGGCTTTGCAAGGAGGAAAACGAGGCTAGATGCGTCACCATAGAAGAGGACGGTGCTGATCTTGCCTTCCCAGTCGAATCGCTCGCGACGACACGGAGCAGTAATGCAGAAGACTTCAGGGATTCCGTCACGCATGTCGACGGCATCCATATTGGCCAAAGTCGAGGGAAAATAAATAAGATGATGTGGATATCAGAATTTGTGGGAGTTAAGCAGCCAAAACAACAAATCATGCAAGATGAGGAGATAAATTGACCACAGAACAATAGAGAAAGTGAGAGATTCGACGAAAAGACAATGCTCAACAACAAGTCAAATTTACTCTGTTATCTAGTAAAAGGAATGGACCACGCAATGAGATGGTACTCTGATGAACTCTGTCCTTCACTGAGGTCCCCAAGCAAATGGTCCGCACAACAACAGCAAAGGGAGATGATGATAGCAATGAGAAAATAAGGTGAAGGAAGATGTCAAGTGAGAGAAGCTGGGCGGTCTAAAAGGGGAAATGCTGCGCCGAGAGCTCATGAACGCTCCAAACCCCAGCACATGATCTATTCACTTTCTCGGCGTCTACATCGCACGATATGGACTAGGAATTAGGTGAATAGAAAAAGGCAAAGGGTATGCTGCATGGACGCAGCATATCGGAGTGGAGAGCTCAGATATTGTGCTCCATTGAGCATTGTTTTCATGATTGAACAATAAAGCATTTTGGTGGAAGAACCCTGGGATTTCTTCACTGCACCACAGATAAAATTGCTCTTCTATGGAATAAGCTCTATATACTTATTCATGGCAATTATGAAATGGAATATTTCAATACTCCAAGTCTATTATTCCAGTCCATGATTTTTAATCATGCCCTCCAAGCTTCCCCGGGAGTTCTTATAGCCTGGAACGAACTGAGCCCAAGCAAATATGAAGATATTTTTCACAGCACATCCAGTGTATGACTCATTTATCCCTGGAAAGCAGATGTGCATCTCATTCATGAAATCAACATGGGCAGCCCTCTTGACCAACTCTCAGGGGACATCAGCAAGTTGTCTGTGTTTCTCGACCTTAGGCGCCCTGATTTCAAAAAGGGGTTAGTCACATAACAAGTCCACTTCACTTGGGATACTTCCCTTTATCACGATCACCATCTATGTCTTTGGGCAGCTGTTAAATTGTGTACCTACTAAGGTTCATAAGTGATATGCGCTTGTACAAATTTCAATCCAGATCGCAATCTGGCTACCTACAGAATATTCTGGATTCTTGTGCCGAGGAAGATCTCTCCAGGACGGAAGTCACAGCACAAGTTGCTTCAAGCCTATTTAGTATTTTGCAATATACTATATCTCATTTCTTTGAAGCTGGTCAGAGTCAGAATCTCAATGGCCTAGGGTTTGAGAGTGGAGTCGGTGGGACTTCCAGTGCTTGCATAGCTCGGGAAATAGGGAGGCGTGAAAATGCCGTTTCAATCCGCGTTTGGAGATTATATCGAGGTTGAACTGAAAGGAAGCGATACATTCCTACCGAGGCAATCTACCTTGAGGTTGCCGTCGTTTGCCTCGACTCGATTCAATTTACGTGGCTGATGAGTCGACGCTGCGGAAGCTGTTGTGAAGCGCCCTGAAAAAGAATTTCTCTACACGAATCATCCAGGAGAACATCAGAGTTACTCTGGGGAAGAGCTTGCTAGCGGAAAACTCCCCAGACTGACGGAGATTCCAATTTGCAAGATCGTGTCACAAACTTTGCAGGCGACGATGTATTTGCTGGACATGAACTTGCTACTAATGACCTAAGCCATCATAATTACCCCTTCAGTGAATACTCAAATGCAAGTATTCGGGTGGTAAAATATGTAGTGTTTCCAGATAGCGAACGTCACAGGATAGACCACGCTCATCGAATCTCGGGTCTGCGCATGGATCTCTAGACAAAAAACAGTGGGAAAGGCCTGCAAGGCTGAACCTTCTATCCACTGAATTTCTCACCAGCGCTGACTGCGCATTGATATTCAGCACCGCCATTTTTCACGCACGAACCTCGGGAAGACAGACGAGTATATTGAGAGTAAAGCTAAGGTCGCAAGCTGACATCAGATACGTGGATACGAGAGGAATTATCGATATGGCCGTTGTGATCGAACGTTGACCCCACAAAATCCTATCACGTACACCCCAGACCCTTCTCCAATCTTTCCATGAGAATCCGATTTTCCTACCCTTAACATACTGTACAACAGATGACTGAGAACTCCTGAAACTCCACCCCATGGCATAAGAGTTATACGATGACCCAATAGTATCCGCGCCTAAATTGAGCTCACCAAGAATCAAAGTTCCCAAATCCCCCTCTGCCTGTAGACTTCATTTTCTTCCTCGCATGCTCCGATTCGAACTCATTGTCGTCTACAAACTCGACAATTTCATCTTCAACTGCCGGTCGATTTGTCATAGCTTGCTTCAAATACTTTCCGACTCCAATATTACTTGTAGTGCCTTTGTCATCGCTACCACGAATTCTCTTCCCTGTCCAGGTCACGCGCTCATCATCGTCATCATCACCCTTACCGGCAGCTGATGATGATTTCCCAGCCTCAAGTTTAGATTTTTCTGACTCTTCTTGTTTCTTGTGGGAGAGGAATTCTTCAAATGGGTCAACAAAGACTTTCACGTCTAGAATGTGAATTGGCGGGGTAGGTCTGTTGGATGTGGACGAGTCCACTGGCGCGGATTCCATGGCATCAAGGGTTGGAGAAGAAGGCGAAGGGTCATCTATTACGTGCCCAAAGACGGTGTGCTTATTGTTGAGATGTGGAAGCGCGCGGTAGGCGATAAAGCTGTTAAAAGGATTAGCTGCCATAGCACTTGTTTAAAAAAAGCGAAGTACTCACAATTGGCTACTATTTGTATCCTTTCCTTTGTTCGCCATGCTCAACGTCCCCCTTGAGTCATGTTTCAATGGTCCAATAGTTTCGTCGGCAAAGTACTTTCCCCATATACTTTCCCCTCCTCTTCCGGTGCCGGTTGGATCGCCCCCTTGGATCATAAAGCCTTTGATGTTGCGATGGAATATAACATCTTTGTAATATCCCTTCTTTGCCAGCTGTATAAAGTTCCATACTGCCTTTGGAGAGTGTTCAGTGTGGAGTTCTAAGTTCAAGTCTCCTAGATTTGTTGAAATACGAGCGTATCCCTTTATTTTCACCCTGCCGCGCTTGAGCATATATTGCTCATCTGTGAGAAGAGCTAGGTCTGCGGAGGTATGGGGAGTTAATCCAGTGCTGGTGAATGACGCCGCCGCTAGGCCAGTCGTATGCCTTGCAGCGTTGAATGGAGTCTGCTTTCCAGGTACTGCAGACACCTTTGCGGTGGAGACTTTTGCTAGGGCCGCATCTCTTTCTTTTAGCTTAGATGCACCTGCAGAACCGTTCTTCTGCTGTTCCCGTTCTGCTCTGGCCCTTGCAACTGCTTCTTTTGCTTTTAATATCTTGGCTGAACTTCCCATCGCACCTAAATTCACACTTCCACTCTCCCCTTGTTGCACGCTTTCACCATCTTTCAAATATTTGAACGAACTCAGATTTCTTGACTCAACATTTTGCGGATCCTGCAGCGTGATAATATCCTTTCTTGTAAATTCCTGGTCGGAGACCAGATCTCGCCACATCTTCCCCTTAATGTTGAGTTTCTCCACGGTATCCCACGCGAATACATTTCCTGTATTTCCCAGCGCGATGATATGCGTATTATCTGTGAATACTTTGAACGTCACAGGATCAACGTACTCGCCTGCCTCATTCTTCGCGAAGTTCAGTTTAATCAATTCGGAACTTTTCAGCGGTTCCCCATTCACCGGATTTGTGCCATGCTTCTTCAACCAAGGAAGGATATGTGTCAAGTCGAATATTATACCTGTCGGTGTACACACGGGGTGGGAGAACGGTTGGAGGGAGAGCGAACAGAAATTGAACGGGAGTCGTTTGAACGAGGCGTGAGCGGCTGCATTTCTGGATTTCGCTGCGCCAGCGCCGACGCTGGCGGAATACGAGTCTTCAGATGCCCATTCGGAGTGGGTGATCTAATTCCAAAACGTGGCGTCAGCAATGTCATGAATAATGTAAAAGACCTGGAGTCGCGACCGCGTACGTAGAGCTTATCGGTTCCTGTAAGAAGATGTTAGGATTTATTGCTCAGTTATATTCATTATAGTGGAAAAGTCCCACCTTTCCCCATGGTCAAGATTGAAGACCAACGTCGCCGGCTTGTTCGAGTATAGCAGTCTTTCTTGTCGAGAGCTTTCCGCTTCCATCAACTAAGTAGTTAGTTAGTTAAGCCTTAGAAGCGGTCGAATCCACCCTAACTTATTAGTTATCGTCTTAACCTGTGCACAAAGGTCGCCTGGAGCTGTTATTTAGCAAGTTATGTGTGGTAGTGAGTAGTTCTTTAACAGCTCGTTGAAATCTTATAGCCCTTGAAAGCTTTGATATTAAGGTTACTTCTACCGTATCTGTACGGAGGACTCCGTACGGAGTACAGGGCACTTATCCAACTAAGACAAGCCAGACAGACGGCTCCGAGATGAGGAACGCCAATCTTCGGGCGGATTCGTGGTTCAAAACCTTCATCCAAGACCTTCTTTCTACGTTCTCCCTTGCGGATAACGCTTAACAATGGCAGACTAACTAACTTCCGGGTTGCTTCTTCCGGTGTCCTCGACCTTTTAATCCGGAGACTCTGGGGATAATAGGCTCAAAGACGGAACGGAGTTCAGCCGCCTTCTTGAATAAATGAGATTTGTGGTATACACTGCATATCCATTGTCAAGGAGGTTAGTGGAACTCTACTTCAGGTTTAGCAATACCCAGTTTGTTTAATTTCTTTTCATGACAAATGGACTTTTCACCTTAAGAGGGATGTGGTTAAGTGGACACTACATAGTCTTCTCGTGGGATCGATAAATTTACACGCAATGTTGTTAAGAAATTGTGTGCAGTTGTCTCACCGTCAAGTCAGAAAATCTTGATTACCTCTAATTTTTCAATTTGGTATGTCTTGACAATGGCATCCAGAGCAATTCGCGTGGCCTTTAGGCGCCAGTTATTAATGAAGTCCTGAGCCTTTTTGTCATCGGGGCCAAAGAGAATATCGAGTTCCTCAATTACCATAGGGTTGTCCCACCTAATTCTCTTGGTAAGGCCGAATTAGGTGGGACAACCCTATGGTAATTGAGGAACTCGATATTCTCTTTGGCCCCGATGACAAAAAGGCTCAGGACTTCATTAATAACTGGCGCCTAAAGGCCACGCGAATTGCTCGCTCTTCTTTTAACAAACAAACCCCCATGTGTCTTGTTTCACCTATTCGTGGCCAGCGATCCCGGCTGCCAATGATTCCTCAATGCCAGTCCATCCTTTCCCAAAGAATGACTGTAGCAGCTCTTCAGCTCGCTTCGCTGGCGCCATGTTGGTTAGATCACGAGGTTCGTTCTCTGGCGGATCCGGGATTTTCTTGTTGTTAGGCCGGAGTTTCTGCAGGATCCCAATCACGTCTGTCCAGTTAAACGGAGAAGCAACTCCAAAAATACGTTCAGAAACGACGTCCGGATCTAGGAGAGCGGCAGCATGAAGCCGAGCATCGTCTTCGACGTCGATGCGCCATTCTAGCAGCGGCATATTAGCATGGAGTTCAGAGAAAACGACTTAGAAGCAAAGGAACAGCTTACGAGGCGGTATATTCATCACCAAGGTATTGCCGTCTAAGAGATCTCGCGTTATCTTCATCATTGTACCACCGATTTCGGGGTGAAGGATCCTCCCGAACTGTTGCCCAAAGGGTTAAATTCAGAACAAATCAACCAAAGAAATAAACCGGGAGACTTGCTGCTTACATTCACATTCGGAAGCACAGAGTTAAACGAAAAGTTCGGCTTATTTTCTTTCACCCAGTTCCAGGCAGCCCGCTCTCCTTCGGCTTTTGAAGCGCCATACACGATCATGGGCATGAGTTCAGCTGGGGAGTTCTCATCCCAAGCTGCTTTGACCGCCTCATCGTTCCATTTCTCTGATACCGACAGAAACAGACATATTAGTAGACGACTCAGCGAAGCCAATTAGGTGCTTCCTAACCTGTGTCGAACGTAACTACCTCTCCATTGAACTTTGGGAACCCTACCGCGCACATCGAAGATGTCAAGACTACGCGTTTCACCGTCCCCGCCTGCTGCGCGGCCTTCATGACGTTCAGCGTCGCGGAAACGACCGGCGGAATGACCTTATTAGGATCCGAGGCCATTGTCATGTCAGATGCCTAGATCACGGTCAGTGAGCATTCAGGTACATCCCGTCTGCTAGCCCCCGGGCTTCTCTTACAACATGAACTATTCCGGATATGTCTTGCATGCAGGTGTTCAATGAATCATCATCTTCTAGTCGCGGTATCACCACACTCTCAAACCTGCCTGGGCCATGTTTTGATTTAAAGAACTCATGGAGCCACGGCCGCTCCATTCGCACAGTACCTCTAACATTGTAGCCAAGCTTGAGGAGAGTGTCAACAACCTGAGAGCCGATATAGCCGTTGGAACCTGTGACAAGGATCCAGGATCCGAGAGGGATGACGTAGCGGTCGGGGCTTAACATGGCTGTAACAAAAGAATAAACTGGGATGGATATCGGCCTGTAAAAGAGGAGGCTTTCTCAGAACTGGGAGCCTGAATATATAGCAAGCGAAAGAAAATAAGAGTAGGATGTACGGAGTAGTCCCACATAAATACATAACATCGCGTCACCCCGCGAGCAGGGGCACAAGTTGAAATATCCACAATATGGTTGGGATTAGTGTGCCAGGGGCGATGTTAAGCTGCCAACCTGGTTATCTCCTCCGATTTTCCCTTGGAGTTGTTACACAGGTAGGCTTCATGACCCATGATGGAATAGCCGATGCCGCTTCAGCTAAGGAAGGAGTGCATACTTGGGTGTCACTCGTGAAACCTGAGAATCGATAGTTTAACTGCGTTTGGCGAGCGTGCGAGTTGGATACTGCTCGTTCGTCGCACTCAAAAATACCAACTTGCATGGATCCTGCATGCCGCTGCCCCTCACTACAGTACGACGTCCTCCATACGTCGTCGCGGCACCTTTCTGTGATGATGGCATAACGGATATACCAAGAGAGGTGTCTGGATACGCCTTTAATGTGCCTCGGTTGCCTGCTTTCTCGTTCGTAACCCGCTCAGTACTCTTTCGATTCCCTCATAAGTGTTGCGTTGACGGAAAACATGCGCCTTTGACGTGTCTCGAGTTGAAGCCTAGAAAGGGAAGATGACTCGAGTTGAAACAATGTCATATATATCATACCTATCTATACAGAACCGAAGTGGACAATAATGATAAGCAGCTGGAACAGATCCATATTGCATTTTCCCATAAACGACTAAGAGCAATAGCGCCACCCGAATCGCTGAATATTCCGATCCTAAACTGCCTCTCTGTATGCCTGGTGCTTTTTATCCCATAAATTTCGAAGAATTGTCTTGAAACACTTAACTCCCGGAACGACCATTACACCTGCCCATAGCTGAACAGGAATGCGAATGTATGGCAGGACAGCCTACCACCGCACTATGGGGCTTTTGCTTAAAAGGTTAGGGGTACAACCCATTTGTCTCTGAACTCAACTCCATGACGCCTCCGTGTCCCGTATTTCCTCCATGCTGCTTGACTAATCCCGACATCTGCGACCGCAATTTGCCAGGAATCACCTTCGCCGGCAGCCAACGCATTGACCAAGCCAGATTTCGGAGCTCCAAGGCAGACAATAAACTTCGCGTTAGCCACCAATCGTGATCCTTGCACAAGAGTTGGTTCACCTATTACAGAGAGTCAGCATCATCCTAGGTGGGCATATGGAGGGGATTTCCAGCTTACCCGAGGAGGCCGAAAGGCCTGCAGGTATGTCTACTGACAATAAATCAATACCACTCCGGTTAGCCCAAGAGATAATTTCAAACGCGGTTTGCTGATCGTCAGTCCGCAGATCTTCAAAGGCAACATGCATTCCAAACAGGGCTTCGACGACAAGCTCGGGAGCATGGTCCACAGCCGCCAGTCTTGTAGATATTTCCTCCCATCTCAAAACTTTGCCCCCAGCCTTTTTGAAAATGTCGACCTGCCTGCGAAAACTGTCCGCAAACTCATTGTCCCGGTCCAATCCCAGGATGCAAACAGTAACTCGATAGTTATGGTTGCGTAGATGTCGAGCAGCAGATACGGCACGAGCACCTGTCTTGTGATTTCCCGCAAAAATAAGAACTGTTGAAGACCCGTGGAGGTTCGAAAGTGAAACGGCTGCTTCTGCGATACCCCTTCCGGCATTTTCAGTGAGGATGTCCTCGGTTAAACCCAGCTCAGAGATGGATAACTGTTCAATTTCCAGCATTTGAAGAGGACTAACGCTTGGACAACGTCTGTTTGTCGCTGCAATTTGAAGGGAGCCTGCAGCTGAACCAGAAGACGCGGTCATTGGCGACGCTGCATACACAGCTTGCTTCTGTGATGGTCGTGGACTCGCTGTTCGCGTTGATAATAACTGTCCCCTCGCTAAGATGGTGACTTGGGGTGACGCAATCGAGGAGCCTTGTATACCACTGCCTTTTCGGGACGGAGGGGCCTGAATGGAAGCTCTTGATCGGGCCCTACTGGGGGTCCTCCCATTACTAAATTCATTTTCGCTTGCATCATCTTCATCACTCTCACCTATGTCGTTCTTCCACAATGCGTTAGGCTCGGGGGAAGGATCCAAGACGTTTTCCGTGTAGTGAAGATTCCTTCCACCGTTGGTCCCAGGTCTTGCTCGTCGGTTGAAACTGACTAGTCGCTGTTCGTCCGCCGTAGTGTCATCGTTTCTGATTTGATCGAAAACCCGACGTTTGTCAAATTTGGAAAGGTTACTCTGAAAGTCAAAATCACCCATCTCTTGAATGTCTGTGGCGTCCTCTGTTGCCCAGCCATTTTGTTCTTCCGCATTACGTTTTTGGCGTCTTTTTACTTGTCTTCTGGCACCGGACCGAGGAGGCCTGGAGTTATCAGCCTGAGCTGGCTCAAAAAAAGCAGTTTGCCTCCATCCTTTTGATGCTGGACTACTCTCCGTGGCTTTGGTATGCAAAGTGTTGCTTTCTATGGCAGCAGCTTCTATGACAGCTTCTCTTTGCAATTTTCCTCTTCCACCTCTTCGACTTCTTTTGCCCGTGTATTTGAGGGGTGCTTCAAGAGGAGCTGCACCTCTCCGGCCCTCCGGCACAGAGTTTTGCTCAGCGGTATCTTGTCCAACATTCTTGCCTTCTGTCACGTCACTCCCTTTCAGATTGAGGTAGCTAAACGGAGCAGTAAGCGTTGCAGCAGTGGAAATGCTCTCTGCAGCGCTTGTAAGAGGGATGGACTGAGTAGAGAGGGAAGGGGCTGGTAGCTCGTGACCTCCGATCATGACAGGCGAGTTGACAGTAGGTGTTTTAACTGAAGGTTGGACGGGGGACCTAGGATTCTGATGTCTATCTGATGGCTTTTGGTAACTCAGGATGGCTGGATCCACGAACTGTTGTTGGCTGGGCTGAATGTGTGCATTTGACACATTTGCTGAGATCGGTTGTGATGTCTGCGTCTGGAATTGAGGCGGCGGATGAGGAGAGGCAGCTGGAAAGCTTGCAGCTTTCTGTGAGCCATAGTCGGGGCCAGACACAGAAGCAGTTCTCAGGTCAGATAACAGCTCTAAGTCTGCGATCCCAGGAGCTTCGATGTGATACAGCGGGACACTCTGGTTGTTCCACAATAGAGTTGCTTTTTCAAATAATCAGTACGCAACCATAATATGGCGATGGTGAGTGATAATATAGGACTCACCATTTTGCAGTGACAGACGTTGCCCAACAACATCCGATACAATGCCTTGAACCCGGCAATTTGGCGGAGATTTCAGAGTGACCAGCACTGTGTAGCCGACAAATTGTTCGGCCATTTTGTGCGGCAGGGTGTGAAGAGGACTATCAGGAAGGAAGCTTGAAGCCTACAGCAAGGAGAAAGTAGATTAAGCACTGTTCATAACAGCATGTCTTTCACGAAAGCAATAGACTAAGCTCGATATGAAGCTGCTTGGACTTGCGGTCCCGCGCAACTGGCCTGACGGATGACGCCGAGTCTCAGCTACATCACGTGATTATCGGCAATGTCCCATTTGATGGAAGGTGACTGAGTCAGCAAACGTGTTTGGTTCACGTGCTACGCGTCGAGCTCCCTCGCGACGTTCGTACTGATCCATGCACGGCGCGATTGAGACCAGAAGCCGGAACGACTTCACACCCTATCCCTCGCTTCACTTCCATCTTCCCAACTTGTTCCACGAAGGACAGGAAAGATCTGTTTATGTTTCACCCATGCTTGAGACCGAGACTCACAGTTTCCTCGCGCAGACGCATTTCTTTCCTTTCGAAACCTCCATCCCAGGGGGCCCAACTCTCCTGGTCAATTGCGTGGTTATTGCAGGGCAACATGTTTACGAAGGCTCTCCGTGAGCACAGGGAGCCGCTAAAATACCTACCATCCGGTCAATTGCGGCTTAATATGACGCCTGCCGCGTCAGTGGACTCAGTTATAGGTGAAAAGCGCAAATTCGATGCGCCTCAGAGTTCTCGAAACACACTGGCGTCGCTTCATAGCACTGTGTACTTTGATGAAAATGATTTCGAGGATGACGATGAACTGGACTTTAGCAGCCCAATCGTTCCACTGTCTCCTGGCAAAGAGCTTTCAAAGTCATCATTCGTTTCCGAGAACACTATAAAAACCCCTCCTCTCCCAGAGAATAACGCAGTCGATCGTGAGGTCGCCCCAGCAAGCAGTGCCCCTCTCCCGTGGTCATCATCGCCTCCCTCTCACTTCCAACCACCCAAGCGGCAGACAATTCCCTGGCTTGAAAAAGAACCAGTACCCTCCCCACCAGCACCTCCTCCTCCACGACAGGAAGAGAAGCCTTTACAAGCCGCGACCACAAAAGCGCCTTCTTACCCTTGGAATAAGACATTGAGTGCTGTAAAAGAAGATCAAAAGGAGCTCCGAAAACAGCACAAAACTAGAGCCACGGTTGAAAAGCAAGGGCACAACCCACCAAAACCTGTCCCTAAAATTGCGCGGATGTTCCTCAGTGAAGAGCAGAACCATGTTCTTGACATGATTGTGAAAAAGGGCCACAGTGTATTTTTTACTGGATCCGCTGGAACTGGAAAATCGGTTTTGATGAGGGAAGCTATTCGGGGATTGCGACAGAAGTATAAAAAGGAACCAGATAGGGTGGCTGTCACAGCATCCACTGGGTTGGCAGCCTGTAATATTGAAGGCGTCACTCTGCATAGCTTTGCTGGCGTTGGTTTAGGCAAGGAAGACGCTACAGGTCTGTTGAAAAAGGTACATCGGAAGCCGCCACGTTCGTTATGGTAAAAATACCACTAAAACATCCTAGGTCAAACGCAATCAAAAGGCCCGAAATCGATGGCTTCGGACAAAGGTATTGATCATTGATGAGATATCAATGGTAGATGGGGAATTCTTTGATAAGCTAGAAGAGCTCGCACGGAAAGTTAGGAGTAATGGACGACCGTTTGGCGGCATCCAGCTGGTTGTAACCGGGGATTTTTTCCAGCTACCACCAGTCGCTGACTCTAGTAAAGAAGCAAAATTCGCCTTTGATGCGAACACATGGAATACATGTGTTCAACATACAATACTTTTGACCCATGTCTTCAGGCAAAAAGACCCAGAATTCGCCTCTATGCTGAACGAACTGCGCCTTGGACGCGTCACCCAGAAAACAATCGATGCATTTAAACAACTATCCCGTCCCTTGAATTTTGAGGATGATCTCGAGGCAACTGAACTGTTAGTTTTGTCGTCACAACCTGTGTCGAGTCTGTGCTAACCCAGGACAGGTTTCCTACAAGACACGAGGTAGAAGGCGCCAACTCTACCAGAATGGGTCGCCTTTCGGGAGAAGTGATTCCCTTCACCGCAGTGGATTCCGGCGCAATCCAGGATAAGAGTATGCGGGACAAGATGCTAGCCAACTGCATGGCGCCGCCTTTGATACATCTCAAGAAGGGCGCGCAAGTTATGCTCATCAAAAATATGGATGACTCTCTTGTGAACGGATCATTGGGTAAAGTCGTTGCATTCATGGACGACAGCACATATGATCATTATGTGAGGAATGAGGACTCGTATCATAGTGGCCACGAGTATAATAGGGATGATGAATCGAGCCGGGCTCGCAAGAAGATAAAGTCGATGGCCTACGACCCTAAGGGCCTCGGTGTTACAACTGCCAAGTTGTGGCCACTAGTTTCATTTGTTCTTCCAGATGGCACAGAACGCCAACTTCTCTGCAAGCCCGAGACATGGAAAATTGAACTCCCAAATGGTGAAGTCCAGGCTCAACGCCAGCAGGTGCCACTGATTCTTGCATGGGCGTTGTCGATTCATAAAGCCCAAGGGCAGACTCTTCAGCGAGTTAAAGTGGATCTGGGCCGAGTTTTTGAAAAGGGTCAGGCGTATGTTGCCCTAAGTCGCGCAACTTCGACATCTGGACTTCAGGTTACGCGCTTCGAGCCGAGAAAGGTCATGGTCCACCACAAGGTCAAGGAATTCTACGCAAATTTATCGACTACTAATGATATTATTACTTCTAGAGCCCAAGCAAACAAGGCAGCGCCTACGGATGATGATATTCCTGGGCTGGACAGTGATTTGGAAAGGGAAATATATGCCCAGGCGCTTGGTTAGGCGTTCTATTCGTTCTGTTTGATGGGCGGGGAGGCCATCTGCAGCGTATTGTTAGACGGTAGGCGATGTACACTAGTTTTGGATCTATGTAGAGGTCTATGGGTAGAACGAAGTGCGCTACGATTCTTGAAGGAATGCTCCGTTATCATTGCAATCCTCCTACCTCGTGATGGAGCTGCGGAAAATAGTACAACCGAGCTACCCCGATCGGGTTAGGTAAGTTAGTTAGCTATGGGCGAGGGCTGATAAGATATCGTCATATGACAGCGCACGCAGTCCGTCGAACGGTTCGCTTTGCGGAGGTCGAATGCGTGTCTAATCCCCGGCGCGTCGAAGCTCATTCAGAGGAAGAGGCATGGATGATGATTCCATTGTCCCGGATATGAAGCATGGCAGAGGATGTAGCACCAAGTACGCAATTCCCGTTCCTACCTTTTGAATGGATAGCTAATGAACGGTAGACAAGGAGCAGCCCCTCCGGGGCGTTATTCTGTGCTGTACCTCCATCCTTCCAGAGACACGGGTAAGAGGCACGATCAATCCGAAGGATTACCTCTGCCTGAGCTAGCTAACATTTTATTTCTAATGTTAAAAGTCGCAATTGGCCGCAATCGCAGGGCAGATGGGCGCTGTTCACATGTTTGACCTTACCTCCGACGTTACCCATCTGATTGTCGGCGAGACGAATACTCCAAAATACAAATATGTGGCTAAAGAGCGGAGTGATGTCAAAGTCCTGAGGCCAGAGTGGATCGAGGCAGTTCGGTCATCATGGCTGTTGGGCGGAGATACCGACCTCCATGCTCTGGAAGAAGAATATAAATTACCAACGTTTACAGGACTATCCATATGTCTCACTGGATTTGAGGACCGTAAGTATGGCTGGTGTTGTTTGGAAAACTCATTCAGTTAACAGTTTTGCAGTGAATTTTAGGAATCACTTACAGCGAACGATTGCGAAGAACGGCGGGGAATTTCGGCGAGATTTGACAAAGAGTGTTACCCATCTCATTGCACGTTCTGCAGAAGGGCAAAAGTATAAATTCGGGGTACTATGGAACATCAAAATAGTAGGGTTGAGGTGGCTCGAGGATAGTTTAGAGCGAGGAATGGTCCTTGACGAGAGTCTCTACGACCCATTAGTCCCCGAGGAAGAACAAGGCATTGGTGCATGGAATCGAACGGCTCCAATCCAGGTGGAAAAGCGACAAAATGTTGCGGAAGTTGCATTTCAGCGTCCTCGAAAACTTCGGCGGGTTACAAGTGTAAAACTTGGTGACCAAAACGAAGGAATATGGACAGAAATTATGGGAAACAATTCCGCCGGCGGCAACGAACAGGGCGTTTACGATGGTTCGGCTGATGCAACACCAAAGCCCAGGGCAAGTGCTATAATCCAAGAGACTAAGTCCTTCGCAAGCGAAACAACCCTCCCTGAACGAAGAAATAGCGTAGTCCAGGACGCACTAGCGCCACGATTCCAGCCTGCAGAGAAGGCGCGCGGAATTTGGTATGGAGCCCAGTTCTTTATATCTGGGTTTACCACGAAGCAGGTGGGCCTCCTGTCAGAATCTTTTGCGTATCAATGGGGTCCTTCATATTGACTGATTTCAAGACCCAACTGTTACGAAATCACCTCATATCAAGGGATGCCGAAATTGTCTCTTCTATCGATGACCTCTCTATAGGCGACGGAGGGCCAGACCCCAAGCAATATATACTTGTGCCTTACAATTTACCTCAGTCCGATATCCCATCTACCGCCGACTCCGAGAGTGAAGTCCATGTTGTTACGGATATGTGGATTGAAAAGTGCATTCACAGCAACACGTTTGTGCCTCCTGAAGCGCATACTACAAGCACTCCGGTGCCTCGGTTTCCAATCCCAGGTTGGTCTCTCTGCTGTTAATTTGCACTATATAATTGCTAACTTGTCAAATTAGCATTTCAAAGTTTAAGAGTTTGTTCTACAGGATTTACGGGAATTGATCTCTTGCACGTATCTAAACTTGTTACGCTACTAGGTAGGTTGACTCAGTAATATTCCGCCCCCAGGCAACTAATGGTGAGTAGGGGCGACGTATGATGAATATTTCACCCAAAAAGCATCAGTTCTGATATGCAACACGACAAAACCGAATAGCGAGAAGCTGAGGCATGCCCAGCAATGGAATATTCCAGCTGTACTCGCCGACTGGCTTTGGATCTCTGTTCAAACAGGGGAGATGAAAGCCTTCGAACCATACTTAATATCCGGCCGGGACCCTTACAGCGCTGGGGGACAGACCAACGAGACCAGGAGCTTGGGAGGGAGCCGGCAAACAGAACCAAAAAAGCTGCAAGGTCCTTCAGGTCAGCAGCCGGAAAGCCGAAAGCAAGATGAAGGGAGTTCCAAAGAGGAGCCCATTTTAACCCATGACGCGAGCCTCGAACCTGGTTCCCACGGCTCCCCGGCAAAAAAAATGCCATCGCCTCCGCCTACTTTAGCACTCCCAAAAACTGACAGCAGTGAAGACAAACCCGCAACCTCTTCCAGATCTTTGGACGTGGCTATCAGCGAACTCCTTCGGCAAACACGAAGTCGTGCTAAGCAATCGGCTGAGAAAAGCGCTCATACTCAGCGACGTAGACGATTGTTTGGTCGCGCAAATTCCAATTCATCACTGCTAGGCAATAAGGAGCGAATTTCCCGTGCCTCCTCTATTGACACTTTGAATGAAGACGGTTACGGCAGCGTCGTCGACGGTTTTAATAGTCCTTCTGTAAAGGGACATAGCAAAGCGCCGAGTTTTACGTCCCTTGCGCAACCAACAGCTGCACTAAAGGGTAATTCAGATCCAACCGAAGCACAACAATTATTGGAAAGTAGATTGAACCTGCTCCGCAACGGGCTTGGGCAGTATGATGCTGAGAGATATGAGTTCGAGGAAGAAGAGACGCCGCCGATGACGCAGTTGGGGTACGAAGCTCCTGACGCTGTGGCGATGAGGGAGAAGATAACCCGGAGAGCGAGAGAAATGAATGGTGCTGAGGAAAATACGGATGATATGCAGGAAGGAAAGAATAAAAATGACAACGGTGGTCGATTAGTTCTCGGCCAACTGAAAGATAGCGAGACATTAGCCATTTGGGGAGGTGGGAGACGCACGAGGTCTAAGAGGACGTCCAATGGAGATGAAGTTTGAGGTTTAAGACCAGCTACAATAGAGCTTAGAATTAGATCCTGCGACTCTCTTAACCGGTGTTGTAGGCTGGGGCTGGCGTTCATTTCATTTTGGATAACCTAAATACGGAGTTGATCGTTGTGTTGGTATGTTGAGAACGGACTCTCTATATCATAGTTCCAGACCTAACCAAATCTAGTTTGACTGTTGACTTGATACTCTCTCTGGCTTCTTAGCCTAGATATATGCACAGCTCTGTCGGGGCTTATTCTTTTTTTCTTTTTTTCTTTCTTTCTTTTTTTAAATCTCCAATTGGAAAATGCAATTAAGACGAATCAACAAGAAGCAGAAGATGGGCTCAAAGTCCACCATCCACTCGTCCTTTTCAGCTTTTATATTCTTTACAGAAAATTGGTGTTGTAAAGATAATGGACAGAAAGGTCCGCCGCATTGCGCCCTTTTCACCGAATTATTTTGCCTTAATTGAAAAGGGAGATGATGCAGAGGACAGTAGTGAAAGGCGGGTATGTGCCGGGGTATGCATGCGTTTCAAAACAAAGACATAAAACAAAACCCACAAGGAAAAAAGGACCAGAGTATATTACACACAACACAAAAGGCTGAGGCAGAGAAAGAAGACCAAATATGAGGAGAGTTGCCTAGCGTGATGTTGGGGAACAGGCGAAGCTGGCAAAAAAGGAAAATATGTAAATCTTACACCAGGAAGTGGGTTAAAAAGAAGATGGTTATGCTCCTGGGATAGTTGCTTCAAGATCGATCGCCTCAACTGCTCTCCTGTTGTCATTGCTCTCACGGAACAAGTTTGCGAAATACTTTCTCGCAACTTCGCTCTCATGCTTCACCTTTCCAACCTCGGCTTTGCGTTTAGCGAGATCTTCGGCAGCAACCTGGAGGGCAGTTTGCAATCTCGTAGCGGGCATTCGGAGTACGCGGCCAACTTCAGTAGAAATACGTACTGCATTGGAATGGACGTAGTCGATTTCGGCGAGAGTGGTGGAAATTTTGCGAGATAGGCGGGAAGGTAGAGACCTAGGGATCTGCGACACGATGTAGGCGGCTGTCAAGATGGCTATAAAGAGTCAGCACGGAAGCTCGAGAAATTATGCTCCTTATTAAACTTACCGGCTCCAAGAACGCTGGGAATTATCATCTTTCGGACATTATTTGGCCCTAAAATTCTAACCGCACCAAATATGCCGTCCATCCATCCAAAGCTGCCAAGGGCCCTGCTTCCAAGGATACCAACGACAGTCATGGCCATGCCGGTTCCAGCAACCTTTTCTTGGCGTTCCCAAAGGCCTGAAAGGTCAACGAAATCCCATAATTCAATCTCAGTATCTGCTTGTCTAGCAAGGGAGTGTCTCTGCTGCCTGAACATCACTTCAGAGCGGAAGGCAAGATTAGGGAATTTGTCTTCCCCAACGTGTAGCAGGCCAAGGCTATGGATCATATTGACGCCTTGGACAGATTTGGTCCTCGCATAGTCCTCACATCGACTCACACAGGCAGATATCTGTTCCAGCATAGCTGATTTGACATCTTCGGCGTACTGGAAAACAGCAAGGAGTCCCGGATACTCCACTCCCAAGTCGCTTTCCGCAACCTTGGATATTGTTGAGGAGAGGGTCGACCGCGTGTGGTTGTAGACATCATCACAGGCATCGTCTATAGATTTATCTAGTTGTTCTCCGATCTCAGTCCTTCGTTTGTTAGCTTCCTCATAAGCGGGCACCAGTTCGTCGAGCTCCTTTGACATGCGATCAAGTTCCGATGCCGCCACATCGCGGTTAACAGAAGCAAGTGTATATAAATCATTAAAAATATTCAAGAGGTACGTCCTGGCAGGTGCAAGTTTAGAGCGAGATCGTTTTTCGAGGACAAAGCGGCGCAGTGCACCCTCCAGATTCTCAAAGTCTTGAATCTTCTCTTTCTCTTTCTCTTTGCCTTTGCCCTTATCGTCGTCGTCTGTATCGACCGCTCGGGCTTTGCCCGTCGAATCGCCGTCATCGTCACCGCCGTCACCGCCATCACCGCCATCACCATCGCCGCCAAATCCACTGCCAGCAGCTGCAACCGGTACAGCATTGCTAGAAACGAAGTGCACAAGTTCAGCAGACTCCTTGAAAGTTCGCGGACTCAGCTTTTGGACTTGGCCTAATATCATGCGTTGACAGCGTGTTCGATCCCGAATGTTGTCAAATCCATTGACAACAATGAATATGTAAGCTTTTTCATGAGCAGCATTCGTAATAAATTCTCTTGCAGAGAGCGTGAAGTGGTTAGCAGCAGACACAACGAAAACGACAACATCGATTTCCTCCTGTCGCGCAAAGACTGCTGTCGTTTTCACGGAGTCTGAATTCAATCCAGGGGCATCGATAAGGGCGATGTCAACAACCCCATTATTGAGTAATGATTCATCAATGCTCCGAGTGTCCTTGACGTACACTTTGCATTGCATGTATTTGGTGTTGTCAACGACAAGATTCTCGAGATCTGCGAGCGAGTAGACATCGTAAGTGCTTTCGTCATTGCGATTGTATTGCGTATCTTTATGAATCGCATGGACTTCCTCAATACCGCTATTTTCTCTTGCGTCAACAACTTCGCAGAAAATACTGGTACATGGTTGCTGGTCTTCTGGCAGGATCTTACGACGTAATAGCGCATTGCAAAAGGTAGACTTTCCGGCGTTAAGATCACCGGTCACTAGAACTTTGCTCGAAGTGTCGTCAATTCTGTCACGTAGGGAGAGGAGGTGCTTGATGCTCTGGCTAACTTTCCCATCCAACAATGACGCGATGGAATTTTTCTCGAGTGAATGTACCAATTCCGCCTGTGACAAGGTGCCTAGCTTAAGGTCCAGTTTTAGAATAGAAAACTCCCGAGCAATCTGCTGCGTAAACAATCTAGGTTCTTGCTGGGGTCTTCTTTCCGCCGCGTGGCTCGACTCCGCATCCGAGACACTGGTGATTGAGGTAGCTGCCCGTCGTAACGGATCTGGCCTCGAGCTTGAGGACTCAGAAAGTAGCTCGCTGTTCTCATTATAGGATCTAACCGAGGTAAAGTTGGGTCTATTCGGCGGGACTTGGTTAGAGGACACCGAAGGGTAATGTGCAGGCCATTGGCGATTCATCTCCTGAAGCTCTTTTAAAAGGTCGAGGGCTCTGGTTATGTATCTGCCGAGTTGAGTTCGATTCGCATTGCTAGAAACAGTCAGCAACCGAAACACAAAGTACGCGATGCGCATAGCTTACTATTGAAGTTGATGGACGTGGTTTGCAAGGACTAGTCTTTCATGTTGCGCTACACGAACGTTAGGCTAATTTATCTGAGAATTTCAACACAGTACTGGGAGGGAGACGCAAACCAGCTAGGCTCGAGTGTCCAGGTAGAATAGGTGTATGCGTAGGAGTCGGCCGGTCCTCCATCAAGCCTGCGTGCCATGCCGTGTTTGACTCGTCAACTGTACCTCCCACAGCGCTGCCATAACCAGAATCTCGATCCAGCGAGGCTATCAAGGATGCTGCACTCTCCGACGTCGATCCAGACCCTACGACCATGTAATCCGGCGCATGATGAGGGACGGCGGGCGGGGAGCGTCTCGCATTCTGTCTCGAGGATCCCTCCCCAGCACTGTCGCCGGGGAAATACTCCTGGCTCATGGCTGTAATAGTAAATCGGAAATTGTCAAAGGGGATGGATAGGGATGCGCATCAAGGGAACAAGCGCAGGCGGCGGGTTTTTTCCTTTGAGTTCTAGAGGTCCAACGGAATCACGAGAAAATCGACATCACAGTCCCTTTTTCCGGTGTCGGGCGATTGGCCGGTGAGGCAATCCCGTTATCTCGGCCCGGATGTTCGTTTCCCCGGCACGTGGGGTGAGCGCGGATGAGGTAATCAGACTGCCATCGTCATCTACAAGATGCGGACTTCCCACCCGGTCAAACGGACGGCGCGACGACAGTCCAGGCAGCATGGTTTCGAGAGATTAAGCGGTTTTACAGATAGAGAAGAGACCCGATTTCAATTCCCTATGTACTTTTCATTCTAATCGTCTTCTTTCTAGACCTTTCAAAGATGAATGTATGCGAGGATCAGGCTCCCCCAACCGCTTGTACACAGCGCTGACCAGAACTGCCAGATTGTCGAATGGGCTTTTGGCAAACGCCTGACGCCGGCTGAGCGTTTGCGGAAGCATCAGAGAGCATTGGAAAAGACGCAGAGAGAGTTAGACAGGGAACGAATTAAATTGGAAAACCAGGAGAAGAAACTGGTCCAAGATATTAAAAAGAACGCCAAAAATGGGCAGATCGGAGCGTGCAAGATTCAAGCGAAAGATCTAGTCAGGACAAGGCGGTATGGATGGGCTTCACAACTTATATTACGGCGATATTTTGGCTGATATGTCGCTTTTCTGCAGGTATATTCAGAAGTTTTATTCGATGAGAACCCAGTTGCAGGCGATTTCTCTTCGAATACAGGTAAGAACCTCGGAAAGCCCTAGGAGTTGGCGTTCATAGCACTAAACTTTAGGTGATATAGACCGTCAGGAGTAATGAACAGATGATGCAGTCAATGAGAGGTGCTACGATTCTCCTGGGAAGCATGAACAGGCAAATGAATTTGCCCGCATTGCAGAGAATCGTCATGGAATTTGAACGAGAAAATGAAATCATGGATCAACGGCAGGAGATGATGGACGACGCAATTGATGAAGCGACTGGCCTTGACGATGAAGAAGAAGGCGAAGAGATCGTAAAAGAAGTGCTAGACGAAATCGGAGTTGACCTTGGCCAAGCAGTAAGTCCTAATTGGCTTTTTCAACATTTTCGGCACTCACTAACACCTTTACGCAGCTCGGTGAGACACCAACTGGCCTGCAAACGACTGGAATACAAGAAGGCCGTATTGCTCAAGCTGTTGGCGGTGGCGGCACTGCTGAAGATGATGACTTGCAAGCCAGGTTGGATAGTCTTCGAAGATGATGTCAGCTCCAAAGACTTAGCTTTTTTATATTGTCGTGCTTCTTTGGTGTGCAGCGGCGGCGTTTAGGAGTCATTGGAGAAGTGATAATTTTTCTATGCAGGCGAGGTAATGGGCTTGATATTTAGAGCATTCCCGGGCTACAGCTATGCTCACAGATTCAATCTGCGAGCTAGGCCTTGAGGTTCCTGCATTGGAGCTATGCGCAATGTTCCTGATCGTGAAATAGATCAAATGGGAAAACCCACTTCGATTATACCTAATTCCCGAATTTCGATTCAAACGCCTAGACACTGTCAGATTTCGTATACTAATTACAAGACTGGTCTCAAGTCAGCCAATGCTTCGTTTATCCTAGCTTGGATTCTGCAGGATGGCTGGATAGGTTGGGCTGGTGAGGCTGCACTTATTTTATTTCATGAGAACTTAAAAGTACAGGGTCACAGAACAGGTTACCTGAGAAATAGTACAAAATTATATTATGCCCAGTGCCAGAAATCTGTATTCCTAAGGGTTTTCAACCGTGTTCTGAAACAAACATTGACCAGCAGCTTCTCCAGTCAAAACTGCGTTTAGCTGCAAGCAAGGACTACACTAGTTAGTGGTGTGTCCAATCAAGAATCCAGACTGTAGTCAACGATGCGCTGCTCTTTTGTTCTAGCGAATTGTCAGTAGACACCTATATGGGTGAATCAAAATCCCTTGTCTGAGTTATATTACCTGCTCTGTGAGGGATTGTTGCCTGAGAGTACGGCTCTGTTGATAACTAAACAAGCAACCCAATTGCGTTTAGCCGCAGGTTTTGTCCTGCGTCTCATTCACGGCGTTTTCTTGCCCTCTTTTTCCATTTTCCATGCCTTCAAGGTCATATGTCTTCCCCAGTAGTTATCCCAGCTTCCGACAGAGAACCGAGTCTCCAGTGATTTATTTTTAGATCTTCCTGCAGACTCATCTCAACCACCTGAGTGTCATCCCTGTTTCGCGTCTCAACATCCAACTACGTAGATAACTGGCTTTCCAGTCGGGTTGTAGGGATACAGCCCGCAACTGTTCTCTCAGGTATGTGTCCTTTTCACGGTTCTATGCATTTCTTCCCGCAAACAAGTGCCGACGGGCAGCCGGGATTCGTGCGAACGTGGACCGGGAAGCCTCCCTCCCAACGTCATATTTGCCCGCGCAGATAGCCACCGGCCGCCGTCAACTTTGTCAGCTTCGGCAACGTGACTAATAGTTTGTTCGAGCCGGTAGCTAACAGCGTTCAATTATAGTTTCCGCGATCCATTCCAAGCTCGTTTTGAGCCTTGTTGCTTGCGAGCCTTGTTTGGGTGCAATTTTCGGGAACGAAGGATTCAAACTGGCAGGAAGCAAGCGACTCAGTTTTTCAGGTCAGGGCGGGTTGCTGAACAGAATGTTCGGTGGCTCATCGAGCCCTAATAAAGACAAGAATACCTCAATTGCGTCTCCTTCTACGATTACTTCTACCACCCGGGCCCGCGTTACCGAATCTCCTCCCGCTCGCGAGGGCAAGGGCTCGTCCAGCGACATCCTCAAGCGATCAAACGACAAACGGGACCAGAACGGGGATAAAAAGCGGCGGGGTAGTTCCGTGAGCAGGGCTGCAGCGTTTTTCGCAAACGCAAAGAACTCATTGCATATCTCAGGCCTGCGCGAGCCACATAAGTCGCCTCAAGTCGCGCAGACGCCGCTGCAGATCCTAGGCAAGATGGATCCAGCCTTGGTTGTTCCCCAGGGATCATTGAATAATTCAGCGGGAGAGTCGTTGCCCACTCCTCGTTCCTCCTTTCGCGTCGGAGTCACAGAAGACAAGAATAAGAAATGCCGGCGAACTATGGAAGATACCCATGCATACCTTTACAATTTCCTAGGGACACCACTTTCAATAAACCAGGGTGAATCTTCGCCGCAGAGTAGCCAGCCCAAGGAACCTGGAGGACCGGAATCTGGCGACTCGACACCTATAATTGAGACAGATAATGGATACTTCGCCATCTTCGACGGCCACGCAGGAACATTTGCTGCTGAGTGGTGTGGAAAGAAGCTACATCTTATTTTAGAGGAGACTATCAGAAGAAATCCCACTATACCGGTGCCGATTCTCCTTGATCAGACTTTCACCCTCGTTGACCAGCAGTTAGAACAGTTGCCTTTGAAGAACAGCGGCTGTACTGCTGTTATTGCAGTTCTTCGATGGGAAGACAGAGCCCCAAACTCTACGATTTCTACTCCAGACGCGGTGAACAACAAGATACAAAATCCTGAACCAAAAGGAGACAGGGGAGAGACGCTACAAATTCCAGGCAATTCGACCACGGAAACGCCTTCGGCTAGAGACTCAAGAACTATGTCTGCTTCTAAACCTGAAAATCCTACTGTTCGCCAACGAGTATTATATACTGCCAATGTTGGTGACGCAAGAATTATTCTATGTCGGAATGGAAAGGCACTACGGTTATCCTACGATCATAAAGGCAGTGATGAGAATGAAGGAATGCGAATTACCAATGCGGGTGGTTTGATATTAAACAACCGTGTAAATGGCGTTCTTGCGGTTACCCGAGCGCTAGGGGACTCGTATATGAAGGATCTTGTTACAGGCCACCCGTTCACAACAGAGACTGTCATTCAACCAGAGGCCGATGAATTCCTAATATTGGCTTGCGATGGCGTAAGTTCCTCGGAATAGTGGTTTTATCGAGTTGCTGATGCTAACTCCCTCCATCAGCTCTGGGATGTGTGCACAGATCAGGAAGCTGTTGATTTGATCCGCAACGCCCACGATCCTCAAGAAGCGTCCAAAATCCTTGTAGATCATGCCCTCTCCCAATTCAGCACGGATAACTTGTCCTGCATGGTTGTGCGCTTTGACTCAAAGGCTCACGCGGATGGAGTTAACATCAAATCGGCCGGCGAGAGTGAAGTCTTGAATAAGACTAGCGTTAGCGAAACCGACAAGATCGTGGCTCAAGCCAAGAGGGAATCGCATCGAAATTCTGCGTCAAATCTTGATCCTGCCATAACAGAAGCCGATAGCAGCAGGGAAGTTGAGGTTGCTGCGGCGAAACTTGATGAGGAACCAGGGCCGGAACTATCCCTCCCAGAAAAGCCGAAGAATGACGTGGATGCTATGTCGTCGACCGCTCCGAGTGAACTCACGTCAGCCCCTAATAAAGGGAGTCCTCCAAAGGTCAAATAGCGCCAGTGGTTCTCTTGGGTGAGAAATAAACTACGGAGAGCGTGCTTATTTTTCTAAGACGGCGGCGGAATACAATATCTCAACGTGCGCCCTCTTTCATACGTCTCCTGCGGTTCTCCCCATGAAATGAGAGGTACTCCTAGTGAGTCCCTGTCTCTGCAACGGGCGCCATCTTCCGCTTACCGGTATGCGGCGTCACAGCACTGCGCTGGACCTTCTCGCTGGTGTCTAACGTCTTCCATGGATGCAGCCACCATTTGCGTTCCTCGAATGCTGTATGAATTTTCTTTCCCTTGATCCCCTACTTCCCACCTTGTGATGACCCCCTTTCCCCTCATATCTCGATCCACCTTTTGTTTGAGTTTGCGTCTTCGTGCATGCCTACAGACTTCTGTTTTCTTGTTTGCTTTTTCTGAATTCTATGCGATGCGCTACGGAGAGATGCGTTACGCATTTCCACCTTTGTTCGATTACCGTCTCTTTTCTTTTCTATCTGATTGCTTCGTTGGTTTAGCATTGGCTGGGATGCAAATCGGTACCTTGGCTGGGATCTACTTTTTCGATGGCGACTGATACCATGTATCCTTTGATA